CCCCCCCCCCCCCCCCCCCCCCCCCCCCCCCCCCCCCCCCCCCCCCCCCCCCCCCCCCCCCCCCCCCCCCCCCCGGGACGCTCCTCAGACTGGAGGTGGAGGCTCGATTGAGCAATCGCAAGGCCCGATCCATCTCGGGTATCCTTACCCAGCGAGTGAGTAGCTTGTCCTGGAGCAGCCTGGCTCCACGGATCCAACGTCTTGGTTTTCTAACGATAGCCGCAGCATTGAAGGCTGATGACTGGGATGTGCCCAGTGGCCATCGATATGATACGAAGACGCCGCTTGGCAGGATTACAGACTGGACACTATACAGACATTTTGCTTGCCTTGCCAGTACCTCTTTGAAGGGCTTGTCTGGCTCGGTTCTCAATGTCCGTCCAGCTCGCGTACATTTACGTGGCATGGTCGTGTCGATGTCAGACGGACCGCCACTGATGACAATGCTCGCCACAACTGGAGGCCAGACCTGAAAGATCGGCCAGTCTAGCAGAATGTTGCACTCTATATTGGAGGCAGCTGGAATGGCTCGCCCAGCGTCCTCCGCCTTGACACCCAGACCCTGCTGTCGGGTTCCGCTAGCCCCTATCCAGCTCACAGGCACGGGCCTCTGAGTCCATGTCTGGATGCTGAGAAGTCTATACATGGCCATTGTGCCCCTTTACATGGGTAAATTGGCAGTTCAGCACCTTGGGATCTCCAGTCTGACCATATCCGACCGCCTACACACAGGTCGACATCGGTCAACAATGGCAGCCCACCAGGGTCCTCTGGCTCACGAGCCCCATGATGACCTCGAGGTCAAGCATGATGCCGCACTTTATGGCCAGTCTGGGCGTCACCGGGTTCGGCGCCGGCTTCGGCCAGATGGCCACGTATGTCGTGCTGGAACTCATGACAGCAAGTACAGCCACCTCGGCATCTATCTGTCGGACGACTTCGTCTTTGCCATCGTGATCATTGGGCCCATTGTCGGCCGGTACGCCATCGACGCCGGCGAGAGGAACTGGCAGTATGTATGTTGGGCTGGCTTCGTCCTCCAGTTCATCACCAAGTGCGGCTCCATGTGGATGTATCACCCACCAAAGCACCCGCGTGGCGTGCCGTGGGCAGAGGCGCTCAGGGGCGTCAACTATGTGGGCGCTGCCTTGGTCGTGCCCGGCACACGCCTGACACTCGTCGGCACCATCAACACGACAGTAAGTCCAGTTCATAGCACCCTCCTGTACCAAGCGATTTACTTACAACCACGCAGTACAAAGCCGGCAGCGACGTGACCATTTTGGCCCCCCTGCACCGGCCTGGGTCTCCTTGTCCTGTTCGCGCTGTGGGAGAACTTTGGGACCGTCACGTACCCCCTGTGCCCGCCCGCCATCTTCCGCACGCACAATGGGCGCGAGCTCACCGCCCCCTTCATCCTGGCCTTTATCGAAGGGGCATCAAAGAAACAGACTTACCTTATTTAATACTCATGCGTGATACTGCGCGACTTGCAGCATCTTGGAATCTGTCACGTCCTTCCAGAAGGACCAGAAATCCAGAACCCTTTGACTTGCGAGAGAAGCTGGATCACCAGAAACCGAGGCGCCCAAGTCCCGCTTTCACCCTCTGCTGTTTCCCAGGCCATTGACACAGTCACCTTCTCAGCTCTTCGAATAGTCATTCTGAAAAGCCTCTCTCATTCCATCTTCCACGACAGTCCATCAAGGTCACCATGTCTTCCGTAGCTCCGCTAAAAGCGGGTCTCCTTCCGCTCTCCGCTCCGTGCTTCGGAATGCCTCTCGAGACTCCCACGACATCATCCTCCACCTCCACGACGACGACAAACACACCTCGTTCCGTCCCCCATTGCACATCTTCACGGACAGACCAAGACTTCTCCACCCTCAATTCACCTTCCAGACAAGCCTCAGCTCGCACACGCACTCTCCTTCACCCACCTCCCCCAGCTACCCCTCATCAACCATCCCCGCCATGTCTGAGCTCAAGGTTGGCGATACCTTCCCCGAGGGCGTGTCCTTCAGCTACGCGCCTCTCACGCCCGAGAACAGCGAGATCACCGCCTGCGGCATCCCCCAGAAGTTCGATGCCAGCAAGGGTATGTGTTGACCCGTGCTCTGAGCCGTGCACAAGACTCACATTTTTGGCTACGACAGAGTTCAAGAACAAAAAGGTCGTCCTCGTCTCCGTCCCCGGTGCCTTCACCCCGACCTGCCAGGTCTCCCACGTCCCCTCCTACATCAAGAACGCCGACGCGCTCAAGGCCAAGGGCATTGACCAGGTCGTCTTCATTGCCTTCAACGACGCCTGGGTCATGTCCGCCTGGGGCAAGGCCAACAACATCAAGGATGACTTTATTGTGAGTGGCATGACAGCGAGATGCACAGGACGAAACGGTCATTAGCTAATAACGGCGCAGATCTTTGCCTCGGATACCGGAGCTGCCTTCAGCAAGAGTATTGGCTGGACCGCCGGCGAGCGCACCGCCCGCTACGCCCTTGTGATCGACCATGGCAAGGTCGTCTACGCCGCCAAGGAGGCTGGCGGTGGCATTGACGTCTCTGGTGCCGAGGGTGTTCTTGCCAAGCTGTAAGCAGGGCATAGGCAATCTGCATAAATAGAACAAAGGACGCCATAGACTTTCAATAGGACACATGTTCCCAACAAAGCACATGTATCACGGCACTCACGAGGCCAACCAGCAGCCAGTCATGGGGACACTTGCACCGGTTGTCATTTGCTCAACTACCAATGCACCCTATGGCACGCCATGCACCCGAGTTGTGTCGTCGAAGAACCGGTCCCGGAACCAAAACACACAAAGTAGAAAACCGCGAGACTCCCAGAATTTCCCTTTATTCTTCCTCCTCGACATCCCGTCCTGCGCTTTCGCCTCGCCTTGTCACCCCTTTCTTTCTTTCTTCTTCTTCTTCTTCTCTCTCAATCGTTCATGGTTTCGTTAAGGAAGGAGTTAGACAACAAAAGGGGAAGGCCGTTTAGCGAGTGCGGGCGGCGGGCTTGGGAGCCGCGCCCTTGGCGCCCTGCTTGCTGACGTTCCTCACGGTCTGGCCCTTGGCGGCGACGGCGGCGTTCTTGGCCTTCTCCGCCTTCTTGGCGGCCTGGGCGGCGTTCTTCTTGTCCTTGGAGGCCTTGATGGCCTCGGCGCGGGCGGCGGTGCGGGCCTCGGGGCGCTGCGTGCGCTTCTCCTTGATCACGTCCAGGGAGGCACCCTCGATGCCACGCTGCGACTTGACGGTGCGGCGGGTACGCTTCTTGGCGACCTCCTGTAGCGGGTGTTAGTCCATCCTATATCTCTCTCTGCCCAGGTGTACATGTCCCAGGCGTCATGTGTCGGAGTCGGATCGTACCTCAGAGATGCCCTTGCGGTGCTGGCGACGGTAGAGGACAGTCCATGCGATGCGGCGGGGGTTCTTTCGTTGCAGGAAAAGCGACTCGGACTTGCCGTTCTGGAAGCGGAAGACCTTGCTGTCGCCACGGACATAGATTTTACCCTGTAGAAACAGACCAACGTCAGCATTCTGACTCTGGGAAACTTGTGCAAACGACCACCACGCCATGCCGGCCCCGGTAGCCCCGTCACGTCCTCCTCATCTCAGAATTGTTCGGACCTGTCGTCGACGTCGCGGGGCAGCAGCAGGAGCAGGATGGACGGTCTTGCACGCAATGCACTGGGAAGTCGTACCTTGCCAGGGTAAATCCTCTGGCCCGAGAAGGAGTCGTCGTAGGTTCGCATCTTGTCGCTGTTGTGCTGTTGTCGGGCGACTTGACGGGGTTAGTAGTGAGGTATCGTAAGGCGAATGGGGCAAGAAGTTCTGGTTGCAGGGCGCCGCGATACGCTCAAAATTCTCGGAAACTGGTGGTGTGCGGTGGTGACTAAGCGAGGTAGGGCAACGACTGGGTGGGCGGCTGGTTTTGCGGAGTGAATGGGCACGTGATTGGTGGGGTCTTGACGACGTCGCGATGCCGACAACTGTTAGTGTCTCATGAATCAACCACCAGACTCATCAGAATTCAGCGAGGACAAGGAACCTGAACAGATCGAGGCGTTCGGCCATGGGCATTCTTACTGCACTGTCCGATGGCGTCAAAAGCCAGTCTCATTGCCAACTCTGTGCTCGCTGAGTTTGACAAGCTTCCGCCGAAGCGCAAGCCGTCACACCGAGGCAACGGACATCGGGAATGGGTGCCCCTGAGCGGCATCGTCGTCGAACATGGCGACCATGTGCGTTGTGTAGCATTGGCGTAAGACACAGCCCAGCCTCGTACTATCGAATGAATCCTTCTAAGACCTCGTAGAACGGGCATGAAGTGTCTACCAGCCAGCAAGATCCCTCAAGCCAATGGCATCGTCCTCCATGATTGGCATGCTGAGATTCTCGCCATAAGGACATTCAACCGTTTCTTACTGGAAGAGTGTGTCTCTCTGATCAGAGGAGACGATTCGCACAATGTCGACTTCAACACTGGTGCGGCGCAACCTTTCAAGATCAAGGACGGGATCAAGCTTCACATGTACTGCTCTGAAGCTCCGTGTATGTAACAACTCACGGCACGAGGTTCCTTCATTGACAGGCAGCAGGCGGTGATGCGAGCATGGAACTCTCCATGTCTTCACAAGCCGACGCAACACCTTGGACCGACCCAGGACCCGGCCCCATTTCCATATTACCAGGGCGAGCCGACTTCTCACAGCTGGGCATTGTCCGTCGAAAGCCAAGCCGAAGGGATGCGCCGGCGACATTGTCAAAGTCCTGCTCGGACAAGTTGGCATTGAAGCAGTGCACTTCACTCCTATCAGGCCTAGTATCGCTGTTGGTCAGTCCACAGGGCGCGTACATTGATACCCTCATCATGCCTGAATCACAGCATACTGAAAGCGGATTTCGTCGGGCGTTCTCAAAGGATGGGAGGATGCAGAGCTTGCGGAACAAAATTTGGTCTGGCGACTACTCATTCAGGCCTTTTCAAATAGGGTCGACGAGTGTCGAGTTTGCGTACTCAAAGCGCAGCGTCACCCACACAGCCGAGAAGATATCGCCTAGTCCGTTGGCGACGGCTTGGTCGGCATCGGGGATAGCCGAGAACATTGTCAACGGCGTCATACAAGGACGAAAGGTGGGTGATCCCAAGGGCGCCAGCCGCATGTGCCGTCAACAGATGTGGTTACTGGCACAAAGCCTGGCGGACCAATGCCATGGGCCCTCACTAGCTGCTGCGCTCCGCGGCGCAACATATGCGCACGTCAAGGCGGATGCACTTTTGCAGTCGCGAGGCCAAGTCATTGCCGACACACAGTTCTTCGCCCTGAAGGGATGGATCAAGAATAGCGGAGATACGGGCTTCCCGTTGGGCCAAGCACAGAGAATGGAAACATCATGAGATGGCATTTCTCGATCTGATGCAAGATGTGTACAAGTCCGGCAAGCAAATGTCGCTCGTGGATCAGTAAGGTACTTTTTTGTTTCATTCCGCCGTAAGCCGTCCGTTGCCCTCCAACCGCGCGAGCCGTTACCCTGTGCGTTGACGCCCGAAATCAAGTCATTTGATTGATACCTTCCAGAGGAACGTTGTCACCTTCTCCGCGCACCTCTTCAACAGTAGCAACAACGTCCCGTTCCCTTATTTCGCTTGGCTAGGAGAGGAGGCTTATTCGACCTTGCTCTCAAAGTTCTCGCCCTCCACCAGGTCGGGGATCTCGCCATCGTCCTCCTCGCCCTTCTCGCCCTTCTGCATGTTCTGGTAGCTCTCGGCGAGCTTGCGGAGCGAGGCCAGAGAGTCGGGGCCAAGCTGGTTCAGGATACCGGGGACGAGCTCGGTCAGCTCCTTGTCCTCGCCGTTGCCGTAGATGGCAAAGGTGTTGCTGGGGACAGCAGCGTGAACTATCCCTCGTTAGTCGTCTGTCCAGTGTCCAATCTCCTGTGAAGGCGCGTACCCTTGGGAGCGGCAAAGTGGATCACGTTGCCGTCCGACTTGAACATGTTGACCTCCTCAATCTGCTGGATAGGCTGGGTGCCCAGCTTCTTCAGGTTCTGCTGGAGCTTCTTGTCGTCGGCGCCAGAGCGAGGAGGCGCACGCTTCATCTTCCTGCGGGGCGTACCCTTTCCACTGGCGTATATTGTTAGCAGTCGTTCGGTGCGTTTGTTACAGGTCTAGTTCCGGTGCTTACCCTACGAATTGTTAGCGCGAGAGTAACAGCCAAAAATTCCCCCAGAGCTTCAACGTACCAATGCGGGCGCTCGCGCCGAGCTTCCTGAGGCGCTCCTGAATCTCGTCCGACATGTTGGCTGATTTGTCGTGTGGGAGGTGGGTTGAAGCTGCGGGGGTTCCGAGTGACACTTCAAAAACTGGGAAGAGTCTTGTGTTAGCGAACGCTCCTGGGCAGGGACAATGAGGAGGACTGCCAGATTCGCCAAAGAGGGCAGAATTTTGGCATTGCTCCGGACTGTACGCACCAATGGGACTGAGTCGCTGGCTATGAGCTTTCGACGTCGTCTGCCTTGATGCTGGCGGTGATGGTGGTATAGTGGGAGATTTTGTGCGTGCCAAGACTTTGGAGGGGTGGGAAGAACTTTGTGCCGGCCTCCTCGGTTCAACGTGGGGTATCGCCCAGCTCCGATATAGGGTCTGAGATTCTGAGCCACCAAACTGGATGGAGTCTATCCTCCATCACACCTGTTGCCCATGCTTTCGAGCAAACCATCTCATCGTGTCCCCTTTGCTTACTTATGAGTGGAGTGCAGCATGCCCGTGTGTCGTTCTTCACAGACGCGTTCTTGAGTGTCGCAAGCTTGCCCCCTCAACTCCTCTCTGCCCTCGCGAGGGATACTGAATAATATCTATCATTTCACGTTTTTGCTCCCGAGATATCTGCTGTGCAGAGGATCGAGTCTCCGACTGGACCCAAACGCAATGCCTCAGAATGACCATGGTTCCCATTCCCATTTTGAGTGCTTAATCCACGGGCTCATCAAGGTGTAATTGAACAATGATATAGGTACATGACGCCAAGGTAGCCAGCCGTCCATACAACGCCGCAATTACAACCGCGAATTCCATTAGGCCACATCATTTCCCACCCCAGCTGAACCAGGAGGACGATTTAGGCTGCTCTGCTGGTGTAGGGTGTAGAGCTTCCCTTCTCATCTCAGCTTTGCGGGCCTCTGCCTCTCTCTCCCGGGTCTTCGCGTCAGCAATGGCCTTCTTCTTCATCCTCTCCTCCTCTTCTTTCACAACAATCCAGACTGCTCGTCGTTAGCACCGGAATACGTCCACGCTGTCGTCGGCAAGGGCGTACTTGGTTTGTCCGACTTGCTGTATTCCTTCAGTCTTGTCACAAACTCGTCAAACTCTTGTTCTCGCTGCGCTTTGCCCTCGATGCTTCTTCGTCGGAGATCTGGGTTGTATTTGGCTCGAATCTCTTCCTCGGACGGGGACAGCCAGGCTGTGAACGCCGGGCCACCGACGGCGACGATTGCGCTGCTAAAGTGAACTTAGTAATCTGCTGTGCCTTTCCTGCCATGGAACTTACACCACGGCTACCTTGCCCCATAACCGCCAGTTTGTCGGTTTCTTTCCCATTGCGGCGACTGTACGGATATTGCGACAAGGGTCGAGGAATCGTACACGAGATCGGGGCGTCGCGCGTTGATGTCTTCAGCCTGTCGCGAATCCCGACTAGTATCCGTCATGGACTTTGTTGAAGGGACCAAGCTCTCCCGTCCCTCCGTGGAGTGGCTGCTGCTGTGGCTGGTGCGTACACAGCGAGAACAAGCCAATGACGCACTGTGTTGACTTGCTGAGATTCATGTCAACGTGGTCGGGGAGAGAGCCACGTCTGCATGTTTCATCTTGGCTCAGACGCAACGCGGTTGTGCAGATTATTCTGTAATGCGCATGATTGAGTGACATGAGTTACGGCCTGGGAAGCAAGTTGCGGGTGAATTGAAGAACGATCACTCCGCCCTGTTGCTTCGACATGAGCCGACCTAGGTAGGTACCCTAGAGAGACCTCAACATCTTTATTAAAGGCCACCCATGTACGTGTGATCTGGCAAGTTGTGGGCAAGGCCCTCGCTGAGAATCGAGTCATGCGGACTTGGGTTAATTAGGAGCTTAAGAGTTCAAGTGTCATCCGTCTCGAGGCCGGTAGTAGTTGTGCCAGGGGTCGGCAGGGCATCATTCCGTCGAGACGGTGAGTAATCAATGAGGTTGGCTCCAGCCAGCGTCATGCGGCACACCTGAGACGCAATGGGATGCCGAGCACTCGAGCTACGAAGTAACTGCAAACCTGGAGGCTCTCAAAACCTGGGAGGTTATAACATCATTGGCCAAAGCCAACCGCTTACGGCAAGGTTCAAGGTTACACATATGCCAGGTACGTGTACGTACTGTCTCCATCACACACGGTTGCATTGGGTATCAGGAAATTGAGCCTATCCGCACCGCTGCATGGCATTGTGATTTCGACAAGTGTAGTTTTCGACTGTACTGTACGGGGTAGGGCAGGGCGAGGTCACTCATCCGCCAGCTTGGTTGAAGTCTGCTCACTGACCTCGCCAGACACTTCCTCACTTTCGAAATATCCTTTGCCCCGTGTCAATTCCCGAGCCAAGACCTTCGCAAATTCCTCTCGTGCTCCAGTCTTTCTGCTCTTCGCGAGTTGCCACCACACACAGAGCGACCTGCCTTATCCAAATCCGGCCATCTCGAGCCGGCGGCTAGTTTCCACGCCGTCAGAGCGGCAGAGCCTCTCGTCGGCACGCCTGGCGAGCGCGGCGCTTCCACTTCCCGTACAGTCGGAGCCTTCCCTGTACGCGAAGACGAGGGAATCTTCAAGTCACTCTGACGACCAACCTGCACGCGCTGCCCCACGGCTTCACACCAAATATACTCGTTATGGATTTTTAGCCCACCGAGCCAGCTGCCAAGTCCGAACGAGCAACACGATACGAACGACACGAACCCCGCCAAGACATGGTGTCTGCCTCGCCAGTCCCTTGCGCCGACTTGAATAACGACTCAAGTCCCACGTCTCTGGTACTCAGCCTCTATATTTGCACTTGCTCAACCGACCATGGCGTATAATGGAGGATATGGGGTTGATCCCTACGGCGGCAGGCCACCTCCGCGACGAGAAGGTCACCGGGGACCTCCAGCACCACAGCAGCAGCAGTATGGAGCACCGCAGCAATACGATGGCTACGACGATGGCTACGGTTATGAAGGTAACGCTGGCGGCTACCCTGGACCGGATTTTGGGGGCTCCTATGCCCAACAACCCGACTACGGACGAGGTCAACCACCACCACAACAATATCACCAAGATCCCTATGCGCCAGCGGCTTCGCGGGGAGCACGAGTGCCAGATGGCAGAGGCGGGCAGTATCCTCCCAGAGGAAGAGGAGGCCCAGCCCCCAGTCGTGGCGGGCGTCCACCGGTGCCTCGTGGGCCACCAGGCCCAGGCGCTCGCCGTGGTCACGAGCCGCCCATCAATACCCGAGGTGCCGACTACGGAGACCCCTACGGCCGCAGACCCGATATGGAGCAGCAAATGGCAGCCCAGATGTCGGATATGGATCTGAACGGACGACACCCGAGTCTCTCTCAAGCGCCACGTCAAAGCGGCGAGAGCCAAAGAAGCCAAGGTAGCTACGGGCGAGGCCAAGACCCTCGCGGTCAGTCGTTCGAAGGGCGGAGAGGACCGCCTGTTGCACCTGAACAAAATGGCTACCCGGGATACGATGATGGGCACGGTAGACGACCGCCGCCTCAGAGGCCTGGGCATGAGTTCGCCCCTCCTGCGCGAAGTATGACGATGCCTAACGAGAGTGGGCCGCGATTTGACCTTCCACGGCAAAGGATGAATTCGATGACTTACGATGACCGCCCTCCAGCAGCTGCTGGACCTCATTATCCTCACCAGATGTATCCGCAGGACAGTCAAGGGTACGACTACAACACATACAGTGGAGGCGGGGGGTATGACGGTAACCAAGGATACGCACAGCAGCCTTCCAGGGCCTCCTTTGGTGATGCCCATGATGAGTACCAGTGCAATGGCGGGCAGCAGGGGTACCAGGCCTATGGAGCTCACGCAAAGGGACCAAGTGCGTCCAGTCTTCCGAATTTTGAAATGATCCCACCGGCAAGTCGAGGTTCGTTTGAGCAAACCATGAGGCCGGGACCTGGGCCTATGCGACCAGTCCCTGAGAATATACGCCCTGGCCCCGAGATACCACAGCCGGGCGCCCATCAGACAGCCAAACTCAACCACGCAAAGTCCCAGCCTGACCTGCGTCAACCACAAACGGCCATCTTCGAGATGGCTGGCGACATCCCTTCGGTGCCTCCAATACCACCTACAAATTCGCTGCCACCACAAGTACAGCCATCTCAAGGCTACGGTGCTGCTCCAATGGCGCATGAGCGGATGCCTCAACGGGGCCCGAGTGCACCTCCCGGACCAGTGAATATGCCAGCACCGAAGCAGATGGGTCCATCGCCAGCCAGGTCAGAGCCTCCAATCCCTCCGCCTGCAAGCCAGAATCCAGACGCTCTGCCATCGCATCCTACGCCAGTCCGAGCTGGGCTCATGGCGAATTCCATGGTATCATTGAATGAGAAACCGCCTCCTGTGCGAAACTACGGTGGTGTGCCGCAGTCGCAGCCTCAGCTTCAGCAGCGGCCGCAGCCTCAACAGGAGCAGAGGCAACCCCAGCCCCCCGTGGCTTCAAGCACGAGACCCGTTGAGCTACCTGTGACGCCACAGGAGCTCGAGCATCTCCGTATGGTAATCAAGAACAATCCCAACGATCAAGCCTCCGCTCTTCGCTTGGCCAAGAAACTGATCGAGGCGGCCGATGTACTCCTGCCGAACGTGCCAGACCCAAAGGCTAGGGGCAGGGCCCGCGAGCGTTACGTTATGGACGCGCACAAGATCCTAAAGAAGCTGTCTAATGCACAGAACGTGGACGCCATGTTCACAATGGCGGACGCCTACGGGCGAGGCCTGTTTGGAGGCGACTCCGACGCCAAGGAAGCATTCACACTATACCAATCAGCAGCCAAGCTGGGTCATGCCTCGGCCGCATACCGTACAGCGGTATGCTGTGAGATTGGTCACGAGGAAGGCGGCGGTACACGGAAGGACCCTATGAAGGCCGTCCAGTGGTACAAGCGCGCCGCCTCACTGGGCGACACTCCTGCGATGTACAAGGTTGGGATGATCCAGCTCAAGGGACTGTTGGGTCAGCCTAGGAACCCGCGGGAGGCGGTGGGCTGGTTGAAGCGCGCGGCCGAGCGCGCTGACTCGGAGAATCCCCACGCCCTGCACGAGCTGGGTCTCCTGTATGAATCGGCTCGGCCCAATGATACCATCATCCGAGACGAGCGATACGCAGCCAGCCTCTTTCAGCAAGCAGCCGACCTGGGATACAAGTTCTCACAGTTCCGACTCGGGCAGGCGTACGAGTATGGATCAATGGGGTTCCCGGTCGATGCGCGCATGTCTATCATGTGGTACTCCAAGGCGGCGCAGCGGGAGGAGCACCAGGCTGAGCTTGCTCTCAGTGGCTGGTACCTCACGGGCAGCGATGGCGTTCTCAAACAGAGCGATCAGGAGGCCTACCTTTGGGCGCGCAAGGCGGCCGTCGCGGGCTTGGCCAAGGCAGAGTATGCTATGGGCTACTTTACCGAGGTGGGCATTGGCGTTCCTGCGAACCTGGAGGACGCTAAGCGCTGGTACTGGCGAGCGGCTGGTGAGTTTTCAACATAAACGCAGCGGCAAGGCACAAGCTAATCATCATAAAGCCCAGGACTTCCCCAAAGCCCGCGAGCGGCTCGAAGATCTAAAGCGTGGCGGCAACAGAGCAGGCCCTCGACGAGAGCAGATCTCTCGAAGTCGGATTGAGAAACATGGGGAGGGTGAATGTAGCATCATGTGAGAGTACTGTCAACCTATATGTGGCACGGGCAAGGAGATCAAGAGCTATATCAGGAGAGGGATCTTGACGGCGCTGCAGAGCAGGACATGTACTGAGGCATGGCGGATGATACCTATGACTAGGAGGGCAACGTATGGTCGGAGCATGAGCATTGGGCCAAGCAACACATGATGATTTGCATGCCGGCTGCAAATTTACAAGGATCACACATCCTACATCTACATCAGCCTGGACTGCATTCCTTAACAATTGTACCCATATATCTCCCGGGTCTCATTGCGACTTCCAGCTCCCAAACAGCCCCCCGAACAAACCCTGCTCACCACTGCTCCCTCCACCACCACCTCCGCCTCCTCTTTTGGCCTGCTCCCAGATCCACTCTTCCAGGAACTGCTTGTCCGCCAGCTTGCGTCCATCCACCAGCCGCGCCACCACCTCTTCCCGTCGTCCATCAAAGCCCAGAAGCGTCGGCAGGCTGGTGATCATGTAGCGCTGCCCCAGCTCCATGTTGTCCGGCGCATCAAACTCGACCTCGGCAAAGTTGACGCCATTGGTGGTTGCATCGTCACCGACACCCGAGGAGACGAGCTGTTTCACCAGGGGGAGGACATGGCGGCACGTCGGGCAATAACCCGCCGTGAAGAGAGTGAGAAGAGGTGTGGAGGACTTGGCCGAGAGAGAGAGATAGGTGCTGAGCGAAGCTGGGTCACGGACACTTTGAGTCTGGTTTAGTATTGGCTGATCATGGCTGAGTGGAGGGTGCTTTCATACCGGTCGAATACTTGGTTGCGAGTCTGGCGGGTGGTGGATGTTGAGAAATGGGCTGCAGACGTGCGCAACTGGGGCGCAATGCATGCGGACCTCCTCAATGAAGACGCGGGAGGAGAAAAGTGCATACTGTCCACAGATCTGCAGTTCGGCACTGATTCTGGAAGAAATAAGGTCGACTGAGATGGGAATTGATGTTTGTTGTCCGGCACTGGAGACTGGCTGGTAGCGTATGACGTTAATTCGTGTTAAGAAGAAGTAGCACGGCACGCTGACACTGCTAACAGTGGGTCTTACCAATGTCCAGGGACGATTGCAATCAAGGCCAGGAGTAGCCGGCGTCGAAAACAGCTGCACCCTTTGCTGAAGTAGCAAGTATAATTGTATATCATTAGACGCATGTCCACTTTGTTTAGACTGGAAAGTTCTTCACGTTCTATCTATGCTGTTGCCCACCATTAGCTTCATCTACCAGACAGTGTTAGCCTGCAGCTGGCTGTTCAGTTAACGCATTGAACTGAAGTCGACGCACCGTAAATTTAATATACAGATATACACAGAAGTACATTGGTTCAGAGTTCAGAGTCTCTTTATTTGGGTGGGATCTGGGTCAAATTCGACTCGGATACCTCGTATGTAGAAAACCTCATCATCAATGGGAACCCCACATCAAAGAGTTTCCCACCTAGAATCCGATCTTGGCATCTCACCCATTCGATACAGCATTACAAACGAGGAGATACTCTGAACCTCGTCTACAGTCTGTAAAGAATGTCTACCCGTATTCCACCTTTGCTAGAGTCATATCTCGCTCTACCGCCAGAGGCCTCGCTCATCCTTCTCACCAGTGTGCTCGGCGCGAGCGCAAACTGGTTGACTCTACGCCATCTGTACTCCTACCTACGAGGGGCGAGCGGTGAACCGGCAGCCGATAAGCCAGATGTCGGCGTTATTCTGGTCAGCTTCATGAGAGACGGCGCCTTCTGGCGTGAGGGAGCGGGTAAGATGGTGAGGCTCGCCCACATTGTTGAATAATCCTCACTGACATACGATTTTTTTCAAAGGGACTGGACCTTGACGGAATGAGCAAACAAGGGAAATTCAGTTTCGTGGATGGTCTGACGGGACTGTTCACGGGCGAAACACACCCCAAAGACAGGACGCTGAAAAGTGCAGACATGGGGGATATGCAGCGTGAGATCGAGGCAGCCTTGGGGGATCTACGCACAGCAACCAAGACACTCATTCTGGATGCTCCGGATGTCGTGCTAGCGGCTACGGAGGCGACAAGCACATCCTTCTCGAACTTGCTGCTCAATCTTCGCGCGGTGAGTGGGCTTCCTGCGTTGATATGCACAACACCAAGCTGACGAATCCTAGCGGTGTTATGCTACGGTTGTGAGCCTCGCTGCGGATGCGCCGCTCATACAGGCCCAGCAGACCACCCTGGAGAAGGAGCATGCGACGCTGGTTCTGGGGCAGGCACACGCTGCAGACCGGGTGTTTGCCCTGAGAATGCTGGACACGGGCACGGCGAAGGATGTAAGCGGCGTGGTGCGAATCAATGGGCGTGAGGAAGAGACAGGGGAATTTCTCTACTATGTTGCGGGAGATGGTGGGGTAAAGGTATTTGCAAGGGGAACATGAGAGAATACGCCGTTCACAATAGGGAATCACACATCTTTTGAGATGCACCGCATCAGACGTCTGCGTAGGACCTGACCACCAAGGTCCGGTGGCACTTCATCCCACAGGCAAGCATCACAGATACAGCACACAGCCAGGTTGAGACGCAAAGTCAAGGTCTTATTCTCTCAAGCCCTGCCTCGCAAAATAGAACACCGAATCCCATGCTCCAGCCCTTTTTGATACCAAGGGAAAAACGTTTCCTTCCATCCGCCGCCGCTGCTCACCTCCCATCATCACCATGTGTCAAAAACCAAAGAGTGCCCATGTTTCCTCGCCCGTGTGGATTGGTTCCCCCGCAGCTGCAAATGCCAACGCTCTCGGTCCTTGCCAACGTTCCAATTCGTGTCATTCCATCATCCGTGGGGAGTTTCTTGTTGGCGGGTTATGTTCGTGAGTTGTCGGAGAAGTCAGAGGTCCAAAGGAATGGGACACGCTTAGTTGTCCTTGTTGGTCTTGGCCATGATGGTGTTGTGGCGGGCGTTCTTGGGCTCGCCGTTCTGGAAGCCGTTCTTGAAGCGCCGCGAGACGTCCTTAAGGTGGCGCATGCGGCCGGTGCCGGTGGTCTTCCTGCGCTTGGCCTTCTCACCCCAGTTGACTGTGCATCCTCCAGGTCAGCTTTGCTCCGATGCCTACACGCTTCTTGTCGAGGGAGAGGCAGGGTAACGTACACTTGCGGATCTTGGCAGAGGGGAAGCCGCACGAAGAGCACTCGTGCTTCTGGATGTGCAGAGAGCGGCGACCTGTTGATAGCATACCGTCAGCCATGGCGTCCTTTGTTGCCTGCCCTTCATACGATCTCGACCCCGCGCGAAACAGTCCATTCCGTCGTCATTCTTTCGCAGTGGCCCAGTCGTATTTCCATTTCGCGTAGGGTACCGAGTCGTCTCGAAGAAGGAGGAGGAGGAGGTAGACTAACCGCATCGACGGCACAGAGTGTGCGTCTTGTTGTGACGCTTACCGAAGCTGGAGGTACCCTTCGCTGCAAGCCAGTCAGTTTATCTTGTCCGGGCAACGTCGACCCTGCGAATAAATTCCATCTATCGGTTCGCATTGAGGGTCGCGGCAGGGCACGTACTCATCTTGGCTGTTGTGCTGTAACGTTAGTCGTGGGATGGCGATCGTAAAATTGTCTCGATGGAGTGCTTTTTTGGTGGACTGCGAATGGTTCCGGATCGCGAGCCCTAATTTCGTGGGAGCCTGATTTTCGGTGGGTGGAGCGCCGAGGAAAGTGTCATGTGATTGGACGATGTGGAGGTGCCCTTGAAAGCACGTGATCAGCCATGGAGCTCGGAGCAATGTGACCGTTTGTGGAGACTGAGTGAACAAACAAGCAGACCTAGTCACTACATTTTAGGAATTCCACGACGTAAATTACCCAATTGAACAATCATGGCATTGTCATTCATTGAAACAACCTATCCTGCGTAAATATCCAGTATCCCAAAGAGTTCCGTCAACGCCAGGCCTACAAAAGCAAGATACGTGATACAGCCAGTACACCTAAATCCAGAAAAGAACGCAACCCCCCTACGGCCAAACAGATGGACCAAATGTTGCGCCTGGTGGTAGCACAGACTTGACAGCATCGTGCGAAAAGTCCAGTGTGCGTATTGTGCCCTCGTTGCCCCACCAGTTCAGTTGGGGCACCTCGGTCATGTACAGCGTAAAGAAGATGAGCAACGTCGAGATGATAAGTCCGCAATCCAGCGCCGCGGAGACAATGTAGTTGTACTGCAACCACCATCCAGTAAAGCGGCGCCTGATGTGGTAGTTGAACACGACACCGACCAGACCCCAGCAGAGGTAGTTGTAAACACTGGCAGGGGGGAGCAGGCCGGGACCTCCGAAGATGACGGGCGTGTTGACGTAGCGCCAAAGCGACTTGGGCCAGCGACGGGCGAGGAGCCAGGTGATCACCGGCGCAACGGCGCCCACGAGCCAGAACCACTGAAGGGCGGAATACAAGGCTCCGCCGCTGAAGATGCGTGCCGGGCCGATGGCTCCCCAGATGATGGAGGCCGTGAAGAAGACGCGGCTACCCGGGCAGGTCCAATTGTTGGGGTGGTATGCGTCGCACACGTCGGGGATGTTGGCCAGCGCCCAGTTCATGACGGCAATCTGGACAATGGCAGACCAGATGGAGGCAATGAGCTGCGACGAGAACATGACGCGTGGGGGCACCTTCATATAGTGGCCGAGCTTAAGATCCTGCGCAAAGTACAAGGCCTGCGACATGCAGATGTAGCCGTAGTTCTTGAACATCATCATGGCAAGGGGCCGTCCGGGTACCATGTAGCCGATGATGAACTCAGTGAGCACGTTCAGACCGAGCTGCTGGTTGGTGATGGCCTGGATCAGGCCGATCGGAATGAGCCACACAATGGGGATGAGCATGCAAATGACATAGGCCCAGGCAGGGAACCCGGTTGGCCATCCTGCCACAACGCCGAAAGAGATGGCAACCATGACGATGAAGAGGGCTAGAATGAGATTAGCGGCGAACAAGAGGGATGAGCTCGTCGAACTTACCAGCGTACCACCAATCTTCCGCATCACGGTACTTCTTCATCAAGCGCATGTGGACATCATCCTCCTGGTGACGGGCCATGCGGAACTGGTTCCACAAGTCCTTGCCATGGTACAAGCCGACATGGATAAGCACGGCGGACACAGCCGCAAACGAAACGCCATAGGCCAGAGCGAACTGTGTGGGAAGGTACAGTGGCGAGTACTCTTTGTAGGCTGTTTCGTTGAAGTGCCCATTGGCATCCAGGATGCGGGTGACATTGTAGACGTCTCCGTGATTGTCGTACGACTCGGTGGACTGGATCGGTAGGTAATCTGCGTACCACGTGCCGCTGAAGTGAAGGCCCATAGACAAAATGATGAAGACGGAAATGATGCCGGCCATGACGTTCATGATGGCATGGAATGGCGGGATGAGGGGAGAGCCCAGGAAACCGCTGATGACGGTCCAGTCGAGGGTCATGGGCATCAGGCCATACCCAGAATGCGCGCCAAACAGCTTGTTGACGACAATGTTGTTCGGGGCCGCCCAGCAAACCCAGGTGAAGTAGGACAGTCCCTTGAAGAGCCAGCCAGGTACCCAGTACCAGATAAAGCCAGCTGATCCAATGATCAGGAACAGCTTGTATCGCCCAATCGTCCAGCCGTTGGTCTTGGACGGGTCAGATCGCGAGTGATCGTGAAGTGTGTAGAAGAGAGCGCAGTTGACTAGGTCAGCAGGCCAAATCATGGCAGCAGGCCAGACCAAGAAGCGACGGGCAAGACCGGCGAGGCCATACCCCGTGCAGAGCGTGGTGATGCCGAACAGCATCTGGAAAGCCCATCCAAAATCCTGGCCGTAAAACAGGCGTTGAGCCAGCAGGACGTCGGTAGCGTAAAGAGACCCGCCACCATAGGCTGCCTAATCAATCATTAGCCTTTTCCACACGTCAGAGCCCAATGTATTCAACGTTTGGACTTACATTTGACATGGCAACGATGACCACGTGCTCCTTGAAATTGAACTTGCCAGGCTTCAAGTTAAACTTGTAGCCAAAGACATCCCACTCCCGATCTGGCATGACCAGATCCCAAGCAAGGCCAATGGGGTAAGCGATCAGCTGAATGACATAGGTTGTGATGGCCACACTGGGATTGCGTAGCGAGAGGAGCATGTTGACGCCGGATCCAATGGTGCATAGGATCAGCCCAATAACCCACGCACGGATCGTGTTCGCGGGGACATCGACGTCGTAGTTGCGCACGACAGCCCTGACTTCGGGATATGGGCTGTTGTCCTCCATGAGCGCATGCTCAATCTCGATGCCCTTTTCGGCATTGCCCGTGGCAATGGCCGCGTCCACGTCGTTCAACTCGTCGATGGGCATGTTGGGATCCAGCTTGTGGGCCTTGTCGAACGCCGACAAGTGCTGCAACTTGTCGACGCTGGAGGACTCGCCCTCCAAGGGGCCCGTGATGGGCGTGATCTCTTCAATGTCATGGCGCTTGCGGAAGATGGCTGGGACGACCATGGTGGGCGCTGGTGCTGCGACGCCGGTGATCGGCGGCGGTCGTGGGGATGGCGAGACGGGTGGTGCTGTGAGTGAGTTGAGTCCGTCGCGGCGGGACGTCGACTCGTCGAAAGACACAGGCTCACGACGTTGTCGGCGTCGTCTCTGTCTGTTTGCTTCTCTCCGTTTGCCGAACGAGTAAGTTGAGAAACCGACATGACATGGGCCGTAGAGGGGGGTTGCTGCGACGGCATCTTTCTTCGTCTGGGCGAGGGCGAGAGGATATCTGCACAGTCCAGCGGGTGCGGATGTGCTCGTGATTTGGGGGATTTCACAGGCACTGAACACGGTGCCAGGAGGCGACTGGACCTCGAACATAATTGGCACCACCACACCTGCGTTAGCGTCGTCGACCTTCCTAACCGAGTGTAGGTGCACCCGACCCTTTCAGCTCGCGGCTTTTTTTGTTCTGGAAGCGTGGGAGCCACGGCACTTTTGTTGCGCGATTCCATTTCTTTTGAGGAAGAAAAATTATAAACCATTCCGCTCGGATGACATCCGAGAATTGTATAGACGCTGTTGAGTCAATGTCTGCGAATATACCATCTCTCGCAATATCTACAGAGTACACGGAACTTATCATCCCCGCCGTGGCTGCGTTGAGGCTTGGCTGGTATCGATCGGTCAACCAATGAGCACTAGTCCAGGTCTCCAAGCGGGCGTTAGGTATCTTGTCAATATCCCCCGGGAATCCGTGAAACGATCAACTTGATGGGCTGCTCTCTGCGCCGGTAGCCGTCTGATATTCCAGTCCGAATATACACCCACAAAGCCACTAATCACGGCACATGAGGTTTGCAATTTTGCATTGCAAGTCTGCTGTTTGTCTCCCGAGACCATATCCACAAACGCCTGTCGCTTCTGTATTGACTCAGCTTACGTTAGACGACCGTCGACCCCGGGACGACATCCGTCCATTCCCTCGTTTGCCTTATGGCATTGTGGTAATTTATCAGCGTGTCTGTTAACAAGTTTGACCGACCCACGTCCATCAAGCGTGCCAAGAGTGACACAGCGACAGCGTCGAGTACCGTTGGCGATGCCCCGTAAAGATAGATTGCATCTCCGGCCCTCTTGTCCAAGATATCCGTCGCTGCGTCGAGGAAGAGCCTGGCTTGACTCTCAACCTCACGCACGGTGTCCGGGTCTTGGGAGCCGCTGTGGAGGGTGTCATGACTGGTCCACCCGTCAATATCGTCGCGCCTCGAGATACCATTCCAGCAGGGCAGATCTATACTTACTATATACTTTTGACCTCCAGGCACCGCCGATGAGTGTCTGTGATGTCGGGGTTCTCCAGCATGGCGGCTGCATGGTTCACGATGCCACCACATTTCTCCTCGGGCCTGATGGCCAAGGGCTTCGCATGGAAGCTGTAGAACAAGTGCAGGACCCGTTGGATCTCTTCTTGGTGAGTCTCGGGCATCAACTGTGGCTGCTTGCCACAGAGCCAGCGAAGGATATCTTGACTTTCTGCCAGAACCTCCACGTCGGAATGGCCTGGAGATATCGTCTTCAGCACCGGGACCTAGACCTGTGTCAGAGTCCGTGGGTTTTTTGGGGTTTTTTTTTCTCGCACACAGAATAGGTTCCTTACCTGGCCTTTGGGTGTCAAGGTGAGATACTCATGTGTGAGGTTATCACCTTGCTGGACATTTACCAACTGCAAACGGACCTCTGGCGCGGTGTCGGGGTTCAACTTGCGGCCCATTCCCAGGGCTACCCGCACCAGAATGGAGTATAGTGAGTATGGCGAGTAATGGAGGACGGAGTGATTTTGTTCCTGCGGCTTCTTTCCCTGCAGAATCGAGGCATTGTGCATGGCGAGACTCTGACTGAGCGTCGACATGATCTTCCAACGTCGAGGATGATGCGCTTGCGTAGCCGTCTGCCAAGTGTCGGCCAATTGGTACTTGAAGGAAACAATGTTGGTCGTTGACGTGAGTGCACGTGGTCCTGTGCATGTGCTCTCGAGGTTCACTTTGCGAACATGAATGTTGAGTTTCTCCAGGGCCGGCCAGGGGCTAGAGCCGGCACCCGCCAAGCAAAAGCAAGTCCAGTTCAGTCCAGTTCAGTCCAGTTCGCCTAGCACTTGAAAGTAACGGCCAAAAGTGGAGTGGAACCCTTCTTGCTTCCTCGACTCTCGAGCGACGAACATCGGCTGGCGTCTGGCCCTAACGCTCTCATCGTCGCGACAAGTTTCCCACAGCCAAGAGGCGACAGTATCCATCCGGAAGGGACCGTCCTCGACAGGCGGACTGCGCCTTGGGTAAACGAACGCATGCAAGGGAAACTGATTATCCAACGTCGGGGGAGACAATTGTCTGGAACGCTCGCAAGCATGGCTGAGCCTCAGAATCACCGTCGGCGACGCCGAGCCCCGCGCCGATCGACCCTGCTGTGCAGGCGGCATGTGGCCGGGAAAAGGGTCCTGGATCTATCCGATCTGGAGATCCCAGCTGGCCTCGGGATTCCCACCTCCCACAAGACACACTTGTATAATTGATCCGCATCAAAGGCCGAGTTGCTCAGAGTCCTTTCTTCGAGTGAGTCGAGGTTGATGGGCGACACGTACTATCCAGTCGCTCCAGTCGCTCCAGCCGACGTGATGTCACTCCACAGTCTACACACAAAATGTTAGGGGCCATCAGAATGTGACAACGACAGGGGCCTATACTTGCATTACCCTACCCTACGGAGCCTTCGTTCTCCGCCTCATTCATCCAACGCATGGAGGGATAGTTACTACGTATTAGGCTCAGGCGGTGGTTCGATTTTCGTCCTTGGGAGAATGACGCAGAAAGTAGTTCTACCGTTCAAGCTTAACTCGCGTCGCGTTGGAAGTCGCTAAACGTCGCCTTAGAGTACGTAGTTGGTTTCGACCAAATGCAAGTGCCAACATTTGGCAAGATGCTGATCACAGCTGGCCACAGTTGTCCTATTCGAAGAAAACATCATGACCCGGATAAAGGCCAGTGTCACACGTATATATGGATTTGTCAACGAAACCACGCCTTGCACGGTCCCAGAGTACTGGTAGCTAGGCGTCAGCTTGGCCATAGCAACCAATGATAGTGTCGCTTGTCTTTAAGTGGATGTTTGTTCGACGCCTCGATTGTTATAACAAGTACCGCCCTTTTGAAAGGCTGATAAGCACAATGACGCAAAGATGCTCATCGTGGATTTGGGAAACCGCTGCAACCACCCTAGATGAGGGCAAGGCCGCAGTATTACGACGTCTGACGCCAGATTTTCATGCTCAACCCCCATGTTTAGTTAGTAAATATCTTGACAAGGACCGATATACGGCATTGTGATGTTGCATAGTTGACATATTCTGCCAATGCCTCGCTCCTAACTCGTCCAGGATCAAGGAGTGAACCCAACATCATCGCCGCCAGCTCATAGAGACGAGCTGTGTGTCCATGCTCTGGTGCTCACATCGTGGACTCGTATATTGGCTAGGGCAAGAGGTCAATTCATTTTTGTCATGTCCGAAACTAAAATGCGTTGCTTTGTTTGCGGGTGTTTGTTAATTAATTAAGTATTTGGCTACCCCTGCGTCCACGTTGTCAGTGGCTGGGCGCCACAAAGTCAGGGACTCAGGGGGAGAAAAGGAATACCGACACGCGGGGTGAGCATCAGCCAATGGAAAAGAAGATCCCACGTCTTTGAATTCCAACCACGGTCAGCCCTCGGCTTGATGCATCGCGCTATGTAGAATCTCGAAGTAATACACCGGCGTCGGCATGGTCAGATTCTTCACCGGGGAGTGTTCGCTGGCAGTCTTGCTGTAGACACTGTTGCAGTAGCAGCAGCAGGACGCATCCCGGCCACAGCCCTCATCCGGCTTTTCACATGCAGGCAGTGCAGGCGGACGTGATAACAAGGGTCAAATTGCCTCCGCACAGCCTCCAGCTGGCGGATTGACGATGAACCACAATGCTACTACATAGCAGCTGCCCTTGCGATCATCACATTTCTCAACAGTTACCACCAATTTGTGAAGGTAACTCTGGATGCCTCACGTCATTTCCATACACTGCTGGCTGAGCCCAACCCAAGAGGGTCCTTTCAAGGCTTGTCGATGACCCCTCTTGGTGCCCAAAGCCCAAAGGCGATTGATCTACGTATGTGGCAGGCAGTGCAATCATATTATCAATGCTTGTGATCAACAGCCGATAGCCTCCGTAGACTCTGTGCCGTGATTACATGGGCATACGTACGTACATATCACTGATTGCTAAACATGTGATACGTATACACTATTTCCCCAAGTCGTCACTCATCAGTGGCGCAGGCTTCCCGGTCAATGCTAATTTCCTTGCCAAGTTTTGTTGGCTTTTGATCGTCCAGAGACTTGGGCCTGCGATGGAGAAAGACCTCAATTAGGTATGTAGCTCGAATTTTGGGCGGATGTGCCAAGTGCGCTTGCTCGACGGTAAGATGCTTCTCTTTCCCGAGCAGGCTATCGTGGCTAACCTAGTGCGATCATTCATGATCCTGGTGATGCTTGGAGAGCTGAAAACCGAGTACAAGTACGTATCAGGTTGAGCTTTGTAATTAATTACGAGGGAGCTGACGCTGCTCGGGTTCTGGAAAGCAGCCGTTGTCCGAGCCCACAATCCAGGTACACCTACATAGTAGCGCGTCGCGGGCGTGGAGGATGGAGCCGGCGCCGGGTGGAATTGTGGATGGGGTGCGGGTTGTCCAGTCTTGTTCTAGACTGGTCCGTGCACCTGGCAAGGTCCCGGCTGCCGGATGGAAATTGGCAGGGATCGCGAAGCAGAGGGATTCGCTGATCCCCAATCCGCATTTCCTTCACATGGAAATTGTTCCCGCGTCTTAAGAATCCCGTAGCTTCCGTATGGCTCGTGCCGTCGTTTGCGTGGGCTGTCAAGTTGTCAACAACCAAGTGCTGCACCTTATTATTAGAATAGTAGCACGTACATAGTGACACTTTTTACCTTAGGCATGGAGCGCTACCCTATAGTTACACAAAAGGACTGGACTCCTGGCTGGAATGCTCACGGGCGATCCACCGCGTCTTGTTGGACAATCGGGCCCTGACTTGAATGCTGTTGGTCTATGGAGTATTTATTTTGGTGGCTTGCGGTTTTTCTTTAGCTGGTTGCCTCCGTTGCGTTGTCTCCACGCCGAGTGAGGTCATACACCTAACCTCTGCAGCGTTTTGGGTCCCTGGAGAACGGTCTCTGCTATGCCTCGCTCACGAGGGGGCTGCGAGGCTTTCTTGTACTCAAAGTATAGTTTGATAGGAGGTAGGTGGAGTCTAGGTTGCAAACGATTCAACCAACAAGACTGGAATTCCTGGTTAAAGTAAGTTTTGTGCGTAGGCAACAGAGCAATCAATACGAAGCTCATCGCGCATACGCGCGGGGGGGTTTCGATATGTTTCTAGCCGTGGCTCAGTCGCATGAACTGTGCCCGGCCGAGAAAAAAAAAACACATGGTGTTGGAGCCGTTGAGAAAATAAAGGGCACAGCAACAGCGTACGGTATTATAATCAAATAATGGCATGGGCAATTAATGCTGCTCGGAAATGTCGTAATCAAAGCTACCTACGCATCCTTGGAAGCAATTGTAACTTTTGGGGCAGTGCTTCGCTGAGTCCTGTAGGTGCAGGCGGTGCAGAGCATACTACCCATGTACGACAACCTGGTGTTAGGCATAGAACAACTCCCTTGTCAGGGCGAGACGAGGCCAAGAGGCAATCAAGTCGGTTGACCTTGACGAATCAACAAAGTTTGGCACATCATTACTAAGGTACCTTATTACTAAAGAAAACACGATCTGGCACGGTTCCTGTGGGTGGTGGTTGGAGGTACGGAGCAGGGAAACTGCACAGCCTTCCTCGGAGTTTGTTGGTGCATCTGATCGGAGACTGGAGCCCAATGTTCCTTCCTGCTGAAGACTGGACACAGCACCTTGCTCCCTACCGCGTTCGAAACATGCCCACTACCTGCCAGCGCATTTGAGAAACGCTTTGATTCACTACAGGTTCGTCTTGCCACCAATAATTTAACCACAGCTGCTCCATGCGGTTTGCGACATGGTGACCGCGAAATAGCTAATGCGAACATGGCGGTATTCTAATAATAATATACCTTATTTGAGAGCGGTTCCGATGTGTGTACAATGAGGATTGGTGTCGTCCACGCCCAGGCGTGTCTATACTAGCCGGTGAAATCGGATCAGCATGGAGACGGAAAGTAACGAAAAAAACGGAATATCAGCGGCCTGATGTGCCTGATACAGGGCAGTCTCGAGCCAGCAGTGGCACCAGAGTCTCGGCGACTGGAGCTCACCTCCCGCTTTCACCGTTCCTGACCAACCAGCAATCACGAAAAGGCTCCCACTATTACTTACCACCTACGGATACCAGGCCTTGCCTATCCCATCTGATGCCAGGCCATCCACGTTCATGGGCTCCCGTCGCCGCCATCCTCTGCCCTTAGATTCGACTTTTTGGCTTCAGTCCGAAAAGTGGACGATAAACGACCTAGACATACTGGCAGAGGCCTGGCCTTTCGTGACAACGCCGCACCCATCAGTCCATTATCCATCCATCTGTTTACATCTACCACCAATCCTCCCCAATCCGTCCGAGGGAGAACGACTCTTCATACCACAGCCACGAACACTTCGCTCGAGTCAATCGCCTTGCCCCGATCACGAATACGCATCTGTTCGATCTCCTGTCGCTCGCTTCCCGTGTCAACTTTGTCGGTCGAATCATACGCACGAAAGGGCGCTGTACTCGTCGGAACCAATTTCCTTTTGCTGCATCCTGGCTATTGGCGCTCACAACTTGGCCTATCCCATCACGGTTTAGACTCCGGCACCCAACAGCATCTGCATCACCTTTGTGGTCACGGACGAGCACGCGGGAGCGATTAGATTCTACTTCGTCCGATCCTATCAACTCTTGCCAGTCACAAGTACCACGCGCTGGAAATACTTCCGACTTGCTCACGTTGCACCACGTCTCTTCTCGACGACTGAGAGAGGCCCTCTCTACAGCTTCTCGCAAGCCTCAGTCACTTTGCTCCGCTATATACCCTGCCTGTGGCTCCTTGTGCTGGCTCCTAGTGCTTCAGGACCATGGCACCAACTCCGCCCAGGCTGAAGATTCTCTCAGGTTTGTCATTCCTTTTCCCACCTCCCGTTCTTAAAGCCAAGCCTAGCCCCACCTTTCGCCTCGACAACAACTGTCTCCCCCAACCCAAGCCTCTTGAGTGTTACGGCCTGCCTGCTCTTGTCAAAAAGCTCGACCGGCGGCTTCCATGTACAAGTTGTACAGATACGGTCGTCGTCTCGAAACAGACCTCGCCGCTCGTTTGGCTGCCCCCATCGACCTTGGACCCTAACTCGGCGGATCACGGCCTGGCGCGTTTTGGTCTTGCTTGGAGCGCTTTCACTACCTACCACCTCAAATGGAGGATACTGAGCTAATGCGGATTTGTGCAGTCGGTGGGAATCCAGTATCAGCATTCTTGTCATGGAGGTTGCAAGCGACTTTCGCGTGCGATGTTTCCTTGGTATGGAAGTCAGGTTATGAACATGTTGCCCAATACGGTATATCATTCAAGTAAGTTTGGCGTCGAACTACTGAAGCGTATTGTCTGACTTGTTTTTAAGGTCTCAGTCTTTCGGAAACGAGCGGTTTAAACCTCGACGCGGTAAGTGCCACGCATTGGCTTTGGCGCCCCATCTAGGGTCACTCCGCATGTGCTCAACGCTAACTACGCATCGTAGTCGTTCGAACTCCCGAAGACGCAGCAAGTCCACGCGAAGGCCCATTTGACTATGTCGTCCTGTGTGTCAAAGCGCTACCCGACGTATACGATCTCGCATCCGTCATCGACTCCGTCGTGACCCCCCAGCATACTTGCATCCTTGTCAACACCACCCATACACTAGGCATCGAGTCTGCCATCGAGGAGCGCTTCCCGGCAAATGTCGTGCTTTCGCTCGTATCTGGTGCTGAGCTGACACAGCTGGGGCCAAGCGAGTTTGAACACAAGGGATCAACAGACATGTGGATTGGACCTGCGAATATGAATAGCGAGATCCCCCGAGCGATCCAAGAAGATATGGCTCAGGCTTTGGTCATGACTCTGAGGACAGGTCAAGTGGACTCCAAGATGTCGACCAACATACGCCAGGAGCAATTCGAGCGCGTCATTGGTCCCGTGGCCTTTCATCCCGCAAGCGTCATTTTCGAAACACCCAACCACGCCCTCCTGTTCGAGAAGGTGGGAGTCAAAGATATGGTTCATGGTATCTTGGACGAAATGATAAGACTGGCTGAGGCCAACGGCTGCACCTTTGGACCTGATTTCAGACAGAAAACCATCGACGACATGACCAAGCAAGGCGCTCCGGAAAGCATCATGTGGCAAGATTATATCAATCGCCGACCAATGGAGGTCGAGACCTGTCTGGGCTCACCAATCAAGCTTGCGAAGGACTCTTCTGTTTCCATACCGCGAATTGAGACTCTGTATGCTGTTCTGCACAACCTCAACACCGTCAATCGCAACCGACCCCGAGGTCCCGATGGCAATCCGTCCTTGACGCCCTCATCTCCGGTGGTGCCCTCCCCGCACCCCCCTCGCGGCCCATCACAGCAGGGTCATCGTCCCATGGGGGGCATGCCCCCGGGCAATGGTCCCATGCCTCCTCGCCAGCCACGTCCCAGGAACTCTTCTGGCTTCAACCAGGGTCCGGGTATGCGCCGCGGACCGCCTCCCGGGAACGGACCGCCGCCGAATGGCTACGCGCGTCCGCCTTCTCACATGAACGGGGCTGAACGCGGTTCGCGCGCCCCTTCACGCCGGGGATCCATGGATGGCAACGACCTAGAAGAGTTTTCCCACCTGGTATTGTACGATGACATCCCTGAAGGTCAAGAGTCGTCTATCGCCGGAGATCATCCCGAAAGGGGCCTTCGAGATCGCGAGCTTCAGTTGCGACAGCGAGAAATGGCTCTGCGGGAGCGTGAAATGCGCGGCGGACGTGGTCCTCCTCCCGGGCCCCAGCGCCGCGGCCCTCATCCCATGCGCAACAGTCAGCAAGTGTTCGATGACGACGACGATGACGACGACTACATTGAGGACCTGCCGACTGGTAACCCGACTATTGATCCGGATAACTTCGACATGATGAGCGTGACCTCGCGCAAGAATCGCAGTAGGCAGGCTCCACCATCGGCCGCTCAGATACGACAGAATCCTGAGCTAGGTGGTCCTCCTGGGACTGGTGGTAGGTTTCGGCCAAGCTTTGGTCGGAATCGTTCTAGCCAGCACCCACCGGGTGCACCAGTCATGGCCGACAACATCCTGGACGATCCCCTGTCTAACTATGCATCTAATCGATACGGAGCTGTCGAGAGAGGAGCCATGGGAATGGGTTCAAGAACGAATTCATTGACTGCAGCTAGAGTCGATGAGATGCATCTCGGCCCGGCACAAGGGGGCCCGCCGAACATGAATGGTGCATACCCCAGGCGAGCTAGTCAGTCTCCCGGGGGAAACTACCCACCGTCAATGCGTGGCGGTCGCCCTTCGCCGCCCAATGGGTACGGCGGACCACCGATGAATGGACGTCCCTCGCCACCTGATGGCATGCGGCAACCTGTTCCACAGCATGCGGCCGGTCGAGGGAACATGATGGGCCCTCCTGGAGTTGAGCCGCAAGTAGGGGTGAGCAGCCTCCATCCACCGAAACAACGAAATGTACGAAGTCTGACGGGTAGTGCGAGCGCTAGCATGGGCAGTGGTGAAGCTGAATCAGAGCAGTCAGCACATAGCAGCCAAAGCAGTTTTCAGCAGCAGCAGCCGGGCCTCATGGGCCCTCGATGAAATGCCGTCGCGACACAACCGCATAACCAGAGGTAGTGTGGACGATTCTTTGATAAAACGGCGCCTCCTCTTCCAGCTTTTGTCCAGCGGGCCTCGTACATCTTGGGAAGACATGGAAAGCAAAAAAGGGGGCTCGAGCAAAAGCGCTTGACGATATCTCATTTTCTAATTGCATTGGGTCTCGGATAAATGGTTTGCCGCACATGGTGTATAGCCCAGTCCACGATCGGCTTGTCTGAGTCGGAAGACGGGGACTTACGGCACAGGCGGGTTACAAGAGGGTCAGCGGAAGGGCTAGGCACTTATGACCACGCACGGCAGCACGCATTGGTCACTTTCATTTTGTTCACCTTACGGCGGTGGTACTTAACGCAAACACAACATTAGACTACGGAGGCATTGTTTTTTTCGGTTCGGATGGCAGCAACACTCCCTGTACTTCCGTTCTTGCTGTTGTTGACATAGATCGATGTATTAACAGGCAATGGAGAGGCTTGACCGGACGGAATGTGTATATACTATGATGGTATGGTCGTCGATCCAAGTCGTGCTAGGACACGGGGGTCCAGTCTGCGGCGCAAATGGCATCGAAATGACTGGGAATGATGCGCGGCCCGAAACAGCTCCACAGCTCCAAAAGCTTGAATAACCTTTTCACTCCACGATGCCATGGTCATGGGGGTGAGTGAATGTTGAGTCCGTTGTCCCTGAACGCTGATTACCAGCTTGATATTGTCCTCGTGCTAGCTCGTTTGTGTCAATACCGATTGCCCTGTTGATGGGCGTCATCTCGTCAGTGGACGCATAATTTGTATCCTGCATATTACTAAAGAGATCAGCCGTTTCATTGGTTTCATCTCCAGACAACCTCAAAATCGCTGTTGATTCACGTCAATTTGGGGTGTCTGAGCGCAGCGCTACTCAACGCCCCCCCACATCGGGTCTTCCAATCCGCTCGTGTCACGGCCTCTCCGCCAACGCTTGTTCACACACCGTGCGATCAAGAACAAGAAAAGGCAAGAGAAGCTGGCCTACTCTCCCTCAACGACCTGGTAAATATCGGTCTGAAAGCATGAACCGTCAGGGATTCCAAGCATCAAGCGGTAGCGCCTTTAAAGCGCGTCAACTGGTACGTGTTTCTGCACGTGCGTCCAAGAGCCCAGCTGACAGCATGGGCACAGTCACAGCTCCATACACAACTGGCGCAATTGTCCAACAACCTGGCTGATACGGAGAATCTTCTACGTATGACGAGCGTGCAGGCGGAGGCCATGCGCGGGCTGGGAAGTTGGCATGGTGGGCTGTAAGTTGTTCTTACGTTTAACGGACGTGGCAGCTGAGACTAAAAATGGCAGATTCATGGCTGCAAGCAAGGTACTTGGGGAGGAGAGTGTGAAGGAGGCTGGAAGGTGAATGGGTGGATGTGCTCTATAGAGTTGGTTATTCTGCGACTATGGCATTAGAGCCTCCGGAACCATGATGGTTGCTGCTGTCCACGGCTACAGAGGCCTCGACAATTTATCTTCGATTGATTACCAAGGCAACAACTGTCTTTGCCTCATTGTTAATCCGCGCCAATTCCACCATTTCCTTGGCAGCCGTTGAATCAATCCGGAAACATGCTCATCAGCCCTGGTGCTTGCACAGGCCTTGTGCAGTATTCTGCATGTCGCCTCGGTGAGGGATTGGCGTGTTGGATGCGCAGAGCAAGCCTCAATATCATCTGCCGCATAGACCAGTGCCTGTGCACCAGTAAATTTAATCATGCCATGGGGCCACTGCAGGCCCATCCTCAATGTGAGTAGCACGGCGCATCTTCTCCTTGATGGCGTGTCGGTAATACTGATACAACATCTACAAGTAGACTGTTGAAACAATAGTAACTCTCCGAAACCTTCAATCTGCAGCTGGCGCTTTGGTCACCTCATTGGGTACCGCGGGCGTGTCTCGTTTCCTAGGTTTGACACTCGTATCGGGATGCGCCTGACTTGATCGAAGATGTCTCCTTTTTTGCCGCAATGTGCTGATGGGGAAGCGCTTGACATTCCCGCAAATTTGACATTCAATGACTAGGACGTCTGCCCAAGGTTTTTTGCCACCTTTACTGGCATTCTCGATGAAAGAGCGACTGGTCTGACCCTCGATAAGTTTGGAGTCGCAATACTTGCAAACGGTTCTCTTCATGTCCGGGCTTTGTCGCACTTGTGCCTTCAAGGTCATCGACCTCATTTCTGCCAGCATCTGCCTGGCTGTATTTGAGCTTGCCTTTCGCCACGGTTGGGCTGAATCAGAGATGTTGGGTTCAACTTCATGCTGGCGCTCGGCTGCTTTGGTTGGCTTTTCCTGACCGGTGGTCGACCTCTGATTCTGGCATTTGACGAGATAATCAGCAGCTTGGTACAGATATGACGCCCTGGTGTAGATGTGACGGTTAACTACCGTAGGTGTCTTTGATTTTGCCATGGTGACTGCCCAAGTGTGTTCGTGAATGTTCCTTGACCTTTTGTGTTCCTGACTAAGCCTGAACAGCTGCTGAAGCTTAACGTGACGAGGCAGGCACGGCCACTACGACTCAGCCACGCGATCACGTGCAGTGGTGTGCACGGTCCAGGTTTTCTACACGGCTCAGTTCCCGCTGACTGAACCTCCTCCCTACCCAACCATAGATCATCCAAGCTCGTCTCCCTTGCAGCTTGGTCAATCATTGTTCTTCAATCTCGCCTCTACTACTTTGATCCGCACTTTTGTTGCGGCGTTCAAACACATTTCTTTCTTACGCGCAGTGCATACTCAACTTGCGCGCTACACAACATTCGACGCGACGTTTGACCAGCTTCGAGAAAACAAGCCCAACTTTCACCATGTCTCACGAGGAGGATCTCATCGACTACTCCGACGAGGAGGTCGGTGGCAACGAGCCCGCGGTCGCCTCCAACGGCAAGAAGAACGCTGAGCCTGCGGCAGCGACCAATGTCGACAAGAAGGGCAGCTACGTTGGCATCCATTCGACCGGTTTCCGCGACTTCATGCTGCACCCACCACTGGTTCGCGCCATCGGTGATTGCGGTTTCGAGCATCCTTCGGAGGGTCAGTCCTGCATTCTATAAACCTAAGTTCACCAAAATCCCCTCCTTTCAAGCGTCCGTCCATCTCGCAAGCAAAACCGGTATCGTGTCGATTTCACACGCGCTGCATTCGCCGTGGTGGAGGCTCATTGAGCTGGCGGGCTCCTCTCCGGAGAGTTCTGCACGATACAAGCAAGCCTTCCCGGGCAGCAACTTGCGCACTGCGCAGTTCTCTTCCGATCTCGGCGTCAGAGCTTGCCGAAAGGTCTCACAGCTCAGAGGCCAGCACACTGTTTTGTCAATTCGACTGCGCTTGCTCGCATCCATTGCGCACTTGGCGCAGGCGCGAACGTTACAACGCCGAACCGTTGCTCTGGCAGCGCACTCCTAATCAACATCAGCTTGTGTCGTAACAGTGGTGGAGCTGCGACGATGGACGGACGGACACTTGCGCGCATCACTTCATTGTTCGTTACACGTTTCGGAACCCTATCTAACGTTCTCTCGACCGACAGTCCAACAAAAATGCATTCCCCAAGCTATGCTAGGTGGCGACATTATCTGCCAGGCCAAGTCTGGTCTGGGTAAGACTGCTGTCTTTGTTCTAGCGACTCTTCAGCAGATCGAGCCTGTCGACGGCGAGGTCTCCGTGGTCGTCATGTGCCACACCCGTGAGCTGGCATACCAGATCCGTGATGAGTACAACCGCTTCAGCAAGTACCTCCCCAACATCAGGACTGGCGTCTTCTACGGTGGAACACCCATCAAGACCGACCAGGAAGTCATCAAGAACAAGGACACTTGCCCGCACATCATTGTCGGAACCCCTGGCCGTCTGAAGGCTCTCGTGCGCGACAAGATTCTGCGTCTCGGCAGTGTGCGCATGTTCGTCCTCGACGAGTGCGACAAGATGCTCGACCAGCCAGGTAAGCAGTTCCCACCCAGCGACATTACGACACTTCTAACAGAGTAGATATGCGCGGCGATGTCCAGGATGTCTTCCGTGCCACTCCTCCTCAAAAGCAGGTGATGATGTTCTCGGCCACTCTGTCCGAGGAGATCAAGCCCATCTGCCGCAAGTTCATGCAGAACCCAACGGAGCACTACGTCGACGAGGACACCAAGCTCACTCTGCATGGTCTTCAACAATACTACATCAAGCTCGAGGAAAAGGAGAAGAACAGGAAGCTCAACGACCTTTTGGATGAGCTCTCCTTCAACCAGGCCATTGTCTTTGTGAAGAGCACATCCCGTGCCACCGAGCTGAACAAGTTGTTGGTGGAGTGCAACTTCCCATCCACTTGTGTTCACTCTGGTATTTCTCAAGAGGAGCGGTATGTTGCCCATGACCGTTTCGCTAGGACCCGACACTCACATGCATAGTATTCGCCGCTACAAGGAGTTCAAGGACTTCAAAAAGCGTATCTGCGTCGCCACCGATGTCTTTGGTCGTGGCATCGACATTGAGCGCATCAACTTGGCTATCAACTACGATTTGTCGAACGATGCGAGCTCGTATCTGCATCGTGTCGGTCGCGCTGGCCGTTTCGGAACCAAGGGTCTCGCTGTCTCCTTTGTCAGCACCGAGCAGGACCAGGAAGTCCTGAAGGAGATTGAGAAGCGTTTCGAGGTCGCTCTTCCGTAAGTCATCGCCTCTGCAGAACTATAACGACAGCTGCTAACATTCATGTCCAGTGAGTTTCCCAAAGAGGGCGTTGCCCCTGAGACGTACATGGCTACCTGAGGAACTCGTGTGCTCGTCTCGCGCAGGGCGTCAGCCGGGGGGGTTCGTAGGCGTCCGAGGAAAAATGGCAGGGTTCCACGAGGCTGGGAATAAAATGCTGCGCTCTGAGTTCCCGTGTCGTTCAATATGATTTACTCGGTAAAATGCAATTATTACAATGTGGTCTGCCAAATCCTCCACCGTCACATCGCCTAATTCAAAGCCTTCACATGGTCGTCCCCTGTTTTTGGTTCTCTACACAGCTCAAGCATTGGGCACACTTGCGCCCGATCCTAGCCTCGTCTCACCTCATGACTCAGAAGGAGCCGTGATCCTGAGACCCTATCAGACCTGCACACCATCGCCATGCGCTGACCCAAGCAATTTTTCTCGGGCAAATTGTGCGACGACAAGGCCCATCTGACGAGTAATAAAATAGACCAAAATAGACCAGTGTCAGATGGGCTCCCAAGGCTGTACAGCCTCACAGCCTGCCCAGCAATAGAGCGTCGGCTTGCGCGCCCCGATGGCGTTGGAGCGCGGTCCTTCGGGAACCAACGATTTGTCTGCGTACCTCCGTCAGGCGGCGTGAGAATTTTCACGTCCCCTTCTTCAACAACCACTGGCCAACGTGACTCATCTGGATGGTCCGGACTACGTGTCAGCGAGCAGCGACGCTTATGGCAGTGGACCATATCTCAGCGTGGTCGATTGTGGTCTGGACTGGGGTTCGGTCCGAGAGGATTCCCGTGAAGCTATCGTTACTTGTGATCCGCTGACTGGCCTTGGCTTGGCTACCTGGCGAGGAGGACTTGGCTACATGGCGAGGAGGACGTTGAGTGACAGCTATGGTCACAGACCGTGCCTCACGCACGGATCCGTATTCTGAATCAGGGCGAGCTGTGTGGCGGAAGTAGATGAATACAATTGTTAACGCAATACCGATCTCTACCTATGCCTAGGTGCCCGTTATACGCGTCAAAGCCGTTTCACTACCCTAGAGCAGACACTTTTTAGCTATTTCATGAAGCGGTGACGGAGACACTCCATGTTTATTCAGCAAAAGCTCTTATGCCGGCAGTAGCTACGTCGTCGCGCTTGTGGTTTGTGACGCGAGATATCGTGCGACTATTGTTACACCAAGGCGCGTAAGTATGGAAGCTGGAAAGACACGTTGCCTTGTCCCTTGTCTGCTGCCAAGCAAGAAGGGACTCAATGGAAGATCCGCCAAGGTCGGCTCGAGGACTTCACGTACGTACAATCTTGCAAGCTGCCATGCTGATCTTACGTGGACACACATGCGTTAGCAACCGAGTCTTTCTATCCTCACCGCCGGTCAGATGAGGCAGGTCGGCAGAACCACATATGAACCAGTCGTTTGCTGCCTTCCCTACGCAGCTGCAGGAACTACTGGTTTGGTCGCTGCACAATGATGGCCCATGCCTTTGCCGGCGTCGTCTTTGGCTACTGAGGAGCGGGGCCACGAGACGATGAGCATGCCAGCACAAAGGTAACAAGTCTGCAGTTTTTGGCACAGCGAGATCGAATTAGGCCATCATGTGATAGCTGATTATATGTTCGCTCTGGTCAGCGTGTCCATGGGACGGGTGGTCGTGGGTTGGGGACTTGTCGGTGTGCGTTGTCGCTGCAGGTTCTCCCATTGTGCATGAGGCCTAATATTGATAGGAAGGATGAACATGGTCACGGTGCGACGGCAACTGCAGCAGCTGACACCACCGTCGATGAAAATTCGTGCACATATGTTTGGCAGCCATTCGCATCAGAAAGCCAGCCTCAGTTTGGGTAACTTGCAGATAGTAGTAAATAAAATCAATGACTTTGGACAAACGTTGCAACACGTGCCAAAGATGCTTGTGCCAATCGCATTAGCAGGAGTGGAAATTGGCCACCTGTCGACCAGTTGTTTTCTTGTTGCAAGGTGGCGATAGGAGGCGACCCCTTCGCCCGATGGCAATTTCCCAGTGGACAGATATGATTCCTCTGGGCGACGGCGCGCGCGAACGAATACCACTTTACGCGTCGAACGAAATGAGGTCATTCACGAGGGTCATGCTAACATGCACGAAATGGGCTTTTGACGAATCCCGTCCATCCGAGGTGGCCTCTGCCGTCCCTGAAAGTTGAGGGCTCATTCGCCATCCCTGTGATGCAGACTCATGTGAGACGATGATGGAGTCAGCTTGTGTCACAAGTCATCGTCATGCCATGACAGATCTATCAACAGCCGCAACCGGCCAGCTGATGGCTATTAGCTAGACTATTATTGATGGATGAGGCTGTGAGTGAGTTGGCAACGCTCCGAGGGTCGGTCAAGGCGACTAAAACCTTGGGCTAGGCAGCCTCGAAGAGGCTCGAACGGGCAGCGCCAGCAGTGATGCGTGACCCAGAAATGTGCGCCATCGAATCACGCGGGAGATAATCGGGAACCGCGACAAGTGGACGCGGCGAAGGCGATGGCGAAGAAAGGAATGAGCGCCGGGGGGCAGAGCTGATGGATGACTGTCCATCGCTCAGCAGCCGTCCAGTCATGCCTTGGTTGGCTGGCTGCGCTAAGTTAGACCCGCACGGAGTCATCGCCAGCGGAGCCTCTCGGGCTGTCTTGCACTGCACTGCCAGCGTTGCGACCGAGTCCAAGAGGCGTGTCCGCCCAATGATCAGATAGCCACCGGCAAAATCCATTTCATGTGCTGCCGAGAAAGTCCTGAGCCTCAGGAACCTCTTGACCGCGTAGAATCAGTCTTTAACCACGGCCGAGGACATCATCTCACCAGACATTGCTGCAAAAGACGAAGACGCATCTTTGAGGGTGGGAGGGAGGGGGCCCATGGGCCCAATCACGACAATGCGGTGGCTGGCCACTCAGAGAGCGCCTCCTGGCAGCGAGGGGGTTAGCGCACCACCTCCAGCGACTGCAGCGAATTGCGGAGGGGTTTTCATAGCAACTACATGTAGTATGATTGGTCGACTGCACCCAGAGTGGATCACTGATCGTGGGCGTAGCGCGAAGTTTGTGCAGGCTGCTCGGTACGATATGCTGTGCTGTGCTATGCTGTGCAAGTTATGCCTGCGTTGCTGCCGCTGCGACGAAACTCCAGATCCCTCAAAACAGCCTGCCTGCGCCAGTCGGTCTCCCACTTCGATCTCCCTTTCCCTCCCCTAACGAACCATCGTCGCAATGAAGTTCGAATACGGCCTCATCTAACGGACAGCACGTCGAGAAATCGCTTGCTGTCTGGTCTGGTCTCTTTCCTCTCCACTCCCGGCGCAATCAAACAGGATCTTGGTCTTTTTTCCCATCACCCCATTTGCCTTAATTCTTCCCTCTAGGCAGTGACTCGCAGCGGCATTCACTTGTACCTTGCGGTTCCAGCCCAGTCATCCGTCTTCTCGAAAGAAAAGTCAACACGACGGACTGGAATAGACTCATCACACGACGCCTCGTCAACCTGTGATTGTGTCTATTGCTCCTTGTTCTTTTTTTTTACCCTCCCTTTTACTCTCCCTCCTGACGTTCTTGCCACTGCCGCAGCAGTACCGACCGGTCTAGGTCCGTTCTCGTCCCTCTGCGCAGCCCAGGCCAAGCCAGGCTACCAGGCCCATCGGTCAGTCCCGCACTCGGGGCCCAACGCACGCGGCGGCAACACTCGGATCGCCACCTCGCCAAAGAGTCACACCACCAGCACACCAGGCCATTCCCTCGTCTGTGGCCTCTAGGCTGGCGTTGCCTTTGCCCTGATTTGCCGCCTCGCCTCGACTTTCAGGCCATTCTCACGAAGAGTCACTTTCCGGGTCCAGTACATCCTCGCGATAAGTACTACCGTGAATCCTCTTCGCCCTCCTCGCTATACGTTCTGTTGACTATCGTCAACCTCTCTATCCCGCCCTACCTCATCGTCTTATACTCCGACCCACACTCTCTGTCGTCGACCTCTCGACCTCCGATGGTAGTGTACTAGACTACCATCTCAAGAACACGCATCTGTTTGAGACGCATTATCGCAATGCCTCTTGAACCCCACGTCTATTCTCCAGTCGTCGTCTCAGTCCTGTCTACCGGATTCCGTGCTTGTAAAAAGTTGGCCGTCTTCGACTCGCTCGTCTAAACCGACCGACCATCGAAATCTCGCCCGCCTTCTTACATCCCGAAGAATAAGACTCCGCACCCCACTGCCGAGCCCTCTTCGACACGGTTTCTCCTGATACGATCAAGGTAACGCAATCGCCTCATTGGTCCGCTTGCCCTAGGACGGCGACTGGAAGATCACTTCCAACCTATCCGCACATATATCAAAATGAATTACGAACACGACGCCTCCCCTGGCTTCGTCCACCCTGTCCGAAACAACATTTACAACTCCTCCATATCTTCTGCAGCCTCCGTCTCTACCGCCTCTATCTGGTCCACCGCCTCTGCGTCTTCTCAGGGTTCCGATGATTCTTCGATCTTCGATGGTCCTGTGACAGGCCAGGCTTCGGATAGCGACAGCTGCGATTCCTTTCTCTCAAGGAAGGGCATCAACCAGCTCAGTGCCATTCCAACAGAGCTCCGACAGAATCCGCGCAGGAGCGCTGCTGGACGCGTTGCCCCCCCTTCACTGGTCCGTCAGTCAGATCGCAAGGTTGACTTCGTTGATAACCTTGTTGGTAAGTCGCATTGCTTGGTCTCATTCCCATGAACACGTCGCTTATTTTCCTCTTCACAGACTCTTCGACACAAATTGTCGAGGCTATCTGGCCCACCTCGTCGTCGCTATGCCGTCGCGAACAGGGCAACAAGGGGGTGCTTCCCTTGCGAACATTCATCCAAGAGACTCTGCGCCGCTCGCGTACAAGCTTCTCCACACTGCAAGTGGCACTGTACTATTTGCTTCTCATCAAACCTCGTGTCCCCTCGCGCAGTTTCATCATGGAACAGTTCGATGACCGCCCGGCCACCCAGTCATTGTTGTGCGGACGCCGCATGTTCCTGGCAGCTTTGATCCTGGCTTCCAAGTATCTCCAGGATCGCAACTACTCGGCACGCGCCTGGAGCAAGATTTCTGGGTTGAACACACAAGAAATTAATCAGAATGAGATTGCGTTCCTACAGGCTGTTGACTGGAAGTTGCACATTTGCAAGGATGTCTACCAGAAATGGGCCGACATTGTGCACAAGTTCACACCACCTTCTGGTCCGTCCTCGCCTGGTGGCTGCTCTCAGCTTATCTCACAGCAGCATGAAATTTGGAGGCATATAATCCTGGGACTCGATGCTGACTTGACCAACATCGAGGCTCTGGTAAGCTCGGCACACTCTAGCCTCAAGGCTAGTGATTTGTCTCTAGCCTCGCCTCGCAGCATTCTGAACATGGCCCAAGAAGCTCCCACGTCCACCCTTGCACCACGGAGCACCCCTGTGCCCATGGAGCCAACGCCTTTCGGCGTGCGTGCGCCCAGCCGCATGGGTCCGAATAATACGCAGCTGCCCACACCGCGTTTGACACCGCAGAGCAATGGACTCAGCACCCCTGCAGCGGGAGCTGCTCCATCTACACTCTCGAGGTCAAACGCAATGGCTTCGGCCATGTCGCAGGCCACTGTTTGCAACACTGCACACTATCTCGATCGTCTTCCTACTCCGGCGTCGTCATCGCCCCAGAGCTACAGCTCGATCCGTCGCTCCTCGCTGGCCAACTCGGTATCGACCGCATCGTCTCCCGAGTCCATGATATCCGACTCTTCACGTCTTTCGCGCTCATCCTCCTTCTCATCTGTTTCCTCCTCTGCTAGCGCGACATTGCCGTCGCGATTCAGAACCACGAAACTGGGTAATGAGAGATTGAGCCGAAAGCCGTCGTTCCCTTCTGTGCCCGAGCAGGACTGCGACATCCAGGAATCAGCATCGCCTGGTTCATATACTGGTCCAGTCGGACACGTTGGGGACTGGTCAGTGTCGGTGGACCACAACTTGGCCGGTCGCAAGCGGCCGCTTGACGATATGATGAACGATGCTGCATCGAATGCTGCGCGCACCCTTCAGGAGCTTCGGAGATCCCGTGGTGCTGTTGGTACCCACACGACGAATGACGATACTCCCTTGCAGTCCAACGTTCGCGATCTTCTGAATGTATCGTATGGGCAGTCGGGATGGCCTGCATCCATGTTGGAGACACGTTACCGCCCGGAGTATCCGGACAAGAAGCGCGTTTGCTGCTCCACCGAAGCCAGTCGTGGGTATAACGCGACTCCTACTTTCCATGTGCGGGGCCCTGGCATGTGGCAGGGTATTTTGAATTGAAGCTGTAGGCACATGCGCAGCAAGCGCGAAGTCACCACTAGGCAAACTATTTCCTTTGTCTCCCAGCGGCAGTCTTTGGAGCCGGCTAGCTCTGCATGCTTGCTGCTTGGATGCGCTGCCTTAAATGTCTTTCTCGGAAAAGCGAAGCACATTACCCATGCGAGGTGTACCGAACAGGCGCAAGAGCGGATGAGGCATCATGGTTCAGGAGAAGCGATGATTTACTTCTGTTCAATTTGTACGACTACACGTATCACCTGGGGTCTCGTAAAGATCGGCGAAAGCCACGCGCAGGTATGACGCACATAGGTAATGACTTGTCCATAAGATCCAACTAAACTTGATTTGATGCGCTCCAACTTTTCCTGCCCACGAATCGTGAAGTGAATGCTGTCGCCTGACCAGACCTGGCGCTATGCGTCTGCAATCATACCTGGTACGGAAGCATCTGCTGCTTTGTAGTATCAGATCACCACCAAAGAGCGGGAAGTTCAAGCGATCTGGAGACACCGAGATTATCACCATCACCTTAGACCATTGGAGTATACGCGATTGCATGGCGACGGCAAGAAGCCAAATCAAGTCTTCCAGGAGACAACGAGATTATCAGACATTGTTCGATAATTGCAGCTGACAAACACTGCTGCTCCACGTCAGTCAAGGAAACCTTGTGTGTCGGTATTCAATCAACGCTATGCATAATACAGTCATAACCATCGTAATCTTCGTAGCTCATTTCTGGAGATAGCCATTCTCACCTGAACATCCACCGCCTTTCTAGTCCACCTGTGCTCATACAGAGCTGCGGCGCATCTGGCGATAGTCTTGAAACGTGCTCATAACGTTGCGTGTCCGCTGCAAGATGGTTCTCATGAGATCAGTATCATCGCCCCATTTGATACGACGATCGAGATCGTTGAGCTCCTTGCGCACGACCTCGCCCGGCAGATCCTGAAACACCCAGGCGCCGATGAGACAGTTGATGACAATCATGTTGGGTTTTGTGCAGTTGAGGACGGCGTTGCGCAAGAGTTCAATCTTCATCTCCCAGGGCGGCATGTCAAAGTCCTGGCTAGCAATGAGCATGCCACCTCGCGCGAGCCAGAAGAGACGCTTTGTTTGTTCCTCGTCCCACGGGCCGGTGATGAGATCTTCGGGAATACGTGTCTTAGGATGTATGTCTTGCGTACCCCACGCCATTGACTCGACGCGGAAGGGTGACCAGTTTCTTGCCTGATTGTAGTCGACGTCGAAACATTGGTGTGCGTTGTAGTGTGACGGCCCGCCGTGGTGGGAGTGCCCGAGCTCATCTGGTTCGTCGTTCCACGGTATTGAGTGCTGGAACCACCGACCGTGCGCGTTGTTATCAGCCCAGGTCTGTTGTGCTTGGAGGAGGTAGTCGATCTTCGCCCATGGCTGCTTGAGCACGGCAGTCTGATTACAGCGTCCAGGTCAGTCATGGGTCAATTAGTGGTACACCGGCCAACTGACCTGTAGAACATGGTCGCCGTGACATTTCGTCTGCGGCTTACCCATCACCGGAGGTCCATGGAGCAAGGTTGTGCTCGTCGGTACGCCAAACCATTGATCCCATGTCTCGTGAAATGCCCATATGAGAAGCCGAATCAGGGTGGCTCTCTCCGAGAGCTTGGCCCCAAGGACTGGGCTGGCGTGGGGAAGAGATAGATTTTGGCTGTACAGTAGAATCTTCTCCAGGATCTCGGAAGGTAATGTGTTTAGATTCGAGCGCTCTTTGCCAGAATATGCTGCCATAACGTCGGACATGGACCGCTTCGCCTTTTTGCGCGTGTGTTGCTCTTCGTGGGGTTGCAGAGCCTTTGGAGGTTTACTGAATTTGGATGAGCTAGATTTACGCTTCCCTCGAACGTGCACTGCAGTCAAGCCCATGGCCCCGTGGTTTCTCGTACGAATAGGATGGGCTCGTGCGGTTGACAAGGCTAGTGGCGTTTCCCGTTGGGTCTCGGACAGTCGGACTGGACCACGCGGCTGGGAGGGGACAAGATAGAGGAATGCCGTTGGTGGGGGCTGCCAGTAATCGCACCCGTAGAGGTCTGGTCTGGTATGAATCCTTCAAGAATGGTGCGTGGATTACTGGTAGCTGATTTTCGTCAAAGTGAAGAGTTGTTTGTGTGTCTGTGATTGCTAGAAGGAATAAAGTTGGAGGACTAGAATGGCGACGCTAGCGAAATATACTGGATGAGATTGAACCTCGATAATTAGACACGGGAAGGCCGTCGCCATATACGTCGTGAGGATTCTAAAGAAGATACCATAGAAGATGTCGGAGGCGAGGATCAGCACTTGCAAGCCACGGTCGTCGTAAATAAGGATTATGAAGGTAAAAGTCGTCGGCGATCACCGCATGACGTCGCAGTCGTTTGAGGGCGTCTTTCCCAACGCGTCGAGCTACGAGTCTACAGCTTCTTTTTTGGTCGATTTCGTTACCGCAGCGCTCAAAAGATTACATTTATCGAATCTTACCCTCACAGTTGGTTCGACGTGGAGGATCTGTTTGAAAGGATGCTGGTGGGACGGACGGATGGACTGTCTTGACGCTGACCTTATCTCCTATCGATAAGCTGATTGCCAGAACTCTGTTCTTGTCGGGCTTTGGACGGCGATTTCAGTAGGCCGTGCGGTCATCACGCGGCTGCTGGACATTTTTCTCAAGATCCTTGTTTGATACATTCACGTCGTCGTAAACGCCTCGCCTACAACCGCCATTGAGCTTTGCTGATCCCACCGGACTTGATCGGTGCCTCGACATCAACAGCACGTTGGCCACGGCGCACTGACGTCGAACCTCGAAACATTTCCCAGGCTACTTCGACGACAACACCGGGCCTCTGGGTCCTAGAGCTACACTGCGCTCATGAGGTGTTGACACTGTCTGGGGGAAACATCACCGTGCAGGAGCAGGATATATACGAGCTATCGAAGCATTGATGTTGGCAGCTTCTGCTGCTGGTGCTGCGTGTCGGCCTGTCCCTTCACGCAGCCTGCTCCGCTTCTTGCGGGTGCAGACAGACTGCGTCCATGTTGGCCAAGGGGTTCTCTTCGGTGATAGATGCGAGCTTCGGGGCAGGAGATATGCCACAAGCTCTTCGAAACGAGCAATGGTAGCGCGACCCGTATCCTTGAGTTTTCGTGGCTGCAAGAGAGCATTGGGAACGACCAACACATTATGCAAGGCCGAAGCCAAGCCGGCATTTGCGAAGACATCTTCAAAAAACACATCATCACCAACATGGCAAGAGAGACTGTGGGGGAGTTCCGCCAAAGCTGGAGGAAAACCTCTGCATCCAGATGACCTACCGGCGCATGACTGTCCTGATCCCGGCTCAACGGTGTTTGCCAACAGGCGGACATTGGCTGCCAAAGCCGCCATGGAACCACGACTGCGATGCACCGAGGTTGATGAGAACGGAGAAGTGATCTTGGTCGATGGAGAATTTAAGAAAACGGAATTGATTGCAAAGGTATGTACGGTGGATGGTTAATAATTGCTCGTTATTGGGGACTAATTGATCGTAGTACGGGCTGCTGCCGCGAGATCTACGCAAGATCGATTCTTCGACCCTGCCGCACATTCTCATTCGACCTTCAGCAATTCTCCTGAATCTGTTGCATCTCAAGGTCCTTATCAAGCATGACCGCGTACTACTTTTCGACGTCTATGGGTCCAAGACCTCCTATTCACAGTCGGCTTTTATGTACGACTTGCAAGGCAAACTGCAGCAGAAGAATGCGCCTCAGCAAAACGGCATCCCGTTGCCCTACGAATTCCGCGCCCTCGAAACCGTATTGACATCGGTCACATCCGAGCTCGAAGCGGATTTCGAAGCTGTCCGGGACCCTGTCATGCGCATACTCAGCGAGTTGGAGGACGATATCGACCGACAAAAGCTACGTGTGCTTCTTATTCTCTCGAAGCGCGTGAGCACATTCGAGCAAAAGGTCAAGTTAGTGCGAGATGCCATCGAAGATCTCCTCGAGGCCGACGACGACTTATCCTCCATGTACTTGACCGAGAAGGCGCACGACATACGCCGACAGCTAGATGACCACACGGAAGTCGAGATGCTACTTGAATCGTACTACAACCTGACGGACGAAATTGTGCAAGAGGCCGGTAACCTGGTGTCTGGCATCAGGAACACCGAAGAGATGTGAGTTTCTTTTTGATGTGGTCCTACAAAAGAATTTGACTGACACATTTAGCGTCCGCGCAATCCTTGATGCCAACCGGAACGCCTTGATGCTGCTCGATCTCAAATTCAGCGTCGGCACCTTGGGCCTCGCGATGGGAACATTCATTGCCGGACTCTACGGCATGAACCTCGAAAACTTCATCGAGGAAACAAACTGGGGTTTCGGTGGCGTTACTGGTGCCTCTGTCTTGTTCTCGCTCATCGTTTGCTGGTACGGGCTAGGCAAGTTGCGCAAGGTTCAACGTATCAAGATGGGGAGCAACGAGCGTCCGCATTTCCCCCGGCGAGCACAGTTCTCTCATGAGGACGACGCGCTTGGGCTGCTTGACTCGCGCCATCGCGAGCAGCTGAGGAGGTTACACATGCAGAAGACCTCGAACGCAGCTGCTCGTCGGAGGTGGTGGGACCTGCGACGATCTTGAGCAACGTCATGCAAGTAAGTACACGAACTGGCGTTTTCTCGTCATGTACTGGGGGGAGAGCGGAAAGGACACACTCTGCTCTCTGAATCTCTGTAACTGTAGATGTAAGCATAGCCTATCGCCTTGTCAATACCCATGTCTCGCGCTGTGTACAATATACCTGAAAACTTGATGTTTCGTGGCGTTTGTGACAGCCACTATGGCTGAGACACGAAAGGCTATCACGCTGTAATATCGTCATTGTGGAAGGGTGTGGTGGGCTGGCAGCACAGAACAACTGTAAGGCAGGGGTAGCCCACTTCTGGGGCTCCATTTGAGACCTGTCAGTGGTCTAGGCGTGTTCTCCAGGGAATGCGAGATGCACATCATGAGGCGCCGGGACGTGTTGCAAATCTGCGTCGGATAACTATTACTGACGTCACGGCGAAAGGTAAGGTACGGGACTCGCGACTTTGGTCAACAAAAGCCCGGACTGCTTGCCCATGTCAGAACACACGAGTTTCTAGAAGCCAAATAAGCACCGTCCATTCGAACAAGCCAAGAAAAGACAAGCCTTTTGGGGGTTGACCGTTGAGCAATGGTCTGCTGTCAAGTTGTTTACCGGCAGGCGGCTCAGCGCGCAACCCCCGCCGAACAAGCTAGAGCCGCAGATCGCGGGCTCAAGGCCTACGTCACTGACCAGAATGACGCTAGGGACTGGAAGCACCCTTTCCATGCGCGCAGGCGCGACTACGTACTACGTAGGGGTCTGGGGAAAAAAACAGGGCAGATGACCAAGGGCACCTACTTCCCTTCTGACGTGCTGGCTTGTGGATGTAATTTACGTATCACTATCGAAGCAGGTGACCGAGATTAGAGGGCGCCATGGGCCTCACGGAGAAAATGCACCGTACCTGCCAATGGATCGGAGGATCGAAGAGACTTTGACGTCAGGCGCAGTCTCGTAGCTCTCTGTCTTTCCTGTTGAGTTCGCGCGTCTCCTGGAAATAGAAGCGTTGTCACTTCTGGACGACCTAACAAACAACATATATATCTCAGCTCGCGACTGTCCTCGACTCTTAGTTCTTTCTCTTCTCTCATCCACACACAAGAACTCCTTCAAACTATCCAAACCTCAAACAACATACTCTACCATCCGCAAACATGGGTGCCGTCGTTAGCTGCGTACGCTTAGTTACTGGAGCATCTCACGTGGGAGAGGAAACTAACAACCACTAGATCAAGAGCGTCTTCCAGACCATTGGCAATGCCATCATGGCTGTGATTTCTGGTATCGGTGGCATCATCAAAGCCATTATTAATGCCATTGGTCAGTCCTCTCCCATTCTCTTTGCGCTCTGGGCTATTCACTAACAGTATGCAGTGTCATTCTTCGGTATCATCGTCAACTGCCTCACCTGCCGCGGAGGCGGTGGCCGCAAATCAACGACAAGGAGTAGAGTCTAACGAGACCCATCTGCCGCGCGACAAGGAAACACAGTTAAATCAACGATTCCTTTGGTGGATGGGTGATCGAATCACAAGACGGGGAGGATGAGAGACCAGAAGAGTGGTAATGACCTCGGTGGGAGGGTTGCGCACACCTTTACGCTTTGAGATACCCCATTGCTCAGTGCGATGCATAGAATACTTTATTTGTTCGTTTCCCTATGTTCATAGCTGCCGAATCTATATGAATTGATGGCCACAAATACCTAATCATTTACTTCCTCCATGACATTGCGATTGAAAAATCCATGAATCTTTCTGCCTGCTGTCTGACCTACAAAAGGTTCGAGTTCTTTCTCGGACATATTGGCAACCTCCCGGATGTTCTCCGTCTCTAAGACAATGTTTTTTATATTCTGAGGTGTCACCCCAGGCACTATGCCCAGCATCTCCTGCGGCTCTTGGTTGAACGCCTGGTCCTCGGCGTTTTGGTCCTTTTCCAACCCTGCGCGAACTGCCGTGATGGGATCCGGCTCTGGCTCCTGGGCTTTGAGGGACTCGAAGATTTCGGCTGTCTGATAAGGCGAAGACGACCAGATAATGCGCAACTTGGGAAATGCGAGCGTCAGAAGCACAATCTTCGACTGCAAGTCATTCGACACATTGCCGGGGTTGACGCTGCTGATACTACCAGACAGATCGGCAAACGGTTCCAGAGTAAAAGACTTGTTCTGGTCAAACTCGATAAGGAGCATGGGGCTCTTGTAGTGCTGAAACATTGTCTCGGCCTGGTTATATAGTCGGCCATCCTTGAAGGAGGAAATGAGATCGTTGACCGACTTTCGTTCCACGCAGATGTTGGGCGACAAGATGTAGTCGCCTACTGTCAGCATACAGGGGACAATGACTATGGAACGCCCGTGGAGAAGGGAGGGTAGCGAGGACCGGAACTCGCGCACGTCTACGACCACACGGGGCGGCTCGGCCGTAGCTGCGAGTCGTCCACCTCCCGCGATCCTGGTGTTGACCGTCCGGAGAAAGGCTTCCTGGGGATCTTCAGCCCCGTGGCTGTCGACAGTCATGACGACGGACATGGTAGCACGCTCCTTGATGACCTTGGTGAAGGCGTCCTTCTCGCGACGGACGGTGGACAGGTATCTTTGCTCCTCGATAGAACCACCATAGTACATAAAGTACACTCGCACGTTGCGATCGTTGTGCGACGAGCGGTAGACCTCCACACGTCGAATGAAAGCAGCGTCGGGCTCGTACATGATGATGTAGCGAGGCTTGATCTCTTCAAGAACGTGCTCATCTTGGTCGCCGTCATAGGCGTGAACGGCAACCAGATCCTGCATATCAAACAGTTGATAGAAGTCGTCCATGTTGTCCAATGGGTCGGCGACAATATCAGGCTTCTGCTGTGCTTCCTCCTCGGTGATTTGGACCTCCGCCATCAAGTCTGCTACTTCGCCCGGTTTCTCGAAATACTGCTGGATGCTGCCATTGTCCGCTCGTCCCATCATAGCTCCAGCATTGCCACCACCTCGCACGCGCCGTCTCTTGTTCGGAGGTTTGCCGCCACGGCTGGGGCGGGGGTCGGCCGCACTGCGCAGGGCTTGCTGATTCTCGGCAAAGAGCGTCTGACTGACTTGCGCAAACTGACTCTTCCATCTGAGGTAGTTTCGGAGCTTCCGCCTCATGATGAACGTCGCTGAGGGTTTATCCTCGTCTCCCATGTCTTCGGCCTCTTCCGAGTTCGAATTCCCCTTCTTCGGCTTGACATGCATGTGCTGCAGATAGTCGCGCAGCTGCCTACACGTGTCGTGGCTTGAGCACATGATCAAGATGGTGCCGTTGGAATCATCTCGCGGCACAGGATCGAAAGAGAGGTCGCGGTCTATTTCTTCAAGAACGTCGGCAAGTTGTGCCCACTTTGGGAGCTCCTCCAGGACGGGTTCCAGAGCATCAATGTTGGACTCCTCGCTGATTTTCTTAGTGGGCCTTGCCGCGTAGACTCGTCGACGAGCAGTGTCGAAGATTGTCTGCGCAGCATCGAGGAACAACCACGGCGACTGGTTTTGTCGTGTTGATCCGGGCGGAGGCGAATGCGCTGCATGGATGGTATCGAGGTGCTGTAAGAAGGACACCGCGTCGTAGGTGAGGATGCTATTGAGGAGACCTCGAAGGACGGTCAAGTCGTTGACAATCTGCCGCGTCTTCCAGCTTACGCGATGCCAATTGGGTTCGAGTTGCCGTCGAACCATGGTATCAAAGTTCTTGAGCAAGGCGCTGTCCAGATTCCAGTCTTCCATCTCGAGTCCCGTGTTGCCTTTCTTCAGCTCGTGGATGCTGACCTCTACGCACTCCATGATTGCCGTCTGCATTTCCTTCATGTGGTCCGTCATGGGCACCTCCAGCTCGATGACCTCGGCCTTCTTCCTGCCCTCCAACGATCTCGCAACAGTGACCTGGAATCGGGGCCAAAGGGATGCTTTCTTGAGGAAGAGGTTCCGCAGCATCGCAGATAACGGGGAGAACCCAATGGTGAAGGGGTCTGGATTGTCAGAAAAAGCCTTCAAAAAGCCGGCCTTGTTCTTCTGTCGATAGACTCGTAAGATGAACGCCTCTAGGGATGTCGCAATGACCCGGTCCGCATGAAGTACCACGAGACCTGTGATACTCTCGGGAGCCAGGAGCCCCGTCAACAAATCAACGACCAGTATTCTCGAGGTGATGCTGAATATGCCGCCGCCAGCATACATCTTCTCCCTCGCGCCTACGCTTTGGAAGTCCGTGTTTACCACGGTCAATCCTCGAGCTTTGGCCGCAGCACTGATGGCTGCATGCTCAGCCAGCGCCTCACCAATCCATCCATTTTCGCGTTCCTCTGCGCCAACCACGACGATCAAGTTGTTTCCGGCGGCATCATATGAGTGGAGCAGGTTGGTGATGATGCGCATCAGCCCCAGGCCGCGTGCAAGGATGACCACTTCATCTTCGGCGCGGAGTTCCTGGAACAGATCTTGCTGATATTCCAGCGGAAGTGATAGCTTCACTGGCTGGGGGGCATCGCTCGTCGACATCCGGGGCGCGCAGAGACTTGCGTCCGGTCCATGTGTAGTGTCAACGAAGGGTTGAAGAGGCGTTGAACTTGAGTCTACTAGGTAGTCTCAGGTAGTTCACGGTTGCTCGAGGCACACCGGCGGTGGGACGGTATAGGGTAGCCAATTGGTGGTCCGCATGGACTTACGATGCACTAATCGACTCAGTGAAAAAGATCGTAGGATCTAGATGACATTGCGTTCTAGAATAATCACACGGAATATCTGTGCCCAGGCATTATATCACCAGCAATTACTCGAAGCATGTTTGGGTTCCGAAAGTCCGAGCACCCTTTCAGTAGCGGGTCGAGCAAGTGTATACATTTCAATAATATCTGTCTCTTTGCCATAGGGCTGCCCGAGTAACATACATAGATGGACCGTATATTCCACATCATTACCAGCATGGTATTCTAGACTAGCATCTGACAAAACGTCAACGTCTTTGCAATAGCGTCGCAGATGAGGGGTTTAGTCCTGTTTGCCCCTCGATCATGCGGTTGCCTCATCTGGGTGGGACGTCATATCATCGGCTTAGAACATCAGGTTTCCTGATGGCTCATGGGAGTGCGGTTCTTAGCGCAGCTTTTAAATACTTTATCCCCCGTCATCCAAGGCAACCCTTCACTTACATCCAACAAAATAGTAATCTTATATGCAACCTACATTAAGCACGATGCCTTCCAACCAGGACCAGAAGAACGAGGTACGTAGCCGACACCTTCTCCCCGATGTACTTGTATCATGCTAAGGCCGTATCAAGGGCGAGAAGGAGTTCAGCATCCAGCCCATCAAGGAGCAGGGTCAGGACCCCAAGTTCGCTCCATTCAACGCCCATCCCGGCCCAGCCAAGCCCCAGAACATGCCCGCGCAGGAGGGCTCGAAGGAGGACCGTCAGGCCAAGAAGGAAGCCTTGAACAAATAAAGTGGTTGTCATGGGCTTTACGTTTTAATTGTAAACATCAGGACAGCGTGCTCGAGTTAATGCGACATTCTCAAACCTCAAGACTGTGCGTGACCGAGATTTCACTGTCTTTCTGATCCAAGGCTCCCATCCAAAGGAACAAACCTGTAAATTGAATCGTCCCGAGAAGTCAATAAGTCTACCTTGTATGGCAATAGTTGCTCTTCCAGGTCGCAAGACGAAGGTGCGTCATCATGTGCGGTGTAGACGCGTGGCGCTGCCTCCACCCTCTTGTGGCTGGTGTTGCCTGCCTGAACGGTCGAGGTAAGTTGGGCCGAATGCACGTCTTGAATAACGGCCTGCATATGGCATGCTGTAGAACCACAGAGACAAATCTTGTCAACGTCAGCTTTATTTCCCCTCGTCGAACAGACGGCCGAAGCTACCTGCGCGCTGGTCGTCGTCACTCGCTATCAATTCCTCGCCGGCCGTCACGGCCATTGCGCGAACGTCCCTAATACAACTTACCCAGTATTACCTTGCCTACCCTTATAGCGGCTTATTGCTGCCCCAAGAGGGCCGACCCGAGTGACGTTCGGCTGCCTCGTGAGCGCCAAGAACGCAGACCACCGCCAGAAGAACGGGAGGGTAATTACTCAATCCCAACCACACACCATCTCGGCTCCGACACAACACCTTCCCCCGGGACCCTTTGACTAGGCACCCCTCCGCGCGACGACAATGCCTTCCATCCTCAGCGACGACGACAAAGACACAGTCAAGCGCTTCGTGCCCAAGCAGACCAACAAGATCCAAGCCGTCGCCGTCGCCAGGCTGTACATTGCGTACCCTGATCGCTCGAAATGGACATACACCGGCCTGCAAGGTGCCGTTGTTCTGGCAAATGACCTCGTGGGCAACACATACTGGCTCAAGATGGTCGACATTTCACCGTCAAGCCGCGGTGTCATTTGGGATCAGGAGATATTCGACACCTGGAGCTACAACCAGGACCGCACATTCTTCCATACCTTTGAGCTTGAGGAGTGCCTAGCCGCACTGAGCTTTGTCGACGAGAAAGAGGCCAAGCAATTCAAGAAGAAGATGGACGATCGAGAAAAGAATGCCAGCAAGGCTACCCGCTCGACGCCCTTCGGCGGCGGCTCCCAGCCCAAGGAGAAGCACAGCCTATTGGGAGGACTGTTTGGGTCACGTCACTCGTCTGCGCCTACACCTCCCGAGTCGCCGCGCCAGACGCTCCCACCGCCGCCTCCGAATCCGGCCTCGATATCGTCCATGACTCTCAACGGCGGTCGACCAGCTTCCGAATTCCCCCTCCTGGACGCCTTCGACCCCCTCTGGAGGGAGCACTTTGGACAGGATCTCAAGGACAAAGGCCTGACAGACGATTTCATCAAGGACAACCAGGAGTTCATTGTGGACTTTTTGCGAGAACAGCAGCAGAACAACGCCAGCGAGGACCAGCCAGCCTCGCCGCGTCCTCCACCCCCAGCACCCCCAGCACCTCCAGCGGCTACGACGAATGGCACCGATGCAAGAGGCTCGCGAGCACCTCCTCCGCCTCCTCCTCCTGGTGGTGCAAAAGCTCCCCCACCACCCGCACCCCGACGATCCAACAAGGTGGAATCGCCCGTGAACGAACCCCCGGAGTCTCCCCCGGGACCACCTCGACCAAAGTTCAATGCGCCGCCCCCTCTAGCAGACGCTGGCAAGTTCGCGCGTAAGGAGGTTCCCAAGTCAGCGCCGGCGCCGCCTCCCAGGTCAAATGCTGGTCCAGCACCGCCACCACCTCCTCGCCAGGCGGCGAAAGCGCCTGCGTTGGAAACGGATCACAAGTTTGGCGTACCACCGCCATTTCAAGGGGCGCGCAACCCAGCGCCACCCCCTACACCAAGTCGGGGACCTGTGCCACCGCCGCCTCCTCCACGGTCTGGAGGGGATGCCCCAGCGGCGGCGCCTGGCCCTCCTCCACCTCTTCCGCCAAAGGTACCTGCTGGAGGACCTCCACCACTACCGCCATCGAGCTCTCGGCCCGTGCCTCCTCCCCCAGCGGCTGGCAACCCATCCCGCGTACCACCACCTCCTTCATCGAACAACCTACCTCCACCGCCGCCTCCTCTGCCCCCTACGCGCGACAGCGGAGGACCACCGCCACCTCCTCTGCCCCCAACCTCAGCAGGCGGCCCTCCTCCACCTCCTCCTCCTCCACCCACGGGTGCAGGAGGAGCACCGCCGCCACCACCGCCTCCCCCTCCGAACCGCGACGCAGGAGACTCATCTGGCGTGCCACCTCCTCCATCTCTGCCCCAAGCCGGTGGAGGGCGAGCGGCCATGCTGGGCGACATCCAGAAGGCCGGCGGCATCGGCGCATTGAAGAAGGTCGACAGGACACAGATCCGCGACCGAAGCGCTGCGCAGGTGGCGGGGGGTGATTCTGGTGGCGCTGGTCCCCCTCCGCCTGGCGCACCTCCAGGCGCTGGAGGCGGCGGTATGGCTGATGCGCTCGCGGCTGCTCTGCAGAAGCGCAAGGAGAAGGTCAGCAAGAGTGGTAAGTTACTTTTCACGCAATACCTTGAAAGCACAACTGACTTGTCTTAGATGACGAGGACAATGACGACGACTGGTGATTCCCACGATGGAGAAACAGTATAATTACAGTTGACGTAGAAGACTGCCGACCACCTGGCGGATTTTTTGACATGGTCACGCGAGTGTCTGGCCGCAAGGTGTCTGGCGTTGTGAGTTACATGATCGGGCAACTGCAAGTAAAGAAGAGAAAAAAAGATAACATGAGTCGCAAACATATTTTCATTCCTATGCTAGTCTGGGAAGACGTAGAATGACCTTGGCGAGCCGTGGCGTCCCTCCCACCACGGCTACCGGCATCGTCCTTGCTCTGCATGACTGTCGTGGGTCCCCTGGTACTATCACCAGAGGGTTTGAGAGAGAAGACAGTACTAGTGAGGTGTTGACATTGGACGGACAAATTTTCCTTCTTTTTCTTTAAATGTCGTCAATGTCAACCTCCTTCTTACCACCACCGGGCGCCGCGCCGTCCGACTCTTCGTCTGAGTCGGCGTCGCCGAACTCAAAGTAGGCCTCGCCATCCTCGCCCTGGTTGAAGGTATCCGTCTCGTTGATCTTGGCGTTCTCGGGCAGCTCGCCGTACGACTTGAGGGTACGGGCCTCGTCGGCCGTGTACTTGAGGATCACGTCGCCCTTGCCGTCCTGGAAGTCACGGAGGGAGAGGAGGATGATGTCACCCTGGTTGATCCAGACCTTTTTGCGCATCTTGCCACGGATCTGCAACATCGTTAGCGACAAAGAAAATGGGGGAGAGGGGGGCAGTCATCGTACGTTGGCGAGTCGCTTTGACCCGTCGAAGCAGAGTGCCTCGAGGCGACCGTTGCCGAGCATCTTTACCACCTGGGCGTACTCCTGGCCGTCCTCCTTAAAGGTCAGCTCACGACGCTGATCGTCGTTCTCCTTGGTACCCCTTCTGCGGTTCTTGCCACCCTATAGTGCGAGTATCATTAGCCTGTGCTCCGCCCGGGGGGGGGGACTGTCGTCGTCAGGGGATGGATGAGTTCGATTGTTGTCGCGCGCGCACCGCATGGTGGGGGCGGGGTTCGGCGGCGCCGTCATCATTCGAGCTCTTTTCTTGTGCAAAATCGTACCTTTCCCTTGTTCTTCGGCATGTTGGCGGTAAAGACTACTTCTTGTCTTGTCGAAAAAAAGAAGTTGGTTTGTCTGGGTTGGAGGGTTCTGCGCGCAGAGGCAGTGGCGAGTTGGGTGAGGGTTGGTTTCGTTTGATGGAGGGTAAATTGGAGTGCAGTGGAGGCTGGAGTGGGATTTTATTGTATTCAGGCAGGCTTTTGAGCTGCGGCCAGGTTCGTCACTGCTTTGGGTGGCACATGCGTTTGCAATGCTATGAGTCAAGGGCTGTTCTGGCGTTTCCTCCCAGACTCCCATGGGCGAACTATTTTTTTCTCTCTTGGAAGTTAAGTTTCTACTGATATGCTCAGAGGCATCCTCGTGAATGAATTTTATGTTGCTGAGAAGTAGATGCTTATCCCAAAAGCGCACACGGCGCAAATTCTGTGTGCTGGGCAAAAGATGAATGAACACCCTCGTTGTTCAACTTGGCACATACTTATCTCCCATAACCTGTAGTGATCTCGTTTGATACCCCAGACTTATGCTTTTACTTTCAAGCCGGTCAGAAGCGCATTCACCAACATTGTGCGCTGATCTACAATGTTGAGGCTTGATCGGATTTCTGAGTTGTGGGCGCCAAGAAAATACGTCTACTATGCTGACATAATCATGCTTCCGGCATTGCAAGGATCTATCAACGCTAGCGTTCCCGAAATCCGCGAGCTCAGAATGCCATCTTCGTAGCTACTCCACGCTCAACTCTGCCGCCATCGCACTTCAGGTGGACGGGCAACGATGCTCGTAGGCCTTGCTCCAGAACCTATAATATGGCGGTAGCGCGAGGGATGATCCGTCCAAGTCTCTGCGCAGCACCTATCGTCGCCGTCAGCCACGCACCAGCTTCCGCTCCTCTGGTAGCACGGTTCGCCTCGAACTCCCCCGGGCCAAAACGCTTGCGACCCAGCGATGCAGACAATTTCTACAATGACAGAACGGGCGACCTGATGACGACCCCCGAGAACAAGGCGTGGTTCCAAAAGCACCCGTCGATCCATCACGACAATGGCATTGCATCCCCGTTGCGCATGAACAATGAGGAGAAGGGCGTGATGATTGATTATCGCGTAACGCTGCGGTTCACCCCGAAGCACCTGATCCATCCGTACCACCTTGGATTTCTGGACCCAAGAGGCCACCCCCAGGCGTTGGCGCAGCGACTACGATACGCCGAGAAGACGTCGAAGGAGCCGCTGTGGATGGTCTGCACTGGCTACGGCCAAGTCATCCCGGTCGTCAAGAGCATGGCAAAGAGGCGCGTCCATGCTGCGATCTGCGCGGCCTTGGAGAGGAGGGGATACGATGCCCATGGCAAGAAGGCAGATGGGAAGCATATCAGGGGAACGTTGTGGCTGACCCTCAAGGAGCCCTTGAGGACAGTCGATCGACGAAACCTGGATGAATTCGGAGAAAGGGCCGTGGACATGCTGTTGCGAGGGCTGGACCACGGCTCTCAGCAACGTCCGGTGCCAACGCAACAGAGAAAACCAGCACCGAAACAGCGAAAGATGCAAAATCGGAAGACGCAGGATCCGTTTGAAATGAAGTTTGGGCATGCAAGGCGGGACCAATGAGCATGTTGTGTAGCATCATTGTATTATATTAATGTATCACTCGGCATACAGATAGAGCGTATAGCATAGCGGCGCAGGCATATATATACTATCAAAGACTTGAAAGAATTTGAAGGTACATGATCGAGGGCTAATCATAATGCGTCAAGTATTGCAAATGAGCGCATCTTTGTCTCCCATACCTTGGCCTTGATCGCCGTCGCGGCTGCACGTGACTTTCCCAGAAGTCGCAGCTGTCGCAACACGCTGTGGCCAGGCTCAATAGCGTACCTTGGGCCAGGGGAGGGAGCTTCCAACACCTTGAATAGCCCGCCCCCTTGCAGCTTCATGACGGCGCATTGAACCACTTTGTCTCTCTCCCACGGCATCGATATCGAATTGGCAGCTTCCCAACCGACTTCCTTCCACCATCACGTTCACTTGAGATCTGATTGCCCGACATTGGCATCATGCTGGTCTCCCTGACCGTCGGCAAGGTCGACGCAGGCGTCACTGTACTGCTGACGCCTGACAAACGCCTGGTACGTTTCATTTGAATGTGACGTTGGATAGATGACTGACCATGGGTAGATTGAGTTCCCGTCCATCCTGCTGCCGCCTGACATCTCGTCTGGCTCCATTGTCGACATCACCGTTGGCCAGAACACTGCCAAAGAGTCCGCCGCGCAAGCCTCCTTCCGCGCCCTCCAAGACCAGATCTATGCCGCCTTTGGCGCGGCCGAGCCGTCCATCCCTGTACTACGCTGCCGCAATGCCACACAGACCTCTGTCGTCCTAGAGTGGGACCCCATACAGCTGGCGACAGCCGACCTCATCTCGCTCAGCCTGCATCGCAACGGGCAAAAGGCGGGCAACATCCCGAGGCCCATGGAGATGCACAGCACCAAGATCAGCGGACTCGCCGTCGACACGGAGTACGTCTTTCACCTGGTGCTGAGAACAACGGCCGGCACGTCCTCGAGCGAAAAGGTGCATGTGCGGACGCACAAGATGACAGACCTAAGCGGCATCACCATTACCACTGGCGTCATGCCTGCCTCCACAAAGGAGAAGCTGCAGGGCGCTGTGGAGCGCATGGGCGCCAAGATTGTGGACGGGGTGCGCATTGATACCACGCATTTCGTCACCACGGAGGGCAGGGGGCAGGCGTGGGAGAAGGCTGTCGAGACGAATATACCAGTCGTCAGGCCCGAATGGGTGGACGCCTGCGAGAAGAATGGGAGAATCCTGGGTGTCACGAAATTCTACCTGGATGCGATGAGGCCTGGACCTCCGAGCGAAGACACGCTGCCGGCGGCGACACCACCTCCTCCCGCGCCGGAAACTGTGGAGGAGAAGCGCGAGCCTGAGGCCGAGCCACCGACACCGACAGAGCAGTTACCAAGTCAGAATGTGGAGGCGAAGCCTCTCCCCGCAACCAAGGACGACGATGACTCGGACGAAGATGGAGACGCAGACGCTACGGAGGAAGCACAGCCAGAGCAGAAGACAAAGGCCGCCGAGCCGGAGCCAAAGTCGCGGACAGAGCCAGAACAGGAGCAGCAGAAGGTACGGTTAGAAGACAAAGAAGAAAACCAGGTCGCGATGCGGCCGAAAGCGATGGAAAAGGACGAGGGGGCTTGCGCGAACGGCGAGGAGGGAGGGAATGGCGTAGTGGACACGGAGAAGAAGGACAGCGGCGGTGACGACGCAGCAAAGCCTGCCACGACGCCAGATGGTGCCTCATTCCAGGAGATTTCACTGTAGATAACGGCCTGAATGTACTAGGCACACGGGGTTCAGGCGTTTCTCGGGGTGTGTGTGGAATGAATGGGTAGACATGTACATTGTAATCGGCAGAACCAAAGACCTGGCCCAAGCTAGCTAGCGCTTTTACGTATTGACCTCAGGGAGGTACCTCTTCGTTCTTGTAATCCCAGCATTTCCCCCTCTGGCTCAGCTCCAGACCCTTGATGACGTCCACCATCTTGGCGGCCGCGTCGTCGGGCGTGAAGAGCTTGTCTTGGGGCACGCTGTCCCAGAAGCCCTTGCTGAGATCCGTCTTGACGGTGCCCGGGTGGTAGCCGACGGCGAGGGCCTTGTCCCCGCTGCGGGCCTGGAGGAAGTTGTCCAAGCTCTTGGAGATGCTGCTGACAGCGGTCTTGGAGGCGCGGTACGAGTACCACCCGCCGGCCCTGTTGTCCGAGATGGAGCCCACGCGGGCGGACATGCTCAGCCACGTGCCCCTCTGGGGGAGGCGGACCTCGTCGTCGGCGGGGGACGCGCTGATCTCCGTCATGGTCTTGGGAAGGAACTCGGAGAAGTGCTTGATGAGGAGGAGGGGGCCCAGGGTGTTGATGCGGAACTGGTCGAGGGCCTTGTCGTAGTCAATCTGCTTGGGGTTCTTCTCCGGGTGCAGGATGCCCGGGATGGCACATGCCAGGCCCAGATGGTGCGTTTTGGCCGGAAAGAGTTCCCTCGCGCGCGCGGCGGCGGCCTCGACGGACGACTCGTCCGTGACGTCCAGGTTGACGATGCTCAGCCGGGGCGCGAGGTCCGAGGCGGAGGGGAGATCGGCCAGCAGCGAGGACTTTGTGGACGATGGGTCGCGACGGCTGGTTGCGAGGATGGGCAGCGAGGTTGTGAGCAGGAGACGGCGCGTGAGGGCGTGGCCGATGCCCCTGCTCGAGGGGCAGAGGAAGATCCAAGGCGAGCTCATGCTGGCCAGTGTGGGCTGATTATCGCCACGATGTGTAGGCGAGACAAGCTGGCCGGTTGAGTATGTAGGTTAGTATTGAGCAATTGGGAGGTGACTGGATGGGTTGTTCAACGCAGACACCGCTGGGGAGATGTCATGGTAAGGGTCTCAGCTCCATGGCTACACACAGATGAGGTCAACGACTCAATACATCATTCAGTCGTCGTCCTTGTTCGAGGTGGAATGTCGATGATGCGTGCACGTTGCTAGTCAGGAACCTGCATCGGGAGCGGTGGAGACGCTAAACCTGAGGATCGTGTAAGCCTAAAGCTTGGCCTCGGGCACACACGGTAAGGCAACCAACTACAGTAAGAGATAACAGAATCACAGAAATGCAGAGATCTTTGACATGTAGTGTCAAGCCAGAGAGGGGATGGTAGGTTCACCGTGATGGGCAGTTCTGAGCCCTGAGGCGAGCCTCACCTCACCCTCAAAATCTCTAGATCATCTGCATGATCACTCACCACTCACCACTCACCACTCACAGCTTATCGGGATCCTATCAACGCATAATCTTGAACAAACGGCGCAAGACTCCCGATTCCAAGAGCACGACCGCCATTTTGCCTTCTGCACCGACATCCCCAACGAGCCAGGAGACGCACTTGACAAAGTCAATCCGCAGAGGAATGTCCGAGATGGTGGTGAGACTTCAATACAGGATGGTATAAGTAAGAGATGGTAGCCGATACCGATGTCGAGCTTTGGGCTCTCCTTGTCGCCGAGGACAAACATTGTCTACAAAATTTCAAACGCTCGCTCGGCAGACAAAACGAAACATGTCCAGTTGAACAAGAAAAAGTCCTCACCGTGAATCCTCAAAACATTGCCGCCCTCATCTGCCTTGCCCTCGCGGCGCCCGCCAGCTCCCGCATGAGGGGCTCAACGGTGTCCAGCCCATCCGTGGTACCCTCGACACTGTCCTCACTATCCGCCCTGACCATGCCGCTATCCCTGGGCGGCCTGTGGGAGCTCTGGGCCCGACGAAGTGCGACAGAAGCTGGCCTGGCTCTTGGCATCTCCTCCTCCGACACATATCCTCGATTGGGGTCGCGGGCGTTCAGGCCCTTGAGCACGGGCACGAGCGCCCTCAACCAGACATCTCCATTGCGCTCCAACAGTCTGACACGGCGCTCCATATCATTAAAGCGGTGCTCCCGGTACGCCTCGTACAGCCGAAGGATTTCCTTGTCCAGGGCTTGTGTCGACGTATCCGCCGCATCGGCATCAATGAGCTCCTGCGCACGGGCATGCACCGCGGCTCGCGATTCGCTCGATAGACGACGGGCTTGTCGTGTTTCCTTCCATTCGCGACGGCGATGAAGTGACGTCCGATCCAGGGCGACGGGCTTTGTGACCGGTGAGCGGGGAGGTGTCAGCTGACTATCTCGAGCCGCGTTCAACTGTTCGTCACGGTAGGCATCGGTCGATGGTGATGCGATGAGGGTCGACTCCGCCTCCTGTTCTGGATCTTCAGGCTCTATGCCTATGCCACGAATAGGGCTAAAGCTGAGCTGGCCCGGCGAGCATCCCTCGTCACCCTTCTTCTTGGAGCTGACCAAGGCCTCCATGTCACGCTTCTTCCTGTCGCGGACCTTGTCTCGTCGGCTTTGAGTCCTGTTGATTTCTGACATGCCCGATTGACGAGATCCAAGTGGATTCTCCATCTTCTGCGTGGCCCTGGACTCATCGTTTTCATCGCCTCCCCCGTTCACTTCTCCATCATTGATAACCACTGGCGTTGGCTCAACCTTGACCACTTTGGCACTGCTTGCCTCATTTCTGGCGTTGGACTGATCAGATCTCCGTGTCGTACTTGCATGTCCCGCCCGAGAAAGCAACCCGTCGATCGAGATGGGTTGGTGTAGTGTCTGGCTCGCCCTGGAAGACGCCCTGGTGGGAAACGACGAATCGCTGCTCTGTGTCGTCGCTGGGCGCCTTGGCTCGTCCTGCCCACGACTGGGTGGCGCACTCAAACCTCCCCTGATAGCTGACCTGTTGCCTCTTGATGAGGGTGTCCGAGGTAACGGTCTTGATGGGCCGTACATCCATGCTGACGACTCGCCGGCGCTCTCATTGACCGTCTTCAGAACTGTCACCACACCCTTGTCATTCGTTATAGTCCTCGGAACCCTTGTGCCTTCGTGATACACTGGGTACTGCGATCGTGGCCTCTCGCCCATGGGGAAGGCATCAAATGGAATGGTGATGGCAATGTGCCTATGACCGCCGATAGTCTTCCCCGACACGGCCGTGTCTGGCAGTCTGATCGGAGGAGGCCTTGGCCCGGAGCGGCTCTTCTTCACCCACTTCAGCCATCTGCGCTTCTGGTCGTCATCGTCATCGGGTATGGACATGAAGTTGTCTGCTGGCGGCGCGTGGTTGTTTAAGAAATCCACCAGCTCGCCGAGACCAGTCTGCGTCGACTTTGTGCGTTGTAGGTGTGGCGCGAAGACGGGATCGTACAAACGCCTGTTGAAGTCATCTGCCGATGTGTCAAGTATGTTGGAGGTTGAGCGAGCGCGAGCGATGTGACCCCGATTCCTAGAGGTCCTGTCCAGCGACGTGTGCCTCCGAGGGCGAGTCGAGACGAAGTTGCCGTCAGCCATGATCAACCAGGGGCGAACCTCAATTTCGCTTGCATCAGTGACACCGACGACCTCGAGGTCCAGCACAGGCGACGCGAAGACGGACGAGACGTGTCTCTGGCTGGTTAGAGCTTGGGTCTCAAGGTCTCACTCGAGGCGAACGCAACTGGAAAGACTGTGATGAGGAGTGTGAGGGAGGGAAGGTGGAACAGAACACCAGAACACAGACGGGGCCTGGCCATGGACGGCAGAAGAAAGGAAGATCGTCACCTGGGACTAAGACTGAGAAGAGAGGGTCCTCCAAAGTCTCCTGCCAACCAAGTTGATGTGATGTGGTTCCATGGTCTCATTCCACAGACAGGGATCGTTCCGCGTCGGTTCATCCGTTCGTCCACGATCCCTGGTGCACCCCGGACGGCATTGCGATTCGCTCGAGTCCTCCGACTCTGCCCCCAGCTGTCTCTCGCTCAAGCCTCCCGATGGCTCGAGGCGTCGGGCGCGCTCAGACGTCACTCTGTAGTTCTGGAGTGAGCGCGGCGTCGTTCTGCATCGATAGCGTGACCAAGGCGCCGGGAGCTACGAGAGGGACGAGGCGAGCCCAAGTCCCGGCATTCGAGGACAGACGAACCCTTGGCATGCAGGGATCCTTTTTGGGCGCTGGAGCAGGTCAGGGATTCCTGATCACCAGTGCGTTGCGTTTCGTTTCGTGGCTCAGCCCAAGCCCCCAAGGGCCCAACTTGAATGGCTGGGGCGGGATCGGCGCGGCCCAGAGCAGACGGCGCCATTAATCAAATCAAATTGGTCGAGGCCTGCCCAGACCGCCGCGCGCAGGGGCATCAATCAACAAGTGTGAGAGCAAAAGGGCACGCTCGAGCTTGCAAAAACGACTAGAACAGATCAGGTTGACTGCTGATAAAGTGATGACTGGCCTCGAGCAATTCAGATCATGTTTCTTGTGTGGGGTGACAATCAAGCGCCACTGACCGAAACGTGACCCGTCAAATTGGGTGATTTAACACCCCTGTCGGCTGCACCTTCCTTCCCCTGCGTCGGCTGTGCGCCTGCCCAGTTGAGTTACATCACCAGTGTTGATCCTCGGGACTTTGACGAGGACAGACAAGAAGACGACGACGATGAACGTCACTACGCAAGGTCGAGCAAATGCCATCCCGCACGCTTGAATGAACCTCACGCCATGCAGCAAATGGCCTCATGTACGTAGTAGATCTAGTGGGGGTAGCAACCGAAAGCGCGCCTGTATCCAGTGGGTGAGTGGCCCAGACGACCACCAGTCTGGCCCTTGACTCCTTGATGCGAAATTGTTTCCTTGAAACCACCATGCAAATGCCAATCATGTAGCAGCACTATACACCTGACGCCCTGAAATGCTAAAATGATCATCATCAACTGTTCACCTCTTCCGTGGGACAAACAGGTTCGGTTTGGTCTTTGGTCTTGGTCGGGGCGGACCTGTGCTCAGATCCGATGATACCCCATTGCTCGGTTTTGCGCTCTAGTCACGCCGTGTAAGTATACCAATGCTCACACACTCCCGTACAACTCAAGGATACTTACAAACTGCCCGTTCTGCGGCGGCGTGGAGCTCGTCCTCGGCGCCATCGTCGACGACGAGGATGGCATCTCCTCCCGGTCTTGGGGCATTAGGCCGAGGGTGATCTTGGCCGACGGGTCTTCCGGTGCAGAGGACTGACGTGGGTATGGCTTGCTCGCTGATGGCTTCGGGGCAAACTTGGCCCTCATGCCGCCTGGTCGAGGCCCATCGCTGGCTTTCTGTTGCTGTGTTAGAGAACGCGATGGACTTTTGTCTGTTATAGCTGCTGCTGCTGCTGCTGCTGGAGCTGCTTCTTGAAGGTGGGAAAGATGCACATACTCTTTTCGCGTTGGACTCTCCAGAGTCAGAGGCGTCCAACGGTCGCTTCTTGCCTTCTCCTGGCGCAGATGGAGGTGGCTTGGAAGTGTGGATGATGGGCAGCCCGCCAGAACGAGGAGCATGGTCCGGCGCTGGCGCTGCTGCTGGCGCTGGACGCATCGCAATATCGCCGTCGCCGTCCTTTCGTGGCGTCGAAGCTCGGCTCGGCGGCGGATAGGCTGGCGCATTAGGGTTCAGCTCTAGCGTCTTCCGGAACTTGCTCAGCACATCTCCGTCCGTGTAGCGATCGCGGGCACGGGAGTCTTCGATGAGCTTCTTCCAGAACTCACCCTGGACCAGGGCCCGCGAGTCTCCCAAGATCCAGAGCGATGACTTGGCGCGGGTCAGACCGACGTTCATACGACGAATGTCCGTCATGAAGCCGATGCCACCCGTCGACGAGGCTCGCACGCAGGAGAAGATGATAATTTCGCACTCTCGACCCTGAAAAGCGTCCGTCGTGTTGAATTCAATGATGTCGGAAATGCCCTCGCCATATCGGTTACGGAAACGGTTGCGCAGTTCAAAGAGCTGCGCCTTGTACGGCGTGATGATGCCAATCTTCTGCTTCAGGTCGAGATCTCGGTAGTCGCTGCTGAACCGCTCGTACAGTTGCAGCGCAACTTCAATCTCGCGGTTGTTGACGAGGGACTGCCCCTTGTGGCCGCGCTCTTGAACACCCTGCACGTCAAAGAATCGATAAGGACTCAGGAGGGTCGTCCTGTGCCACGGCTGCTGCCGCAGGGGTGCCATGTCCTGGCCATCCTTGAGCTGCCCTTCGTAGAACTCCCGACTGGGGAATGCACTGATTTCAGGATGCATACGGTACTGCATGTCCAGCAAGTGTACGGACTGGGGGTGATTCTGTTGCATGCGGACGAACAGACTCTGGTCGTAGCCGAAGCGAGCAGCGGATTGGGAGAGCACGGTAGGCGGCAGTTGCTTCGGATCACCGACCAGGATGCATTTGCAGCAGCCATACTTGAGGGGGATGAGAGCGCTCAGCTCGACGCACTGCGCCGCCTCGTCGATGATGACCGTCTCAAACTCCACGTCCAGGTTTCGGAACATCTCGTGCCCACTGCCGCTGAGCGTGGCGCAGATCACATGCGCTCCGTTCAAAATCTCCTGCTGCACCTGGCGCCGGCGCATCTCCATTTCACGGGCGACCGAGTTGCCGCTGTCCTTGTTGGCGTCAATTTGGCGACCAATCTGCATTTGCTGCCCCTTGAGCTCGTCGAAGCGACGTGACAGCTTGTCGTAGTTGGCCTTGTCCCCGCCCCTGGCGGCATCGAGCATGGGGCGCAGCTCAGAGAGCTCCTCCTTGATCTTGCCGGCATCGGCGTGCAGCTTGTCGCGGTCTGCCACGGCCTTGTCCTTGGTGCCGTCGCCTTCCAGGCGATTCTTCACCAACTCGTCCAGCGTGACATCCCGGACAGCAGCATTGATGGCATCGCTGCGGCCCAGGCGCAGCACGTTGATCTTACTGTGCTTACCGCTAACCCCCTTGACGCCATTCTTCAGACGGAGGACCAACTCATCCACAGCTGCGTTGGACGGAGCACACACGAGAAGTTTCTTTGGCAGGGTGCCGTTGGCATGCTGGGCAGTCCCTGGCCCTGGGCGGGCAATGGCTGTTCCGGATGTTTGATTGCTGAGTTGCTCCGATAGCAACGCGCCGACCATGGCAACGATTGTCTTGGTCTTGCCAGTGCCAGGGGGGCCTTGGATCAGGGTGAACCCGTCGTTGTCTTGGGCGCCCATCACGGCCATAGCTTGACCGCGATTTAGTTCCCAATTGCTGGACCACTTTTGGATCTTCTCCTCGCCATAGCGGAGGACAGGAGACGGCTCGGCCTTCAATATCTCGTCCATCAGGTCATAGTACTGCAAACTCTCCAGAGCGGCGTATTCACGTTCGATTGTCGTCATATTCGTGATCTTGACACCGTGCACGCTGACGCCAGGGTTCAGTAACTGCGACAGCTGATTGTTGCGTGAGGCGACCCGGAACGTAGCCTCAATGAGGTCTTTCTTGTACTTGATTCTGTGGACGCGAGCCAGGCAGTGCTTCACGTGCGGGTCGGTCAGGGGATTCTCGGCTTCCGACACTAGCAGTATGTCGCCCTCGAACACGCCGCGCTCCTTGTTCTGTGACACAGGCATCGTGAACGTCACCTCAAGGAAACTATCCACACTAGCTCGGCTGGCCACCTTGATGCCGAAAGGTCGATTTGTTATCTCGTCCTTGGCTGTGACAAAGGAGCGCCAAGCTTCAGACGCAAGCAGAGGAAAGAAAGTCTGCTGGTATGATGCCGGATCAGTGTACGAAGTCGCTACCTTGCTACCCGAAGGCCCGCTTGGTGGGTCGTTGCCGTTATGAAAGATCTCCCACGCGAGAATGGTGTTGTGTAGCTTTTCCATCGGGGGCACCAGTCGTGCGCGCATTTCCTTGACGGATCGTTGCTGCTTGACCTTCTTCACAGGACGGCGGGCTCTGTCCCGGAGCGCCTGCCGTCGAGCCTTCTCTGCTTCGTCCACAGACTTCTTCGTGCCAGTGCTGAGCATGGCCAACTGGTCGTCACCGTCATCTGAATCGTCTTCGCCCTCCGATTCTTCCTCGGAGCTGTTGACCATGATTTCACTCTTGGAGTGATCCTTGCCAAGCACACCACCTGCCTCGCCTCGCAAGCGCTTCGCTTCGGCAATGGCCATTTGCTTTCGCTTCTCCTTCTCAGCCTTCTCTCGCTGTCGGCTTTCTTTCAGGGCGGTGATGGCCCGCTGGTCGGGTTTCTTGGCAACAGGCTTGAGCGATTTGGCCTTGGCCTCGGCAATTCTCCGCGCCTCGAGCTGCTTGAGGATAGGGCTGTCGATGGATTTGCTAAACTCCATAACATCGTCCCTGTTGGATCGCGAGGCGCTGGGAGCTGGACCAGACTTGGACCAGGCATCCAGTTTGCTCTGTTTCTTCTCCACGTGCACAATCGCCTCCGGCTTCACCTCCTCCTCGACATGTCCAAGAGCTTGCAGGAGCTCGGCACGCTGCTGGTCTGTCATGTTGGTAGGTCGTGCATAACGACCACGTTCCTTAGGAACACAGGCGTCTATGATGAACTGCCTCGACTTGCCAGGGATTTCGAGTTTGATCTCCCGCAAGCGGGACACAATCTTGCAGAGAACCCGAACGGTCACGTCCACGAGCCATTTGTCTTTGAGTCTGATCATATTCTCGAGGCCCTGGAAGTGCTCCCGCACGGGTTGCAGTACGCGCTCCGCCATGGCACCTTCGCTCTTGTTGTTTGCTTTCGATACAACCGAGATGAGCAGTCCGTCCTCTGCTACCAATGCTTCGGCCAGTTCCATGATTTCGCGACAGAACTCTTGCATGATGCTGTTGGCAATGTACAGCGACCAAAGCTCGATGTTGGAGCATGCTCGCTGAACAAAATGCCACTGTGCTTGCCACCACCGGAGCAGCAGCGCAATGGTCCGGGGCTCCAAAGTTTTGGTACGAAGCACGCCAGTCGTCATGTCGCAGAGCCCGCGCAGGACATCGCGGCTCATGTGTAGGATTGGTCGGATGGGATCCCACGGGAACTTCGTCTTGGCAGCATACGAAGGCCCTCTGAAGACGTGGTCGAGCGCGAACAGGGTCGCACCAAGGATCTTTTCTGGGTGGTCTTGGGCAACATGTTCCAAAGCCTGCCCGCGAGATATTTCTTGCGTCCACTCCTTCAGCAATTCAGCGGCTGCCTCTGCCACATCCGAGTCGCCGCGCATGGCGACACCCACAGTGACTTGGAAGGCTTTGTTGTTGTCAAATACAGCTGTAAGGTCCATCTCATCGAGATTGGATATTCTCGTAAAGATCCTTGACAGTATATCTGTGGTCGACTTCAAGGCGTCGTTGAATTTCTTCCTGGCATCGTCGAGAGCAGGGTCTTTCTTGCGAGGGCGAATTTGTTCAAGTCGGATGAGCGGTTCGAGGGCCACCAAGAAGTCCTTGGCTAGGTTGACCTTGTCGGTGGACGCCTCGTAAACGTCGATAACGTCCTTCCAGAACCCTGCCGAGTCTCGAGAAAATGCTGACTGAATCTGCCCGCCATCTTCAAACGTATGAAAGTCGACGGAAAAGAGCTTCATGTCGAGCTCCATGGCTGCCTTGACGACACTGTACGCAGACTGGCCCACCTTGAACGCATCCCAGCCAACGTGCTCTCCTAGAGGTTGCTGCAGATTGCTCAACAGCACAGCCTTGTGTTTCATTACGAGGTTGAGAGTGCAATTAGAATGGACATGTGTCGTCCCTGTACCGGAGATATCCTGGGTGACGAAAGCTTGCATAGTGAACGTGAGCGCATCAAGGCCAGCTTTCGTACAAGCGGCTTGACCTGGCTCACCGATTCCAGGGTCGGTCACCTTCTGGAAGAGAGTGTGAAGGAGGACCTCGCATGCATCATATCGTCTATCTTGGCCCATGGACTTAAGCCATGGGGCAATCCATTGCACAGGAAAGGGCACATCCCTGGGACACGCGTCAAAGTCCTCCAACGCCTGTCGGAGCAGCGAGCTGTATACAGGATTGGTGAAGATAATGTCAGTAACAACGTTGGGCCGCGTACTACCCACGTGATTCCAAAAGGCTGTCGGCGACTTTTGGAGGAACTTGGTCAAAACCCTAAGCGCCACAACCAGCACACCCTCGTGCTGAGTGAACGGAATCGTCTGGCGGAGGAGCAAGTCGTAGATGGGCGGGCAGTTAGCCTTGAGATCCATACTGCCCAGGCTGCCCAGGATCAGAGATTCGTTCAAGGCTTGGAGGACGCTCTCGAATCCCAACCAGAAGCGCTCGACTTCTAGATACGTTTCGGGACTCGGGTTAGTTTGCAACGCCTGCAGCTTGCGATGCACATCGTCCATGGCGTTGACTAGACCGCCACTGATGGCCCAATCAAATTGCTCTTCGGTCATCGTCTCTGCCTCAACGTTCTTCCAATTCTCAAATGCCCAATTGCGGCGATCTTCGTTCTTCTGATCGAACAAGAAGTAAGTCATGCCAGGCAGAGGATCCTTTGCCCCAAGCTTCAGGTAGCTTTTCTTGCCCTGCAGTCGAGCAAAGACATATTGAAAGGTCTCTCGCTGATCCGGGTCGGACAGGTAGGCGACGCAGCAGAGGGCTTCGTAGACTGCAATGAGGACTTCGGTGATGCGATCTCCGAACATGGTCTTCTTGAAGGCCACGCCCTCTGACTCGATCTTCTCGATGCAATTCTTAGCCCAGGTAAGGTTGTGGTTGATGCGGAGGACGTCGCGGCTGTCGAGCATGTCACGAATATGGGACTCTGTTTCCTCGCCCCAGCGTCTCCGAAGGTTAGCGTCGTGTCTCAAAACTGTAGGACTGCGTACTCGTAGAATTTCAGCAGATGGGCTTTCCGCTTCATATGCCAGTTTAGAGCACACTCGGAGCACAGCTGCATGCAGCCCTCCAAGCGAGTGGTGAAGCTCTCCAGCCATTTCCCAGCATCTTTCTTGTCGAAGCCAAAGATGAGGCAGTTCCAGTACGTAATTTCAATCCTTTCGAGCCCGTCTCGTATGCGTTTTTGTTTCTCTTCTGGTGTGATCTGCGACGTAGGATCGTTCGGAACACGGTAGTCTTCGAGATCGTCGTCGGAAACCTTGGGGCAAAGCAGGTGGTGGTTTTCGTCGAGCTCCTGTAGCTTCTCGAACCACTTCTCGAGCTCCTCGTTAATGCTCGTCATAGTGATGGGATAAGTCTTCCGGGAACATTGCGAGTGCTCGTGGCGTGCGGAGCGAGGGTAGATTCGGCGAAAGGGTGGTGGACAACGGTCGCTATTTGGGTTCAGGCGTCGCGAAAGGCGTGCTAAAGAGCAAGAGGTGTATGGATGAGTAAATGAAGAGTCGCAAGCTTTTATTGACGCGCCTATGCCCGGTGCTGGGTGGGAGCGCAGAAAGATGGCGACCGGCAGTTGAGGTTCTGAACGATGGTAGAAATTCGATCCGAGACGCGGCGCGCTTTGTTTAAAATGGAGTGGACCCAAAGGTGCAGGGTACTAAATGCCTGCCCGGGGGCCACGGTGCGCCGGTGCACGTACAGTGAGTGGGCAGTTATTGTAGGCTAATGACCCAAAACCTGCCACTAACTCCCCGGCTTTATTATTCAATGCTACTGTATTAGTTTGATTGCACAAACCTATTAGCATTGTAGTATAATCATTATTACCGTGTGTCTCATTAATAGGTAAGCTAGGACTGTATGTAAGTGTTGAAACATACTTCAGATCGATGAAGACTGAAGATGGTGGACGCGGGCGGTGGACAGGTTTCAGAGCCATTTTATACTGAATTTGGTCGTGGGCAAGGTAATGTGGAGTAAATGAAAGCTTCGAATCACATACGGCTCAGATTTGCTTACTTACCTACTAATGACCAGGTGGGTGGTTAGTTTCCCTCGAGCTGTGTGGCTCTGTCAAACACAGCGCAAAGTAAGCCGCAAACACACATGCATAAAACTGGCTGCGATCAAACAGCTGCGGCAAACGAGCCTCGAGACGAACAGAAATTACAATTTTCTATATGCATGATTTTTTCATTGCGACAAGGCCAGTTCTTGCTGCTGAGGCGTACCTAGGCATTTTACCGGCCGTTGACCCGGTTACACAATCAGAATACTGACCGACCCCTTTTCCACTTACACCTTCATGACCAAGTTACGCGAGCTGCTTTGGTTTGACTTCGGGGATAAGTCCGGCTTTCAGGTCAGGCGAAATTTGGCCCTCTGTGCGGGTGCGCTGTAATTTTAGCTGCCAGTTCCCTCGATATGTCTATCCTACCGAGAACAGCTTTCGAGACAGCATCCCCAATACATATCTCCTGTGTCACTCGACATCACGTTCACATTCACCTTCATCTCGAGTCTCGGATCTAAGCAAATAGCATGGCTGGAGCTCACAAGTCGCTCAGGGTAAAGCGTGTGCGAGTGCGCGTGACAAGCGAGTCACTTGTCATCTTCAGAGTATCCTCGCTTCCACCTCATCTTGCGTTTGAGCATGGCCATAGGTTCGGCTCACTCTCGTTTCTTTATTTTCCTCGCCCAACTCGGATTCACCGCTCCATCTTTTCCGAGCTTCTCCCTCTAGATCAATCTTTGCTTTAGCACCAACCCTGCTACTAGCACTACTTAAGTACAAGAGACAACTCTCCTCCGTATCCTTGAAGAATACAACCAACGTCACCGCCAGTCATCTCCGGTGCTTCTTGCTAGCCCTTTCTGACTTATGCTGTCTTCCGGTAAGCTACCTTTGTTCCCTTATGATAAAGTAATTTTTCATCAGATACCCATATTGGCTCCGATACTCTCTGCCGCCGTATCGGAGCCAGACTCCAGCAATCGTTCCTCAAGAGATGTACTCTGACATCTTCTGTAGGCTCAATCGCTCAGTCCTAGATTGACTCACATACATTCAACATGCCACGTCAAAACCGTGGCCAGGTATCTGGCCGACGTGCCCACCGACACTGGCAAGACATCGGTCTCACCGTCCATCGGCGCCATCAAAGAAGCGTTTCTGTATCCAGCCTGTCGTCAAGTTCGACAGTCGGGAGATTTGAGAATGGCTCGTCCTCACCAGCCCCGCGCCCCGAAACTATCGTAATCGACGATGACGATATCATTGACCTGACAATTGATGACGAGAGCCCTAACCTGTCCGAAGGGAGAAACGTCGGTTCTATTTGTTATCACGGAGAGACATTGCAAGTGGCAGACTTGGTTGAGGTTTGGGCAACAAAACTTGGTCATTACGATGTGGACTTTCTTCAGATCGATCGTGTCGTTCAATCCCGAGACCAACAACAACCTTGGCTACGGGGGACGCCGTTCATTAGGAATCGCAACATGTTCGGCATGTTGTCGAACAAGTCCAACGAGATTTGTCGGATCGAACATATCGTTACGGGCGGACTTGACCCAAGTCCTATACTAATGGATGTCCCGCTGAGCAAGGTTGGCAAAGTTCGGTCCCTCATCTTCACCAATGCTCGCTGGCCACAGTTCAGGTCGAGCGAACTCGCCAACACCCGCCGTCACGCGGAACATCGCCCAGCTCCCAATGATGGCACTTTGGTGTGCCGGTGGAAATTCAAGATCTACTCAGTTCCACAAGGGAGATCGAAGAAGCCGGTCGAAGAGGTCCTCGAGAGGATCGGCGTCACCGAAGTCAACAATCCGCACTACCGCGTGGAAGACGTCCGTCTCTCGCAACAATGGCGAGGTGAAGTCACTCCGGGTGGCTCCTGGGCTGCTGGCAGCACCCTACCCAAAAGCGAGGAACACGGCAATATGGCCCCTACTCCTCGTCGAAGCGGACAAAAGTACACTGTCCTTGATGCATTCTCTGGTGCTGGTGGTCTTTCCCGTGGCGCCCAGTCCGCTGGATTCAAAATCACACATGCCATCGACAAAAGCGACAAGGTCTGGGAGACGTACCGCGCCAACTTCCCAAACGTGAAGCTTTAGGAGACTTCCGTTCACGGTTTTATCAGGTATGCAGAGAACCAGCATATCCGCGTCGATGTTCTACACCTCTCCCCGCCGTGCCAACCCTTCTCTCCTGCGCACACGCGCCCAAGCCCCCAAGACGATGAGAATATCTTTGCCCTCTACTCATGCAACGCCCTCATTGACAAGGTGCGCCCACGGATCATTACAGTTGAGGAGACATTTGGTCTTCCAATGCAGCGCCATCAGGACTATTTCCATGGCTTCCTTAACGACTTCACCCAGTATGGGTACTCTGTCCGCTGGAAGGTAGTGCGACTTTGTACATGGGGCTTGGCACAGGATCGCAGAAGACTCATCATGATTGCAGCTGCCCCTGGGGAGAAGCTGCCACAGTTTCCAGAGCCTACCCATTCCGAAGCCTGCGGACAGGGTCTCAAGAGCTACAATACCATCAAGAGGGCAATCGCTGGTCTCCGTCCCACGGACGACCTACATGACCTCGCTCGGGTTAAGCGATTCTATCCACACAAGGGGCGGTATAACCCCGACAAACTGGGTAGCACTCTCACGACTGGAGGTGCAGACTTCGTCTACTTTGACGGCACTCGGGACTTCACTTTACGCGAGATTGCCTGCTTGCAAGGCTTCCCGAAGAACCACCAATTCATCGGTAGTATTACCGCTGTGAAGCGCCAGATTGGAAATGCCTTTGCTCCAAACACCGTCAAGATACTCTACCAACACGTTGAGAAATGGCTCCTGAAGGAAGACAATAAGTTCGAGTACAAGCCAGCCCCGCAGAACATTGTGTTGCTTGACGACGACTTGGACAGCGACTCATCTCACACGAGCTATCAAAGCAGCTCCTCTCCAGAACCGGATATGATGGACCTCACTGAGGATGTCATGATCATCGACACGGACGAGGCACCCAGGAGCCGTATATCACGCCGACGCATTCAATCAGTGCGCTCTCGCATTTGGGATGATGAAGATGATCTTGTTGATGCTGTCATGATCGACCTCACATGAACCACAAGGCGCTACTTGGCTGTCACGAGGAGTGTATGGAAGACAACTGCGCGATTGCTGAAGGGAAAACAAGGAATGATGTATTGAACAGGTTCCGTTATATGTTGATATATAATAGTCGAGGGAGCTGCGGATGATAGTGGCATCTGTGCCAGGCGACGTTAATTGTACACTGCAGATTTGACTACCTACACAAGGCCGTCTCATGACTGTGACAGGGAACTTTGCAACTCAACAGTCATTGTCTAGCTAGATTAATCCTTGTGTCAGAGTTCCTATGCTGTGAGCTGAAGCTGGCCAAGGCAGTCAGGACGCCTTTGCTCACAGGACGCTTGGGCAGATTGTCGTGCAAGCTGGGGCTGAACAGGGGGGCTGACATTGTTCATAATATTGTCTCATCAACTTTTCCTCGTCTATCCTTCGCAGCGTCTATGGAGCGTTTGCTGTAAAAAAAAAACATCAAATCTAGATCTGGCCCCTGACACCGCCCTTGGCGCCCACTTCCCGCGCGGTCACCGTAACACCCAGGTCAGCTGCCACGTTGATCGTCACCTCGACCTTGCCGCCCTTCTTGACGCCGCGGACGGCCGCCTCGGCGAGCTCACCGCCAATCTTCCAGATCTTTTCCCTCTTTTCCTCCTCCTCCTCCTCGTCCGAGTCAAAGTCCGAGTCGTCCTCGTCATCTTCCTTGTCGGCGCTCTCCTCCTTGGCGGGCTTGGGCTCCGGCTTGGTGACCTTGATGTGGGTGCCGCCCTCGACGACACGGACCAAGACATCGCCGCCCTCGGCGGGTGTGGGGATCTGGACGGTGCGGCGCGCGGGGACGGCGGTCTCGGCGGGCATGATAGGGAGGAACACGTCACCGTTCTCCCCGGTGACGACGCCGACGGCGTTCGCAATGTGCTTGACGGTGGTAACGGCCGGGTGGGTCGACTGCTCAATGTCGGCAGCCTCGTACTCCTGGATCAGCGAGGCCTGGAGGGCGGCGCCACGCGCCTGGAGCTCGGAGGGGTTGATGGCCGTTGTCGAGGTCGCAGGGGCCTGGATGGCGGTGGTCTCGGGGAAGATGCCGCGCAGGTTGTTGGCAATGCGTGGGGTGTGCGAGGTGCCGCCGCACATGACGACCTCGTCAACGTCAAGCACGTCGAGGCCGGCCTTCTTGACGGCGCCCTCGACGAGACGGTTGAAACCCTCAAAGACCTTGCGACCGACCATCTCGTAGCGTATCCTGTTGATCGACACAGAGAAGTCGTAGCCGTCCGCCAAGCTCTCCACGCTGAACTGGGCGTTGCTACCCAGGGACAGAGCCTTCTTGGTGGCCTCGGCCTCCAGGCGCAACTTGGCCAGCGACTTGGGGTTGGAGCGAGGGTCAGTGTTGTGCTTCTTCATAAACTCCTTGGCAAAGTGCTCCATGAGCGCATTGTCGAGGTGGACGCCGGCAAAGTCAAAGTCGTGGGCGGTGGCGAGGATGGTGTACATGCCACCGCGCGAAGCGACGACAGTCACATCAGAGCGAGTGCCGCCCAGGTCGGCAACCACAACGATCTTGTCGGAAATCTCCGCCTCGGGCCGGGCATCGTAAGCCAGGATCGCAGCAACAGGGTCTGCAATCAGCTGGAGGATCTCGAGCCCGGCGTCGTTGGCAGCCTTAATGAGGGCCTCGCGCTGCTTCTCGGTGTAGCTGGTGGGCACGGTGATGACGGCCGATGTGACCTTCTTCCCGAGGTATTCGGAGGCAGCCGAGACCAGGCGGCGCATAAAGCGCGTCGAGACTTCGGAGACGGAGAGCGTGGATGATTCCTCCTCCTTGTCCTTGACGCTGAACGAGACGGTGCCGGATGTGTCCTCGGGGTGCGCCGCGGCGTGGCAGTGGGTGGGGTCAATGGACTTGAAGTCCTGGCCTAGGAAGTCGCGGAAGTAGGCGATGGTGTTCTTGGGCTGGCGGACGAGGAAGGCCTTTGCCTGGCCACCGTAGTACTCGTCGCCATCGTTGTATGAGAGGACAGTGGGGATCTGGCGGTCTGCAGAGAGTCAGCTATCATTCCTTGCCGCAGCGCAACAATTGTACGTACCACCTGCCTCGTCGGCAATGACCTCAGCTTTCGAGTCCGTAGTGTAGGCGATGGAACTGTTCGAGTTACCAAAGGTGATACCGATGGTGACCCTCGACCCAGGTTCAGGCCCCGCGTTGCTCGCGTTCTCAGCCATTGTGTGCTTCGTGTCTGTCTCGAATTCTCTATAAATCGTCTTTGAGAGTCTCGGCCAAGTATATACTCTTTACGAGGGTGAGAGGTTGCCAACTCGATTGTAAGGGGGGGGATGATTTTGGTGATGGTGGTTCAACTGCAAGTAGAACCTGGCCTTGGTGGGGTTTACCAGGAAAGATCCCGCCCAAAAAATTCGCAGTCCATCACAAGCAATCGATAAGACAAGGCAAGGCCAGCAAGGGGTACGTACCTTACCTTCTTGGCTCAACCGCCCCACCTCTGGGAAACTGATGAAATCCAGAGGCGCCTCAAATCGCGGAAACATTCTACGTACTTACGCTGCCATTCACATAGCTTTGCGCCATGGCCTCACAACCAATGTTCGTCCTGCCAGGCGACATCATAGACCCAAGCTTTGTCCCCTCACATCCCAAGAAAGCGCTGCGCCTGGGACCAGGCCTACAGCATGCACCGCCAAACGACATAATCCCAACGCTTGCCGGTCGACTCGTCACAGACCACCAGAAGAATGCCATTCGGATAGAGACAGCAACGGGACGGGTATGCCTCTCTTTTTCTTTGAGGGGTCGCAGCTAAAAATAACCAGTACGTACCCCGGGTCGCTGAGCTTGTCATTGGCACAGTCCAGCGCTCAGCTGCCGAATCCTTCTTCGTCACCTTGTCAGACTACACCGCACCCGCCCTCCTCCCTCACCTCTCGTTCGAATCCGCCACCAAAAAGACCCGTCCCCAGCTCGCCCCAGGCAGCCTGGTCTACGCCCGCGTCACCATGGCCAACAAGCACATGGACGCTGAGCTGGAGTGCGTACATCCCTCCACGGGCAAAAGCGAGGGGTTGGGACCCTTGACGGGCGGCATGGTCTACGACATATCGCTGGGGTTTGCGCGGAGGCTTATGATGCCCAAGGGTGGCATTGTCGTGCTCGACGAGATGGAGAGCGTCGGCTTGCAGTTCGAGACGGCGACAGGGCGCAACGGGAAGTTCTGGGTGAACAGCGAGAACACCAAGACCGTCATTGCCGTGGGGAGGGCCATCACAGAATCGGATACCCAGAGTTTAGGCGCGGAAGGACAACGGAAGCTGGTCCGCAAGATACTCAAGGAAATGAGCTAAGCTGAATTGTGACACATGTGCGCGTGTTATCATGCGTGTGGGGGAGGGGGGGAAATGGCTGCTCAGATGGTATTCAAGGTGCTCTAACAAACAACCCTGTCAAAACGCCTTCTGCCTTCCCACATTGGATCTTTGGCTGTGATATTACCCAGCTCTATCAAAGACCACGCCCTAACGCCATGAGTCCCCCGGGCCTGTAGGCGTCAAAATGAGGATTGGACAAGTCGAGGCAGGCCCGCCAAATCGACCGGCCCAACCAAAAGAAAAAAAGACATGTTGCGTCATGCATTTCGTCGGGTCGCGCGTGACCGTCCGGTATGTTGAATCGCGGCAACTCCTGAGCCATGATCCTGCCGGCCTATCCAGGCCCTATGGGAAACATTCACCACCAACTCCAGCTATGCCAATATGCTCGCAGTCAAAGACAAAAACTCTAGACACCAGTGTCCGACCGGTCGGTGCGGGGTAGGTATCAGCTCTCGGGCTTCACACCCGTCATTTCCGAGTCAACCTCGATGGGCTCGGGCAATCCACGATGGTCCATGCCGTGAATCTTCGTCATGTGTCGTTTCCAATTGTCCTTGCGGGGGAATGCCTTACCGCCAGCTCTCGAGTAATCGCAACCCTGTATTGAGCAATGGAACTTCTTCTTCTTCTCGTGGCGATCATTAATGTGCCGCTGCAGATGGGTCTTTGTGCCGAACCCCTTTCCACAAGCCGGATACGGACACTTGTGGTCCTTGCTGTGGTATCTTTGATGATGCTTCAGCTTGTGTGGCTGATCGAAGACTTGGTTGCAGCCAGGCTCGTCGCACGCAAAATCACCGCCGCGTGGTGATGGAACGCCATTGCCGTGAGGTGAGCCGCCTTGGTGCCCGTAGTCGGAGCTATTGAGCGATTCGGGAGAGGGACTATCCACGTGGGTGGAAGGAGTGCTCTGTGTCGTAGTCGAGGCTGTGCCTTGAGCGGAGCTCGACAGTTCAGAGTGCGCCGCTGTGTTGGAAGCCTTGAGTGACAAGGGAGTCATGCCCATACGGGATGCACTGTCGCTTTGCGAGGCAGTGCTGTCGGTCCGGCTTTGCTTCTGAGACAGCCGCTGCTGTGTCGGGGGAGCGGACGGCGCCGACTGCGGTGGTGGGGGAGGCGGTAAATGCTGGGGGGGCTGGGGTATCGTAAGATTTGACGGCATCTGCGTCTGCGTGTAGTCGCTCGGTAGGCTTTGAAATTGCACTGGGTATGTCGCGATCATCTGCTGTGGGTCGTAAGGTGTCGTGAAGAGCTGATAGTCGGTGCGGTGCCACATCTCTGACTCTGTTGAAGGCGCCATGATATCCATTGGGTTCACAGTGCCCATGACAGACTGAGTTGGTTGCGACGAGGAGTAAACTTGCGAGCGATTCTGCTGCATGAATTCGTCCGGTGGAAGCCCGCGACTGGACATCTCGGCAGGGGACTCGGTGGTAGGTTGCTGTTGAACAAGTTGCTCCATCGGTAAGCCGCGTTCCACTTGGGCCATGTCCTTTGACAGCGGATGGCCTGGTATTTGCAAAGGTTGCGGGCCCGTCGCCTGGTCGCCAACCGTCTTGCGACGAAAGATCTGCTTCATATTGTACCGTAGCGAATTGCCTCGCGACGCGGCAACCGCGGGCTGTGGCGGAGGCGCAACAGGTTCGGGATCCGGGAACATACCAAACGCTTCTGAAGGGATGTACGGGCTGTAGTAGTCCTCGTTCGTACCCTTGAGAACATACTGGTGAGGCGCCAACGGGCCCTGCACGACGTGGCCCTCATAGTAAGGAAAAGGACTTTGGTAGGGCTGGTGTTGGTTGTCGGTGACAGGATCAATGGGGATGTTCGGGTCCAAGTTGGCGTTGACGTAGTGAAGCGTTGGCGCTTGAGGCACGCCGGTGTAGCGGTACGAGTCGTAGGGATGAGTGTCGTACTCGCGCGGTAACGAGCTGCGCTTGTAAGAATCGCTCGAGGACAGACGGCGCACCGAGAGGGCGGGCATGCCTCGGATGCCCCCCTCGCAGTCGAAGTTGAGGCGCTTATGCTTTTTGAGCTGGCGAACGATGAGAGCTTGCACTGTTAGTGATCCGCATAGTGAGAGTGAGCCTGGCAAGACAGCATACGATAGAGGCAACAGATCAGAAGAGCGACACCAAGGACAGCTCCTACTGCAGTGCCTGCGATGGCCTCCTCGTCCATCTTCTTGCGGGTCAAGGGAGCACCGGCGAGCCGGGCATGAAGACCGTTAGCCATGGCGACATGGTCCCGACGGCTCTGCGCGGGCAGAGCCTCTTCCTCCAGTGCGCCGTCGAGCTGGTGGTTGACTGGACCGGTTGCAAATGAATGATCGTCCGGCTCGAGATCGAGAGCCTCACTAGGTTCCGAAGGGGTATTGGCCAGACCGTCGTCGTGGTTGTTGTTGTGAGCGATGGCAGGAGGCACGGTAGCCATGACAGTGAGGGGGTTCGAAAGAGGCCGCCAACGCCAGGGAATGGAGTTTTCCCCCGTCGAAGACACCGGTGTCAACGAACGCGTTGCAAGAGTACCAAAGCGCGCTCCCAGACGATCAGCACATTATGAGAGGACGTAGTGTGTGTCAGGCAGTTTTTGGCACTATATGAGAAGGGAGAGAGAGGTCAGGCGAGTGCGCCGACTTGAAAGCCAATTCGATCCGATCCAGGATCCTTGAAGGAACCTTCAAGTCCAGTCAACGTTCGCTGACCGGGGGTCGTGCAGCGCAGCATCGGGCGTGTGGAAGATCCACCAGACTGCGACGCACGAGGGCAGTACACGTACGTAGTCCCCAGTCACAGACGGCGAATCAGAAGTGCCGCATACAGCATGCCGGCCCCATAATCGATTTATCAGGCAAGAGCCTCAGCCACTCCAGTCGGCGTCCCGCGGCGAACTGATTAGGTACTTGTCCACTGGGGACTGGATAGGTGACATGACTTTGTATTAGTGCTTCCGCTCACCAGGAAGTATTTAGGTCAGTGGGGTTCAGTCCCTCACATCCTTGATTAACTCTATGAACTATGGGCTCGTCATCGCGCAAACATAGCGCTTGTGACTTCTAACCATGCCCAATTGTTCTATTGTTCTCATTAGAATTGAAGCACTCACATACACGGCTACTAAGTACGGATGTAGTCCAATGAGTATCTTATGGTTCTGAGGCGATTTCAAGACTGTCCCGCAGCCTCCACGTAAACCATGCCACCTACTTATACAAGTAGGCATCCCTTGACAACCTCTTGTTCTTCCTATGCACACACTACGAACAGCCAGGACCGAGATTCGGTGCCATTCCCATGCGGCAATTTGCCATAAAATGCCTCCCATCAACGAGCGAGTGGTACGGGAGGAGATGAGGCACTAACGCTCTCCCCACAACGCGCGTCCGAGTCCGTTGGAACACTTGCTTGTCTCCATACTCCGTACTATCTCAGCGGCCGTAATACGCTCAGTAGTACGGACGGGTGACCATGTTCACTAGGTCGGCATTTGCCCGGCATTGACGTCTTCGAAAATTCAATCGACAAAGGATGGGCTAACTTTAACACTCTATGCCACTACGTACGCCCTGATTGCTAGTCTAGAGTGTGTGGCAAAGAGTTATTCGCTAGACCCATCTGTCCGTCAAAAGACAACCACATCCATGTGAGAATGGAAGAGTGTACCTGAAAGAAAATGAGGTCCATTGGCTCAGCCCTTTGTTGCGCGATACTTTCTTCTACTATCGGAGAATCCCCCTCGCCTTTACAGCCCGTCCTCTCGTGAGCCCCAGGTCGGCCTGCTGTTATCACTACTGCTACCTTACTTATGCAACCAACCTCGCGCCCGTCCGCCGACAGGAATGGGACATGTGAGAGCGCGCGCAACGGTCAAAAATCTCAGTCACAGAATTGAAACGTCGCGACCCATGACATCTAGGAGAACCACGTCCATTGGCAACCACTTTGGTAAGACCTCTCCTTGTGGATGAGGCGCACATTGCGACAGAAAGCGACATGCCCCTCGGTTACCTGCCGCCCCACCCCCAGGTTGGTTTGCTCGGCTCGCGGCTGGCGACTGCAACTTTAACGGAGACCTGATCACACTTTGTGTCGAGATCATGCTTGGCACACCTTGCAGTCATGCAACGAGTAAATCTGTCATGAGAATACGAGTATGATTCCGCATATATTCCACTGCGCGTTGGATATTTCAATTACTTCGTAGGTAAGCCAGCAATGGAGCGAAGACCACGGAACAAGCGCAAATTTGTTCCATGCCATTAATCATTAAAGTCATCCACGTAATGAACCAAGTCCGAAAATCTAGATACATCAAGCAGTCGGTCGTACAATTTGATCATATCTCGAAAACCCTGTTTCCTGCCTTGACACAATCCCAAAGCCTTGTCAATGCGGTCCGACGGCCCATGGCCATGGCTGGATGCATGACAACGATCTCCGCCTGTCGAGCGCGGGTGATGGCGACGTTGAGCCGATGCTCGCTTGTCATGAAGCCAGGCCTATCTGTTCTGACCATGTCCAGGACCACCACGTCTGCCTGCCTCCCTTGGGCCTTGTCCACTGTCAAGACTTGAACACGCTTCTGCCATTCAAAGGGCCATTTCCTGACAATCGCATCGTACTTTCTCACCGCAGCAGAGTACGGCGTCATGATCATGATAGTGCCGGGGCGATCCGGACAGTCGATGGACATGAGCCCCGGGAGGTTCAGGAGCTTTTCGACCAGCTCGATGACCCATCTCTGGTGCTCAGGGTTCCAGAAGCTAGATCTTTGTGTGCATTGTTGTGACATTTTGAGCCGGGCAATGATACGATTCTGGCTGACATCTTGTGTCATCTCATTGTTCAAGTCTTGCAGGAATTCCTTCAGGTTCCATACCGACGCGGGGTACATGTCTTCGGGTGCGTGGTCCGAGATCATCTCTTCTCCGTAAAACAGCTTCGATGGTAGGAGGTGGAGGTTGCCGTACGCTCGCTTGTTGACCAGCAGCCGAGCATCTAGAGCATCGACTTGCTCAGCGCGGGCCATTGTCGACATCTGAGGGAGGCTCTGTCAGTTATGTCCACATGTGAAATGGATAACTTACCTTGAGCTGCTCTGCAAATCGGTTGAATTGCAAACCATCACGCGCCGCGTCATGTCTTTCACCGCCCTTGACGAACGGAAGGGTCTGCTTGACATCTCCCGTGAAAATCCACACCCGCGGAGAGTAGTACGCTATTGTGATTAGTGTAGTCAACTCCCTGGCGTGAGGAGCTTCGTCGACAAATATGACTTCAGGCCGGAACACATCGGCGAAATGTCCAGCGGCCGGAACAGGTGTGGTAAACACAATGTCCGTCAGACCTAGGACAACTCTGTACAGGTTCGAGATGTAATCGCGCAGGGTCTTCTATTCCTTGCCGCTCAACACCTCTTTGTGTGCTTGAATCCTCGTCAAAAAGCTCCCAAGGCCGTTCCATTCCTTTTCAGTCGAATGGTTGTCAAAGTATTCCCACGCTGCCTCGTCCAGCGTTGGTACGGCATCGGTATTTCGTTTGCCAGTACGCGACAGATCTCCCGTCACGAGGAATTTCATAGTAATATCACCGAAGCCTTTTTCTTTCTCCTTGTTGTTGTCTTTGTCGACGTTCAGTCGGGTGCTGCTCCTCATCTCGGATGGCCATCCATGCATGCGCACCGCAAGTGAGCTGACGCCAACCTCCTGGCACAGTCGGTGATATCGGGCTGCTGCATCATCGACGGTCTTGTTGATGTCCACGATGTACAGTATGCGTGGTACTGGCCGGCAGCTGCCAGTGCGCTGAGTAGCTTGGATCATCGCGGCGACGATCATATTCCACTCGGTCTTGCCCGAGCCTGGGCACCCATTGATCAAGAAGAGATGGTTCTTGATACCCTTTAGTGCGGAGTAGGCTCTTTGGTGATCAGAGTTGAAGCTGTCGAACTTTTGAAGAAGCTTGGCTGGAATTTTCCACCCAGGGTCATGTGGACTTTCGAGTTGCGGATACGCACGCATAAGATTTGTTCTCGTAACTTGAGCTCCTTGAAAATCGAGGATCATCTTGAAGGTATTGAGTGACTGTGTGGTTGGACCTGTCTCCTTGTGCTCCTGCTCTCTCTTGGTCAGATAGCGAAGCGCACCCAGCTCGGCCTCGAATGTTGGGGACTCAAGGTCCCATAGAATCGTGAGGCGTTGCGTCTTGGGCTCTGATAAGTCTGAAGACTCGGTCCAGGTAACGTCGTCCAGAGAGTCGGTCATAGTAAAACAACTCATTTGCTCCCACTCCCTAACCTGACCTTCGGCGTCCTCCCAGCTTCGCGGGGCGTCGACCTTGAGCGCGGCCGCATTCCGCACACGCTTGTTCATAGTCGGCGAATTTTCATAAGGGTTGACAATTCTTGTTGACTTCATGCCACACAAGCCAAAGACCTTGCCATCGCGTTTCACCTTTTCGACCATGCTAACCCGAAAGCAGTCACCTACCACAGGAAAGAGGGCATCGTTAGGTGGCAATGGGGACTCCACGAGTAGTAACCATGACCTTGTACGCACGGTCTTGGTGCCGGGCAGAGGCGCAACAACCCAGCAGACGAATTGCTGTCGTTTCTGGTTAAAGTCTTGGAGTAGCTTTATTTCGTTCTCCATCTCTATTATCGTTCCTTCCTCGTGGAGGCGAATAAAGTCATCTTGGTTAGGGAATGACAGCAACGGCCTCGATGACTAGAGTGATTGTTAGAGAATCTTCCAAGAAATGGTGCCAGAAACTCACAGAGATTTGGAGGGATGTTATCCCGACCAAGCTCGTCATTGAGTACATGTCGAGATATTCAAAGAACGGACAGCCTTGGTATGGCACAAGTGCGTTGAGCGGCAGCTCTGCGTTGGCAAGAGGTGAATGGAAATGGCGTGAAGAGAGAATAAGGGAAGGGTAATGACTGGGCAGTCAAGCCCAAATAAGTTGTGCGTGCTAGGGCTGCTGCCTAAATGAAAGAGCCAGCAACAGCATACGTGCCCTCAATAGGCAGGAGCCTACTAATTGCAGGGCGAGGTGTGGCGAAATGAAGGTGAAGTGACCAAGACGTATACTTGGGACGACTCACCTCGGGTGCATTCTCCTTGAATCACACACCAGAGCCCACGCCACACCCAGGCAAGACAATGATACAGATAATCTAACACAGTAAGTGTCTCTATTTTAAGGCTAGCAACGGTGAGAGCTTCAAAATCTCACATAAGTTTGACTGTGGCTTCCAAAGCATGCAAACACCTGTGTGACAAGCAATTGGCCGTACTACACGGCCTAACACATTTCAACCGCTGACAGCTTGGATGGACTACGACGCCACCCCGTTCGGTAGTTTCCATGCAATCAGGTCATCTCGGACATCAGACTCCCCCATCTCCCTCATGTGACTCGCGTGGACACCCTCGGTCTTGGACGACGAGCGTGGGCGCTCGCTATCCATGGTTGGCATTTGACTGTCACTCCGATCGAGTCCCAGTTCCGCCTCCACTGCATCTACAGCAGCGAGTGGTAACCGGACAACCTTGGCGGGTCCTTCATGAACGCCATTCTGCTGCGCGGTCACCGTCACCGTGCTCTTATCACTGGCGGCGCTGCCATGTCGTCGATGGGAGTGGAAAGGGTTGTGGGGCCGGTGAGATGTCGTATTGCTACCGTGTGTTGTCGTCTTCTGACCACGATGCCTCCCAAAGCGTCTAAGATCGCTTGGTCGGAGTGTGCCCTGACCGCCGTCCCCTTCGTCATCCGAATTGGAATTGGAATTGGAATTGGAATTGGACGTTGAAATTTGCTGGTTTTGCTGGGTTCGCCAGCCATTGCCACCAGCAAAGATATCCTCGATGCATTCGTCGGCTGGTAGTTCTGACGGCAGTCTAATCCAAGATGCCGCCAATGTCTTCCTGTACAGGTCGTGGATATCGGCAGCGTCTCTAGGCTTCGCTATGCTCGGCGAAGCTGCGTATGTCAGTATGTGTATCCCAGGCCAAGAGATAGGAGATTTACGCACGTCCAATGTCCTCGGCAACCTGCGGCTCGTGGGCAACGACGCCTGCAATGCCGCCAAAGGTGGCTGTAGGTTTCAGTGAAGGCGTCGTGTAGTTACGTTCGCCATCCACCTGGACCATCAAGATGCTCATGCGCAGAGTGCTGTTGATTTTGCTCTCTTGCATGAGATACCTCCTCACGATCCCTTCCGGCGCATCGCCCCCATCCGTAGTGGCGGGCGGGCTCACGCTCACGCTGCCTGATCGGCCTCTCCCCGAGGAGGGGTTCTTCAGCAGAGCCTCGCTTTCCTCGACATACTCACTCAGGTTCAACTTGATTTCGCCCAGCGTCATCTTCTCCGTCACGGCAAACTCTTGAATGATTTCAAGCTCGATAGGACATTCGACCAGCTGGTTGTTCTTGTCGATGGCTATCCTGATATGTGGAATCATCTTGCTGAAGGCATAGTCGACGCGATGGTTCACAATCGGACATTTCGCTGTGCGCCCTCGATGTTCAGCATGCATCGAGTGCGCCAGATGCCACTTGATGAACGAGGACCCCGAGACCAAGGGGACATTGTTGAGGTCGTAGATTTTGAGGTGAAGCTCAAACTTGGGCCTCTTGCCCTTGCCGACTGGATTGAGACGACGCATGTTAGCGATGTGAGCCACAGGCTTTGATGAGCCCCCCAAGTTGCAGGCACATGTCCTGTCTCAAGTAGGCACGAAACAAAGCATGTCGTCTCAGGGTGATGGGCATCAAGGGAGGACGACCAAATGCGCTCAGTGTAACAATGATGGGGCAAGAGGAACAGGTGAGCTTGCTTACTTAGAGTCTCCATCTCTCTCCAAAACTGAGGTAGTTGGCCCTATCAGGGCAAGCCGTCGGGGAGGGCCAATCCTGTGAGGTTATTCGGATATGACGGCGCCGGGGTGTGTGGGAGGTCTGCGACACGACGCGACAACACGCGTAAGGCACTTGGGGCCTCGTAAGCAGCAGTGAACTCGCTTTTCCTAGTGTGCGACGACTATAATACCAGTTTCACCCGCGATCGTGACCTATAAATTATAAGGCGCGCGCGAGCCTTGCGGCTCTTGGAGGGGTCGAGACTGTTGCGCAGCAGCCGATGCGAGTCTGGACCAGGCACAATGACGAACCTGTCAGCAAGTGATACAGGGCAGGACTGCGCGGCGCATTCAGAAGTCCAGAAGAAATCGAGAATTTGGGATGAGTATGAATTATAGGACAGGTGCACTGGGAAAGAGGATTGCGACTAGGAGATGCTCATTGTGCAAAGTACTAATTAATTAATATCCCTACCAACGCCCCGAATCGCGGATCATGTGCAACAACATCGTCATTCCACAGGCGCTGGAGGGCCGGGTGGATCCGAGGGAGGTCCCTGGAGTGAGGCTAACCTGAGTCGGAAGTGCCCACCAGTCAGAGCTTATCGATAAAAAAGTACTTCTTTGAATCTCGACTTGCCCATCACACGTTTGACTGCGTGGACTGTCAGAGTTATCGCGAACTCCAGCCCTTGTTACGATGAGCTCCACTAAGGGTGGAAGCTCACAGCCAAACAACCCGCCTGCGAAAAAGCGCAAGATCGACAACAATGGCAACAAAGGCGCAGCCAGACGAGTTGCGCGGGCCATTCCTACGCAGCTGCCCGAAGTCGCCTTTGAGAATGGCGAGCTCGATCTCCAGCCCTTTGTGGCCGCCCATGAGTTTGAAATCCGCGCTCTCGAGCAGAGCATGGCGACCTCCAAGACGCAGGGTGCCACACGAGCTTTCCAGAAAGTGCCACGGGGGCTGCGAAGACGAGCTGCCAGTCACAACCCCAAGCGCGTGCCAAAGAGGTTGAGAGCAAGGGCGCAGAAGGAGAAGGCGGAGGACAACACCCCGTTAGTCACGGCCAGGAGGAGAAAACCGACGACGACGACGGCAAGGATACGGATGGAGACGGCGAAGAAGCTTCGAACCTTGGCATTTCGCAAGAAGACGTCTCGGGAGAAGCGAGCCAGGGCGGCTGGGGCCAGAGCAGAGACTCTGCCGGACAAAGCAAAGCAGACCAAACGGGCGAGACGACCCAAGATCCGACGCAATGCTCTCAATGAGCCAACGCGACCGCGGGGCAGATTTCGGAAACGGCAGAGGAACAAGATTTGGCTCCCAACGCACATGTGGCATGCGAAGCGAGCGCGCATGACAAGCCCAAAAGAACCCCTCTGGCGATTTGCAATGCCTCTCAGGCCCAACGAGAAGATATACCGTCCCACTCATCGCATGCAAGGCGATCGAGGGGCGGTCGCGTGGGACATGAGTTACATGAGTACAATCGCCGTCTACGGCCACCCTGCTGGGATGGAGCGGGTTTTGAGGCGTATCGGTGTCACACACGACTCATGCTGGAACGACAAGGGCAAGAAATGGCGGGCTGGCACACGCAGCTGGTCCGGCATGCTGAGTCGCGAGACCAAACAAGGCCGGAGGCAATCGTGTCCCAGCACAGTCTTCTGGGACCCATTGCCGGTTGATCGTGTAGCGGTGGAAGACCCCAAGAAGGACAGACGGCGAGTGTTCCTCAGGGTTCACCCAGCCAGCTTCTCGGAATTATTCAATGAGCTGCTACGATGGTGCAAATCGGAGACACCACAGCTATATATCGAGGATCTCCGCTTCGAGATTGGGAGCATCGAGCTGACTGGTCCGGCCTCGACAGAGGTGCTTCACTCGGTGCTGACTCCATATCTTGTGGCCGGTGAGCCTAAACCGAAACACGCTGAGCTTTTCGCGTCCCTAAAAGGCCTGACGAACCCTGCAGCGCTGCCGCAGAACGCCATTCTGGGGTTCTCGATCCAGGATCCACGACTACGCTATCCGCCTCGAAAGCAGTCCCCCGCTCAAGGCGAGGCTGCTGAAACAAAGCTCCTAGAGACGGTTTCTCGGTGGCCGGCGGAAACTGCTCTCAAACCGTACACGCTCTTCGACCGTGACATCCGGCATCAAGCTTCCCAGTTGCCTACACAAGGACTTGTCAATCGTAGAAGGAGTAAAATCACGCCCGGTTCTTTCCTCAAGCCTTCGCCGATCGACCCAGCTATACCCATTGTGCTGCTAGCTTCCCGCTCGGGTTCCAGTACGCAGGCGCAAGGGAAGTGGACTCTCCTGGCACCTTGGAAATGCATCCAACCGATATGGTACAGCATCGTTCACTGTCCGTTGTCGACTGGCGGCAATCCCCGGTTTGCGGGCCTCGAGCAGACGCGCCAGGTTGCCTTTGAGCGCGGGCTGCCTTGGTTCCCTGCGGACTTTCCCACCACAGATGCTGGCGTTGCGTGGGAGCTGGAGCAAAGAGCCGTTCGCACCCGCACATGGTCGAGGCGACCCAAGAGCAAGCGCACAGAATGGAGTACTGTTGATCTCGGCGCCGGCAGGAAAGGTGAGCTTGGCGACGGGCTGGCCTGCGATTTCGAGTACCTTTTCGGTCTCCCACGGCCAGACGGCGCGGAGACGCAGTCGACCGAGGACGCCATGGATGTTGAACACGCTCAAGTCTCACAGACCAAGGCTCCCTCGCCTTCGGCCTTGGGTGCCCTCCATCACGTCGGCCGAAAAGCCTTGCAAGGGCTGGCGCGAGCAGAGGAAGGTGTTGCTCTCTCTATACCGTTGAATGCGCTTCTGACTGTGCGCATTCGACTGGTGGCCCGAGGTACGGTTGGCCCTTGTGCGAGGATCTATCGCCTGCCCGCGACACCGCCGCCTGTGCCGGTAGCTTCCGACGCAGAAGTCCCAGCCACGATACCTCCATCAGCGTCGACTTCTTTCCCGCCTGCTTTGCCCCATGATTTACGCGCGCAGTGGCTGGCCAAGCTGCCTGACACTACTGCCGCAGGAGCCAATGATACTACACGGCAGCCTCGAGCAACCACTCCCGAGTCGCGCAAGCAGCGCATTGTGAAAGATCTGACATCGAGGCCGACACCTTGGCCATCTACGAAGTCGAACTTGACGGATATCGGGGGCCAGCACCCCTTGTGCCCGAGCTCGAGCGACCTCATTGGGTTCGTGACGACGGGCGAGTTCTGTCTCAGTGAAGGCAGAGGGTCGGCAATAGGCAGTATTGCTGTTGACAAGGTCTTGGACGGATGCAGGGCGGACGAGAAAGAAGGCAGACTGTGCATTGTAAGAAACACGGGTGAAAACGTGGGCTGGCTTGCGAGATGGGAAGCTGTGTGATGCAGTCAGGGGAATCTACAAGATGGCGGATGTGATGACCACACCAGGGAAATGCTACAATACGTCAATGATACCATTCGAGCAACCTCGGCTCCCAAGGGCGGCATGCACACTGAAATCGCTACCGTCTGCGTGCCTTTGCTCCCCAATGCGCAAGGGCGTGGTTGACTTGCGGCTTGCCACGCTTCTGCTATAAGATTCTGAGAGCTCGCCCACCCAAACACTGTCTGCGCAATTTAGAACACGCACTTGCCAGAACTTTGCAAATATGAACATGTCGGATAAGATTATGGGCGGCTGCTTATGCGAAGCAGTCCGCTATCAGATTGACATGCGACTAAGCACAATACCCGTGAGTCCACTGAACTAATGAGCATCACACACAGGACGCTGACCGCGCGCAGCCATCAACGTGCCAGTGCACCCAATGCCGCAAGCAATCCGGCGCCCTCAGCGTGCACTTCCTCAAAGTACCCCTCTCCTCGCTGTCCTGGCTGCGGAACAAGGAGACGTGGTCGCGGGACGCCCCGCCCGACCTCACGATATTCCGGGCGTCCCCAGGCTCCCCTGAGATCACGCGCGGATTCTGCTCAAAGTGTGGGGGTCTCGTCTACTGGCGCGATGGGAGCACCGATATGACAAGTATCACCTTGGGCACCTTTGACGAGGACATGCTCCGGGGACGGCATAGTGTGCTCGCGGGTGCCAAGTCACACCTCTAGCCTCTAGCGCAGCAGGAGATCAAGGGACAAAGGGCGAGAATGCTGTCTGATTGTCGTAGTCAGATGGTATCTATGTAAACTCAAGTTCGCTGCCGTCCGACCCTTGAACGCCTGGAGAAAGAAAAGTGCTCAAAGCAAGCCCGTTGGGTGTCCAAGATAGTAGATCAGTCCTCCTCACTAATGTCGCTCTCGTCGTCTTGCTGGGGCTCAGCCTCACCGCTGTCCTCGGCCATCTCCATCTCAAATGCCTCTTCAAGGTCCTTCTCAAGCTCATCCTCCAGGGATCGCTGTGTATCGCCCTCGGCGGCGCCCGCCTCCTCATGATTATCCGATGCGTACCCGCCCTGTTGGGGCTGCTTCACCGGACTAGGCAGCTTGAAGTCCTCCTCTTCATCCATGCTCTCGCCATCGGCGTCGTCAGCCTCGCTTTCCCGCCGGTCCATAAACTCGTCAAACGGCCTGACGGACGTGACGGCTGGTGAGAAGCCACGGCCATTGGCTTTGGGTCCGCTGCCGTCCGGGTACTCGACCTGCAGCGGGTCGTCTTCTTCCTCTTCTTCGTCCTCGTCCTTCTCTGGCGCCTTCTTTCGTTTCGATTCTGCTGTTGCTGTTTTTGCAGCCGGCGGTAGCGCAAGGTCAATGTTCTTGGCTTTGCGCTCCGGCTTCCTCGCAGCGGGCTCCTTCTTGTTGGGCGACGGACTCTTGGCCCTGGGATTCGGCTTAGCCTTGGGTTTGGCCTCTGTCTTCTTGTGCGCAGTGTCCGCGGCCTTGATGTGGGGATGTCGTCGTTCCAGGCTGCTTGCATCTGAGTTCCCTGGCATACGCGTCAGGTTCATGTGGAAAGTCGAGTCGAGCCTGTCGAGTACAAAGACCTCTCTCCTTGGGTCAAAGTACATGACGTAGCGTCCGTCTCCGACACTCCTCATGCCTTGGTAGGCATATGTGCCGTCCGATTCGGATATTGTGAGATCGTAGGATGATGTCTGTCCGGCGTTCGACGGCTTGACCCGGGCGGTTGACGACTCGGAGATTCCGCTTGGTTTGTGGTTGTCTGGGCACTTGTTAGAGACAGGGTCCATCTTTCGCATAGATTTCAACGTACAGCGCACGCCTGTGAAGATTTCGTTATGTTCTTTGCCCAAAAGACGGTCACTCAGGACGACGGGGTATTTGCCCGCCTTTGTCGGGTCGATGAGGCCAGCCATTGTGGCGGCTTATGCGGGGAGAAACAACTCCTGGAGCGTCGGCTGACTCTAGAGGGAGAGAATCCCTTGAGCTGCTGAGAGTGAACTTGGACTCTCGACAGAAAGAGGTCTGTGTATCCGTAGCAAGTTGAGGCTGGCAATCGGAATTGACGGGGAGGTTTCAGGACCGAGACCGGGATGATGGCTGGATCGAGGGACCTGGTATGGTGGGGACTCAGCGGCTGGGTCAGGTGGGTAATGACGGACACTAATAGACGCAAGCTAAGGTAATTAGCGATGCTTCCCGCTGAGGGGCGTTCCTGGTCGCTGATGTTGGAGCGATGATGAAGCGTGATTCAGTGACTGGAGATACTTTGTGAGGGTGGCGCACGGGTGACTGTCATTGTCAGACAGGAGAAAGGCGGACAAGGCGCTGATCAGTCCAGTCATCTCCGTGGTCTCTGCTGCCCATGACGGCGCATCATTTTTGGCGGAGCATAATTGGCAGTGTGCTGCGCTCGATACTTTCCTCTGCATCGGGCCACGTTTTCAGTGAAGCCGAGCCAAGGAAGTACTAGTACGAGGTGCCTTACCTGATGAATCATACGGCCAAGCAGTGGCACTTAATAAGAATGGCTCGGAGTCTATCATCCCGAGGCGACAAGACAGCTTCACTCTGCCTACCCGGGAGCACATCACTAAAATTCAGAAAGCGGCAAAAGATACCCACCCCTTCATTTATTGAAGCAGTTTGAATTGAGAAATTGAGGCAAGGCCCTGTGATCTGGATGGTCATTGCTGCGATGCAAGAAGTTATTTGGCGGTGTGCCATATAAGGGATCATTGAGGAGATCACCAAAGAGAGACCAGTTCAGTTGATGGCCTTTGCCACGGGGCGAGCACCTCCAGGATGACATGGCACATTGGTATAGACAGGCAAAATGCTGAACACAGACGACATCCTGGCTCAGGGAGCTGGGTTCAATTATATGATTGTCAAGAGGTTTTTCGATATCATGCTCAAAAAAGCCTCTGGTCTAATAGTTGTCGATCGCGTGTCAGACTAAGGCCCGGATCTCCCGCCCCTTTTCGAAGCCAATGCCAACAAACCATCTGCCTAACCCACGCCCCTTGAATGCAGCTATATATCTATGCCAACAGAAAAGTCCACAGACGCGCTTCATAGAACGGCTAGCCAGCCGTCGCCGAGCAACTTACGCTTGGTAACCTGCTGAGCAACCAGACAGTCAAGGGCCTAGGCGCAGTTCTTGGCGTGGATGTGTTATTGTACCTGTGCTTGTGCTTACAAAACTTCATATAACCTGGAGTCGCAGCAGATAGATCGTCTCTCTGTCGGGGAAGATCAAATTAAAGACTAGCCCGCCTGGCCTCCCGTCGTGTCCGTCTGCGTACTTGGGCTGTGGACGACGATGCACGAAAAAGTTGCGGGCGGTCGCTGTTGATGGTATGTGGGCTTGCTCATCGCCTCCAGGTGGATGGCAGTAAACACGCCCTTATATTCTTTCCGCCTATTGAGTCTTCTTCCCAGCCTTGACCCGCTCCGCCCCCTTTGGTGTCTTGAGACCCAACAATACTGCCGCCGCGACAACCGCCATACCAGCAGCGCCCATGTTGTACGCCACCTCTCTACCCGCCCACCAATACACGCTCGTGAACAAGATCGGGCCAAGCCCTCGACCGAGCTGGCCCCAGCTGCGAAGGATCCCAAGCTTGCCGCCTCGCTCGTTCTCGCTCGCCTCAAAGCTGCTCAGGGTATTCAGTCCGGTGACCACGGTGGCCGAGGTCACGGCCAGACACGTCACGGCCGCATACAGGCCCCCAATCGTCGACACCCTCCCCAGCAAGACGAACGCGGCCAGGCACGAGATCACACCCGTGCGCACCGATGTGAGGGCGGGAAGGCGACGAGTGACACCACCCTGGAGAAGAGAGGCCACCAAACCAACGAAGCCCAGCAGCCTGCCGTTCTTCGAGGACCCGAACGCGAATAACTCGTACGTCATGAACGACAGCGAGCTTTCCATACCCGAGAAGAAAAGGAGAAACACGAAGTGCACCGCATTCAGCAGGAAGTGAGAGTTTGTGCGCTCCACGGAGACCTTGGATTTCTTCTCCTCCTTCTTCTCGGGGGCGTTCCCGGTCAGCGCAGGGAGGGTCTCCGGTAGACAGAAGTAGAGGTAGATTGTTTCCAGCACAATCAAACCAAGACTCACACCAGCGGCCGTAGCAAATGGGTTGGCAGCCACGGAGGGAATGGTGCTCAGATAGGCGCCCAGCCCGGGCCCAAACGTGAATGCAATGGAGAAGCAGGCACCGATGATGGCCATGGTCGATCCACGCGAGGCCCCATCGGAGATGTCGGTGGCCATGGCAGTAGCCAGCTGCACGTTGCCCTCCGACAGACCCCCCACGATCCGACTCAAGATGAACGTTCGAAAGTCCACCGCGGCGACCCACAGCAGGACGCTGAGAATGTTGCCCGTCATGCTGGCCAGCAGCGCGGTGCGACGACCGTAGCGATCCGACAGTGCCCCAATCAAGGGCGACGCGATGGCCTGCAGGAGACTGAACAGCGAGCCCATGGCGCCGCCCAGCAGCACAATGTCATAGCGCGCCTCGATTGGTCGTTCGAAGGCGGATTTGTAGCGGTTCAGTCCATCAAGGAGCCATTGCAGGAGCGTGGCCTTGGGCGCGTCGGCGGACAAGGGCGCCTCGCGGTCGCGGTAGAACTCGAGGAGTTTGGGAAACAGCGGTAGGATGAATGTGAAGGAGAGCTACGGTGACAGGTTAGTCTTGTTCCATTGCGGTTCGTTTGAGAGGTGCACTTGCGAGGTCGAGGAGGAGGGACACAAAGATGACGCGAAGCACCCGCTTCCGGGTGGCGGGGTCGACAGCCATGACGAGGGCGGGCGCGATGAAGAGAATGAGTGCAAGGGAAGAAGAGGACGCGAGCTGGAAAGGCTCACCAAAGTGAAGAGATGTCGAACAGTAGAGGACAACTCGCAAGCGACCAGCAGCCGGTGGAGTTGGAAGCACCAATTTCTTGAAACGCCTAGGCCACCAGCACCGTCGTCGACGTGCGTCAGGGGTCAGGTCCGGCGGGCCGCACGTGGGGAACATGGCTTGGCGGGATAATCACGGATAGAGCTCGCTGCTGCGCTGCTGGACTGTGGACACCTGTGCCTATTATCTAGGTATGCAAGATATAAGTACGATTACTTCAGAATCGGGACATACGTGTCTCGATGTTCAAAGTCAGAGTATCGCCATGCGAGCGATCTCATGGTTCACGCCTGTGACGTAGTACACATCAAGACGCGCAGACGACAGAGTAATTCACATAAATCATCAATTCATGTTCTTTCATAGGTGTGTAGTGAGACAAAGGAAACAGTCAAGTCGTCGCGCCCTCACAGCGTTTGTGGTGGAGGTGCAGGCGGGCCGGCCAGCCATCTGGTGACAGCCAGCCAATCCCTCCTGCGAACACATCCAAACATCCTCGATACGGGCCAAGCACTAAAGCATGGCTTCCCCAAGTTTTGAAGAGTGCCCCGAAAGGCAATCTCTCGTTGTCAGATACTTCGGAGTACTGATGAGCCTCTTATCTGCATTTCACGATGCCGCCCGCCATGGAGCTGGCAGGCGTGCACCATTACTAGACAGACAGAGGACGTCCCGCGTAGGCTTCCCGACTCGCCGTCGTCAACCTGTCCTTCCCAATCAGGGTCCCAGATGTGGCGTTGTTCCCAAAGAACAAGCGTTGTCCTGACGTGGTGTTAGCCTCAGCCAATAGATCGCACAACCGACAAGACGTACCAAGACTCTGCACGCGTGAGAGCGAGGCGGAGAGACGATCAACAGTCGCGAGATGAGCATGCCCAGTGAAGGGTTCATCTGTATGAGGTTAGTTTGGTCGATCATGACAATCTCGTCGTCACCATCACATACCTTGACCAGAAATTCCAATGACATTCGAGAGCGCAAAGAGCGACTCCAAACCATGGGCCGTAGCAGAGATACTGTGAGGGGCAACAAGAACAGACTGTTTCTTGCCAGACACCAGTTCCCGACGAGACCAAAGTCCATCGAACAGACCAGAAGGGCCCGCGCCGACCACAGAGCGGTCGACGAGGGCCATGGGGGCGAGCAAGATGCCTAGCAAGAGGCAAGTGGCCCACCACCAAGCCAGAAGGTCCTGCACCACCGACATGGTCGGCGGCCGGAGAGTTGTGTATAGTAGTAGTTAGGTAGTTGTTTTTATCTTGTGACTGGCCAGAAGGCACAGCCTGCGGATAGCAGGAGAGCAGAAACAAGAGCAGAAAAGGTCTGGGCCAGAGTTCTCTTTTGTAGACATGGCGATGTGTGGGGTCCTAGCATCTGGCGGTGAGCCCACCCCAGCATCACGACATTGTCGGCCCAGCGTTGAGTGGCTGCAATGAGGGCGAGCTCTGCTGGCATCGGTGCAGCGCCAGCAATGGCAGGATCGCATATGCCGGAAAGGGACCTTTGGCGAGTGGCGGGCCAATGGTCTTAGATGGAGACGTCCTGTGGTGCATGGGGCTCATGCATAGCAGAGGGGGTTGGGAACTTGGGCAGCATCGCGAACGGCAGCGGGACGGCCCTGGCAAGCCTTCAAAGGCCCACGATGGTTCTCGGCTGGTTTCTCTGAGCAAACGGGCTTCGGTTGACGTATTTCGTGCTGATGCAAGCGACGCTGCGCTCGCTTCTGTTTCGCTAAGCGTGTCGGTGGGTGCTCTTGGCTGTTGACAAGTCATCCAGTGAACAGCCCACCGACAAGTCACCCGATGCGTGTATGCCTCGGGCACCTTGCAAGAATGAGGCATCAATGGGTTGAACTTGAACGTCGGTGACTTTGTCATCGGGTTTCCAGCGCAGCACGCTCCTCTTGACCTGACGCGGCCGGGTCACCACGCCATTCGAGTACATGCGGCGCTGCTCACAGACAGAGGCACGCAAATCGATTCACGCCTCGGAAATATTGTCTGGCTGCATTGGCGAGTCGAAAAACGCGCTTCTGTTGTCAATGCCAATGACGCAAATGTGCAAAGCTGAAGGCATCGCTTCGAGCGCTATTAGCAGCTAAAGTTGGATGAGTGAAGCTTCGTCGTGCAGCACGCTGGGGGTCGGAGTCTGGAGATAATGTCTGTCCGCCCACAATGTCAATCATCATTTCTCCGACGGGCGGGTGACGATCAATTCTCACGAACACAGTCACATGACAAAGCCAAGTTCAAAACAGAATTGAAGTTTGATGCATGAATCGCCTGTGTTATATTTAGGCGTCTGACAAAGATAGCAATTGACGGCGACAGTCCTGCAACATCCTCCAACCGCCAACCCCGTCCTGTCAGCATGAAATTCAAGCCGCTATTGTCACCAAAAATAAGCACGATACCCTTGAATGGTGCAGATAAGCCAACTAGTGGCCACTGCGCATTTTGTTCCCTCAAACCCAAGAGGCTGAGCGCAATGCCTTGCATGGAGGACCTGGACCGGCAGGGCTGATGACGCCCATGTCCATTCACGCGAGCCAGGCCACTTGAGATTGCCCGTGGGAGTCGAAAGCATGCTTACTTCTAGTGCTTACCGTCATTTTTTGTAAAGAACGAGAGTCCTCCATCCCTCTGCGCTGGTCCAGCGGCGTTGATAGCCATCTCGCAAACAACCTCGCCGCTCAGCATGCCCGAGATACTCACCATGCCCATCCGGCGCGAGCTCTTCGCCCGCAGCATCAGCGACGACACTTTTGGCAAACTCAAGGCGTCACTCGACATGGTCAAACGTGAGCGCACGTGGAAGTCGAAGTACCGCCACAAGAGCAAGTTTGCCCACAAGGGAAGCGTCGCCCACTGGCCCATCTGGGCCAAGGTTCTGATCGCGCTAGCCATTGTCCTCATCATTCTCTTCGTTGGAGGATTCGTCTTTCACGGAAAGAAGGGTATGCGCCATCTCCTGTGTCTGGCTAGGCCTTCTTTCTGACTGATCCATGTAGAATACGACCGCTCCAGGCAGACAGGCCGCTCCATTCGATGGGGAAAGATTTTCCTGGGCGCCACCAAAATTGCCCTCTTCCTCTGGATCCCCATCGGGGCGTATCGCTTTGTCCAGGCACGCCGCAACAAGGGCAAGTATGCGGATATTACAAGGGAATCGCAGCAGCCCCCCAACAACGGGGGCACCACCAAGCCATGGTCCATGGCACAGGCGCCCAGCGATGCGGACAGCAAGTACGAGCCCATGGGATACAAGTCGACCGTATACGACCCCTACTCTGCGTACGCTAGTGTGGAGCAACCGACGACGGGCAGGGTAACTGTGACGGGAGCTTCGAGTCGGGCGACCGGTCCTGCTGCGCCCGCGCTTGGTATTCACCAGCCGCCACCCGTTCACGAGTCTGGCGATCTTGGGACGAGGACGCCTTCGCCGAGCCAAATGTCGTTTCCTCCATCCCCACAGCCTCAGTACCGCTAGCGGCGTCGACCGGTCGTATGGGTAAATCAGATAGAATGTCGCTTTCAGGATAAGGCGTCGGCCTCGGTTGGGTACAGCGGGTCGGTCCCAGGGGGGGAGAAAATATATAGTTATATATTTATGTATTCATGTGAATGATGGTAGTCTACTTGCTTTTCGTGGTGTCGTAAGACCGTGTGTGTGTTTGCGATTGTGATCCCTCTAGAACCCGTTGCCAGTCTTGCCAGTCTATAATCTTTTTTCCCGAAAGCAGTTATCCCTTTATCCCCCCTTGTCCGACCGAAACGCCATTTGGAAATTAAAAAGGCTGAATATGAAAGCGAACATTGTCTTGGACGGGCAGAAAGCGAAGAGAAGAAGCGCGCTGTGGTATCGTAGTATGGTGGGTGTGCTGTACCCGTGTTAGTCTCCGTAGCCAGTCGTCTGGTTGGCAAGCGAACTTGCCTCGACTGAGCTCCCAAATATTCGTATCATGGTCGAAGTATTATTTTGGGGGAGGCTTGGGCGCGCTGGGCTTGAGGACGCCAGTGGTGTCGTAGGGACCTCGAGGCATGATGCTGATTTTTGGGTAGTGGGAGTGATGTGTTGTGTTGTCTGGTCCGGTGCTTGGTGGTGGAAGAAGCAGCAGAGAGAAAGCGAGCCACTGGTTGTGAGTGGCGGGCGTTTGCTGTTGAGGAAGATCTAATCTCGGTGTGATAAAGGAGCAGAGGACGGATAAGCAACAGAGCAGGCAAGGTGAGGTTCGGTGAAGATATTCAAAAGTCCAAGTTTGAAGGCTCAGGACCAAGCTTGCTTAAATCGTGCCGTTCTTTAGGGCTCAAAGAAATAGATTTTGCCGCCTTTGCTTTTTTTTTTTTTTTTCTCCCCCAAACTCCCTTCCCTTTTTCGCTCCAGATCCCTGTTCAAAAAAAATAAGACTGCTTGCTTGCTCGCGTGGCTTTACACCCGATGGCGGTGTGTCAAGTTCTTGGGAGATGACGACGGACGGGGGGCCGGGTGCTAGCCCAGGACAGCGTCTGGATGGGATTTGCTACGGGCGCGCCCCTTGCTGGGGTTGGCTAGTCTGGGGCCCTGTTGATCGGCAGGGGTTTGACAAGAGGTGAAGAAGAGGATGAATGCATTCACTTTGGTCAAGTGGAAGAAAGGGGACAAGGTTGAAAAAGAGAGCTGGAACTGGCGGCTCACACCACAGACGGATGTGGACGGAACGGTTGCAGAAATAGGGAGAAGGCGACAAAGCATCGCGGCCGCGGCATCTCGCATGAACGAGGGCGAGCTCCGTGACACGCAAAAAAAACATACGTACATAACACGTAGATGTCCGGAGACCATTCGTCCCGTGCCCGGCAAGCGAGCGCGCACAAGCGCGGGACAAGGGGAAAAGCAAAGCTTCTAGAATAGGATGCGATGAGGACGCATGAGTCGTCGTTGTGAGACATGTCATGGCGCAGCGTTCGGTGACTGTCGGTGAGATAGTGGCTGCCGAGCTTGAATGGTCGAGCGGCCGGTGTATGGCGCCAATCGTCTTTGCTTCTGACCATGATTAGATAGATACCTATCATTATGGTCTCTTCTCTCACGAGATGAAACGGGCTGGACACAGCCGGCAAGCGTGAGCAGCCTGCCGCGCGCAGAAATCGTCACCGGTATCTATCAATCAGTGGTTATCAAACAACAATCAAACAATTACCAGGGTCAGAACCATGTGCCTGGAAGGTCGAACTGTCGCCGGTTGGCCACTTTGCGTATGGTCAATGATCAGCTAGACAACCGCAACAAAGCTGGCGCCCATGGTTTGCGCGACCGACCTGAGGCTCGCCGCAACTTCGAGTTGCAAGCGAGTCGGTGTGCACTTCAAGGTTCAACTAGAATGCTCGGAGAGCGATCCGTATGGATTGCGCTCTCTGGGTGTGGCCGCTATCAAATTCAAATGTTTGTTGCCCCTATTTCAACCTGGTCTAGCCCAGTCCGGGACGGCGGATGTCGTCTGCTGGAGCCCGGACCATGGCGGCGGGCCTTGCGGGTTTCTTCCCCGGAATTGAGTCTCGTGGAGTCATCCGCCCGTCCCGTAAGGAATTCCCACTTGAGTCTTTGACACTGTGTCAGGTTAATTTAGTGCTAGTACATTAAAAATGGGGAGGTTTACTGTTTATTAATACTACTTGTGTTTACCAGGGGCAGCCGGCCTCTTCCGTAGCACCAGGCACAAACAGGACTGTTGTTGGACAGCGACAGCGTCACAGTCTGATGGCTGTCGCGCACGTACCTGCAATCGGTGTGACAATCACATCTGGCCAACGCATCTCGCGTGGCAGCCCTGATTCATGCGCTTTCCATGCAGCACGCACTGCACTGCACTGCACTGGTGCCCTCCGAAACCGCACCTGTGCGGCGATACCTGGCAGAGCTCGCATGCCAATCAAAAGGGACGGACAGGGTCAGTACAAACCAAATGCAAAATCAATCTTACGGTGAGAACCGTTGACAATGAGGGCAGAGATCGGTGAGACCTTGTTTTCTTCTACTCCTGCTGTAATAAATCCTGCCTTGTCATAACCAGGGCTCCATCGGCCCAGACTCAAATCCTGCCTCTCGCCTTCATAGGCCTGCCCACTGCCGGAAACCCTGCGGCTCTTGTTGCTGCAGCCACCCTCCTGTGAACCCTTGTTCCTGACAGGTCCACCGTCACCAGTCTGCTGGGTTCAAGACTTCAAGTTGAGTGACAGGTGGAGCAACGCAGGATGTGTGTCCTAGCTAGTTGCCCGAGGGTGGCGGCTTGGGCCCAATGGGCTTGGGCCAGTCGTAGCCATCACCACGGCCCATGTTTTCGAGGCCTGCTTCCGTGGAATGCCAAAGTGACATTGCCGTGATGTTCTTGGGATGATGTTCTTGGTGGCAATTGTCTTTTGAATGTTTAGCTTGGCTGTGGTGTGTTGTGTGTGTGTGTGTGTGTGTGTGTGTCTACGGAGTCCATTCCTTGATGTCAGAACTCGGCTGTATATGCTTGTGAGCTGCTCATGATTCACTGATGTCGACGCGTCCCTCATGTGGCTTTGTGCGTCCTTGCCTTGGGAGTCCTACCGAGACCAGATGTTGCTCGTGGTGCCATCGCGCAGATACGAGCCACCTCCCAGGCTTGTGTAATGGCAGGCACGCAGTCGGAAGGCTGCTCAGCCAGGGCAGACCAGGCACACTGACAAGTTTTTTCGCCAAAGGGCGACAATCAAGGAACACACCTGAACAGAAACGGGCAGAACGCTACACGACCTGCACGGGGATGATACCATCATAGAGCCGGCTGGCTCGGATTCCTGGCTGGTTCTGGTTGTGCGCACCGCTACAGTGGCTGTTGGGGGGTTACACCAGTCCATGACGCGACACAGACAGTCGTCTCTGGTCAGACTACCTGGCATTCACTTTCGTTGCATATTGCTGCTGTACCGCTGCCGATGTTCCTGGAAGGAGTGAATTTGTTACAAGAGTGGCGTCTTGGGGGGCTGGAATCACGAGTTGGACGTGTAATTAATGGAGGACATGGACACACACTGGCATTTCACAATGGCGGCAGAGATCTTGATGTTGCCCCGCGACCGGACCCATTTATTAAGCTGACATAATCATCGGGCAGACATGAAGTCAAGTCTACCCTAAGGTTGGAATGTGTTTCCCTCACCGCGTCGTACGGAAAGCGAAAGTCAAGGCTTCACGGAATATATGACAAGACAATCACTCGAGATGCATTACCAGCCAGTGGAGAACATGGGAGATGAATCACACTCCGTTCAAGGTGCTGTACCACCAGCCGCCACAGTGAACGACGCTTTTGACGATATTTTCGGTGGTGACGAGGGACAGGACCACGTCACAACACACTCGGACATTCACCGTGTCCAGGCGGAGCACTCCACAGCCGGCTACCGCGAGGGTGTCAACGTTGGAAAGCAAGATACACTGCAGACGGGATTCGACCAAGGTTACACCATTGGCGCAGCGATCGGACTCCAGGCCGGTCAAATTTTGGGCACCTTGGAGGGCATCGTCGAGGCGCTCCAGGGTGAAGACCTCGCGCGCATGGAGACACTGCTGCAAGAAGCGAGGCAGGATCTGAGCGTGGAGAAGCTCTTCAGCAGTGAATTTTGGAAGAGTGACGGGTTGCCGGGCTATGAGATGCCCGACGAGCAGAAGCAGGCCAAGGACGGGGCCGCATGTCATCCCCTGGTGAAGAAGTGGATGGACATTGCGCATGAACAGAACCGGGCATGGGGCATCAACGTCTTCCTTGTCGATGAAAACCGTGCAGAAGACTTGGCGTCGGCCAAGAAGACTGGCGGCGAGGTGCAGGATCTGTCGGGCGAGGCCAAAGTGGAGGACTTGCTGGACTGGTGAAGCTGGCCAAGAGAGATTAACCTCTTCCCTCTCCCTAAGCCTTGGCCTGAAAACCTCGCGCTGCGCCGGGCAAACGATCAGCATCCGAGAGAAGAGCTGTGTGAAGGGAAGCAGTCCGCAGGACCCTGGACGGTCAACGTGGTTCAACGTGGCCACCACAAGCTGCCTCCCTTTGTGGGATCCGATGCTATGGTCTGAGTGCTCAGGACAACCTCGAGGTTCAGAAATGTGCCCGAGGCGCTCAGAGTGGAAAAAGCATCGATCATCAGTCCTCCTCCACACCGAAGCGCCTCATTAGACACTGGAGCAGTGGACTGCGCACCTCGACAATTACCGAGGACAAGCCTTCGGCAAGAGGGACTAACGAAAGATCACTCTCCTGTGCCGGATTCCCATGGGGCTCAGCATGGATAACCGGTCTCTGCGCAGCGAACTGCCTGTTCACAAGGCAGCCGCGCGGTTGAAACAGAACGCGCTACCCTACCTACATGATGTGCTTTGCACCAAAATAGCACACTGTTTCTCGCTCGTTGACTCAGTTCACAATGTGTTCCTGCATGCGGCTCTTAGATGCGCAAGGTGGTGCTGCCAGACATCCAACGGTGCGACATGCGCCAAGGCGCCGCCCTGCATGAGCACCGTTCGTCCTCGAGCACCATGTCTTGAGAATTCATATCACCCTGATTCACTTGTGCCAACAACATGGGGGACAGGTCGCAATAGATGCAATGTGCCAATACAGAAGACTCTGTGTATAAGAATCTGCCCCCAGCTCCCATCCTCCTCTCTCCTCAACTCACACCTCCCAAACCGCCTTCATCCATCCACCTTTTTCAGGAGTCTTCCTTTCGACCCAGCCACTCTTTTACCAATAGACACTCGTTTCACCACATTCCCCCAAGATGAAGACCACCTTTGCCCTCCTCGGCGCGGCCTCCACCGCGACCGCCCTCCTCAACCTGGACGTCAACCTGCCCCTGGGCATCTCGGCCGACCTCAACCTCCTCGGCCCCACGACGGAGCCTTGCGACGAGTGCACCGACGTCTGGCACCCGCCCCACGACGGCGTCATAATCGACGACTGCGACAACACGCACGAGCACGGCTGGCACTGGGTCCACCCCTGCCCCGAGCCCAACGTGCCCTCCTTCACCTGGGGCACCGTGACCGCCACGCGCACCAACACCATCACCCAGTGCGATGCCTGTGCCGAGCCCACCAGCGTGACCTACGTCGAGGAGACGACCGTCTGCCCGGTCCCCGTCGAGACGACCGCGGCGCCCTCCACCGTTGTCGTCCCCGTTGTCCCTACCACCACTACCACCACCACCGAGCCCGGCATGGCGCCCACCACGGTGTCCGAGGTCGTCCAGCCCTCCGAGACGATGCCCCCCGTGCACGTGGTCCCCTCGTCGTCGTCGTCGTCGTCGTCGACCTTGATGGAGATGCCCCCCAGCACCTTCACCTCCATCTACCAGACCAACACTGTTCCCGCTCCTCCCGCCCAGAGCACAACCATGGTCCCTGGTGTCCCTGGTACGCCGGTCGTCCCCAGCGCGCCTGGTCTGCCCGTTACCCCCATCGCCCCCGGCCCTCCTGCCGAGCACACGTCCATTGTGGCCGGCCCCACGACAACCCACGGCAACAACGCCACCAACCCCGTCGTCACGCCTCCCATTGTCACGCTTCCTCCCGCGGCTGGCGCTGCCCAGAACACCGTCGGCCTCGCCCTGGTCGCCGCTCTCGCCTTTGCACTGTGGTAAACGGATGGCGCAGGTGCTTTTGTCGCCGCCGCATGGGGGGCCGACAATGGAGCGAGGTAAGTGAGCGATGAACCTGAACGACTTTGGCATGGAGAAACGGGCGTCGGATCCTAGGCGTGGATCTGTTTCTATTTCTGGATGTACCTATTCAGCTTTCTTGTGTCGAAGCTTGTATTTAATGTCTACTGGTGTCAGCTTTGTTTGGAATCGAGGAGAGAATATATTTTTTTCTTTACTTACTTTGTGCAAGTCATTGCGTATACATTTTTTTGGAATCATAACTCGTGTCTCATACGTGCGCCGCCAGTCCTCATCCCTCCCTCGCGGCGTAGTGCTGCAGCTGCCGCACGACATCCTCCATGGTGCTGTCGTCCGAGGCCAAGACCTCCCTCTCGAGCTCCCAGTCCCTGCCCTCTGGCCCCTGTACGACCATCTTGGTCACCTGTCCGTTGTCGTCCATGACCAGACGTCCGATTCTACCGTCCGCCCAGGTCAAGGCGATCTGCTTCGCCTCCAAGTCGGCCATGTTGACCTCGACCACGTCGTCCGCGACGGGACCGCTCTCATGGTGAAGACCAAACAGCGTGCGCTTCAGGTCGGCCATGACACCGAGCCTGTTATGGTACCGCGTGATCTCTCGCCTGATCGCCCTAGCGAAGCGATCCAGGTCCTGCTGGGGCGGGGTCTCGCTGTCGGGTTTCGGGCTGGGCAGGCAGCGGGCGGCGAAGCCAGCAAGGGGGATCGCTGGTGGAATTGTATGCCGATGGACGCGCAGGTGTTTGGAGTGGGGGTATGGCCTATTCAGCATCACGTAGTACTGGTGCAGATACCGGCCGTGGGTCATGGCCTCGAAGCGCAGGGCGAGAACATGGCCCCCGTCGACAGCGTGGGGATCGGGATCGATGACCTTGAACGAGGTGACGGGCGTGACAATGCGATGGTAGTTTTGCTGAAGATGCGCGGCTTGTTTCTCGGCATAGGGACGTAGAGCGGTGTCGTTGGCGAGTAGGGCCTGCCCAGCAGCTGTCGCGACGATGGTGGAGGTCTCGACGGCCAGCTGGCGGCGCGCTTTGGAGACTGGGGAGCCTTTAGTCGTGATTGTGCGGAAAGAATCTAGAAATACTGACCGTCAGCCTTCAAAGCGGCAATCTCCTCGTCCAGTCGCTCTGCTTCGGTCGTCATGTCGGTCGCCCGCCGCAATGTCAACAATGACGACGCGCGGGTCCAGTCTACCTTACTGTCCTGTCGCGTCCGGGATCATTGACGATAAGGTGACGATGGGAAGCGATAAGCGCTTACCTTATTACTCCGTACGGAGTACGGATACCAGGTGTCCAAATTCCAGGCCCGCCGGCCTCAGGGGCGCCCACCTCGGAGCTTCGGCCCTGGTATCCCACTTCGGCATCCCAAGCTCCTAATTACCTTGATTCATCCAAGGGTCCAGTCTAATAGACAGTCTTCTGACTCTTCTCACTTCCACAGATTGTCGCGAGTTGCAGTCACTGCCATGTCGCATTCCCTTTGACGACTGCCTGGCCCTTCTTTATCCAGCTCGTCGGTCTGTCGCTCTCTATCGCACCAAACGCCTTTCATACCTACGTACCCGTTTGTCATCAAGTCCACGATCCATCGATCCATTCTTCGATTCGCCTCCTGAGGCCACGGTAGCTTGAGCGCGTCGACGGTTGCTTGTCGCTTTCTTCTTCTTCTCCATTTTCGCTGCATCTGGGTGTCACGTTCTTCACTCGACCCCTTGCATCTTTCTTGTCCTACCACACCTGTATAATACCACCTACCTGTACTTTCGTCCCGCCCTGTCCGGCACCGCCAAGCCTCCGCTGCCCCACGAGAAGCCACGACGCACGACGCGAAATCTGTCCTTCCTCACGCTTGACGATTCGAAACCGATGGCCCGTCGCCGCAAATCCCCCAACGGCAACGGCACCATGAGCAGCGGCGTCGAGATGCGCCGCAAGGCCCCGAACCCGGATGCCGACTCGGCCGGCAATTACGTCGCCCGCGAAGACTTCACCCTCGACCGCGCACCGCCCCCCAGCAAGGAGCACGGGTCGGCGGACCACGGCTTCTTTGAGCTGCCCAAGCAGGACCAGAAGAACTTTCTGCTCCTCGTCCTGCTGTACTTTCTGCAGGGCATCCCCATGGGCCTGGCCATGGGGTCCGTCCCGTTCCTGCTCAAGAACCACCTCTCCTACGGCGAGATTGGCACCTTCACCCTGGCGTCCTACCCGTACTCGCTCAAGCTCCTCTGGAGCCCCTTTGTCGACGCGGTCTGGAGCGCCAGGCTGGGCCGACGCAAGACGTGGATCGTGCCCATCCAGTTCCTGTCGGGCTTCGGCATGCTGTACCTGGGCTCCCACGTCGAGGAGATGATGGGCAACACGGGCAAGCCCGGTGGCACGACCGTGTGGAACTTTATGCTGTGGTGGTTCTTTCTCGTCCTGATGTGCGCCACGCAGGACATTGCCGTCGACGGGTGGGCGCTCACGCTCCTGACGCCCGGCAACGTCTCGTACGCCTCGACGGCCCAGACGGTGGGCCTGACAGCCGGGCACTTCATGTCCTACACGGTCTTCCTCGCCCTCAACGCGTCCGACTTTGCCAACAAGTGGTTCCGCGCGGTGCCCTCGGATGAGGGCCTGGTCACGCTGGGCGGCTATCTCAAGCTCTGGGGCTGGGCCTACATTGTCATCACCATTGGGCTCGGGTTTCTGAAGCGGGAGGAAAAGTCGCAGAACGAGGACGGCGTCTGGGATGTGTACCGCATCATGGCGGGCATTCTCAAGCTCAAGAACGTGCAGACCATTATCTTTGTGCACCTCATCGCCAAGATTGGGTTCCAGGCCAACGACGGCGTCACCAACCTCAAGCTGCTGGACAAGGGCTTCGGCAAGGACAACATGGCGCTGACCGTGCTCATTGACTTTCCTTTTGAGATTGGGCTGGGCTACTACGCGGGCATGTGGTCGCAAAAGTACACACCGATGCGCCTGTGGTGCTGGGGCTTCATGGGCCGCCTGGCGGCCGCTGTGCTGGCGCAGGTTGTGGTCATCATCTTCCCCAAGGAGGGTGTCACGTCGTGGTACCTGCTGGTGGTCATCTTTGAGCACGTGTTCTCGACGTTCACCAACACCATCATGTTTGTGGCCGTCTCGGCATTCCACGCGCGCGTGTCCGACCCCGTGATTGGGGGTACCTACATGACGCTGCTCGCCACGTAAGTGAAGCCTTTTATGATCGGGAGATGTTTACTGACCAAAGCAGGGTCTCCAATCTTGGCGGAACATTCCCGCGCTACTTTGTCCTCAAGCTCGTCGACTCGTTCACCGTGGCCACGTGCCACCCACCGACCGACCTGAAGGAGGCGCCCTTTACGGCGCCCTTTTCCTGCGCCATGCAGGCGGACAAGGAGATGTGCGAAAAGGGAGGCGGCACGTGCGAGATGCTGCGCGACGGGTACTACACTGTGAACATTATGTGTGTCCTATTTGGTGTAGTGACGTTTATGTGGTATATCAGGCCCAAAGTACTGCAGCTGCAGGAACTCCCCCTGCGCGCTTGGAGACTGGGGCCGAAGAAGTAAATAAAGCTAGATATAGAATAGATCTGCCAGAGGGAATGTTGATACAAGTGTTCAATGAGACTTGACCATTGTATGCGCTGTCTGTTTGTCTGTCTGGAGTTGGACGCCCCACCTCGAATCCGGGGTCGTCGATACAGGCTGAAGTCTCACGTCAGCCCTCACTTACACAGAGGAACAGAGAGGTACAGAATACTGCTCAAAGAGCCTACCTCGGGCGGAGCGTAAGCATGTAATTATTCGACGAAATACGCCGAGGCGGCACGCGACGGCCATGCCGGCAGCTCCAAGTCGAAGGTCGCCCTCCCCCCCCCCCATCTCGGCTTCTCGAGGCTACCCTTAACCTCCAGACCTTGCCGAGGGACCGACCGAGCGCACTCCAGTCCCCAGGTTCAAAAACATCCGCAGGCCCGATGAAACCTCATGTAGCTCTCGTAGAGAATGTCATATCTTCTTCAATTTGACGTTCACGGTAGTCCACGGACTTGCTGAAGTGAGGCTCGCCCGCCGGGACCACAACTGCTCTGTAGACCTCATCACATCCTCGTCCCACCACCCACAAAACCAAAATGTCGCAGCAGCAAGCCATCTCACTCGCCTTTTCCCTAGCCTCCTCCTCCTCCTCTTCTTCAGCAGCCTCCTCCGACACATCGTGCCCCTCCTCACCCACCTCCATCATGTCCGCGCCCGTGGACGAAGACGCCTACTTCTCCACCCAGCCCCCGCCGGCCTCGCTCCCGGCGCAGATTGAGGCCTCAACCGTCTTCATCCAGCGCCATGCCGCCGCCGGCCGGCGCGTGGTCCTCATCACATCGGGCGGCACCACCGTGCCCCTCGAGAAGCAGACGGTCCGCTTCATTGACAACTTCTCGGCCGGCACACGGGGCGCCACCAGCGCCGAGTACTTCCTCGAGGCCGGCTATGCCGTCATCTTCCTCCACCGCGAGTTCTCCCTCGTGCCCTACGCCCGGCACTTCTCCCACAGCACCACCGGCTCCTTTCTGGACTTTCTCGAGGAGGACGGGCGCGGCAACGTGAGGAGCAAGGACACCCGCATGGGCGACGTCCTCCGGCGGTACACCACGGCCCGGACCGAGGGCACCCTCCTCACCATCTCCTTTGTCACCATCACCGACTACCTCCACTCGCTGCGCGCCATCTCGCGCCTCATGGCGCCCCTCGGCCCCCGTGGCCTGCTCTACCTCGCCGCCGCCGTCTCGGACTTTTTCGTGCCCGAGTCCCGCATGGCCGAGCACAAGATCCAGTCCACCGACGTCGCCATGCCCGCCGACGAGGAGGAGTTTGACAACTTTGACAATGCGCCCCGGGTCGCCCGCTCCAAGCGCCTCGTCATCGATCTGGACCCCGTCCCCAAGTTTCTCAAGAACCTCGTCGACGGCTGGGCCCCCGAGGGCATGATCACCTCCTACAAGCTCGAGACCGACCCCAGCCTCCTCGTGCACAAGGCCCGCCACTCGCTCGGCCGCTACCAGCACCACCTCGTCATCGGCAACCTCCTCGCCACGCGCAAGTGGGAGGTCTGCTTCGTCAGCCCCGGCCGCGAGGACCAGTGGCTGCGCGTCGGCAAAAAGGACGGCAGCGCGTGGACGGAGGCGCAGGTCAAGGCGCTGCAGGCGGGCCGGGTGCCCAAGGAGGAGCCCAGCGGGGAGGTTGAGAGCTTGATTATTCCGGCGGTCAGGGACCTGCACGATGAGCACATCAAGACGAGCCAAGCCAGATCACATTGTCAATAAAGTTGGTATTCATCTGTAAGCCCTCATCTTCGTTTCACAATCTAAAAAACAGCCGTCCAGTTCCTCCAGCCGACGACAGTCGCCTTGGCCCACACAAAGGCCGCCAGGGAGCCCACATAGACCGTCCCCGTCAGGATGATCAGGCCCCAGTACTCGCCGTCGTTGGCCTGCACCACGCTGCCCGCAATCGGGATCCCGATGAGGCACGCAAAGGAGACCACCGTGTACGCCGTGGCGTAGTAGCGGCCGTACTCCTGCGTCTTGCACAGCCGCCCGATGCACACGGGCGCAATGGCGATGCCCGTGCCCGAGGCGAAGCCAAAGAGCAGCGCGAACATGACAATCCCGGGCGTGGTGTGGCCAAAGGGGAGCCAGATCACCAAGCAGGCGAAGAGGGACAGGACGACGGACGAGATGCACGTGTTGAAGGGGCCGATAATGTCGGCGTACCAGCCAGGCAGAGCACGTCCCACCACAGAGCCCGCGTTCAAGATGGGGATCAGCTGGTAGGCAAAGGTGGGTTCGAAGCCCTTGCGCAGGGCATACGTCGTAATGTATCCCACGGGGATAAAGAGGCTGAACTCGAGCAAAAAGAGGCCCACGGTCGCGAGGGTAAAGGTGACATGCTTGAAGATCTTGAACTCGGGCTTCGCGGTGGCGTTGGGCGCCGGGGGCAGTCGGGAGCGGACCAGCAGGTTGCCCAGGATGCAGGAGACGAGCGCAATGAGCGCTATGCAGCGCGCCGTCCACCCGAACCCAATCTGCCCAAAGAGAGGGTTCGCCATGAGCGGGAAGATGATGCCACCAAAGCCGCCCGCCGTGGCCGCAATGCCGGTGGCCAGCCCGCGTCGAGCCTTGAACCAGTGGCCCACGGCCCCGACCGAGGGCGTGAACAGCAGCGACGTCCCCACGCCGCAGAGGATGCCGAACGCGATGATAAAGTGCCACAGCTCGGTGCAGAAGCTCGTCGAGAGCATCCCGCCCACCGTCAACACCGAGCCGGCCAGGATGAGATAGCGTGGGCCGTGCTTGTCAAAGACAGGCCCAATGTAGACGCCGCAGAAGAAGGCGAGGAATGTGTAGATGGAGAAGACCCAGCCGACGGTGCCCTCGCTCTGGCCCTTGAGCTGGTGGTCCAGCGTGTACGCCTGGAAGATGCCAATCGTGTTCATCAAGCCCAGGGAAGAGAACATGGAGAACCAGGCGCCCAGCACCACCAGCCATGCCTTGGTGCCACCCTCGGGGTAGGTTTCCTGGTAGGGCGCGGATGACGAGGCGTTGGTGGCGCGCTTCTCAATGTCGGCGCCCGCAGACGGCTGCTCGTCTGGGGCGACAATCTCGTCCTCGGGGCCATCGTGAGCGGTGCGTGACGTGACCTGGCGAACGTCCATCTTGTCTCGGGCCTAGGGGTAAGAGGAAGAGCTTGTTGACCGTGGCGGGAAAGGGCGGCGGCGGCGAATCGGGAAATATATAAAGTTCTCGAGCGCCAGCCGCTGGGCGACTTCGGAGTGGGTAGGCCGATCAGGAAAATCCTCCTCTGCCACGGCGACGCTGCGAGGGCCGCCAAAGTCATGGTCATTGAAACTGCTGGTTGGTCCGTTGGGGCGACATCCCCGGGCTACCTCCACCGTATTATCCGCACCCGCACCGCATCGGGTCTCAAAAGTGCATGCGACCAAAGCCGAAGCCGAAGCCGACATGCTGCATATTACCTTGATTAGTAGTTTACTACTTGCGTATTAGTCAAGTGGTCAACTGGCTTTCTCAATCCTCGTCATCGGCCTCCTCGACTGTCACGGCCTTGGAGGGCGGCGGCTGTGGCTTGAGATACCCCTCCTGCTCCAGTCGATCAGCCTCGTCCGGTTCCATCAAGCCACCTTGCCCCTGGCCCTTGTCCATCTTGAGCTTGACGACATTGGGCACAAAGGCTGCGACAGCTTCCTTGCGGAGGTCGCGTCGCACGGGCTCGGCGGAGTATGTGACCTTGGCTTCCGCGGGCGGGGCGTCCTTCTTGGGCTCATTGTCCTTGTTGTGGGCTGCGGCGTTCTCAGCCTCGCGTCGCGCGCGCCGTTTGGCGTACCACGCGTCGAGGACGTCCTTGGGAATCGGCGGCGGCGTGTCGCGCGGCATCGGTATCGATCGTACGTCCTCTGGCACGTCCTCCTCGCTCGTGGATGCGTTTGACCCGCGTCGTCGTTTGCCCAGAACCGCGGGGCCGTCGTGATCCCTCGTCCAGCCTCGTCCAAAGGTGGGTGCGCGGTCGCCTAGTGTGTCCCTGGCCTTCCTGACCGATCGAAGCTCATTCTCGAGGCCGTCCAGGACCTGCTCCTCATGCTTGCTGAGTTTTCCGCCATTGGTCGTGATGGCCTTTAGATCGTCGATTTGCTTCTGGATGCGCTCGGGGTTCTTCTTGGCCAGTTTCTCGTTTTTCCGGACAAGCGATTCGGCTTTGCCTGCGCGACGTTAGGGGGATGCATGTAGATTTGACGCTCTCGTGCCACTGACCCTTCTTGATCGCCTTGGCCTTGTCAGCTTTGCGCTGGGCCTGCACTGGATTGTAGTTGCGCTCTTTTGCCATTGTCGAAGGATCGGCGAGAAATGTCCGTGAGGAGGAGGCGCGTCAAGTTGGTTATCGTAGTTGTTAAACTGCACAGGGGATCTAACGGTGGGCGTAGAGAAAAGCCCCATGATGTCAAAGTCGATCTCGCGCGCTGGGTCAAACATGATTACTAAGCAATTTGCTCGACATGACAAGCGCAGATCTCTGCATCATCCTCGAAGCACCAACCAACGCTGTCCTTGAATTGTTTTTGGCGAAATGAAGGCTTCTGATGAGCATCGCTCAGATCATCCAATTGCGATTGTATGAGGTCTCAGATAGCCGGTTTGTCGGGAACAACCGTCCCTGTACGCAACTCCTTTGTCTTCCATGTCTTGCATCCAACTTTAGACCTGAGCATGGCCTCCCAACCCAGCCTCTGCACGTGCCGCTGGCGACGACGATGCAATAACTGCTAGTTATTCAATGATGCGCGCATAGACCGCTCTGCGTTTGCCAAAGGCTCCTGTTTGTATGTAGGGCGCGAATAGACGGAGGATAAAAGCCTTGCGTATTCCACAATCGACACGCGATGGCTTTCATTGCTTGATACCCATAGGTTGCTTAAGCTACCATGGTTGATGCTTCCTGTAGCCATGAGACTACCGATTCACACGTCGCATTACTGCGGACAGCATGGAGAAGTCGCCTTTGATGCAGCTCTCGTACGCAGAGGCTCGTCAGCGACCACCGTGGCCACGGGCATGGCCACTGCTGCTATCATTCTGGGCATTGGTATCATCCTCATGATGGCGGTGGCATGCTACTTCTACCACAAGCGAATCACACAGCTCATGCAAGCATCATCATCACATAAACGCAGCACACCGAGGAAGTTCCACCGTGAGCCTTTGCTAGAACGCGCCCGCCAGTTACTCAAACGAAAGGGGACAGGTGACGGCGAAACACAAGTCATCAGCCCAGGGATGGGATGCCAACAGCAGCAGCCACCGATACAACCTCCCGAACCTCGTCCTGCACAAGTACCACCTTTGAACATTGCAAAACCACCACGACCGTTGCCACCATTCAGACCACCGGTGCCTCTGCCCCCGTTGAGAACCGTCTTCTCCAGCCTCGATGCCACAGTTGCGCAAGCTTTCAGCACATCTGCGCCCATGGCCAGCCCGGACCGGCGCTCACTGAGCACACTTGGCAAAGTTCTCCTCCAAGACACGATGCAACCGCCCGATGCAGAGAGATTCACCGCAGCCACAGCGTCATCTTCCTCGCTCAACTGAACAGTGACGCCAGAAATGCCCTGGACATCGACTGGTCGACAGGCGAACGGCAGGACGACAATAAGGGGGAATGCAATGTACAAACTGCGGTGAAAGAGACCTTTGGCAGACAACAATGGAGCGAATTTGCAAGCCGTTCGGAGCATAAGCACAAATGCCTTTGCTTGGCGTTGGACTTGTCAGCAGCGTCTCACACGCTTGCGCCACGGTCAGCCTGATTCCTGCCAGGGACCAGGAGCGCTCAGCAATGGCAGCTTTCGCGAGCAAGGTCCCCAGACGACTTGCTGAGTCTCTAATCCTGCGCAGACTGAACATGGTATCCAGACCCAAGGTATCGGCACGACTGTTGGATTCAAGGTGGAGGACGAGGCATCACCCAGCATGGGACGGGGTATAAGCCGACTTGACAGGGAAGTCGAAGAGTAGAATGAGCTGTCAATGTCAGAAGCCCATAATAAGCTGCATGTGCCAGCAGATATTGTGGCAAGCAGTCAAGGCCAAGTCGGCCACCGCTGGCTCATGATCATCCAAGCCCAAAGTACCACGCAGACAAGCCTTTTGTTGGCAAGCTGAGCCAGAAGGACATTGACCACACCTCCAACGCATGGCTGTCCACGTCTCCCGAGATGTAAGTCGATGTCTGCCAGTCTTCGACACCATCAGCTCACTGGGCCTAGGATTTCCGATCTTACGGATGGCAAAGTGAAGCTCGAGACACACGTGGTCCTCTCCAACCGCACACTGAAGAACACCCACAGAGACCCCCCCGGGATGATCTACCCCGAAGACATGTCCGAGGGTGTCGGGAAGCTTGTCGACCCTAAGGAGTATGACGGTGGCACGATCTCAAGGATCTTTACCACAACTCTGACCCCGTGGCCGGCTGGACGGACGGGATAGCACGGGCCCACATCACTACCAAGAGAGGCGCAACAACCTGCCCGACTGGCCGGCGTACTATCGAGACATGCTCAGCGGCGTCGTGGATGGCCATCTCGGGTATGGCTCCAAGGCATGGGCGTTTCGGGTCGCGCGTCGAGGCAGCGAGGAGTGTTGCTCCCAAGTCCCGGCTCTCGAGTGCGGTCGTTGTGGTGAGCAGCCGACGTCTCCGGAGACGTCTGGCCTCAACTACATAGTATGGGCTTGAATATGACTTGCCACTTTTTTCTTCTTCCCTCGTCTCGATTTGTTCATGACTGAATGGAAGCACGGCACCAGCCAAGCATCCAATGCAGCTGCGGCCGGGATCTATCACATGCATGCATGCATGCCGAGAGACGCTGCGACTCGACCGCGTCCACTCGACGGCGGTGCCACGCTTATTTTGTCATCCGACATGTTCTCGACAACTCGCTGCCTCCGGTCGGACAACGCCTAGGCTGACGGAATGGAGGGACATGACCCTGCCCAAGTTGGGACTGGGATCCGGTATCCCCTGCTAGCGCTAGAGATGCCATGACGATGAATCCCCGCAGCGCTTTTCTTGCGCCCGCTGAAGAGGCCCTAGTACCAATAGATATTATTCAACGAGACGACGACGAAGAAGAAGAAGAAGAAGCGCCACAAGACAGACAGCCACGGGCTCAAGTATTTTCCATGTTGCCTATGAAGAAAATAAGCAAAGCCCATGTTTGCGAACAGACGCCTGAGGACTGAGTTGTAGTTAGCTATACATTCGACTGTCCAGACGACTGCTCGAACGCTAGGACGGGGAGCTGCACCGATATCCGCACGGATACTCCCTTTTGTGACATGTAGTTAGTAGTCACGCTCGTGGGCTTTCGTTTGGCGTGCCGCGTGATGGTTCACCGCAACTCACGACTTGCGAGAGCTAACATACGGAGTACGGAGTACTGTACTCCGTATGTATTTGGAACACAGATGTCTCAGGGGTCCAGTGGGCCACGATGCGGAGAGCAGCTGAGCTTGCCTCTTTATGTATGTACGATCCACGGCAAGAAGCGCCTTGGACGGTGCTGATGCGGCCAAATAATATTCTGTACGGGGTAATAAGCACGAAGCGAAGTCCAATAATACATGTACTTGCATGGAGTACGGAGCTACGCAGTTGGAGCGTTCAGCGGCTGGAGCTCAAGGTGCATGAAATCCATGAAGCAAGCATCCTGCTGCAAAGCTCGCTGAACTTCCAAGACCCCCCTGCAACTCACGACCGGGTGGTGTGCAGTGTGGGGGTCACCGTGGCACAGAGCGTCTGGTCATGCAAGTGTTTCGGTCCTTCGTTCGCGTTATTGGACCGAGTGGGAAAGGTCGAACGGGAGGAAACGCGGCAACGTGAGATGGGAGCTCCCTGTGTTAGCCGGCGTCGCGCGTGCGCCTCCTCAAAAAGAAGCAACTTGTCAATGTCAAGCCAGCACTCCGTAATGAGTATGCACCAGTCTAGGCACAGACTCGAGAGGCGTCGCGGCCGCCTGCGCCTGGATGACTGGACGGGACCCTCGGCCACACCTCGTGTGCTGGTGGTGGGCGCGGGTGCATGCGGCGAGGGGACTGGACCGGACCCTGTCTGTCTTGGCCGGCAGCCGCAACTTTTCCTGCCCTACCTGAGTCCTGAGCCAAGCCAACAAATACCTGATGGATTCTGCTAATGGAAATGTTCGGCCGCGATAGTTCATCAGTCCGGGACGTGAGTATGCAGCAATGACGGAGGTGCATGAGGGGACAGGGCAGGTATTGGAGAACACCTTTAAGCACGACGGCAGCGTGGGGTGTCGGGATTGATACTTGACTACACAGAGTGACAGCACTAGAGTCCTACACGTATTGCGGCGTACGTGTCATCTGTCAGCTACAAGTGCTAATGAAGACGAGCGTGAGGCATTACTGGTGATCGTGCCGTCGTAGTTGTTGGTCGCGCGACAGCATGCAGTCTGAGACGCTGTGCTACCCGCCCCAAGGATTGCAGAGCCGAGATCGGATCCTCGAAACTATGCCATGAGATGAGGAAATGGCATCAACCTAGCTCCTCCGCATGGCAGCCTCTTGTCGATGTGCTGCGTTTCATCGAGCAACGATGCACTCGTCCATGGCAATTTGTTACCACAACCACTTGTCCCCTCTGGCGAAACCGCGTACGCTTTCCAAGATCCGTCACCCATGATGACGGCCCTCCCTGGCCGTTCGTGGTGTGCAGGCAGGCATCTAATATTTTGTTTTGAGATCCAGGCATGTGATTGATCCGGCGCCATCGGCGGAGAGGGCCCAGGTTCCAGCTCCACCACGCCATACGTAGCAAGGCATCGCCTGTCCCTCTTCCTAGAGTCAGTAGTGCCAAGTGGCTCGTTTCCATGTAGCGCTGGGCGGGTCGCGACCCTTCAAAGTCGAGAAAAGCCGGGACGTGAGCGACCGACCGGAGGTTGAGTGTTTTATGGAACGACTGGACTGTCGTGGTATATAGAGTATCAGTACGGAGAAGGCAGGCTGCAGCCGAGCCAGCGTTGTTGGATCGCTGGGTCAAGCTGGCAATTACAGCCATCCACGGGGGCAATAAAGCAGATGAATCCAGTCAGTGTCGACTCGCCATTGACTTTAACCTTTCCCACCAACGACTCATGTCTGGGCCGACAAGTCGTATGTCATCGTACGCTGCCCATCTTGTCCCGTTTGAGGAGGGAGCGTCGGGCGTTAGGGCCCCTCCTCTAGGCTCCGGAGACAGGCATTTGACCGGGAACCTAATAAAGCGTTAGCGATGTACGGAGCCTCCACTCCACTGTATCCACAGTAGAGTCTCTCCATTGACGCCCGCTGCACAGGGCCCCAGGCTGTTCGCAGCGGCACGCACAGGCACTGACATCGCCGCTGCCAGGCCAGGCAGGCTGCTGCAGCGCAACCGGTGGAGGACAACTTCCGTGGCCAGTCCATCCGCGCTTAATTCCCTCGATCTTTCAGTCCAGTCAGTCAGCCAGCCAGCCAGCCATCCAGCCTCAACCCAAATCAATTCCCTGTGCTCTTTTTGTTCACTGCCCTACCTACGTACACACTTTGCATCTGCCTCGGTGTGAATAACTTCACCTCCGCACACACTGACTGCATTGCTCTGTCGCGCCCACCGCATTTTGCGCCCGTCTCCAGCCAGCCCTCTTCGACGTGGGGCCTCACTCACATTGTTGATCCTGGGGGACACCGACCGACCGACCGACCGACCGGTCTCGAAAAGACCAGATTTCTCCACGAAGTATCGCTGTGGGAACCAGCTCGTCACAATTCATCTTCTACCTGGCCTCGTGTGGACACTATGGCCGCTGCCAGGCCCGCCGCGATGACGGGGACCGCCAGTCCGGCCTTCACAATGAACCCAACTTCGACAGAGCACGACTGGCGCTTCCCCCGACGACCTGCTGCTCAGCCCGGCGCTGCGCACCAGCGACTGCGAGGCGCCCAGTCAAAGGGGAGCGTACCGCCGCAGGATGAGGCCATCCTCGGGCCAGCCTTATTTCCTCTGCTGCAGAGCGCAAATGTCAGCGATGTCGACAGCATGCAGCAGGACGATCCGCTAGCAACCCAAGTCTGGAGGTTCTTTGCCAAGACAAAGCAACAGCTCCCGAACCAGGACCGCATGGAGAATTTGACCTGGCGCATGATGGCCATTGGCATCAAGAAGCACAAGGAGAAGCAGCAGAGAGCATACGAGAGGAGCGTGCGGCCGGCGACGCTGAATGCCCCCAGTGGCATCGCGCAGCAGCTGCGCAAGTCGTCCGAGCACGCTACGGGCCTCAACGGGGACAACCACCAGCAGAATGACCCCATGAACATTGACGACTTCATCTTCGCCGAACACGCCGCGACGCCCGCCGCAGACATGTCACCCGACGTCGAGTTTCAAAAACCCAACTCCATCCCCATCAAGTCGCGCAAGGCCCAGATCCAGCAGCAGCATCAGCAACAGCAGAACCAAATGTTACAGCAGCAGCAGCATCCGCATGCGTTTGTGCCCCAGTCTGTGCCCGAGCATCACCAGAATGCCGAGTTCAACTATGTCAAGCGTCATCATCGCAAGACGAGCATTGATGACCGCCGCGTGAGTTCCATCCACCCTCCACGGACCCCCCACGTCCAGTCCCTGCCCACCGCTGCCGCACTTTTTCTGTCCTCCATCCCAATCCGCCCATGCCGCCGCCGCTTTAACGTTTCGGGTCCCATGCTGATTGATGATCGTTCCCAGACAACTCGCAAGCGTCCTGCTGACTTCTCTCCGCATGTCGCTGCTGTCAACAGCCATGCCCACGAGTTGGAGCCGGATGCCAGCCTTGGTGACTACTCCCTCGATACTCCCCACCAGGTGAACATGCAGCAGCATCACCACCACCAGCAGCAGCCGCACCCCAATCAACAGGGCGTCCCCTTTGCTCTTGACACTTTCATGGAGAATGACCCAATCATCAGCTCGGCCGGTCCCTTCCAGCAGAACTTCTTCTCGCCGGGCACGTCGCCCATGGTCGCCAACGGAGGCTTCCCCAACCTGTACAATGGCAACTCGGGACCCTCGAATGACATGTATTCCCCGCCCGGGTCGGCTTATCAGTCCACCGTCTCGACGCCTCATCCCACTGGCGGCGACGGCGATGGCTTCTACTTTGGTGGTCAGCAGCAGGGCAACCACCCGCAGTCGTTCCGCCAACACCAGCAGCAGCCGTCCCAGCAACGGCCGTTCATGTACAATGGGAACAATACAACTTTCCCAACTACGAGCGGGCCATCCGAGGGAGTGTCGCAATTCAGCACCACCGGACCCAGCTCCTTCGGCGGCCACATTGATCCGACACATGTGTTTCACGCGGATCACACCATGACATCGCCCGGGGTGGGCATGCCACAGGACAATCTGTTTTCGTTTGGTGCCGACTCGGACGACGAGGACAACAATGCATTTGCTGACCGTAATCTGAGCATGCACCACGAGTTCAGCAGCTCTGTGGACGAAGCGAACGCTATGGGCTGGGATGCATCATTACCCGGGCAGTTTAGCACACAGGCGGCGAGGTTCCCGGGCGGGCCCCCGCGAAAGCAGGTTGTGATTGGGGGCACTACGACGGACTATGTCGAGACCAGCAATGGAGAGTGGCAGGCAGAGGGACTGGGGCGGTCTCAGTCGTTCAGGTCGGGGGGCGGGGACAAGAGGGGACAGAGGATTCCGCGAAATGCGTCGACACCACACATGGCAGGACAGCCCAATGGGCTTGAGCATCTGGCGCAGTCGCTGCCGACATCGCCGGCCGATGCACCCGGCACCATGTCTGGCTTTTCCTCGGTGGCCCCGAGCCGACCTTCGTCGCCTCCACTTTCGAAAACAGGCTCAAGTACAAACTTGGCGGGAGGTAATCAGTCCGAGAGCGGTGGGCCCACGACGTGCACAAACTGCTTCACGCAAACCACGCCACTGTGGAGGCGGAATCCCGAGGGCCAGCCACTGTGCAATGCGTGCGGCCTGTTCCTCAAGCTGCACGGTGTCGTCCGTCCTCTCAGCTTGAAGACGGACGTGATCAAGAAGAGGAACCGTGGTTCGGGCGCCAACGTGCCCGCCAGTGGATCGGCAGGCCGCATCAAGAAGAGTGCTTCGACGGCGGCCTCGCGCAAGAACTCGAGTCTGTCTCTCGCGACCAGCGCGGCCAAGGAGGTCAAGGCCAACACCGCGACGCCGCCCTCGCACCCTCCCGCTGCGACACCGCCGCCTACCAACCGAGCAGGCAGCACCAACGAGGGCGAAAGCCCGGCATCGACGGCCAACACCCCGGGCACAGCGACGTCCTCGTCGTCCACGAACCCCCTGATGGGTGGAAAAGGGGTCGTGCCCATTGCCGCCGCGCCACCCAAGGCCACACCCGGTCCTGGCGCCTCGGCCTCGGCCTCGGCCGTCACCCTCGTGCCCAGGCCGTCGACCTCGAAGCGTCAGCGCAGGCATAGCAAGAGCGGCAACGGTGATGTCGAGATTGACTCGCCCAACACGTCGACCGGCTCCCCCAACGAGATGAGCCGCATCCCACCGACGCAAATGCCCATCATGCCCGGCGGGATGATGCCCAACAGTTTCCACCAGCACCAGCACCCGCGCCCGATGATGGGGAGCAGCAGTAATATGATTCATATGGGTGGCAATCCACAGAAGCCGCCATCCATGGGCGGCGCGGGCAGTGCGTCCGGACCGCAGGAGTGGGAGTGGTTGACGATGAGTCTGTGAGGGACGCCGGAAAGGGGGGTTGTGGCGTACGGCGCGCATGGAGGAGTGGACTGACGACGACGATGACGACAAATTATACCTCTTGCACGACAAGTCTGTTCTTTATTTTTTTGGACACCGGGATGGATCAGCGTTTAGATTTCTTGGGCGGTGTTTTGTCTGTTCGCGAACGGCGTTTCGATCTAGATACCTGTCACAATTACCTACCAAGTATCTATCGAATATCAAATGCCAAGGACTGGAAATCTCAATCATAATCGTTGCATTAGCCTATCAAAACTCCTATCACAATCCTGCCTGCCCATGTTCTGCTACCATTACTCTAAAACTCCAAGCCACGCATATGTATTTATCCATCCCGTCCGACGAAATCAAAAGCGACGATCTCACAGCATCGTGCCAAATGTGTCCTCCTCCTGGAGGGTGGGGATCCTTTTGCGCGGGCTGCCTCCATCTTCCGTGGCCGGCTTGCGATGGCGGAACGTGAAGCCGACAAAGAGACTCTTGCTCATCTCCTCCTCGCGATCGGCCATGGTCTCGAGGGCCTGCTGCTTGTCATGCACCTCCTTGTACTTGGCCATATCAGCCTCGTTGGAAAAGTCGTCAAAGTAACCCGCGTCTGTCTCCGAGTCCAGCTCGGGCACAAACGGCGCGCGCGTCTGACGCAAGGTCTTCCAGTCCACCTCGGCAAAGTACGGATGGTTGTAAATGTCCTGGATATTGCTGAAGCGATGCCGGCGGGAGTTGATGGCGGTTGTGATAAAGTTCCAGGTGCGGTTGCTGAGGAAGTAGTTGGGATCCTCCCAGACGGGACGCTTGAGCACGTCCTTCCAATGCTTCAAGTTGCGCCATGTCTCGTCGGGCGAGGCGCCCGCAAAGGGCGGGAAGCCCGTGAGCGCTTCGAACAACATGCAACCCAGACTCCAGTAGTCGACCGTGTAATCGTACTCCTCCCCTCTAAGGACTTCCGGTGCCATGTAGTCGGGCGAGCCCACAATGGACTTGGCATAGTTCACGTCATTGTCGCGCATGTTGCGGTAGCTCTCACGGCGCTCCGCGACCGTTCGCTGCGCCATGGGCTTGCCAAAGGGGACAGAGGTCTCGGAGGCTTCCTCCAGCTTGACGCGCATCGACTCGATCTTGGAGGGGGCGAGCACACCGGCCGCCAGGCCAAAGTCGGTCAGTTTGACGTGGCCGGTGGAATCAACCAAGAAATTCTCCGGCTTCAGGTCACGATGGATGTAGCCCAGTTCATGCAGCGCATTGACGCAGCAGAACATCTCGGCGATGTAAAAGCGGGCGTGGCGGTTGGATAGCACGCCTGTGTTGTTAAGCAGAGTACGAAAGTCGCCGCCAGGCACGTATTCCATGGCAAGATAGATACTCCTGTCGTCCTGGAAAGAGTACAGCAGCCGGACCAGCCAGTCGCTCTGGGCCGTGGTGAGAATGTCGCGCTCCGTCAGAACGTGGCGGACCTCGTCGAGCTTGAAGAGCAGCTTCTTGCTCATGACCTTGAGGGCACACACCTCGCGCGTGTCCTTTTTCTGTGCCAGGAACACCTGGCCGTAGCCGCCCTGGCCGACCTGGGTGAGGATCTGAAAATCGCCTTGGCGGAGGCGGACGCGCCTCTTGCGCAGGTTGGCTCGTTCGCGGCCCGTGTATTGCCTCCACACCTGATTGAAGTCGGCTTCGTTCGTCTCGGGTGGCGGTGGGTATTCTTCCTTGAAGGCATTGAGGCGGTTCTGGCGCCCGCCAACGTAGGTGAGGAGGTCGAAGTAGTAGTCGAGAAAGTAGAGCTGCGTCACGTTGACCATGCGCTTGACGCCTGGTTTCTGGAGGATCTCGCGCTCCTCCGCCGTGAGACCTCTTGAGGTATTGAATCTCTTGGTGGCTACGGCCCGCTCGCGTGGCTCGTAGTGTTGCTGGCGCGACAGGGCCGCGTGGCTGTGCTGCACAGGCGCGCGTGTAGTGGGCGGCGTGTTCTCCTGACCTTGCTTGAGGGGACTGCCCGGCGAGGGGCCATTGTGGATGACACTCTCGTCGACGTTGATGCTGTTCTCATCCAAAGGCTGTGCTTTGCTCTGACCCACCGAAAGAGGTGTTGTTACGACGCTCTGCGGTCGGGTGAGCTTGACTGGCGCCTCGATGGCGCTGGCCTTGAGGTTCATCGCATGGTCAAAGGTTGTGGAGAGATCGTGGGCACCTGGCGGGACGGTCTTCTTGCTGGGGCTGCCCTGAGGCGTGCTCGTGGGCTCGACAAAGCTGTTGGGTCGATTGGGCGTGCCTGGTCGGGCAGACGTGGCGGTTGGCCTGTCCTTGCCAGGGAAGAAGTTGGACATGAAGCTGGCCATGGCGCGTCCCGGTCACCCCGCGTCCAGATTGGCGTGGTCGAGTGATGGGGAGGGATACTGCTGGAAGAGAGGCACTGATTTAGAATGACTGTCGAGTGCAAGCGAGTAAAGGTGCAGATGCAGATGCATGCAGTCGAGGCGGGATGTATTGGTGGATGGGACCTTGCTTTTGGCAATCGAGCAGAGCGCGCAAGTCCAGCCAGCGTCAGAGGCGGGGCAGGCGAGCTGGAGTAAACAAATCGCCCGATGAGGTCAAGCGCTCTGCATGCATTCCACGATCTGAAACCGAGATCGCAATGTTAGCGCTCCTAGCTTTATTGGCTTTCCCAATGCGACGCAGAGTCAAGTTAAAGGGCAGTGCCAGCACAGATTGCACGGCGCTCCATTCTCAGTAAATTCCTCACCGTAGGTCTCGGGGAAGCCGAGGGGACAGCGCTAGCTTGGGCCCTTGGGCTTCGAGCTGAAAGCCTCAAAGGTCGAGCAATGTGGTTAGGAATGCTGCATTGGTCTCCAAGGGGAACAGACTGAAATTTTTTGCCGCAATCGACAGCCATAGAGCACGCAAGAACGTCAGTAATTCGCAGTGCTCGTGGTTCGTCGTCAAGAATGAATGATCCAGCGACGTCCGACGCCTTCGACATCGACAATGGACTCACTCCTTTCGAGATGCTTTTTGACATACCCTACACTTACCCCATCTGATGCAGTCGGCACGGCATACTCAGGTACGTCTGGCGGGTTGAGCTCCGAGAAAGTATGTGCTTCATTTTGTGTCGAAGACTTACCTTATCAGGCCCGTCATTCACATCAAATGGCTCGACCACTCCGTACTCAGTACAGAAAATCAACAAGGTACGTAATGACGGCGTCTCATACACTACTAGCCGTAAAGCTCTAGCGGCCAAGCCTAGATACGCCGCCTCATCAGACCACTCAGTTGACATCTGCCACCCAAAAAGCCTCGGACTGCGTGATTTCTTGAATTTCATCCTCAAAATGCCCAATTGAAGCCTGCCAAGGCGTCACTGACCCCAGCCAGCCAGCCACTGAGCTGAGGGTCCAATCTTAATCTTATCAATCAGTAGATCAGAGTGACTGCCCAGCAATCATGTGGTCACGCCGACGACCACATCACCTGAGCGTCGCTGTCGGGAGCCTCGACCCCTCCTCGTCCTTGTAACCCGCCTCTCTGGAAACAGCATAAAACCGGTATTGCTGCCATTTCCAGTTCTGCCTTTCCAGCACAAAGCCTTTCATCATGAAGCTGTCCGTCCTTGGTAGCCTTGCTGGCGCCTTTGCTGCCGTGACGGCTGACGCCCACCACCCGTCGGCTCTGTTCCACAATGACGCCCATGCTGCTGCCCACCGGATTCCCACCAGCTACGAGTCGGCCGTCATGGGACGCCGCATCCTTGGTCTTTCAAAGCTAGGCGAGCTGTCCACCGTTTTTCCTACCAAAAGGGAGGATGACCTGGCGGGCGTCCCCATCGGAATGATGGATTACGTTGCCGACTGCGAGGAAGAAGGCAACCCTACGTTGCTAGCCATCAAGATCGCCACCAGTTTCAGGAATGTGGAAGCTGGCTCCAACATCTCCCTGTCTATGCGCTGGATCCCACCGTACCCTCCCGCCCGACGCATCTCCTTTTTCTCGCGGCTCACAGCCTTTCTGTCCGGGGATGCGTCCTACAACGAGGCCGCCAATGCGACGCCCGACCCGGTGCCCTACTCGGCCGCCAACCTGCCTCGCTTCTCCCTGATGGGGTATCTGGAGCCCATCAACCCTGAGCCAGTCGAGGCTGTTCGCCTAGCTGCATGCTTCACGGGCCAGCACCGCGACGCAAAGTGGTGGCTGCCCGGCAACCCGATCCACGAGAGCTCCTGGGCGAGACTGGTGGTGACGCACGTGTACTGGGTGGGAGGCTTTGGCGACAGAGCCTACATTGGCCCTATTCCGCTGGAGCAATGGAATAATGTCACCCAGGAGGAGTGGTCCAGCATTAAGCTTCCTGGTGAGGAGAAGGGCTGGAGCGAGTGGAGCGTCGGTGCCAGCGACGAGCTGTAGTCAGAATGAGCGTCCAGCCGGACGGATGCTCCCAATGCTGTCCATAGTCTTGCAGTAGTAGTACCACGGTCGCTTCTCGAGGCAGCTAGCTTGGCCAGGTGGCATACCTGAACTTGTCGTGGTGCGGACCCGGAAAGCAATGTGGTGGCGCGTCACTTGGCATGCCTAGTTATCCACCGCAGCACCTCGCTGTCGTGTCACGAGAGGTGCATAATAAAGTACTTGGGCATCAGATCACCGTATTGTCTGTCTATCATCACTATAGACGTACCGTGCCAGCTGTCACACACCAACTCGTTGAACCAGAAGGGGCATTTCGTTCTGGGTATGGTTTAGCCGATAGGCGGAATGACGGACGCGGATAAGGTTCAACTTATTAGGCAATATCACGACTCGTGCTTCAATTTGGATTTTATCTATGGTGATGAATAAACCGAACTCCGAGGGCCAGTGGAGTTGCGCCAAACGCGGAGAACCTTCGGGTCATATGGGAGGCGTCTGGGCGTGGGTGAGGCCTCAGGTCAGCGATTGTCCCAATAGATGGGGGGAAGAGCGAGTGCCACGTTTCAGCGTTTCGAGCACGCGTCGTAAGGGAGTCAATACTTTCATTGATTCACCTGCTTAAAAAGGTAGTTAAAAGCTATCAAAGGCAGCTATCTGACTGGAGACTGCGACGTTATCTCGCTGCCCATGAGGTAGCCGATGCTTGGTCAACCGGGGATGACAATATTCTACAGTGCAAGCGCCAAGCGCGGACACCAGCGTCGGCTCGCCACGATGGGCGGAGCTGGTCAAGTAAATTTGTCGTCGGGGCGTGGCTAGGTGCGTTAGCGTCTTGGACCCCCAAAGCCCCTGCCTGTCCAACCCGGGTTAGCGGGCGGCCATCCCGCGATCGACTGACTTGACTTGATTACTGCCTCAACACCCACAGTGACGCCTGCGAGGTCCATTCGTTGAGGGCAGGAGCCAGGCGTCTTCGACTACGAAGGGAGTTACCTCACCTTACCAACAGCTTGAAGACACTGCAATCAGGCTTCACCAACGACTGGCAAGCACCACCATCGCGCCCTAATTACCCTGCCTGCGCACTGACTCGGGACCGATTCCGCCACCGCCAAGTTACCACCATCCGACTGGACTCGCACAGTCGCGTGGTCTTGCACTATCCAGCACACTTATCGGCCTGACACCCTACCCTCGGAATGGCGCCTCATCTGCTGCCTACAGCATGACCTCCCGCACACCATTGGGGGCCCAGCAGCGGCAGCCTCAACAAAGAACGTTGAGCAGCTCGTCGCTTGGCTCCCAGCGCCCAACGCCCCAGCCGCGCTCGATGCTGCACCCTTCGTCGCCGATACGTCGAGATGCCGAGTCGAGCGAGGTGATGCAGCAAGGCGCCAATACACCGAAACGCGGCGGCTCCAGGCTGCGGTTGGAGCTCACGACAGAGCAGGCAGTGGGCGCTGCTGTCGCGGTCGAGTCGCCCCAAAGTCTTGCGTCAGCACGGGCGCTGTCCACCCTCGACGGCCACGACATGGCTCATAGCCCGGCACTGTCACGGGCGTCGCAGCAGGAGACAGACAACCCTCCGTTACCCATGCCGAAGCGAAAACAGCATACCGCGCAGACATCTCATACCCGACAACCACCACAACCACCACCGCCATCCATCAAGAAGGATGGTCGACCGAAACCATATGCTATACCGACGCCTCCCGACGCCCCTCGTCTAGCGACCCCATCGAATAAAAATACACATATTGCAGGAGGGGATTTTTTTGGAAAGGGACTGTACTCGGGGCGCGCCGACTTCTTCCCTTGGACAGGCAAACACCTCGAAGATGAGTGGACACACCAGTCGATCGCCAAGGGCGTGTTCGAGCGATACAGTGCCACCGAGTCATCGTCGGGGAAGAACTCCATCTATACGGCCATCAAGGGTCAGAAGACCTCGCTCAACGCGCTCTCGACCATCTTTATGGGGGTGCTGAACCAGCGCCGGCAGAGGGACCAGGTGACGGCGCCATCCACGTTCAAACCTCCTCCCCGGGTCACTTTGACGGACACAAAGAGGGAGGTCTGGCTAAAGGATCTCGCGAACCCCGCGACGTCATTGCGCCGACTCAGTAGGACGATCCCCCACGGCATCAGGGGCCGAGCTCTTCTGGACCAGTGCTTGAACAAAAAGGTCCCGACCGAGAGAGCCGTGTGGCTGGCCAAGTGCGTTGGCGCGAACGAGATCAGAGCGTTCAAGAGAAAGGGCGTCAACGGAGCGCTGGTCATTGGGAACGAGGTCAAGTGGATCAGAGACTGGACCATCTTCGTGGAGCAGTTCCTCGAGTGCACAATGCTGGCGGCCAGCGACGACGACTGGAAAGCCAAGACTCTCTACGCCGTCCGGCTGGCCACCGGCCTCTACTCGGAGCACTTGGTCGACCGTGAGCATTACCTCGAGTGGATGATCAAAGGGCTGGAGAGCAGCGGACACGGAAAGCTACCCATGTGGATGCTCATCTGCGGAATTCACTGGGACGATTTTCTCCGGGCGCGCAAGTCTGGCCAACGTCTCGTCGCCGCCTTTTTGCACCATTCGCACACCATCGAAACCGACCCTGACAAGGATGTCATGGCGCAACTAGCGCACCAAATCTCCTCGACGCTCCTCGAACTGATGAGCACGGCCCCCGAGAGCTTTGTACAACCGACGCTCTGGCCCACACACAGGGACAGTCTGAAGTCCTACCTGCCCGTCAACGATGAGCATCTCCAGAGAGTCTGGGGCAGCATCAACAGTCGCAATACACGACTCATGATTTGCGGGAGCTCATACCCGCCCGCCGGTCGCCAGCGGCTGATCAAGTTGCTTGATTCTACACTGCACAACGTGTCGGCCCCGGACTTTGCGGCGAAATGCTGGGCGACAAGTGACGACAAGGCCCAGGTCTTCAAGACACTAATGGAGTGGGCGACGTCCGTTCATCGACCTCATCTGAGCAAGAACTACGTCGCCACCACACTCATCAAAACCTTTAAAACTTGGCTGCCAAAGGCAGACTTTGACATGACGACACCACTCCTCGACATACTCGACCGAGTCGAGAGTGAGGATCAACACCGCAAGCAAGGCATTTACCATCTCGTGGCCGAGCTCATCAAAGACCGGTCGTTTTCTGTCTCTCAATATTTCCAGTGGCTCATCGCCCGAGGCGGCGTTCGCAGTGATGCCGACCTCGACGCGCAGACCAGTCCCTGCGGCACGCGCCTGCTCATCGAGCTGCCTCTGGCGTGCGTATCGGACAAGCTCCGAAGGGAGCGGGTCAACTTGCTGCGGAAAGCCAAAAATCATACGGTCCCCGGCGAGGAAGAGGACATTTCGATCGGGGTGCGCTGCGTGCGGCTGATCTTGGGGTTGCCCGTGGGCGGCGACGCGAGCCGAAAGTTGATGACCTTGAAGAGGTTGACGAACAAGATCCGCGCGAGCAGCCGGACGCTCAAGTGCGCCGTCAGCGCACACCTGAGGGACGTCATGGTCGAGATGAGCATGTCGAGCCACCCGGCCGCCGTGTCCACGTTCACGACGGTGCGAGCGATCCTCGAGGCGACCGAAGACTATGCCGTGCTGTCCGACGTTGTCAAGTCGTGTCTCAAGTCCACCGATGCGGAGCTGCTTGCGGCGTGCGCCAACACCGTCAATGCCAACATGACCATCTTCTTGGCGCTGGCCTCTGCGAACGAGTGCTTCACCGTTCTCATGGAACGTTTGCGAGCACACGGGCAGCAAGGCGTCGTGCCGCGGCCGTTGCTGGCGGCCGTGTGCCATCTCGCTCAGCGTCTGCCGGGACGAACAGAACTGGCGAGCCAGCTGCGCCAAGATCTTCTCCAGAGCGACCGAAGCAACGCCATTGACGCGTGCTCGCCCGTGTCGGACAATATGATGGCAACCCAGGCCACGTCTGGCGAGGTCGATTTGTCGGACGAGATTGATCGACTGCTGGCGAGCGGGAATAGGATTGACCAGCCCACGATGAATCGGCTGTTCCGCACCATTGTGCCGCGGCTCGAGGGCGGATGGCACAAGCAGGACGACACGCGACGGACGTTTGCCTCTTTACTTACCAAGATGCGCGTATTCGATCCGCAGCACTTTGACAGGCTCATGTCCGACTGGATCAGCCACGTGCGGACGCTTCCGTCGCGCGGGCCCCTGTCGGAGCTGCTGCCTCTTCTGGTGGTGCTGGGCTGTGTGCCTTTGACCGCGCTTCTTCAGACGGCCGATGCCTCGCCCCCGATGACCGCCGGTGTATCGAGTCAGGGGGAGGGGCCGGGCGCGGCGACCTATCTCCAGGAACTTCTTCAACTGCTTCTGCTGGCGTTGCCAAGGTCGACCGTCCTCAGCGCCGAGGAGGCGTACCAATTCAAGATCCACCAGGCTTCAGCCCAGTCGGAGCATGGCAAGGCCCTTTTTTTGCTCATACGCAACGCCATGGCCGAGTACGCGGCCTGTGTAGGATATGCGAAAGTAGCACTGCCGTTGGCCGACAAGAATATGGAGACGCAAATGCTCAACGCGCTGAGTTTGCTCGTGGTAGCAGACTCACCAGGGGTGAGCGAGGCCCTGTGCATCAAGAACATCCCAGGCGAAGCAGTACCCTTGGTATCCGACCTGACGACCAAGCTCCTCCTGCCCGACCGTGCTCACGGCAACACACAAATCTCGTTTGACCAAATTCTCGGACTCGCCTCTGAGCTCACCCTGCCATTCTGTCAGCTGAAGCTCGAGTTCGACCTGTCCAAGGGCGAGTCGCAACCTGTGGCGAGCGAGGACCCGGCACCGTCGCGGTTTGACCTGTTCGCCAACGCCATGGACCGCGCCATTGAGGCCAACAACATCACCTGGACCAGCATGCTTCCCTGCCTGAGCCATGACATCTCTCAACATCTCAAGAGCTTGGCGCACACGCGGTTTCTACGACTGCTGCCGTCGCTCAAAACCTCCGAGACCAGCACGAACGACCAGGTGCATCTGGCGGAGAACCTACTCGGTGTGATTGAAGCGATCACGACGGGGCAGACGGGGCACAAGTCGGGCCAGTTGACCAACAACATGGTCGAGAAGCTGTGCGATCTGTGCGACATTATTGCCAGCAAGGACCCGCAGACCGAGAGCCTACGCCGCGACACGCTTGCGCACTGGCTGCCCGCGATGCTCCGTCTGATCACTCTCCAAGGCATAGCGGCGGCCGAACCAGTCGTGACGCCGCCGCCCACCACAGGACCTCTCCGGGTGCCGATTGTAAATCACGAGGCGCGGGCGCGCACGGTTGTGGCCCTCGGCAGTCTACTGCTCGCGCTCGACAACGCGCGCCCCCTCGCGGCGGCTCTGTCACAACACGTCTTTGACGTGGCCCTCTTGCTCGTCGACGCGCTGCCAGACGACCTCCGCCACCAGTGCGCCCGGCACCTCCTGCTGCTGCCCGGGTGCGCGGCCAGCAGCACACTATCGTCCGACCCGCGGCTCTACTACGTCCTGAGCACGCCGCGGCCCACGGCGTCGGACAACCTCGTGCTCTCGCACCGGGAGAAGCCGACGACGCCGCAGAGCACGGGGGCCATACACCGGGGTGCCATGGGCGCCATGTACGGGATCGGGCCGCCGGTGCCGGAGCGGCTCACGCCGTTTGTGATGCGTCGATGGGAGATGCTGAGCGAGTCGACGCCGCTGGTGGGGGAGAATGACACGTCTCTGAACTTGTGTCTCTTTGAGTCGATCAAGATTCAGTGAGTGAAAGATGGGTGGTCAGTGGGTACGACTGCATACAGGAAGGGGCTGTGTACTTGGTTTTGTTTTACTTTCTTTTGTTTCAGTCCAAATCCTTATGAGCGGGCGTGGTATTCATTCACGGGGAGGCATATTGTATCGCATTAGCCATGGCGTCTGGGGCCTGCTACGAATAGAGCAAATGAGGTATTACGTTTCAATGTTCCCATTCATGTTGACGCTAGACAAATACAGTCCCCATCAGTCCCATCAGTCCTCATCAAAGATCTGGTACGTGTTCTGTAGCAACGTGTCGACGACCTTGATCTGCCAGCCAGCATCCTGTATGGCCTTGGCGGGATCCGTCCCCATGAGGGTAGGCCCAAAGATGAGGGCGAGGTTATGAGAGCTCATGCGGTTGACGTGTGCATTCTCGACGACGCGGTGGAGGTGCAGACACAGCGCGCGGAGTGTGGCGTAGTTGGGGTCCGGGAGGGCGTTGATGATGGCGTGGATGGAGTCGCGACGCTGCGTGTCGTCGTCGTGCTTGGCGGCGGCGACGAGGCCGTCATGGTTGTCGGCGGTGAGGACGGGGTCGGGGAGGTCGCGGAAGAATTGCTTGAGCAGGCCGGTGACGCTGTTGACGTCGTGGAAGAAGTTGTCCGGGTCCTGGAAGTTGAGGGCGGGGTTCTGGCGCTCGCGGTCAAAGAGGGCGCGCAGCTTCTGAATGTGCGCCATGGAGCCGGACTGGCGGTAGATGCCCTCGGTGCCGAGGCCAAAGAGGTCGACGGCGCGGATGCACTGCTCGACGACGGCGGGGACGGGCACGCCGTCGCGCTCGTAGAGATGTGCGAGGTGGACGCCGAAGACGGGGTTGAGGGCGGCCGAGGGGGTCGGAGTCGGTGTGCCCGTGCCCCCGGCGGCGGCGGCGCTGCTGCTGCCCTGGCGCTCGTGGGCGTGGAAGGGAGGCGACTGCTGCCCGACGCCGGCACCGCCGCTGCCGCCTTGGAACGGCAGGGCACCGAGTTGAGGGGCGTCCTGGCCGCTGAAGCTGCGTTGGTGCTGGTGCTGGTGCGGCGGCGGCTGGGCAAAGGGTCGAGGAGGCTCGTGGCCGCCTGGCGACATGCTCTGGCCCATGGGAGGCGGTGGAGGCGCTGCTGTTGCTGCTGCTGCTGCTGCTGCTGAGGAGGAGGAGGACGGCGGGGGGATGGCGACGGGGGCGGGCGGAGGAGGGCCGCCTTGGAAGTGTGGTGGGGGCTCGAGGGTCTGTTTGTCAGAGGATATTTGCCCAGAGGGGAGGATGTCGACTTACAGGGTGCCGCTCGTACTTGACCTCGCCTGCATGTGCAGGGACGCGCGCGTGGTGGCCCGCCAGGAAGTCATCCAGGTCCCTCTCATTGTCAATGGACAGGACGGCGTGCCGCAGGCTGCGCGAGGCCGGATGGCTGTCGCCGCCGGGCCCTCGTAGCGGACTGACGCTCAGTCCGTTGCTGAGGAGCAGCTTCTCGTTAAAGGCGGCAAACTTTTGCATCTGCAGGCCCAGGCCGGCGTCGAGCTCGCGGACGTGGTTGCGGATCTGGTGGACGGCGTCGGGCCGTGTGGTGGTCTCGAGCAGCTGCTTCTCGCCGCGGTACGTCTCGACGGCCTGGCGGTAGTTCTGGTCGGCGTGCTCGACCTTTTTCTTGAGCTCCATCTCCTGGTCGGCGGCCGACTTGTTCTTGAAGGCGTTGAGGACCTTGCCCGTCTGGCGGCTCTCGCCGGTGCGGACGCGCTCATAGTCCTCGGCGAGGGTTTCGAGCTTGGACCGGCACTTGCGCATGGCCTGCTCGAGGTCGGCCACCTTTTGCTCGGCGGCGAGGCCGTTTGTCTTCCACGTCTTGCGGCTGCGCTCGGCGGCCGTGGCGGCGTCGACCAGGTCGTCGTGCATCTGCTGGAGCGAGGCGGCAAAGTGGCTGCCGTTCTCGGCCATGCGCTCGTGGATGTAGACCATTTCCTCGTAGGCCTGGGAAAAGGTGCCGGTGCGGTGCTCGGGGCGGCGGATGCTGTCCTGGGTGGCGCGGCAGACCTTTTTGAGACCGGCGGCATTGTGCTCCTCGAGGTCGGCGCGCTTCTTGAGGAAGAGGGCGAATTCCTGTGTCACTTAGTGGAAAGTTCAATGGAGCGTCAGAGACGGCCTACCTTGGCCGACGCGATGCTCTGCTTGAGGCGGTTCAGGAGCGTCGCGATGCCAATCTCGGAGGACAGGACGCCCTCGACCTGCTTCTGCACCTCTGGTCGGGGCGCGCCCGATGGTGCCGCTGGTGGCTGTCCGGCCAGGCTGTGAAGCGACGCACCCGCATCGCCCTCGTTCGTCTCCGAGTCGGCGGTCGCTGTCGTCCGCGAGGCGTCGATGCTCCCAGCCGGGTCGCGCAGGTCGAGCGAGGGGGGGAGGCTGTCGTCGGCCATCGGGGGGTCGGGTCTGTGGTCGGGCAGTTCTATGAAGTCGGGCCAGCTGTGAGTCGGGGCAGTTCTTTGTGAGTTCGAGGCAATTCGAGGTTGATGAGCAGGTGGGTGGCCAGGGAGTGATGTGGCAATGGAAAAAAGATCGTCTGGCGTTGAAGAGAGGAGCTCGCTTCAAAGGTCGACTCGACCTTGAGGCGCAGCGGCGTCGCGTCCAGCGTCGAAAAGTGAGGGCAGGCACACACCCCTACCAGGGCCAGGGACCCTGGCCGGCATGCGACCTACTACCTTACGTCTACGGCCATTCGCCATTCGGGCAGCCAGAACTCAGAACTTGGAACTCAGAGGTCTGATGAATGATGAATTATTCAGAGATCACTTGTAAAAGGTATTGGTCCTTCTTCACGCAAGAAGCCATCGAACTCCCGACTACCGCCATCTTCAGCAGAGAGCTCTATGATTAGACCCGACGGCTCGGCAGACATCACTTGCAAAGGTAGACGTAGACGACCATTCATTCATTATTCGCCAATGAAGTATAATTAACAAATCATACCTGGGTACATTAACTCAATAACCATCACTTCTATCCTACCAGGCAACCAACCACCGCCATGTAAAACAAACTCCATGTCCATGTGCTGGCCTCCAACCCGTGGGTATTTCCACCACGACAATAGCTCGACAAACAAGAGGGTATGCATGCTCAACCGTATACAGTAGGAAACGTCGCGTCCAAATCGTCGTCCACATCATCCCGTGGGCGTCCCGAGCCCCTCCTCGTCCGCCTCCGCTGGCCACGAGGGCGTAGGCAGCTGCGCGTACCGCTGGCCATCCCTTTCCGTCAGCTCCTTGCAGAGCACCTCAGCGGCCAGATCCCACCTCTTCTGCAGCCGTGCTCTGCGCGCGTCGAACAGCGCTGTCACGGCATCCATCTCGTGCGCGCACTGCGCCGCCACATCCTCCACTTCCTCCTGGAGCTTCGCCCCCAGCTTCTCCAGCTCTGCCTGCTGCCGCTCCTGCAGCTCCTCCATCCGCTTCGCCTGCCGGTCCCGCATCACGTTGATCTTGGACTGGTGCAGCCGCTCCAGGTTGTCGCGTAGGTTGTACTGCTGCCCCAGCTCCCGCAGGTCCCGCTCCGTCACCGTCCGGTGTGGCATCTGCGCGCTGGGGTTGCGTCCGAGTCCATCGCAGTACGCCTCCATGTGCTTCAGACGGATCCGCACGCTGCGCTCGCTCTGCTCCAGTGACGCCCGCAGCTCCATCTCCGCCGCCACCTGCCGGTCCTCGAGGTGGGCCGCCGTCTTGCCGTGCCGGTCCCGCATCTTCTCCTCCTCGGCCCCGCGCTTCTCGTGGAGGGCGCACCGCCGCTCTTCGTGCCGCTTCCGTATGCTGGCCGTCGTCCTCGACGCAAACTCGATGAACCGGCGCTGCTCACACGCTTGCGACTCTTGGAGTCTTTGCCAGGCGGCATCCCCCCTGGTCCTCTCCGCCGCCTCCTCTCGCTCCACGACCTGCTGCGCCGAGGCGGCTTCCCTGGCCATCTTCTCAGCCTCTAACTCCGCCGACCGCTCCTCCTCCTCCGCCCGCCGCCTCTCCAGCTCCTCCTCGCCGCTGCAGACGTTGGGACAGCCCAGCGTGGCATCCCAGACACCGCCGCAGATGTAGCAGAACTGCGCCTTGCACCGGCACGTCATATGCGTGCACCCGTGCGCGAGCTCCACCAGGTTCCGGCACTTGTAGCACCGCATCCACTTGGACTGCTCCGCCATCTCCAACACCTTTTCGAGCTCATAGTCCTCCGGGCACGTCTTGCCCACCGGGTGCGCGTCTCGCTTGCACATGACGCAGACCCGCGTCCGGCACTGGCGGCAGGTCACGTCAAAGGGCCGCTTCGGATCGACCTTGTGCCGTGGTGGGATGAACTCGCCGCAGTCCGGTTTGGGGCAGAAGACGCGTGCCTCCCACGGCGTCGAGAAGAGGACGACGGCTTTCAGAAACGCCTGCTGGTTGTCGCGCGTCAAAATGGCCTTGACAATGGCGCCCGGTATCGGCTGCGTGCAGCACCGCGGGGGGAACTTGTCCTCCTCGTGCGCGGCCTGGCTGACCATCACCCGCAGGCAGTGCGCGCAGTAGGTGTGGCCGCAGGGCAGGGTATGCAGGGCTGGCGCCTTGCTTGTGTGCTGAAAGTCATCCCGGCAGCACACGCAGGACAGCTGCGGCGTAAAGGGCTGTGTCGACCGGCGCCGCCACCGCATGCGGTTCTTAATGTTTGACTTGACGCTCGCCAGGCTGCGCTTTGTGGATACGCTGAAGAGGGACTTGGATGAGGTGTCCACCACCGCTTGCTTGCGGAACTTGGGCTGGTCGAGGTTGTTGCCCAGTTGGGCGAGGTACTTGTCGTAGTGCGCAAAGTTGAGGGTGCGTCGCGCTGTTTCGTTGCGCTCGGGCGCCAGGATCGTGTCTGGTTTCGATAGTGACGACCGCTCTGTGAGGGCGGTGCCCGTCGAGTCGCTCGACCCTGTCGAGAATGTCCGTGCATGGTATGTCGGCGCGGTGGACGAGGCGGACTCTGCGCTCGATGTGTAGCGCTTGTCGGCCGGGCTGGACAGGGTGGTTGTGATGCCCAGGGCCTGCGCGCGGGCCACCAGCTCGTCGTCAATGTGGTCTTCGGACTTTTCGATCGGCAGGCGCAGGACTTGGTTGTAGTACGCGGCGTCGCTCAGCTCGGGCATTTCAGCCATAAGCTGTGGTGTGGCCAGCGTTACCATGGTGTTGTCCCTCGGCGGCTGTCAGGTTTGGAGTCCAGGCTCGCGCATGGTTTTTCGAAGACGGGTGTCGTGTTGGGACTTGGGCGAGGGCTCAGGAGAGCGAGAGTGGAAGCGAGCGGATTGTGTGAGACAGTGACTCTCGAAAGTCAGCCAGTCTGTGTCGTTCCGAGGTTGAGTGACTGAGTCAACGGGCGTCTTTAATGGGGTGTCGGGAGGGGCGCGCGTAAGGGAAGCAAGCCTCGAGAACCAAAGATGGATCCGACTCGATCGTAAGTAAGGAAGCACTTCCGTATCGACCGACGGACGGCTGCGGCGTGTTTGCTTGAAGATGGGATGCACTGTATGGTCCCGCCCGGCAGTGGGCAGCGGACGACATGGATGGCACGATACGTATATCGGGCAGATATCCTGGGCGAGAAGCAAGCAATCAATCATGCTGGCTGGACTCGGAGATCCACCCAGTCGACGTGGAGGTGCTGGCGGACAGGGTTGCGTGATGAGTTGGCTGACTTGGCTCCCAAGCCACCATGGCACCACCCCTTGAGGCGGGCCCCCGCCCGATCGTGTGTGGGCGAAACGGTTGTGTATCGTCGAGAGTCGGCGCCAGCAGGTTTGTTTGTGCCGACCGTGCATTCGTTAGGCAAGCCGCAAGATTGTGCGGTTTGATTTGACTTGGCCGTGAAGCGCTGAAGCAGCGGCAGTAGCGACTGGATGGAGACGATGGAAATGGCAGGTCACAAGCCGCACTGTGCCCCAGCGGCCCGCGAGATAGCGCCGCTCTAGCCTACCTACCGTGCGTAGACAGTCAAGGCCCGGCAAGGGCCCTCCAGTGCCCGAAGATGAGAAACAAGAAACAATGGAATGTTGAGCAACACGGGATTTTTGAGCCGCACGCAAGACATGGAGAACAGTTCTGCGCTCCCTCGCATGAGCCATCTGCACGGATACTGACGACCAACAAGTGCGCATTCGAGCAAGGGCTGTTCCCGATTCCCGAAAGCGCCGCCTCCATCACGGCCCACTCTCGAACGGTGCGACGCACGGTCTTCCCCCATCCCTGCCGTGGACTGATTTCGAGCTTTCGTCACGATCTCACGAACCACCGCTCTCGGACCATTCATGACGAGTTCCACAAATGATGCGCCTCGTTTGCTGACGAGCGTCCTTACGGTCGCAGCTGGATCCCAACACTTGTCTCTCGGACTTTCACAGCACATCTACCTGGCCCAATAATAGTGGCCCTCCCACTGGAGATCGTCCTCACATGAACCACTGCTGCGCTGCATGGTCCCCTGCACCCGCGATCATGTTGCTTGCGACGCTAGTCTAGCCGGCCGTCCAGTCCAAGCGGGCGGACCTGCCAGATCCGTGCTCAGATGCACGCAAGGGGTCATGTTGGTTGGCTTTTGCCATTTGCGCCTGGTCGGCTCTGTGACTAGCCGGGGCGGCACGAGCGCAGAATTGCGTCTTTGCAGCAAGCACGGAGAGTATGCGAGGCTCAACGGATCGATCAAGGGGAGGCCGAGGGCACAGCAACACCTTTCCATGGCATGTGTACGTGATACGAGAGGACTGCGCAGTTAAAGCGATCTTACCGACTCTTGTCCTCGATTGTGGGAAGGCGGCAGCACATAGGGCACTTGGGATACGGGGACGAACGCATACCAACAAGTGTTAACTAGCAGCTGTGATTAGATATTGAACAGAAGCATACATATATCGCCCAGTGTTGACTAACAGCTTTGGTCGAATATTGGGGTTCATACCGGCCGCTTTTTACTATAGTTGAGGGAGTCGCACTATATCTTCAAAAGGACAGCTCTCGTCATCAGGGAACAATACTAACAGTTGTTGGCCAATAGCTTTGATTCGATATTGGGCCTGATGTCTGCGGTTTTCACCATCTTCAACCGGACATAAATCAAGCTAATAATTTACGGATCATTGCTAAGGTATAGTTGCGGGAACAATCATCGAATTTGGAATCTTGTTGATTGGACTCTATTACCAATAATAGCGACACAAGTACAGCAAATTTAACAGCGTTTCACGCGCATAATATGGACTCAATGCGGCGCGCTGCTACAGTGGGTGGTGTACGCTCGTCGGTTTTCGTCGTATTTATGTGTTTGCTATTATAGACCAATCTTGGGGGTGATTCGTCTTGGCATTAAGTTAACACCTCTGTAGTAAGTGAAAGGCAATATTGGCATGGCACACAGTCACAAGGCACCCCCACCACAGCTCACCAAACATGAGAAGTCGCGGCCAGTAAATGGTGGCGTCCGAGTCGCCCTGGATATTGATCGGCGTATCGCTATCTACTTTTTGTCATTCGCTTTCGCGTCGCTTTCCTGTGTTGAGTCAGATGTGCAACCGGCTGCTCTAAAGTGGAAAAGCAAAATGAAATCTCAAACGGGACTAGGCATTGCCGTGGGAAACAACACACTAACCCAAGACCACAGGGGCGGGCCAACGTGCTCTTACGGAGGAAAATGATACCTAGGTGATGTACAATCACAAGAAGGGTGGGTGTAACACAAGGTGAAATACTATACAGAGCAAGAAACGGAAACCAAGGGGTGCACACGTGTGCTAATCGGCTCAAAAAACCAAGGACAATCAGAAAACCAAGAGGTTCACGTACCCACCCCATACTAGACGGCTCAAAAAACACCAAGCCAGCGCATTTCTTTCACAGTATACGATTAAATATTTGGATCACAAGATTAATACATGTGTGAGATGTACACTGGCCGGGTTCAGCACTCGGCACGGGTGCGTGTTTGTGAAAGCTGATACATCGATTTTGCGACATGATTCAAAATGTCCATTCAAATGCATGTGTATTCACATGGTGCATTGACGCAATGTTCTCTATACTCTTTGACGCTCTTCGACCCGGACTGTGGCCTGCGGCGTGAGACGTCAGGCACCAAGGCCCAAATTCACAGAGTGACCGGATCATCTGAACTTGGGGCAACGCATGCCAGGGCCCAGTCAGTGCTCTCGAGTGTCATGGTGGTCTTCGAAAGTGGCTCAACTTGGAAAGTTCTTTTTCCCGCAATCTTCAAAGCTCGCGATTGTTCTTGAGAAAAGAACATCAAGAGCAGCGCGACACCATCATGGAGCGCAACAATGACCCAGGCCCTTTAAAGGGTTCACAGTCGGCCACTACACGTAGCGAGCCTTCAGAAACAGAGTGGCTAGACAAGGAGCTCTCTGGTCAACTTCTGGCGTTGATTCGCTCAGCAAAGTCATCTGATGGCGACCTTGGCGCTCTCAGGAGTCGCTCGCAACCGGACGTGTTCCAGTATCTCTGGAACAATCGCTGCTTCAAGCCTGGAAGACCTCCGGTCGAGTTTCTGCTTCTTGAGGACATGTGCAACAAGCTGGGAATTGGCTTTTCGAAGCTCAATGCGAAACAGCCCAAGTTTTCCCAGCCACCACTCGATCCTACATTCAATTTGTGGTTCGAGAAGAGGAAACCACCTCGAAGGGCGAAGGATCCCAGGAGCCCATTGCGATCAATCAAACAGGAGAGTCCCGTCTCGCCGACATTGGGCAGCGAAACCCAGCCTGGTGCTTCGAGCCACTCAGCCAAGACGTCACAGACGTCGTTAAACCAAGGCATGAGCGGTACTGTCCCTCAGAGCCCCATCCCTCCAAACACTGCTGCCGCGGGCTCGAGCGCCCAGAGAAGTGGGCAAGGTAAGGCGACTGCCACATCGTCGAGCACAGCGAGCAAGACAAGCTCAAGGAGCACTCCCAATCTGGGGTCATCCCTGCTACGAACAATCTGGAGAGAGGTGGCGGGGACGGTTGAGGGCAGACTCAGCGGGAAGAGAATACCTTTGGAACGTCTGCCTCGATCAGATTCCTATTGGAACTCTGGAACTCGCAACTGGAATTCACGGTTCCGTTTCCTCCCAACCCGTACAACGACCCTGGTTGGTCTATGACGGTCTACCAGGAAGATCTGCTGAGGCTGCATGGTTGGCTCTGTTGGACTGGTACGACACAAACACCTTTCTACTCTTGGGGGTTTCACTGTGTGAAGTTGTCGGAAATGCCATCCGCAAGAACCAGGAGGACGATGGGTACATCGGAACGGAGTTGTTGGACATGCAGGCTCGTGGGTATCTGAAGCTGGACATGGTTAGCACCTGGAGCGTGCAGGAGTAGTATTGAGGCTTGCCCAAGGAAAAGTAATGTGAAATGACTGTCCGATACTCCGCAACTTTAGACTACATGACATGGTGATTTTAATATAAATGTGCTTCTCATTATGCCAGGACACTGTAGTTCATTCTAGTAGTTCATTGAGAATCCTTCTATATCATCTGCATGACACTCCAATCACAGCCGAATCTTCTCTCAAGCAGATCGAACCTTGGCGAGTAGGCTCTCGCCCAAAGACTCTTCCAGAGCAACTAAGCTCAACCCAGGTATGATGTTCCGGCCCACAACATGATATGTGCCTTGAAGCCTATAACTATCCACGAGCATGAGAAAAGACCTATCTAGGTCATGCTCTGCGTTCAGGACATGGGTCAAGCCAATACCCGATTCATCGTCTATCACGGCAGTCGTGGCTCCCGAGATAGAAGAGCTCAAGTCTCGGGCATCCAATTGAAACCTGGGGGCATTATGGGTGGTATCGTGTACATTGGTTAGACGGATCCAAACCAGTCGGCCAAGATTGCTGCGCAACATGGCCGTCTCGATGTCTTGACACTCGTTGGCATCAAGTCGAAGGATGTCTTGAGCGTCCTCCGTCTGGAGCACCATTACTTTGTACAAAGCCCCGAGCATGGCCATCACACTCGTGGATTCTAGCATTTGGGTGCCGGCAGATGCAAACGAAGCTGTCTTTTGAGAGCTCTCAGCATCCGATCCCACAGGCGCACCCATTTTGAGCCACACTTGCAGTACACATAAGTGTACCCAGAAAGATCCTCGCGTCATCAAGTAACTTGGTAGGTCACAATAATGCCCCATTTCATACATCCAATGCTTCGATGTACCAAGAGAACTCGTGCCGGATTTTTCCATGGCTGACGCGGTATGTTCTGTGCGGATGAGCTCTTGACCCTGAGATCTGAGTGAATCGAGGACAGCCAGTCCCACTGCGGCACGCTTTGACTGCAGACTGCAATTCGCATTGTCAATCAAAAAGGCAGCAATTTGTATGTCATACTTCAGTATGCGCAGCATCTTAGGCAGATTGCTTCTGTTGGCGGGCAATGTATATCCAGGCACCGGCCAACCCACCAGGTCGATACACCCCATACCTTCAAGTAAGCGTACGGGATACTCGACATGCCAGGTTGCCTTGAGAGCTTCTGCCACGATTGGCATGACTTGGTTCCTGGAAACTAGCATCACGAGCAAGAAAACCCATTCCTTCAGCTCCCGATGTTGAAACCGAGGTGCTGGCATTGCTGGATGTATGCGTAGTCGCCGTACACCATGACTCCCAAGGTGGGTGTCATTTGCGCGTGGTCTTGTGCGATTGCGAGCACTTGATCTCGGTCCGACTTGGACCATTTTCCCATGAACATGATGCAGTGAAATGATTCATCTCTGAACGAGCATTCGTCCACCCATGGCATGATAATCATCGAACCAAGTCCTGACAAATTGCCAAGCAATTGATAGCGTCCAGTGAACAAAGTATGCTAGTTGTCTGAGTTCAGGATGAAGTGGCTGCCTTTCTAGCCCCCAGAGATATTCTTCACACTTTGGCAGGCATAGGGCAGCCACAGCCGTCCCACATGCTTCTTTGTCGAGGACGAGGCTCATCAAAGTCTCCTCCACCGCGCCAAGACATCAAATGGCGACTCTTTTCTCCCTTCTCAAAGTCTCCGCGGCTTTATCGGCCACTGACTCGAGGAGAGCCCGCATCCCTCCCACTGGGACTGCGGTCAAGGTCTGGGCGGTTGGCGATGACGACAGGAAGTTTGAATTCAGCCGCTTGACTGGGTAGCAGCGCGGTTGAAGCAATTTGACTAGCGCACCCAAGCTTGGGGGGATTGTGGGTTGTGCAGATATGGTGAACACTGTTATGTTTCTGGGATTCGCTCCTGGATGCAGGGCATGGCGTCGGAGCAATGCGCAAAAGCCCATTTCATGCTCGACTGCGGTGTGAATATCATGATGCCAGAAAACCACGAGTGTCTCGTGGGGGAGACTTTTCGCGTGCATCATGGAACTCAATATATTGCCTTGTGTTAACAAGGCTATCTTGCATTGATCGCGGAACGAGACAGCAGGGCCACCGTCCAGTGCCTCCCCGCGCGATAAGTTGTTCTACTGTACACCGGTAGCGGGTCGAGCAGGTTCCCAACAAACAGGTTGCTATGAGCCGATTGCCATCTGCGACATCCAGAGCATCAAACGCTACAATGGGTCCTTCGTGCAGCAAAATGGGCGCGATGCTATGGAACGTACCAATTATGCGTACTGCAACCTGGTCGCCATGGTGAGGTACCGAAATGGTCCTGGCGACTGTGACCAGATTCGCCTCTGGTACAAAAAGCAGCGCATAGTTGCGCCTTGTTCCCCGGTGCGTGTTGGCAATTATTTGATGCGAAGTCCTGTACATGACTTTGAGGAAGGACAGAGGTTCTTTGCGCTCTATGTCCGCTCCTCTTTGCCGGCACGCAACTCCATCTTTCCAGCATCCGAGTCCGTAGAGCTGTCTCAGCGCAAAACCGCCCTTTCTGCGTCGGCATATCGCGACTTCCAGAGGGACAAACGTGGATGGAAAACGGCCTTGGTTCGATCAAGAGCCAGGCAGAATTCACTGGCATCAGGGACGGTGGTCCCGTCCAAGATATCGAGGCCCGATAATGAGCGAGATGAGCAGGCTGAACCGGGAACCCCGGGCTTGGATCGTGCTCCTTGGAATGGCAGAAGTGATGATGTACTGGTCAGTGAAAATCAGCAGTCAGAATAAATTGCCATAATGGTGATGCTTGTGGGACAAGCCAGTGCAGAGGCGCGGTTATCGAGTCTTGGAGGTTTGCGTTCAGAATGATGTATGGTCGCAATCGGAACTGGCAGTGTTGGCATCACACGTATTCGAACGTTTGCTCTCTTGAAACCGTTTGCAGCGACCCGTGAAGTGACATGCTCGTGATGTTGATACCTCTCTAATTCGATATTCATAGGCATTGCAGTTCGTGCAAACATTAGTCAAAGACTCACGCAGGCAAGGGAAGAATAGGCTATGTCTACAAGTACTCTGTAGAACAATTGGTCGGCTCGTCCCCACGGCCTCTTAAATAAAACATAAAATGATCTCATTTAACGCTGTTTGAAAATTATGAGGTGAGAGTAGTGTACAATTTGATAATAGCACTAATTTTGTAGTCGCGGGGTAAGAAAAAAAAAGAAATTACTACTTTAGGAATTTTATTTACTTATCCCTATTGTAGTACCCATGCCTATGTACTATAGTATAATGTCTCGTATCATACAAAGGGTATTGTCTTTACCACTAGAGATTTTCCTCCAGCGCTATGTCTAGGACACCTTTGAGAATTTTTAGTCTCTCTGATGTATGGGTATTGCGCCATCTTCTTACAACACAAGGTAGTGATTGAATTTTTGCATGTGCGTGTGTCACGACCAGTCAGAACGGCTTGTCCACTCCACGATACAATTAATACATGGGCCTATAGGTTGTGTCGCTTAGTCTGATGTTTACAGTCTGCGGTTCCTCGGCCCCCCAGCGCTTCGTAGGACGCAACTTGCCAGACGACCAGTCTTCCCTACACGTGAGTCCTAAGTTCTAACACGCGCATCAACGCTCCCATTTCACTGACTGTGACCATGCCTCGGATCCGTTGAAAGTTGCGATGACACTTCGCCACTTTGATCAAAACCACAGGCAATTGGATGTGCTTTAGAAAGCTTACGGTCTCGGTTGTCAGCACGACATTGTTGGCATGTGCATGCTGGTCGCTTCAAGGACACGCCTATAGTAATACCCATGAATCCAGATTATTATAAGCAACAACACCTACCATAATATTCAGATACATGTATCCTCGGCGAATTAATGTATCAACCATCGTTGAAATACTGAGCCATCTCACCGGACAGTAATGACAGAGCTTGAACGTGTTTTTCACTCGGCGCGGAAGCATTCCTTGAAGAATCAGTCTATAAGTCGAACTACATTCGTGCCCTGTGTTGCGTGACGTTCTACTTACTTTACGGTAGTGACTGAATATCAAGTCCCTAGATCCGCCCCTGGATCCAAACCCTCGACTTTCATTCACCTCATCGGTCTCCATACTCGACCTCCATCCTCTTCCATGTAGAATATACCCGCTCTGTCTCGCGACTAGTCTTTCTCGTGTGGTATTTGAATGCACTGCTACGGTCCCGAAATGCTGTCAGAACTCACAATGGCATGCTTTGGTTGGATCTTGGACGTGAACAGTTTGACGTTGGCGATGGTGAATGTCAACTAGTGGCTTAGATCTGGACTCAGTATACGCATCTTCCGACCGAGGTCCCCAGTAAACCCAGCAGGAGATTTATGGACGGGTCACGGCCACCGACTGAACATATGACCGCCGCTTGTTGACTCTAAAAATGATGTATCGAAAAGAAAACATGCAGCGCAAACTGACGCACAAGAATAACAGAAACAGATGTGGTTGCGAGTATTCATTTGAACCAACAGCACACCTACAGTCTCCCCCCCCCCCTCCCCCCCCCCTCTCGACTGTCCGGCGGTTGAGATCAAGGTTGTGTCTTCGTGCAAAGCAGGCCGCCCGGGGGCTTGCCAAAAGGAGCAGGGTCATTGAGTTCATCGTGTTTCAGCTTGAAAGCCTCCATGTCCTCTGTCTTGGAGTCAAAGGAGATTGTCGATGGAAGCAAAGACGTCCTTGTTGAATCAAACGAACTTCCAACGAACCTCTCTTGTCTCGAACAAGGCTTTTGCAAACGCGGAGCTTACGGCAACGGTAGCTATGGGCGAAAACGGAACCCCCTTGATCAAGAGCTTTACGCGGTGCTTGCGGCCAGCTAGGGAACCTCGCAAGGGGAGGCCATGCGCATGGCAACATACGGCGTAGGAGAGCTTGTCCTCGAGCGTTTTTGAGGCTCGGACATTGGACAGTAGTTAGATGACCCATGACTGTGCCTGTTGAAGAAAAGAAAGTCTGCAGGCCAGCGACCCGTGAGTACCGTATGATGTGGTCGCTTGGAATTGCCACGTTGTACTCCGGGGCCCATAGACGGCGAGGCGATGGTTGCCACTGGCCTTGCAGATACATCTCATGGAGGTCCAGTCCCATCCTGATGCTCAAAGGTGTCGGGCTTCTGATGGACACTTGCGTAAACCTCAGCTGTGGTGCCAGAGGTATTTCTCTTGGGAACGGGGCCTTTGGAAATTGTCCGCATGTTGTTTATCATCAATGACAACTTCTTGATCCCGAAGGAATGACAGTAACGCTTGGCTACAGGCACGCATGATGGTGTCTTTGACAATGGCCATTTTGGGCAGCTTTTCTGGACTACGATCGCCGGCCATGAAGTCAGAAATTTCAGGGGCTGCCCATGGCAATGCTTCATTAAGCTGGACATCATCCAACTTGAGGCCGACGATCTCCTGAGTGATCGCGCTGCACATTGTGCAACACATTACTACGACACCCTCCAGAATTATCATACGCATAGGCTATAATCATTGCTCTATATTGGCACCACCCCTGACAAGGATATTGCCCACGCAAAACACACCAGCGTTGGCGACTCTGTCGAGTGAGTACGGTGGTCTAGAGCTTGAATCTTACGTTTGTTACCAGCAGTTAGAATGATTCATTCGCGCCATGGTATGATGTATATCTTTACAATTTCTGAAACTATCCTTTCGACACTCCATCCTCCGCGGCGCCTTTCAGGACGCCCACCTTACTCATCTGGTCTTCGTGATCCTAGAATTAGCCGGACTCGAGCAGAAAGAATCTTTCTTTTTCTACGTTCGGTTTTAGCTCAATTCTGGGCTGTTGTTGTGAGCTGCCAAACCATCGCAACAGGCACCGTAATGGAGGACCCGACGGGGCGTGGTTGGGCCTAAGAACTTCAACAGTCCAGGTGCGTCAATGCGCAATCGTAGCAGCCTCATGGATAAAGGGCTGGACCTAATATCAACCGTTGCGGTGTGAGATTCTCGATATAAGATCATGCAGTGTACATGGGCATGTAGAAGAGCGGACTGCGAAACGGGAACCTTTTCATCGACATAGTTCACTTGTAATTAAACATGAGACAAGATAGTTAGATTTTTATTTTGTCATTATCATGTTTTGAGTCAATAGTCCTAGGCTGTCTATGACTTCAATATTCAATCGTTTTAGCAAGTTAATACTTCGAGTTACTAGGCTGTCTATGAGTTCAATATTTAGTCTCAGTAGCTAGTTAATACTTGGAGTCGCTGAGGTAATTCTCTATAGTTATCTTTACCCAATATAACATCTATCCTAGGGATTGATATTTCTTATACTTTATTATAATCTCTTGCTATATACGAAAGTCTTAATATGCGTTATAAGAGGAAGTGCACTTCCTACGTGAGGAGAATAAAGCGTCGATGCTAATTCCCACCTCTATTTGAAAGAAATAGTGGTAATAGAACAACATACATGTGAACACACAGGCGTTAGCCAGCTCCTGGAGTTTACCTGGTACTTTCGGGTTGATCGTAACAATAGTATGTATCTTCTTCCGTGGTTCACACAGCCAGGACAGGAAGCAATCAAACTCCAACATCGACGTCGTCAAGGACCCCACATTCTGATTACACAGAAGCCCTGTGGGCACGCACCATCCAATGCGAGGGAGGTCATGGACAAGCTCACTGTCCCGCTGCGGTTTCTCATACAACAGTAGTCCAATCAAAATTCAAGGCCACTTTCAAGCGAAACTTTTTTGCCAAGGTGATGTTGTGAGACAGGCGGCGGGCACAGTTGCTCATTGGCGCCGTGTCTGGTACTCTAGGTGGGGGTTTTTGACGTCGATTCGGACTATCCATTTAGCAGGCAAGCCAGGGTAGACAACTGCATAAGTACCAGGGAGGCAGGCGCGCACGCGCAGGTGTCGACTTTTTGTGAACTGTGTCAGGGAAGGTCCAAGGGGGTCAGACCGGAGCCGACACGTCGGCTCCGGTCCGGTTGACGTACGTGACTTGCAGCAAACTTACCCTACATCTCGCTACCATCGAACGTACGTACCGTCTTTTGTGCGAAACAGAACGATTGAACACGCAATCTGGAGAGACTGCAGAATTTCTAGATTTTCTGCTAGCAATTGTATTTCGTGCACCAATACTACGGTCAAAAATGGCTGCTGGTGACCGCAACGGTTGATAAAGCCTGCACCAGTGCTTCAACATCGCTCCCTGAGGCGCATCACTAGAGCCTGTTTCATACATAGCGGCAGAAGTTTCGCAAAGGAATAGGCTAGTAATAAGTCTACTATAGCTGAGCAAAGCACTTGCCATCTTCCATCACAGCCAGCAAAATCTGGTGCTTGAGCAATTCGACAGCCACCAAAGCTGCCTGCTGCCCAAGGACACGATTTCAAATGTGGCAACAGTGCGGAGCATGACGTTTTGCGGCGGGCCGCTCGATGCATGGAGGGGTTGAGGGGCATTGGAGCCTTGGAGGGGCAACTACTATCGGTCCAGTGATTAATGGCGGCCTCAGCGACCTGATCCAACACCTACTGACTGATGACAGGTGGACGCTGTCTGCAACCGCCTGAGGCACGCTCAGCCCGTTGCTGTGAGTCATATCTTTGCGTGGTGCATCTGCCGGACAGAGTTGGATTGGGTTCCAGTTCTCGTGAATGTGTCGCAACAATCAGTGCCCAAATCAATTTTTCCCTACGAGTGCCCCACATGTGATCCTGTTGGAGGGGCGACAAGACCTGCCATTGGCTGTCCCTACGAGCCTCGATGCGCTAGGTGGAAGGGAAGCTCTAGTCCCTAATGTTCTGGGCGGTAACAGCATTGAGACAAAGGGCGGTGGTGGATGGTGAATTTTTTGGCCCAGATGCGTGATGTGATGTCTATGGAGTATGAGTTGTTGCGAGCACGAGGGGTGCGACGTCAGGCTGGCTGGCGGGATGGTGGGCGGCGTGTTATCTTAAACTGGAGATGTCGGTCCTGAATATCGATGCTCAGGTCACCGAGGCATGGTCATTCACGAGGGCTGGCTTCACTCATGTTCACGGCATTCTGTTGAATGCGATGTGCAATAAATCGTGACTTACGACAACTGACGCCTGCTGGGCGCGCAGATCCGTCTTGTATCGTCACTCGGAGCTCCCGCTCCTGACGACGACCCAGCAACGACAGAGACTCAACTCAGCGACACCTCAGAACGATCTCACAAGGTCCAATCAATAGCATCAGCCTAGAAAAAATCTAGTGGAGCGCAAAAAAATCTCTGCACAGCTAAGCATGCAGCCGGGGCCAACAGACCCTAACAAAGATCCTCCTACCGGCGTTTTGCTGGTGGGGGGGCTGCCCCTCACTTTGGGTGGTTGAACGCATATGTCGCGCCACCCCACCTAACACTGAATAAAAACTCTTCCTCTCCCTCCGCGCCCTTCTTCTTGATTTTTCCTCTCTTTGTCCCGCATACCGAAGATACAAGCTATCACATCTGCGACACGTACGTCTATCCTTCATCGTCCTCGACGAGGCCAGCGTCATCGCGAGCATCACCTTGGTTGGTCGACGCTTGTTGATTTGCCCCTCCTCCGTCTACGATCGACCACCACCGGCCTCGTGCTGACTTTTCACCACAGATTTGCGAACAAACCAACCTATCAACAATTTAACACCGCAATCATGGGCAAGGACGAGAAGACTCACATCAACGTCGTGGTCATCGGCCACGTCGACTCCGGAAAGTCGACCACCGTACGTTGCGCTCTCGCGGCCGTCACACCACGGCGACGCCTTCAAAAACATCACAACTAACTCGACAATAGACTGGTCACCTGATCTACCAGTGCGGCGGAATGTGAGCCGATCTGAGCCCTATTGAACGAGCTTTGCTGACCTTTTATCTAGTGACAAGCGAAGTGAGCATCCTGGCGATGATCCGTGAGAATTATATGACTGACGCTAGGTTTCTCCAACAGCCATTGAGAAGTTCGAGAAGTAAGTGTTCCCGCACCATCAAGCATGCCTTCCACCTTCCAAACCTTTTCCATTCAATTTCATCAATTATCGGCGCTTTGTCGTTGATCTTGTCGTCGGCTGTCGATGCCACCTGGGGCTCCTTCCCTCCGTGCGCACCGGCATCGCCGGCCAATGCCGGGTCTCGCACCAATTGCCTCTTTGGGACACGATGCCTTCAACACCACGAATCTACCACCAACGCACTATTTCTTTCATTCTGACCGCAGCGTCTTGAATAATCGCTAATCAAAAATTCCAGGGAGGCAGCCGAGTTGGGTAAAGGAAGTTTCAAGTATGCCTGGGTTCTGGACAAGCTGAAGGCCGAGCGTGAGCGTGGTATCACCATTGATATTGCCCTCTGGAAGTTCGAGACTCCCAAGTACCACGTCACTGTCATTGACGCTCCCGGTCACCGTGATTTCATCAAGAACATGATCACTGGTACTTCCCAGGCCGACTGCGGTATCCTGATTATCGCTGCCGGTACTGGTGAGTTCGAGGCTGGTATCTCCAAGGATGGCCAGACCCGTGAGCACGCCCTGCTCGCCTACACCCTTGGTGTCCGCCAGATCATCGTTGCTATCAACAAGATGGACACGGCCAAGTGGGCTGAGGCTCGTTACCTTGAGATCGTCAAGGAGACCTCCACCTTCATCAAGAAGGTCGGCTACAACCCCAAGACCGTCCCGTTCGTCCCCATCTCCGGCTTCAACGGTGACAACATGTTGGCTGCCTCCACCAACTGCCCCTGGTACAAGGGTTGGGAGAAGGAGACCAAGGCCGGCAAGTCCAGTGGCAAGACCCTCCTCGAGGCCATTGACGCCATCGAGCCCCCCAAGCGTCCCTCCGACAAGCCCCTCCGCCTTCCCCTCCAGGATGTGTACAAGATCGGTGGTATTGGCACGGTTCCCGTCGGCCGTATCGAGACTGGTACCCTGAAGCCCGGCATGGTCGTCACCTTCGCCCCCGCTGGTGTCACCACTGAAGTCAAGTCCGTCGAGATGCACCACGAGCAGCTCACTGAGGGTCTCCCCGGTGACAACGTTGGTTTCAACGTCAAGAACGTGTCCGTCAAGGACATTCGCCGTGGCAACGTCGCCTCCGACTCCAAGAACGACCCCGCCATGGGTGCCGCCTCTTTCGATGCCCAGGTCATCGTTCTCAACCACCCTGGTCAGGTTGGTGCCGGTTACGCTCCCGTCCTCGACTGCCACACCGCCCACATTGCCTGCAAGTTCGCTGAGCTCAAGGAGAAGATTGACCGCCGTACCGGCAAGTCGACTGAGGAGGCCCCCAAGTTCATCAAGTCTGGTGACTCTGCCATCGTCAAGATGATCCCCTCCAAGCCCATGTGTGTTGAGGCTTTCACTGACTACCCCCCTCTGGGCCGCTTCGCCGTCCGTGACATGCGCCAGACCGTCGCCGTCGGTGTCATCAAGTCCGTCGAGAAGGCCGCTGCTGGTGCCGGTAAGGTCACCAAGTCCGCTGCCAAGGCCTCCAAGAAATAAGTGTGTTGAGACAACCTTGTCCCGAAAAAGAACATCACTTGCTCTACGACGAAATGAATTTTAACGTTTTGGGGGCACATAATGAGGAAATGATGGCTGGGTTATACCGGTGTCGCGCTCATCGTGTGCTGGGAGCAAAAGATACTCTAGAGTAGAGGTCAAAATGAATTCCCTTTGTCACATAATTGATGTCTCTGTCACACTGATGTGTCTTGATTATACAATGCCTAGTAGCTTGTCGCTGTGTCGTCGTCGCCCTCCTTCTGCGCAATGCCGCATCTAGTGGTGGTACATGCTCCTTCATACAGTGGCGCTCCTACTTCGACGCCGCACCTTCCTGCCCTCCTTGCATCAGCTGATGCAGCTGCAAAGCTTCCTCGACCTCCTCGCTCAACTTCTGTCCCCTTTCCAAAGCATCATTTCCTGACGTCGCCACATCATCGCTGGGCATCACGAGCTTGCTCGTCTCACCCAGTGACTGATGTTCTGACACAGCTTCTTCGATGACAGCCATTCCCTCCTCATCCGCCAGTGTTTCCAAAGGCACGTCGTCCGTCTCTGCCGCACCGTCGATTTCGTATTCGCTCGTCCCGTTATCACGAGCCATTTCACTCTGGAGCCACTCGTTCCATTCCTCTCCGCCCTCCTCCGGCAGCTCTTTGACATGGTCGCTGCCGTTGTTCCAGTCCCAGAACTTGCCACTGACAGCTTGGTCCAACAACGACAGCCACGCCTTGCTCGATTCCTCGAATTCGGCTCTGACCTCCCCTACATCTGCAATGATACTGAGCTCCTGCTTCTCGCCGTTGAATGCTGACGTTGATGACGTGTACTGCAAGATATGTGACTTCCACGCGAGAGATACTGTGTGAACAGATTCGATCGAGGAAAGCGTATATGGTGTCGCGTGCTCGGCGGTCGCTTTCGGGGCCAGACGCTGTGGGAGAATGATGGACGTCGTGGAGGGAGCCAGGAGTTGCTCAGAATTCGAGGCTTGCAAGAATTTCTGCAGGGCAGCCTGTTCAGACACGTCGATTTCGAATTCGCGCTGCTGCACCAATCGTAAGTCGACTACATCGTCTGGAATCATGACATCTTTCAGGAACCATGGCTGGATACACTTCAGAGTGGCCTGCTCAATGTTGCCGTCGGGCAAGGTCAACCGAAGGTCTGGCGCATGCGTGCCTGGCTGACCAGCCAAGGTGATCACCACAGCCGAGCTCGATGTAGGTTCCCCGGAGCCCTCGACACTGCTGAAAGCGGCAGGATGTGGCACGACGGGCGCCAGCGCCCTCCGCCTTCTGTCGTCCTTTTTTCTTGCCTCGCCCTCCTCAGAATGTATAATGTGACCAAAAGTTGCAGACATCTTGTTTGTGGCGCCGTCCTCAGAGTCCTTAACCATGGGTGCCGGTAGCTCAATCCGCTCGTCTAGCTTCAAGAAGCGCTTCTTGTCCGACACGGCAGTGGGCAGGACAAGGCGAGACCAAGAACGCATGCGATCCCTCCACGCAAGACTACGGCCTTGAGAGTGCGGCACAAACTTGCCGACATCTGCCATTTTGTCTGCATGCACCCTAAACCGCCGAGAAACCACTTGTTCCTCCCCAGCAAAGGCGCTGGGACTTTGAAGAAGACGTGCTACCAGATCAGCGCGGTCCTCGACGCCAGACGCATTCTCCTCCATATCGAGCCAGGTAACTTCGATTTCCTTGGCAGAAGCATCGTGTACAATCTTGGTTTTCGTGATGCGACTCAGCTCGTTGAGCACGTCGCTTCCGAGAAGACCCCTCCGAATATGTTGAATGGGGATCTTTCGAGACTTGCGGGAGCTGATGGCTTGATCTATCACTGATAGCACGGCTCGCACCGAGGACTTACGAGCCATTAAACGAATGCTGCCGGACTGCGCCGTCAGCCCTTCGCCCGCTTCCAGCGTATTCACCCGCAGAATATCGGTGACTCCCAGTGTAGGGTGCGTGATGAGGCTGTATGCCTCTGGCTTTAGCTCCACTAGGCATGATCCCAACTTGTCCACTTCTTCTTGGCGCTGAAGTCCCCATAACTTGGTCATGATATCGTGGACAAGTCTTCGCTTAGGTGACTGACTCGTGGTTCGGTCGCCCATGGGCGTCCAACGACTGAGAGACTTCATCCAAGGAAACGAAACGTTGATGCTTCCGAAATCTGTCATCGACTCCTTGCGTGGAGTAATATATCGCACTAGCTGCTCGGACAAGAACGCATCGTTGACCTTTTTCGAAAGAGCGTCGTACTCTCTAGTAGACAGAACAGGCGAGTGCCGGGGTCGCATGGCTTCGATGTTTCGCGAAATGTCCTCGGCGTCCGCATCAGCTGGCGTCTCATCTTCGAGAAGCTGATCCCAGTCGAGGGGCTCTTCAGGGGCGTCTTTCGGCATGACGATTGGTTCGAAAGGCCGTCGTAGTGTGTCGGGATTGTTCATGATGATCGCACTGAGATCCTCCCCCAATGCCTTCAGGCCCATGGATTCTTGATGTAGGTATTTTGTCCGGTACAGGTTCTTCGCGCCTTTCGACACGTGAGAGCGGTGCTTGGAGAGGGGGTCCCATGAAATCGGCGGTCTCGACGGTTCGGGAGGTCTCTTGTCGAGCTTTTCTGAAGATTGCGCCACGGGGAGCTCGGGTGCGTTCGTGGGCGTTTCTGTTGACCCAGGCGAGAGGGCTTCAGGGGTCTCAGCGGTGCCTGTCGCTTCCTCCTCTGCCAGCTCCCATCCCGATGCTGTATCTGCGAAGACGTGCTTCTTCCCTTTGCGTCGCGTCGTTTTGGGTGCCTGCTCTTCGCGCCTGGCGTTCAGCAGCGCTTCGAAGGCGTCGCTGCTGTTCCATCGTCTTGACAGGTCACCTGGAGCCAGGTGGCGGTGTATCTGTCGCTGTGCTATGCCGGCACAGCAAGATCGACATATGCGCTTCACGCATATTGAACGTGACAGCATGGGGAATAGTTCAGAGCGTTGCAGATGATGTTGCAGTTGGCTACAAGGTCGAGCAATGCGCCCTGAATTTTTGGGATGCGACGCTTATCGATAAGCCCCGTCAGTAGGAAGGCGCGTCTCAACGCGTGCTCGACCAGCAGGCGAAGACTCGCATCCAAAGTCGATTCACTACATTCGCAATCAAATCCAAAATGCCTTCTGGTAGGAGACGTGCAGTATGCGATACGCCGTTTCATTTGAACTCTACTGACAACCGCAGCGCGAGGAGTCCGACGATGACGAAACTCAGCCCACGCAGCGACGCCCACGCTACGACTCTGACGATGAGGGCGCCGACTCGGACCAAATGGCAAATGGCGACGCGCAGACCGCAGACGATCAACTAGCCAAGAAGCTGGTTCGCTATGCCATATCCTGCGAGTACTCACGCACACCGATCCGACGTGACGGCATCAAGGAAAAGGTCCTTGGTACCCAGGGTCGATCATTCAAGAGGATATTCGCATTGACACAGCAGCAACTACGCCTTGTTTGGGGCATGGAACTACGGGAATTACCAGTGAGAGAGAAGATGACATTGCACGAGAAGCGAAAAGGTATTGCGGATCTATTGCTATAGATGGGCGTGACTAACCCATCTAGCCATGGCTTCCAACGCACAACCCAAGACCGGTAGCGGCTCCTATATCCTGGTGTCAGTGTTGCCCACGGCGTACCGGACTGTAGCAATCGTTGCACCATCCCGAGCACCAGGTATGGAAGACGAAGCGACGTATGTAGCATTCTACACACTGATTGTGTCGACCATCTGGCTCAGCGGAGGCGAGCTCTCCGACCAGAAGCTCAAGCGTTTCCTGGAGCGTCTCAACTCGGAGCGCAACGTTTCCAGCGAAAAGACCGAGATGGTTCTCAAGAAGATGGAGCGCCAGGGCTACGTAGTGAGAAGGGTGGACCGACCGCCGGTCGGCCAGGACGGCGAGAATGTTGTGACATGGCACATCGGAACACGTGCCAAGGAAGAGATTGGTCTGGATGGTGTGCATGGCATGGTGCGTGAGGTATACGGCGACATGACCCCCGAGTTGGAGAAGAAGATGAAGGCAAGTCTGAGGGTCAAGGACCGGCCGCAAGCCGATGCCGAGGATGAGCAGGGCGACGCGACGCAGATAGCAGATCAATCGGTCGTCGTAGATGACAAGGACTGAAGAACCGATAGTATCCCCCCTCCATCAAGCCCTACTCTTCTCGTGGCGGTGGCGGTCCGCAGGGCTGAATCATCTTCCGTATCAGCTGTGCGCGGACTTTTGAGACGGGCTCGTTTTCCGCAAGAGCAATGTAGGATAGCAACGGCCGGTGGCCGACAATGGACGAGTACGTGTCGCGCTGAATGTTGGTGCGCCATTCCCAGCTCGTGGTGTCGGGGTGGCCGGTGCCCACGTACTTGGCCTGGAGGCGCTCGAGTTCCTGCTGGTTGCGGAGTTTGTCGGCCTGCTCATGTTAGCATTGCGCAGGGTCGGAGCCATATGCGTACATACCATTTCGAAATGCGCAGGTGTTTGCGTGGTGATGATTGTTCGTTCGCAAAGCGCCGTGCAAAGTTGTTGGGCGGAAGATCTTCGGGTGGGTCCAGAGCGCCGAAGTCAAGTCAAGCCAAGTCAATCAGTTCAACCATCTCTCACATGACATTATATTCAATTCAAATTCCGTGTCACTCGCTCGGAAAAAGAGGCTCTTTCATATCCGTCCACCACTGCAATATGAGCTGAAAACTAGATCATGGCTCCCATCGCAGCGCTGCCTGAGCAATGGACCGAGCTCATGACAGCTCGTGAACAGCGCGCCCACCTCGTCGCGGATGTCACCGCCATCAAAACCGAATGTGGCGCAAACCACGAGGCGCGCCACGTCAGCGAATGCTCGCTATGCTTTCCCAAGGTACTCGACCGCCTGTATGCGCGATACAAGGACAGCACAGGCGGTCGCGAGTGGTTCTCGGAGCGCAGCATGGTCATCCCCGGGCTCGATACGGTCATCAGCGAAGCCAAGGCGGGCAAGGCCAAGCTCAGCGACATTGACGTGAACATTGCGTCGGAGAAGGAGGCGTGGTATCGTTGGGTTCTGCGCAGGCATCCCGAGTTCTTGGCCGTCGCACGCACCGGTAAGGATAAGCAGGTCAGGGATCTTCTGAATGACCCAGACACCACGCGCGACGAGCTGGTGAGGGCCGTGGGCGAGGCGGTGGGCATGCCGGAGCACTGGTCGGACGAGATTGACGGGTTTGTGGAGAAGTACCAGGGCCGCAGGGGAGACGAGAAGGCGCTGAAGGAGCTCTACATCCAGCAGTTCTTCAAGGACCAGGCCACGGGTGAGACCCTCCCGCATGCCCGGGAGTACTTGGACATGTACGAGGGCGAACTCAGCGTCAAGTTGGAGGATGTCATTGGCAAGATTATCGCCGCCAACAAGGACGACAGGAGCACGCAGACGAAGCGAGAAGAGCACAAGAAGCGACTTGACGAGCTGCGGAGGGCCAAGACGACGTTTGAGCGGGACAGAGCCAAGGCTAAGAACCAAACCCAGGGGGCTCAAAAGTCGAGCGTCGAGGAGAAGCTGGACCACCTGCCACCGTGTCGGGCGTGCGGTCAGCAAGTCGACCCTGACGTGTACTGGCCATGTGCGCTTTGCATGACAATGGTGCAACTGGGGGGTGCAGGCGATTTGACGGTGTACTGCTCGCAAGCGTGCGACGACAAAGGACGAGTGAGTGATGGCTTTTATCCTTCTCTTGTCGCGCCCACGGGACTAACGTGAGGATCAGCTCGACCACGAGACCGAAGCGCACCTCTGCCACGCCGGGGAGAGCTGCGTCTTCTTCACCGATCCGGAAACAAGCGAGCAGGGCGGCCCCGAGAGTGCCAAGATGTGTAACGAATGTCTGGATAAGAAAGAGGCTACTGTCTACTGCACGCTCACCTGCGCGGCGCGCCACCTGCCACGGCACCGCAGGAGCGTGCACGGCGCGGAGATGGAGGTGGACAGGATACAGGATCTGGTCTCGCCGTTGCACAAGGTCGTCGAGATGACTTTGACGGGGGTGAAGGTGGGCGCGGATATCACGTTTACGTAAAGGGACTATGGCTGGGGGTAACGTGAGCACAAGGCGTACAGGTGGTTCGTTTATGGCGTTGGGATATAGAGCTGATGCTCGAGGGACTTGGAATTTCGTGATAGACAGACGGCATTTGGTTGGCAGAGCCATAATTGACAATGACTGGGACTTTGGCGAAAAGCGCTTGAACGCTTCACCTGCGTCTTGGCGCGTCTGATGACCGTTTGACTATATTATACGTCGCCTTGGTGTCATTTTCACGACTTGTCGTTACATCCGAGCCTCTTCGGCACTTGGGCTCGAGTCCATCCGCCGTCCCCACTTGTGTATCTGGCGTACATGTACGTGCTTACTTACCTCTATCACTCACAAAGTAAACGCATTCCCTCAAACTCCATCTCGCAGATCTTTCTACAGAATGGACCTGATGGATGAACCTCGTGACAATCCGTCGCGGCGGCGCGTACAGCATGCCTGTGTCGCCTGTCGCGCCACCAAAATACGGTGTCAACCCAGTGAGCAGCCAGGCGTGTGTAGAAAGTCAGCACCCATCCATCCGGAGCAGGCGAGCTGAACTGACAGTCACAAGATGCCTCGAGTCGAAGCGAGAGTGTGTTGCGAGGACCGGACCGCGGACGCGCCGTCCCAAGCGCAGTAAGAGGTACGTGCGCGCGCATCCCCTTGAAGTACTGCATCGTCAAGCTCATCACTGATAGTTCACCAGAAGCCGGCCCAGCCCAAGAATCGGGGCCAAGCTCGACGCAAGCGCAGACATTCACCATTGACTTTGCCGTCTCCGCGCCAGAAGAGCAAGATGACTCCTTCTCGTCCCTCGCACAGACCCACGAGCAAGCTCTCTCGGCCCTCTTCACAGAGCACGAGGAAGAGCAAAACTTCATGCTACCTCTCTCGCCGCCCTCTTCATCCGCTACGCCAGCTCCTCACTCTGTGGAGTCTCTGACAGGTCAGCCACAGTTCAATCTCGCCTCGGCTTCCTCGCTTCTGGACATCTTCAGGACACACATGCTGCCCAACTTCCCGTGTGTCACCCTGGCAGAAACAGACACCGTCGCGGAGATGGCTACGCGGCAGCCATTTGTCTTGCTTGCCATTCTGGCCTCGGTCTCAGCCTCGGGCAACATGCTCCAGGGTCATGGCCTCTACGATTCAGAGTTCCGGAAAGTCCTTGCCCTCAAGTTCGTCGCAGGCGGCGAGCGAACACTCGAAATTCTTCAGGGCATTTTGATCTACTGTGCTTGGTACGACTCTCGGAACTACCCCATGCTGCTCCCCCAAGTTGACAATGAGTCGTAGGTACCCCTTCCACCTACGACCGAAGAACAAGCAGGTGTATCACTATCTGCGCATGGCGTCCGATCTACTGCATGATCTGGAACTAGACAGTGAGCCGGTTTTCTACCAACCAGAAGACTTTTGCCTCCAAGCCGGTATCAGGGCGTACTTGAGCTACACTTATCTTGCTGCCTCGTGAGTACGCTTACATCGGGGGGCAACTCTCATCTTACTTTTCAAGGCTCCTCATCGGTTGGCAGCGATACAAGGGGATCTACGCGTCGTTCGATACTTGGACAGAGAAGGCATGTGCTCTGCTCGAGACAAACAACCATGCTCCGGGGAATTGTTCCCTCGTTGCTCTCGTCAGACTGTCGTCCATCATCGTACCAAGGATCGACGTGGACAGCAACAAGTCTGCGTACACCGAAGCAGACAAACACCTCATGCTGCTAGGACTCGAAGCAAAACTCGATAATCTTCCCATCGCACACGAAACAACCACAAAGAGTCAGTTTCCCCTTTGCTCAAACACGTAGTGCCCACGCTAAAAGGCAAGGCGCACAAGATCCCGTCTTCCTCACGCACCTCTTTGCCAAAATCTACCTCATCGCTGCCCCTTTTCTCACTTTTCCCCCTAGCCCAAAACCTTCCTCGCCCCCAAACCTGAGCGACATCATAACGCCTCTCGCCACGGTCCTCGCGACCCTCGCCAGTCTCCCCGATGAATCCTTCCGGGCTTTCACCGCACCAGACTGGTCCCGTCTTATCGTGTGCGTGATTGTCGCCTCCAAGCTCTCCTTCCCCTTGGCAAACGACCCATCCTGGGATGACGCATCCGCCAGGCACGCTCTACGGCTAGGCTCGTTCCTGGACAGCTTTTGCCGGGACGACGAGGTTGGCGACAAAGCCAGCACCAAGAACGACGTGCTGTCCGCGAGCCGGGTCGTCATGCGCATGGTGCGCGACAAGTTCAACCGCAGACTACACGCAGCCGCCGACGCAAGAGGGACAGCATCACTCGGTGGTTGCCCCATGCTTGACGGTAGCCTTGACAACTACATGCCCATGTGGGATCCGCCGCCGCTGCCGCTGGCCCTTCAGACGACCCCCCAACAACAAAGCGGCCCCGTGTTCCACGACCTCTGGGCGACCATGACAATGTCATGGTCCAACGGCCGAGGCGCTTGCCCCTGACTAACAGATAGTCACACGCTCTCTGGCGTCCCAGGCCACACATGCATGCATACTGGGCCCCTGCGTGGGCACACCACGCGCAACCTCGGTGAGGATGGCCGCACGACTCATTGGGATTGATCTGCAGGAGAACACTGACGTGTCACTTTTTTTTCCCCGTCTATACCCGTTGCACGATGAATGAAAGCAGTTGATGCATTACTCTATCCTGAAGAACTAAAACACTTGGACATGAGCGTATGCTTGTGTGCGCCACGCACGCATAGAATGAGCCCTACCCGTCCTACGCTTCGTTGATGTGATGGTCCTGCAGAAAAAGAAAAAAGAAGACAAAAACGCCCAGCAGAAGGTATCCGGCACAAGAAAACAAGACAACGGATAAATGGAAAAAAAAATCCCACACGCGCTATCGCGGAACCCACAAGTCGGTATCAAAGGTAAAGCAACGCCGCTGGTGGATCCGACCCTAGACTCCTTCGCTATCGTTTGTTGGCCGTGGGTGTTTGGTGAAATAAAGATGTGATGATCGCTGTCCCCGAAGAATACCCCGTATATAGCCCTCCTCCTGCGCGGCAGCGAGGTGTATGCGATGCAGTAATGCGATGCGCCCAACCCAGTGCTCTACCATGCTGTTCCCCCTTGGTGTGTGGTGCTCAACCAAGAGCGGTCTTCTTCCCAGAACCAAAAGACAATAAAGAAAGAAAGAGAGGGGGACAAAAAATAATGAAAAACAGAGACAACTCCTCCTGATGATGCTTTTTTCTTCTCAAAATCCCCCTGGTGCTCATCGCCTACATCCCCATCATGTGTGGCGGCAATGGTCCAGAACCATTCGTTCTGTAATGCCCGTTGGGTGTATGCGTGCCAGAGGAATGGCCATTGCTGTAGCCATTTTGCATGGGACTGTTCCACCCGTAGTTGGGCCCGTATCCCCCGTTCGCGGCGGCAGCGTTGTGGTTCACACGGGATGGGCCCAGTCCGGGAGGTGCAGACAAGCCTGGCGGGGGTCCGTTGGCCGATGCAAAGGCATGTGCTGATCCGTTCATGTTGTTGTTCATGCCACCGTGGTGTGCATGTCCCGCTGCGTGGTGGTTGGGGCCACGCACGCCAAGCGGGTTCTTGGAGAAGCTAAGCCGAATGCCACCCTTGTTGCTGTTGGAGAGCAGGTGCCCGTACAAGTCGTGCAGTACTTTGGTCGCGAAAGTCGTGTCGTCGAACTCGACAAAGCACATTGGTCCATTTGTCTTAGTTCGGAAGCACAGCCTCTTGTAGCCCCGGCACTTAGAGAAGAGCTGCTTCAGCTCCTCTTCGTGCGTATCGAGGGGCAGGTTGCCAACGTATAGAGTGTTGCACGGTGGGTTCTGGTCGGCCGGGTTGACGGGCGGCAGGTTCGGTCGGTGCGAGTGGTTGTTCATAGGATAGTGGTGCCCGTAGGGATGGGCAGACATGGGATGGTTGTACGGCGATGTGACAGAAGGGGGCGTGTTGCCAACATTGGTGTTGATGGACATATTTGCCATTTCCGACACCGGAAACTGGGGCGCCGTCATGCGACGCCCATGAGGGCCGCCGCCTCGCTCGGCAAAGGCCATGGGGTTGTTGATCAAATCGCTCGTCTCATCGTCGTTTGAATTGTTCTCGATAAAGTTCTTGCCAGAAACGCCATTAACATCCTGCGGCTTCGTCCCGATGGGGGACGTGGGACTGAAGACGCCCCGGAATTGCGAGTAGCCGTTGGGCGTGTCGATGCTATGGGGGTGCGTAGACATTCTGTCGAGCGATCCGAAGGCGCTCGAGAAGCCCGACGACGATTGCGACGCGGTATGCGCTGGACCGGGCATAGTGCTCACAGATGAGGTCGCGAGCGCGGCGCCCGTGTTGGTTGGACTGGGATCGCTGGGCACAGTCGAGGGACTGCTTCCCAATACGGTGACGATCATGTTGGCGTCGCCGGCTGAATTGGTCTTTCCGTCAAACATATTCTGTGCCTGGACAGCGGTGTCCATGGACTTGAAGCGAAGCTCGCCAGACAGGTAGCCCTCGTCGTCAGAGAGCGGTGCGGAGAGGACCTCGGCGCTGATGAGGTCCTTGGCCCAGAGAACCATGAGTCGCAAGTTTTCGTCGGTGGTGCCCTGGGGTAGTCGTCGCATGCGGACAGTGACGGCCGTCGGTGGGCTGAAGTAGGGCGTGCCAATCGGTCGCATCGCGGGCTTCTGATGAAGCGAGGACATGTTGAAGGAGTTGCCGGGAGCTGCTGTCCGCATGGACGTGGGGGGCAGGCCCGAGGTGGCCATGGCTCCCTCTGTTGGCGCGCGAGCGAGCGAGGGAGACGATGGCGGGTGGAATGCGCGGGACAGACCAGCGAAAACGGTTGTCAGGGTCGTCTGTCGCGGTCGATCGGCGAGAAGAGTCGGCGCACACAAGGGATGCGACAGGCGGCGGCAGATGCGGATGAGGAACGCGCACGCGCCGAACAGTCTGGCTGGGACAATGCGAGCAAGTGAGATAGCTGGCTGGCTGACTGGCTGGCTGGCTGTTGGATATGAAGACTGCTGGAGTGCGCGGCACCCGAGACGGACGAGGTGAGGTATTAGGTGAGGACAAGGACGAACGTGTGAACGGCCGCGCGAGCAGGATGCGGACGGAAGTATGAATGAGGACGGATGGAGTGAACTGAGTGGGTGCGTGCGAGTGGGCAGAGTGTCGAGGTCGTGGGCTCCAGTCGCTCGCTGACCAGGAATCCAGTTGAGGGAATGGTGTGGCAGTAGCAGCAAAGTGCAGTTTTGGGCAGGGGCAATCCGCCGGCGAGGGAGGGAGGATGGTGGGGTGACCTCAGTGATATGGTGCGCTTCCTAGCGCAACGAGCTCTGTGCCTGCTGAAGCTGAGGTGGGCTGCTGGGGTCGTTGAGTGACTGGTGGATCCCGCTTTTGAGGCTTCCTGCCAATGGGACGTATGCATCAAGGTATCGCGGAATCCCGACAGCGAATTAGAATCGAGTCCTCCCAAGGGACGGCAACTGCGCAGGCGGCCACGGTCGCTTTATCGCGTGGGGAGAGGGTAGCGAGGGCCCTGGCGCTCGAGGACTGGACTCTGCTCAGTGCTTGGTGATGGGCGTGCTGAGTCGTCATCATCTTGTTGCGCTCGTTATGCTTTGTTGAGGTCCGGTCCTCCAAAGGCAGTCTACGCGTTAATTCAAGACCGTGAACTCATAGCTATCCGGAAATACGACTTGGTGGGATGCTCTGGAAAATCTGAGTGGTCAGATAGCATTGGCCGGCCTGAACTTTATCGAGGCTAAGAGAATGCTAAACTGCTCTGGGCCCGGGTCGTGTGGTTGAGACTGGAGAGGCGCCAGTAGCGGGACCCGTCTTGATGGGCATGGCAACTGAGTGTAATCAAGATATGGAGGACGACTGAGAAGAAGTCCATGTTGAAGCACACAACTGATATCTCAGTTGCGGCAGTAGCTTTCTACTAGTACTTGGACAAAGAGTTTGTCCAAGGAGACGGACGTATTGTAGTGGTTGTACCATGCTCAACAGCCCACCGTACTGCCACTCGAACAAAGCGTCACATTAGGCACACTTGTCATCTTGCTGATCTGCCTGTACGCCCTTGAAACGTGCTGGCCAAAGGGTTCAACAAGAGAGACATGGCATGGGGGGGAGGATACATGGAGGTGGACCTCGAACAAGACGGGTTGTATCGCCCCGACCGGTCTGTTGCACATCTGCGGTCGATATGCCGGGAGGTGATGACTGACCCTCCATGTGGTCCCAAACAGGTTGTTGGCCCAGTGGGTGGCCGCTGCCTTGCCTCGCCTTGCCGTGCCTCGGAGTCGGAGCGCAGACGGACGGGGTTTTATAAGCTTGTGCACGCGTCGAGGTAACCACTGTGCTGGTGATTAGGGCTCACTCACGTCCCAGGACACAGTGTGAGCACATGGCCAGCTACCAGCCTGCCCTGTCGATGGTACCTGGCGCATTCCCAGCGCGAGACATGTCTCGCAGATGTCAGTCTCGCGCATCTCGTCGCCTTGCGCCAGAGATGAGGGGGCATCGCGCGCACATTGGGGGATCCTCCAAGGCGTGTTGCGAATTTGCGATGCGGCCCTCATTGACAGCACCAAAGCGGAGCCCTGACTAACCCGATAGACAGGGGGGCGACATGAGCCACCACACACAGGCCACACAGCCTGCAACGCCTCATGCAGGTGCCGATCCACTCCCATTCTCTAGGATTGGAACGCGACTGCGCGCTTAGCTCATTCCGGCGTAGTGTTTCCTCCTCCTGCACCCGCGGTAGCGGCATCGCAAATGCAGGCGCGCCGGCCAAGGTGTTCCAAGAGATACCGATGGTGTGAGCGACTCCAGCCCAGGTCAGAATCTGCCGCGAGGAGGCCTTGGACAGGGAGACTCGAGAAAGGCAGTTTGGTGTAAACACTTTCCGAGGCAGTGCGCGCGCACGCACACGAGGGGTCAATAGGGGTCTGACGCTCAGATCATCACCAGGTGACTCAGATTGATTTGGTCACGAACATGTGATACCTCAGCATTTGAGTAAAGGTTCGCTGCCACTGTGCGGAGAGCGTGTTCGGTGTGTTATGTCCGTGCACATCTCACTATTACCGTCATTTATCCACATACCTGGACTTTCATACGACTGACTGCCCTACACATCTTGCATTTTATCCGGTCTACCCTGCAATGGCGACATCTGCCACCTCATTCGTCAGCCCACCGCGCAATCACTGATACAAAGAGGACAAGATAATCAGGCTCGGTGTACGGAGTAAGGAGTGAGAAAGTTGGCTGACACTTACATCACCTCGCTCGGCTTCCTCTCCGTATGGGCAGAGTGTTGTATGCCCTGTGCCACCGTGCGTGCTACAGTCACAAAGGACTATCGCGGGGTGGCAATTGACGATCGTTGTGTTCGGTGACAGGGCCAGATATCGGACAAAGGGCAAATCTGACATGCGATATACCGTTTTATTAATTAATACTCTGTATCCGTACCTAGCTGTACAACCAGGATGAGGTACCCCGTCAACGGTCACCCATTGAAAAATTGGTTTCAAGGATATATTTTGATATTTGGCACCCATTGTCAGCCATCCGATATAGTCTAACGGTTAGGATGCGGCGCTTTCAGTGATTCGTCTAAGAATTACCAGATCCGCCGAGGCCGGGGTTCGATTCCCCGTATCGGAGAACACAATTTCTTTTTATGCTCGCACGTGAACCTTCCCCTACGTCGGGAGGGCCCCTTTTTTTTTCCCTTCCCGAACTCGACCTCTTCATGTCCGACCTTTCTTTGATCTTTTACAGTCCTATTTCCGCCGTGTCCGCCGCGGAGGCCGGTAGCAAATCAGTACCACCTCGTGCATCTGCCTACTGCCGGAAACTGTCCCGCTCTGCAGGACGGCAGGCAGCAGACTGTTCTGGACTCCTTGTCTGCTGAAGAGGGGCAACGCTCGCTAGGATGGCCCTGCGTGTGATTGTGCTTCGGCTTGATGGATCCTTTCCCATGGAAGGCGCGTCTGCCACTGAGGCCGCCAGCTAGCCGGGTTGATGACAGCCGAGTGACGCTGCAAATTGGTGGTGGTTAGCGGCCCGTCCGTATTCTACGCACAAATCGCTGTTTCGAGTGATGAAACACGTCCGTCGCTCCGAAGCCTCAAACACGAATTATGCTGCCTGCCTAACCATACTTACGTACTTACGTACTTACCCCAAGGCCGACCCCAGCATCGGCCCAGGCGGCCCCACCGCGCCGGCCGGCAAGGCACGACGTGCGGGCACGCAGACGGAGCGGGCGGAGCAACGCGCTTTCCAGATTCCGTACGTATTAGCATCTTGTATTGATACATGTTCTGGGCTTTCATATGTAAAGTATACATAGCACGAGGCAGTCTGCGCTCTGTCTATCGTGAAAGGAATACAAACTCGCTGGTGTTGTGCCTGGCATTCGCTAATCGTTAGTTACCCTGGATCGTGAGATCCGCGTCCGTCCTGTATGTTCCTAATCCCGTGTCCCATCATGCGCCTCGCCCTCAGAGCAGGACGCACCGCTGCCCGTCGCGCAGCCGTCTCCTCCGCCTGCGCTTGTGAGAGTCGTACGCAGAATGCTCCGGCTTGTGGGTTGGCGAATCATCCGCGCCGCCCTCGTCCTCCTGCCGAAGCATCTGCCGGCAGAGGTCGATGAAGCACTCTTCAACATTGGCTGCCGGTGTGTTAGTCAAGGGATTTACACGCGCAGCACTGGATAGACTGACTCCTCGTCCTGGCACTCGACTCGTAGTATGGTGCGTCCCATCTCTGCGAGACGGAAAAGCCCCTCGCGCGAGGTACCTGTCGGTTCTCCTCCAGATCGGCCTTGTTGCCTACGATGACAATGGGAACGTTTTCGTCGTCCTTGATGCGGATAATCTCGTCTCGCAAGCTCGCAATCTCCTCGAGGGACGCTTGTGATGTGATGCTGAACACAAGTAAGAACCCTTGCCCCGTTTTCATGTACAAGTCACGCATGGCCACAAACTGCTCTGTGCCTGCTGTGTCAAGACTGGTCATCTGTATCAGCTTTGGGTCCCAAACTGAGTATGCCCCTGTCAAGACTCACATCTCCAGCACGACCTGGCGGCCCTATAGGTAGCAAGTCAGCTATTCTGTGTGAACAAACAAAGCAATAGCATAGATGCCACTCACATCGACCTGTAGCTGCGTGCGGTAAGAGTCCTCAATGGTGGGATCATAGCTTTCCACCCACTCATTGTGGACGAATTGGGCAGTGAGGCAGCTCTTGCCGACACCGCCTGCTCCTAGCACCACGACGTGGAATTCACGACTAGATATGTTAGATGGGGTGGCTCAACGGGGTTTGAGGCTCGCAACCAACCTCGGCTGGAGTCGTCGTGCAGGCATGTTCACCGTCCGAGTGGCCTTGCGCTCAAGTGGTCAGGACAAGATTGCCTATGGCCAAGTGCGTCGTTGATGAAGCCGTGCCGGGATGGCCAGCGTCATGCGGCAGCTTTTGCCGACCACGACTGGACTCGGGCTGAGATTTAGTTGGACGAGGGGGGGGAAAGCCGTCCACAGGGCAGGGCTGCTTCGTGCCCTTGTGATGAGTTGTCGAGCGCGGCGACGCTATTAACGTATTAGGTGGGCTGTGATGAGTGTCTGCGAGCCTATTATATGCGGGGCACAAAAAACGAAGCGCAGCGAACCCCTTTTCCCGCGTCTGAATCTGGATGGCGAGAGATGCGACGATCAGACCAACGCTGTGTGGAGAATCCCAAGTTGTCCAAGAGCGGCCCCAAAACGGCAACCACAAACTGGGCCTGCAGGTTTGATGCGTCGAATGGGATCGGATGCTCCGAATTGCTCGAGGCAGACGTGCCCACGTTGCCTGAAGTGGCGAAGAGATGGCTAGGGTGGTGGTGCTGCTGTTTCCTGGTTATATCTTGGACCTGGGTGGGTGACTTTTTGAGTTGAGTGACTTTTCAACAGGTCCGGTCCTTTTCGCTGGGCAGGCGGTCCCTGAGTGATGGACGTGGACTGTCTGTCGGCGAGGGAGAGAAAAGAGCCGACAAGAGGGTTCTCGACAGCTGAGGCGGCGGCTTCATGCAACCAATGTGTCTCGGTACGACCGGTCAGTTGGTGTGCGATGCTCCGGCAAGAGACTGGAGGTTTCAGCAAAAAGAAAGGAAAAATCGAACGGCGGCGGCGGCTGGTGTTGGTTTGTTGGAATGCGCGCCTACGGATACCTCAGCTTACATACCTGAACTGACCAGCTGCAGCGCAGTGCAGTGCAGTGCAGCTGTGCCTGTTCTAGTCTGCTGCAGCAGCACCTATCCAGCAGTTGGCCACCCGCTGCAGCCGACTGGAGGCGCCAGCCCTGCGGTCTGCGGAAGCGCTGCCCGGACGGGGCCTGACTGGGGGCCCGCTAACCCGCTATAGTCGCAATCCACAGGCGGTCCAGTGACTCCAGTCCAGTCCCCCCCCCAGAGCCAGCATGTAATACATGGTAGGCCGGCGCTTCAGTGCGGCCTTGTACGCGCCTGTTACGTCTGTGTGATTCAAGTGTGACTGGACACTGAAGGACAGCAGACAGACGACGCTCGTACGCACTACGCATAGACTTACATATCTCGACCACTCCCTCGAAGCCACTGTGGAGCAGCATCGACTGCTGAGCAATGAGGAACTCCCCAAAACGGCAGAATCCGATGTCCCCAGTGTTGCCCCCTTCGCCACGAGGATATCCTCCCGGAGTGGCCAGGTCCAGTCGGGCAGATTGGCGGGCAAATCGAGCACGCCCGTCCCTCGCAGCTCGACTTGGAGAGCATGGCACGTCCATGATCCATCCCAGATTCCGGCTCAGAGCGCGCCTCCAGTCGTCAGCGCCGAGATCGTCGCCTAGGCCCGTACCGAAGCAAAACAAGCTTTCGGCCCTGCTTGATCTGCACGCACCTTGACCAGCTGAGGCAGCCCATCTTGCGGCCTTGCCTACTCGCTCTGCCCGTCCCCGGCGTTGGCCGCTGTCACATGCATTTCGAGATCTCTTACATACGTAGTGCGCACGCTGAAGATCGCTGGCTGACACATGTCCAGCAATACCAGCTAGCTGAGTGAAGACATCCTCAGCCCATCGTTACGCAATCGTGAGACAACACGAGCGGAGTCCAGCTTGGATCCAGGCTAATAATAGTCCAGTCTCCAGAGTTCGCTGAGTGAGACCCACGCTCGGGAGTCGCAAAGCTGCCTCGTGTGGCGCCCATATTCCCATGTGGCGGCGGGTTGGCCTCGCGATTGACGGGCTCTATCTCCGGCCAGACTAATAAGTTAAACCAGGCATATTCGGCGTCATATCGTGGAACCCAGGAGAAACCGAAGGACGAGTGTACAATCTTGAGCGGGTCTACTGACACAATCTTGATTGCTGGCGCTCTGGTCAGGATCTGTCATATCAATTCCAAAGTCTGTCTACCAAAAGACTTCGACAACATTCGTGACGGGCGCCTGTGCCCACGTCGAAGCACGAGAGCTCACCACATCAAACCGCACCATGGTCCATAGTCCCACACATGCGCCAACCACACGACCATCCGGACCACAATCCGCGTGAACCACGTCCACCACGCAAGGTGAAGCAGGCCGCCTGTCCCACGAACATGGCCTTGACCATGTAAGAAACACGGAGGCTCGTCCGGCTGGATGTACGCGGCGAGAGTGTACGCCCCGCGGATGAAAGGAAGCGCGAAGCCCCCATCATCGTCGCTGCTGCCGCTTGAGGATTGTCTTGGGCGGCGGTGTTGTGCAAGCGGCGAGGGTGCAGGTCCTCTAGATCTCGCAATAGTCGTACAATGTCCGTGTCGTCGGGACTGACCTCGCCGAATATATTGTCTAGCCGAGTTGGGGTGATGTCGTTCGTAGGCCTTCCGAACACAGTGAATAAACGAGTCCGAAGTGAGGTTCTGCTAGTCGGCTCCAGCCGCTAGTCGTAGTCAGATAAGCTTGCCCCCTCGTCGTCGTCGTCGTTCATGACGAGAGGAGGCTATGGAGATGTGCGGCCCGTGCTTGGACGGAATGGTCTAGAATAGTGATGAAGCTGAAAAGTATTGGGACTGACCGACGCAGAAGACCTCGAAGGAGCATCCGTTGTAAACAGAAGGAGCGCAGCTCTGGACGAGGCAGGTACGAAACACCAGGACGCCGGCTAGAAAGATGTTAAATTATGCTCGCCATGTTGAATACCCTGCGCTCCCAATGCCATACCAGGCCCCACCTTATTGTCTCCGACGAAGCAGTCTATATACAGTCCAAGCCATTCATTCCTGCGCCGACCCCACGCTTTTCCACATACACAGATCCCAAATAGAAAAAGTCTTCATATTAGTACGGCGGTTTGGTGATATTGCCCAGGCTGCCCTCTCCAGACCGGCTGTCGATCCCCCTCAACAACGAATCCAGGTCCATGCTCTGGAGAGACTCCTCTGGTGCGCGTGGGTGCAGGCTCCCACGGACGCTGTTTGCGGCCCGGCTGCTTGGTGTCCGTCGGGGTGCTTGGGCCTGAGGGGCATAGTCTTGATGAGCAATGTGATCTGCAGTCGTTGGCGACATGGACATGGAACTCTGCGAGTTGGGCAGTGGCGGCACAGGCGGCACGTCCTCGACATCGTCCAATGTGGGCGTATTCTGCCCCGGTGGATTCGACGACAGAGGACCGCGTCTGGTCACGGACCCGGATCGCCTGGGCGTCTCGGGCTCCGCAGGCGCGTGCGCGGCCGCGGCTGCTGGGTTGAAGCTCAGCTCTGAAGGACTGTCGTAGCTCACCATGCTATCGCCGCTGTCGTCGTCATCGTCGCTTCGTGCTGCGCCCAGCGTGGGTTTGCTGCCGGAGAGGACCATCTTGAGCTGATCGACTGACGCGATACCCTTGTGTGACGAGCTGGGCGGGGAGATACCGCTCCTGACGCTGGACTTGCGTAGCTTGGTCACCGATCCGTAGCGCTCGCGGTCGGGGATCCGCGCAGAGTGCGGTCGCATGTTATGCGGGCTGCCGTAGGGCGACATGAACCCTCCTCCATTGGCACCGAGGCCATTGGTGTTGATGGTCAGGCGGTTCCTGTTGGTGCCGGTCGTCCCCGTCCGCGATCCGTTCAACGACTCAGGCTTGCCCTCCGTGGCCAGCGCAGCAACCACGGCATCCCTTGACCAGTCTGTCAGCATCTGCTCCCGGAACACACTGGGGAAGTCGTTCTCGTCTTTGGCCGCCGGCGTCGGGCTCATTGTCGATCCCAGGATGGGGTGGTTGGCCATGCGGCCCGGCGACGCAACGGGACTAGCAGGCGGTGATTGGGCAGACTCTTCATAGCTCGTGGCGATGCACTCGACCATGGAGCTACGGTCGTCGAAGGGGAGGAGCTCCTCCGTCTCGAGGGTCTGGGGGTCCCACGCAGGCTGAGACTCTATTTGGCCCGGCATGCCCACGTTCTTGAGAGGAGGCGGAGGAATGTTGATGCCCTCGATCCAAAACTTCTTGCTCCGCCGGCGGACGACTTCGTTGGTAACGGCACGCCCCACGGCCGAGCCGTCAAAGTCAAACTTCTCTGTGAGTGTCCAGAAGTACCCGTGGCACAAGGCCGCGATGCGGACCTTGTTAACTGGCGGTTCAATCTCCTGAATCTCCTCCTGCAGGCCATAGACCATGGGGATGCCGAAGCGAACGGCATTCACGCCCAGTCGAAAGACGAGCTTGGTGAGCAGCACGTGCAGCACCACCAGGTCAGTCTCGTAATTCACGTACTGGAGGGCGTTGTCGTAAATGGCGAGGTGCAGCAGGGGCAGAAATTGCGACCGTCGCGTGTTGCGTGCCGAACGCTCGCGATGGGTGCCGTTGGACACGCCGCGAGACGCAGCCGCAGCCATCTCGCGGCTGTTCTTCATGGAGCGGTTGCGGACCAGACTCTCATCGCGCGCTCGAAGGTCGGCCGATGTGGTCTCGCGGTCCAGCCAGGTCACCAGAGCATCTACGTAGGCCTTGCGGACCCGGCCGTCCGGATCTCGGAGCAGCCACTGCGAACCCTCCCACACATGCAGTGGTACCTTGTTTCTCGAAAGGTCCATGTTGCCAGTGATCTTGGTCTTGGGGTTGGCGACCAGCAAGATCCCCCTGATGACCCTGAGGCCGCAGACGCGACCCTTGCTGTATGAGAAATAGGTGTCGGAGTGGGACTGGCTCTCCGACAGGTTGGTCAACGAGGCGCCCGGCGCAGCGTCGTGGTCCTCCGTCTTCTCCCCCTGCGGCGTCGAGTTTGTGCTCGCTGATGGTGTCGGTTTCAGGCGCGCCAGCACAGCCGCAATCATGTCGGTGATCTGGTCAGCGTAGTAGACGTGAGTCGCCAGGTCGCCAACGCACTGCTCGAGACGGTCCAGAAGCTGCCGCGACTGGGGAGAGGATTCTCCAACGTCCAGTTTCTCGTCCAGCGCCGTGTCCAAATGCTCGCCCTGTTGAAACAGCTTCTTCATCTGTTTGACCAACCCTAGCAACACATCCATAACGCTGAGCCCAATAAGATTGACGTCGGAACGGAGCAGGGACCCAGCAATTGCTATCAGTGCCAAGTGGTGCTCCATCTTGTCTTCGTGCAGCGGGGTCCGCACCAGAGCCTCCATGGTCGTGACCAGGATCACGTATCGATCCTGCACAGGCGTCCATCGAGAAATAAGGCTGTACATGGTGAGGGCCCAGCCGCTGTCATTCTTGCCGGTCTCCGCAAGCTCGACAGGTCTTTGCCCATGTTCAATCTTTTTCAAGATGAACGTGAGCAAGGCTGCTGTTGCAGAATGGATCTGCGGGCGATTCGGCCCAATATAGATACTTTTGAGGCACTGCATGGCAAGCACGCCAATGTCCTCCTCGACTAATCTGTCAGCGTCTGTCGGGGATCCTGCAAAGGGTTCCGAGTGCGGCTCGCCCGTGTCTGCCGTGCCCGCCGTAGCGATACTGGTCCTTCTCCGGAGCATCCTCTCCGAGTCGACCTTGTCCTCCACGTTCATACGCTGCAAGAGCGTGTCCAGTAACTGTTCGTCCGTCGTCCACAGGTTCTCCAAGATCAGAGGCACAATCACGTTGAGCTGGCGCCCTGTGACAGATGCCAACGGCTCCGACGTCGCTACGCTCCTAATGGCTTTGAGGCCTGCTGTCCTCCATCGTGCCTGCACGGACCGGCTCAAGCCTCCCTTGGTAGCGGGTGCTGTCGATGTCGCGAGGGTGGCGTAGTGCTGCACCACAGACTCGTACTGGCGCGAGTACGCTTGGTCGGCGAAGAGGGAGGAGGCATCGTGGTGCTCGCAAAAGGCGTCAAAGGCAGGTAGGGAGGACTCGATCATGGTGATATCATTGGATCGAAGGATCAAGTCGAGGATCTTGAGGACGCACGGGGCGATAAGGACGACATCCTTAGGGGACTTTTCGATGAGGGCGGCGAGGATGCCGAGGGTGACCTGGACGTTGCCGATGCGCATGCGCCAGACGTCGCTGGCCGTCTTCTTCTCGAGGAAGGCGCCAATCTTCTGAATCTTTGACTTCCTGCTCGTCGCGTAGAAGAGCAGGTAGCTCAGCTCGCTGCTGTTGGGCTTGACGTCGGTGGCACCCTTTGTCGTCCGGGGGTAGCACTTGAGGATGAGCACCTGGTGCTTGGGGCGGCACTTTTGCTTGATGGCGTGCATGGCGCGGGCGGTGATGGCTGGGCAAGACCGTGCTCAATCCGGGCGGGCTCTTTCTGCTGACTGAAAAGTCGGACGCGGAGTCTGCTCACGGGTGAGCCAGCAGCTCGAGAACCGTAGCGGATGATAACGTCGCGCGGGTCGGAGGGAGGATGGGCTTGTTGTTGGTTCGAGGCCACGAAGCAAAGGAGGGTGGAATAATGCCACTGGGGCCGGGATGATGGAGTTGGAGTTGAGCAGCCACGGTATCCGTACCTTAGGTAGGTACCTTACCTTGCGTACTTGAGTTGTTAGCAGCGTAATGACGCGGGAGCTAATTAGCTGCAGGAATTCTGGGCGGACGGACTGGACTGAGCCACACGTCTCTCTGGCTGGCGTGAGCAGCCACGGGTCAAGCCGCAATTTCCCCTTTTCTTCTTGTCTCAATCTCAAACTCAATCCATTAGTATCCCAGTACGGAGTATCGACATGCTCATTGCGCTGCGCCGGTAACTTATGTTGATGGCGCGAATGCATGCTCAATACATCCTCGACATGGACGGCGAGCAGCGACGGACCGAGGCTCTTGATCAACCTCACTACTCAGAGCTAGAGGGTAACGCCCTCGAGAGGGGACGTGAGGGGGTGCAGGTGAGGATCATCTTTGTGCTCGCAAGCTATCGCTACTTTGCGACAAGCTGTAGGTTTAGGAACTTGGGTGGCACACGCGATGGTCGTGGAGAGCATACCGGAGGCAACTTGCTGATGGCGACTGGTCCGTCACGTAGTCCGCATGACTTTTGCGATGGGACTACGATACCAATCCAAGCAACGGTCCATGATGGCGGCGTCCAACTTACGTATCAATTGTTAGTGGCACTGTTGAGTGTTGACGCACGGGTACCACATCCCATCCACTCCAGCCCTGTACTTACATATAGGCTGTGGCTTCACCCCAGGTCCGCAGCTAGGCGCCCCATTCTTTGGGCTCAACTCCTCCGTACATGTACGTACGTACGTACTCCGTGTAGAGTCTTTTATGAGTCTCCAAGACCACATGCTAGACGCGCGACAGCACAATCTCCCTAGATCTAGTTCTCACTTGAAAATCCACGCTGCTACATGATCAAGCTCGTCTGGATGCGAGAGCATGCAATTTCGCGATGACGACGCCGTGCTTACCGTGAGGCCTCGTCAAGTGGGCAGAGCCAAGCTCGCTAAGCCTTATTTGCCAAGAATCTGACATTGTCACTCCATCGCGCTCGTCCTGTCCCACGGGGCTGCATGCGTGAACCATTCTTTTTCTTCTTACTCTTCTTCTTCTTCTTCGTCTTATTCCTCTACTCGACTTTGAATCATCTTCATCCTTGGTACCTCTCATCGCACAGCCCTGCCTGCATCACCGCTAGCCATGGACAGCCCAGGTCAATGTACAGGCTCACCAACGTTCAACCTCGCAGTCACCAACTCGGCGTTTTCAGAATGGCCGGAAAACCTGCCGGGGCTCGTCTGCAAGACGCCTCCCATGGGCTACTACCACGCCGCTCGCTTCGCAGAGTGCTGCTCGGGCACCGTCCACAACATCACGACGCCCACGTCCCCCGACGACCCAGCCTACCCGGTCACATGTGCGCTGCTCTGTCAGGTGGACCCGAAACTGGATGAGCACAACGACAGATATCCATACGGGTTCAGTGAGCACTTTATGTGCCTTGCCGACGGCCGCGTCGGCTTGCCAGAGGAAGAGAGCAACCCCAGAGGCGCGCCAGGCGGCGAGGTCGTATGCGCGACGTTGACGGTGACCGGTGTCGAGGCGCCCACGAGCTATCCCAACAGCTGGACGGGGGACTGGCAGACGAGAAGCTACTACAGGCTGGGACCGGGTAACTTATCGTGGTCGTGGGTCGACAATGGGGAAAGCATCCCAACAAGCAGGTTGGCGTCAGGGGAAGAGGCGCAAATATCATCAACCTCCAGCGCTACCAGTACACCTACAATCAGAACAGAGGGCACATATACCAGGCAGTCACAAAGTACACCCTCGACGGCAATGGTCCTCAGTTCACCGACTGGGGGCAGTGTCGAAGAGTCTCCAGCAATGACGGAAACGCCTGGCGAGACCCAATCGGAGACGACAGGCGATGACACGGATGATGGGACGAGGATGCGTTTCACGACCGGCGCGGTTCTTACTCTCGCCCTCCTGGCGACAATGTTCATAGTATGACGATGTTGGCTCATCGAATCACTGTACAAATGTAACAATCTTGTATATAGCACACACACTGTACGTGCAACAATTGAATTGGCGTCTGCCATGGCCCTATCCAAGATCAAGTGCGCGCGAAGTTAGTCCCGCAGATCAGATGCATATAGATTCTGTGTTCATGTTGGCTTGACTTGCATCAGCCCCCTCCATCACTGCCACTTCACTTCTTCATCCACCAGACCACAGCAAGCCAAGCCAAGCCAAAAGTCAAGCATGTCCCGCTACGTCCTCACCTTCTTCACCCCGCCGCCCTCGCTCGCCGTCATCAAGCGCGCCCTATTCGCCACAGGCGCCGGCCAGTACCCCAACTACGCCGAGTGCTGCTTCGTCACGCCCGGCACCGGCTCGTTCCGTCCCACGCAGGGCGCCCACCCGACGATAGGCACCGTCGGCGCCGTCGAGCAGGTAGACGAGCTCAGGGTCGAGGTGGTCTGCAAGGGAGACGTCATCAAGGCCGCGGTGGCCGCACTGAAAGAGTACGTCTTGTTACCGGCCCCCTCAATTCTATCTAGGGTTGTGCGCAGAGGCTGACGACGCGCAGATCGCATCCGTACGAAGAGGTCGCCTACTACGTGACCAAGCTTGAGGATTTCTGAGGGACAGACAACATTGTATTTGTGTGCAAGAATTCAGGTAGTCATTACACCCCCTTCTGCTTTTGCCCGCCACCGCCCGTCGCATCAGTATCCCACAACGCCTGCTGAATCTATTCATGCCACCGACGCAATCACCAGCGCCGCCACATTCTCCTCCTCGCTTCGCACCGTGAGCTTTGTCGTCACACCCGATTTGGAGGAAAAGGCCATCCGGACGGTGGCCACCACGCGGCCGCCGGACACGCTCTTGCCCAGCAATTTGAGGGTATGTGTGCTTTGATTGACGGGCACGTCGGTCCCGTCGACGGGTTGGAGGGAGAGTGTCTTTGCGAGTTGCTCCGTGGCATCTGTGATCCATCATGTTAGCATACTCTACGGAGCCTTTGTCGCTGCGCTGCTTACCTGCGATGCTCTTCATCCCACCGAGCTGCAGGGTCTCCTCGGCCTCCTCCCCTGACGCGCCAATCTGCTCCCACAGATGACTAAAGTTGCTGGCAAACGTCGGGATGATGTAGTCGCTGCCGGTGAGGTCAAACTCGGAGATTTCGTACTCATCATCGTAGCCTTCCGCCTCGGGCTCGCCTGTCGAGGGGTCAATCTCCTTGCTGGTGAACTTGAGGACGTTGCTAAAGGTGCTGAGGGGCAGAGCGCCCTCGCCATTGACCTTTTGGAACGCAACATATACCTTGCCGGGTTCGTCCGTTGAGAGGCGCGCAGCCTCCATGATAAAGGCCTCCTCGAGCTCGTCCTCTTCCGAGGGCGTCGCCACCACCGAGACGTTCTCGAGCACCGTGTCCGGCAGGGTGTTCTTGACCTCGAACTGCAGCACAATGTGCTCCTTGAAAATGTGCTTGACGAGGTTGACGACGTACTCGGTCTCGGCCTCTGTGAGCTCGACAATCGGCGACGACTTGAGGACGGCGCCAAATTCCTGGATCTCTGGGATCTCGCTGAGCTCCTGAGCATACCTCTGGGCCTGGGCCGACGCCGACGCGGCCGCTTCGGCGCTGGAGGCAGACGACTTTGTGGGCCCGGCCTTGGGGGCCTTGAGCGTGGGCGCAGTGGCCGTGAGCTTCTTGGTGCGGTCCTCGGCATCCGCCTGTTCGCGGGTGACGATGGGAATCTTGGCGATATCAAAGGGCGACTCGAATGCCGACTGGTCGTCCGAGGTGACGTACATCACCAGCTGGTGCTCAAACGTGGGCAGCGAGAACATGGACTCGTTCTTGACAAAGTCAAGCGCCATGTCGTCGTCCTCTTCACTCATCAACTTGAGGTTCAGCGCAGCACGGTCGCGGACTTCGTCGTCGACGTCGTCGAGGCAGCGGGTCAGCAGGACCCTGACGCTGCTCTTGACGTCGGGATCCTTCTGTCCGACACCAAACTTGGCCAGGGCAGTGACGGCGGCCGCGCGCACAATAGCATTCTCGAGTACGACACGGTTGTAGATGTACCGGATATACTTTGTGGGGTTCGAGCACTTGGGGCCCTCCAACCCGATCAGGTGGAGGATGCGGACGGCCAGCTTGGTGAACTCGCAGTCCTCGATGAACTCGCAGAGATGCGCCAGGGCATCTTCCTTGGAATCCGGTACGAACTTGATCAAGTCGAACATACTCTCCACGACAGCGCGCTTAAAGTCGTAGCCTCCCTCGTCGCGCAGGATGCCGCTGAGGAATGTCAGCATGCCAGCCTGCTTGCTGGGGAACTTGAGGCAGAGGGTGCGGATAGCCTCGACAATGGTAATCTTGAACTCGTCCGTGATCTCGGACATGAAGCCCGAGACCTGCTTCATCAAGCGGTCCACCGAGGCCTCGTTGCCTGTCTTGAGGAGCGTGGTGATGGCAAAGGTCGCGATCGATCGGTTGCTGTTCGAAATGAGGAGCTCAATGTCGGGGTTGCACACGTTGACGGCTTGTGGCTTGAACGAGGCGAAGTTGTGCAGGATGCGGAGGGCCGCAAACTTGGTGACGGCGCGTGGCGATGTCAGGAACAGCTGGAGGACATGAACGGCCTGGTTCACCTCAGCATCCGTCACATCCCGCATGTCGCAGATGGCCTTGGCCGCCTCAAAGTTGACCATCTCGCTCTTGTGGCGCAACCAGCCGTCCAGCAGCTGCACCATGGGCTTCCGTAGCGAGGCATCCTCCTCGGCGAGCTGGGCGGCGAGGCGCACCAACATGGTGAGAGCAGCGGGACTCTTCACCACGCCAGCGGCACCGAACTGCTGCACCATCTTGACGAGCGCCATGCGATCCGAGCTGCGCATCTGATACAGCAGACCAATGGCGTGGTACTGCGTCATGGTCGAGTTGTTCATGGGCAGGTTACCGGCGGACGAGGAGAAACCGAGCGAGTAACCGCCACTCGAGGACTTGCTAGCAGCCGCCGCCTCCTGAGTCTCGCTTTGCCATCGCTTGACAACATCTTTGGCGATGGGGAGGAGGTGATACGAGGAGACGAGCGCGGCCGACGAGACGGACGGGTTCTTGTCGACAATGGCGGTCTTCATGACACGTTCGATCGACTGGACGGTCGTGGCGTCGATGATGCGGCACAGGGCGCGAATGGCATTCGGTCGGAAGATGGCGTCAGTGCTGCCGCCGGTGTCCTTCATAATCGTACTGGTGACCATGATGATATCCTCGGCCGAATTGGCCAGCTCCTTGATGACAAGGTGGACCATTTGGCGAAGGCTGGCATCCTTGTTCTGGAAGAGCTTCGAGATGCCGAAGAAGAGGGTCGTCGCTTCGTTCTTGGGGAATTTCTCGCCGGTATAGAGCAGCAGAGCAATCTTCGTCAGGAGAATCCGGCATCGTCGCGGCTGGATGGGAGAGCTGTTGAACAGGCGGGCTGTTTGTCTCGTTAGCCGGTGGGGTGAGGGCCTCCTGGGCACGGTGGTTCACCGACCTTCCTGGAAAACCTGCGTGCGGTCCACCTTGACCAAGCCCAGGTCGGCATCTTCGTCTTTCTTGCCGTAGCTCATGCTGGGCGACGGCGTGGAGGTTGTGGGGTATGGCGGTGGTTGAAGCTCGACGGAACTGCTGCCAGATATCACCACGTTGCAAGGTGGTTCAGGGATGCGTCACGTGATTTGTAAACTGGGCGCGATTGGATTTGGAAATACAGCGTTGCTCGTGCGGGAATGGTTTAAAAAGTCTGTTCAATCGTTTGGAGAATTCATTTTCTCTCGAAATTTGCAGCTTCGCACAGTTCAGCCGCGACCGAGCATGGCAACGTGTTCTTGAATGCCTGGCCGATTGAGCGCATCTGTCGACCAGTCGATCTATCATTCCAGCTTACCCTGCAACGATGCGGTACAACTGTTAGTTAGTGCAGCGCTGCTTCATTTCCCCAGTTGATGTCACCTAATAGTAGGACCCAAAATTTCCGAGGACTTCCAACTTAGCAGTACCATCTCAGCCGCCATTATGCATGCGCCAACGCGATTACTTGTTCAATCTGCATTCCCTCGCCTCCGGGCGGCTCGCTCGCTGCACACGACAATACTCAGGGCTGCCAATGTCGCGCCCGTTGTTGGCACTGGGCCACCTCCAGAGGCACCACTCGCCGACAAGGCGAACAAGGCATATGAGCGGGTAGAGCGCAGGAAGCGGCAGGCCGAGATGCTCAAGTCGGCGAATCAGATCCGCACGGTGGCGGAGGGGAAGAAGAGCGGCGTGCTCCAAAAACGCTTCTGGCAAGACGTGACTGTACGGGAAGTTGATGGTGAGTTCAGGACTCGAGGTGCGAGCAGCATGGTCATCGCTAACCAAATAGGTGCTCTGCAAGTATTCCTGGACAGTCGCCCGCTGCGACACCCCAATACCAAAGAGGTCATCCCCATACCCCTCTCCAAGCCGAACCTCGCCTCTGCGCTGGCCCTCGAATGGGACCAGCTCACATCGGCGCAGGAAGCTACGAGGTCACACCTCATTCCTCTGACCAGTCTGGTCTGCCGCGCTCTCGACATACAAGCCGACGACGCGGCAGCTTCATCCGTCGACACAGCGCCGGTCCGGACGTCCATCGTCAACACTGTGATGCGTTACCTCGACACGGACTCGATGCTGTGCTGGGCGCCGCCTGCGGGCCCGTTCGACCTCAAGAACGATGCCGGGGAGTCACTGAGGGATGTTCAGACCGAGACCGCCAAGGAGACGCTGGCTTTCCTGACGTCGAAAATCTGGCCAGGGGTCACAATCACGCCTGCGCTCGACGGAGACTCCATCATGCCCCGGTCGCAGTCCCCGGAAACACAGGCTGTCGTGCGGAGCTGGATATCGCGCCTGGACGCCTTTGAGATTGCCGGTCTCGAGCGTGGCACATTGGCAGGCAAGTCTGTCCTGGCCTCGGCAAGGCTGGTAGCCGAGTGGAGCGAGGGATCAGCCAACACAGGCGATGCGTTGATCGGGCAACTTTTTGGTGCCGAGGAGGCCGTGCGGGCCACGAACCTCGAGGTGGACTGGCAGGCCATGCAGTGGGGAGAGGTCGAGGATACGTACGATGTGAACAAGGAGGATGTGACGCGGCAGCTGGCCAGTGTGATCCTGCTCGTGTCTGGGACGGGCAAAGCTTGAAAGGGCTGATTGTAAGTAATATTGTATAGCACGTAGACTGTATCATAGAATACCGCATCGCAGACTGGTTGCTGTTTGGGTACAACAACTGCACAAACTTGTCCCGCCGCCGTGCACCATTGACTGTCGCCTGGGTGAGGTCAAGCATATTGGCCAGCCAGATTGGACTGGGTCAGCCTCGTTCCAGAAGACTACCTACAAATAAGGTACCCAAGGTAAGGTTAGTGGAGCCCTTCCACATGGCTGACTACCCGCCACCGGGAAGCTTGGAACAAACGAGGCCACCTACACGTACATGCAGACAAACATTCATGGGCCGAAGGATGGTGGCGGAACGTTGCTCCCGCCGGCAACAGGCATCCTCCTCCACGGCGAATGAACCGCACATTCTACGGGGTGTGGAGATGACACCAAACCACCGCACCAGCATCGTCATTCCCCGCATGTCATAATTCTGGAGATCCAAGGCGCCTCAATCCAACAATTGGCTCGGATCCGGCCTGGCCCCCCTGGGAGGGTCAGTGGAGGACGATGCTACCCTCGGCACACGAACACCATGAGGAGGGTTCGTGCATGCGTGCGTCCCCATCCCAATGGGCTCGATCCCCGGGGTTGCGGTACATAAGAAGCCATGACGGCTGCTCCTTCATCCTTTCCAAAGGATCTGACGATCTTTCGTCAGTCGTGTGTCCTGTCCAAGTCTTGACCTTGCCATCCCTTTCCTACTGCGCGCGCGCGCTCGAATGAACTCAAAGGAAGATGGTCTTTCACCCGCCAGAGCGGCTTCCCAAGCTGCCTCCAGTCCCCGACTCCATCACCCTGGAGGAGTTTATGAGCAATGAGCAGTATGGTCGCTACCCACTCGACCAGTCGCGCAGCCCGTACACCTGTGGCTTGACGGGCAAGACGTACTCGGCACGCGAGGTGAAGCAGCGGGTAGACTTCTTGGCGAGAGGCATTGGCAAGAGATTGGGCTTCCACCCCCATCAAGACACGGCGTGGGACAGAGTCGTCACCTTGTTTTCTCTCAACACGGTATGCTTGCCTCTTTCGACTGTATCGTGAGCGCGAGTGGACTGACAGAGCAGATCGACTATATACCCTTCACCCACGCCGTGCACCGACTCGACGGCATCGTTGCGCCCGCCAGTGCAGCATACTCAGCTTCCGAGCTCGAACACCAGCTCCGGTCGTCCGGGGCCAAAGCTCTCTTCACATGCACGGCTCTCTTGGACACGGCGCGCAAGGCCGCCAAGGCAGCAGGTCTCTCGGAGGACAACATCTTCATCCTCTCCATGGCCGGCGACACGGGCAGCCCGCCGCACACCACAGTGGACGAGCTGATATCCCAAGGACGACAGCTGCCACCCACGCCACCGCTGCAATGGGCCAAGGGCCAGGGCGCACGCCAGGTGGCCTACCTGTGCTACTCGAGCGGCACGTCGGGCCTCCCCAAGGCCGTCATGATCTCGCACACAAACATCATCTCCAACGTTCTCGCCGGCTGCGTAGGAGAAGCCCCTACTCGCGACGAGCTCCACATCACTACCCAGGTCGCACTGGGCCTCCTGCCCCTCTCGCACATCTACGGGCTTACCGTCGTGGCTCTAGTGTCGCAGTACCGGGGGGACGAGGTGATTGTTCTGCCAAAGTTCGAGATCGACAGCTTTCTGCAAGCGGTGGATAGGTTCAAGATCCGAAGGCTCAACATTGTCCCGCCGATCCTGATCAGCATGATGCAGAACGAGGACAAGTGCCGCCAGCACGACCTGAGAAGCGTCAAGTTCCTGTACAGCGGCGCAGCACCGCTGGGAAAGGAGCTCGTGCAGGATGCGCTCAAACGCTATCCCCAGTGGAGGGTAGGGCAAGGTTACGGTAAGGCCCAACCAAACCGATGCCAGCGTGGAACGGTACTGACTGGTTTAGGCATGACGGAAGCAAGCCCTCTCGTCACGTCCACGGACGAGCTTGACGTTGACATTGGCTCGTCGGGCTCCTTGGTGCCGGGCACGTACGCAAAGATTGTCACCCCCGACGGGCACGAGGTTACCGCCTACGACACGCCTGGCGAGATGCTGGTACAGGGCCCATCCGTCGTGCTGGGCTACCTCCACAGCGAGCGGGCGAACGCCGAGACCTTCATCTGGGACGAGGACGGGAGGTGGCTGAGGACCGGGGACGAGGTCGTCGTGAGGAAGAGCGCGCAGGGCAATGAGCACTGGTTCGTCGTCGATCGAATCAAGGAGCTGATCAAGGTCAAGGGCCACCAGGTGGCGCCAGCTGAGCTGGAGGCACACCTGCTCACGCACCCCGCCGTCTACGACTGCGCTGTGATACCTGTCCAGGACCCGAGAGCAGGCGAGGTACCCAAGGCCTACGTCGTCAAGGTGTCATCCGCCACGGCCGGCAACCCCGACGAGGAGATTGCACAGGCCCTTGAGAAGCATGTCCAGGACCACAAGGCCAACCACAAGTGGCTCAGGGGAGGCGTGGAGTTTGTAGACGCGATACCCAAGAGTGCCAGCGGAAAGATACTGAGGAAGGACTTAAAGGAGCGTGAGAGGGCGAGGCAGAGAGAGGAGGGGGCCAAGCTGTAAGTAGCGGTGGGACGATCCGTGGTTCCGATATTTTGTTTGCATACGTATAGCGACATTCAGACTATCTACATAATTCACATCCATCAGCGAGAAGGGAGCGAGAAGGTTTTCAGCAAGCACAGCCCTGATGGGCGAATTAATATTACAAAGACCAGTGGGGGAGGCAGCGCCGGGGGGTATATGCGACTATCGACATGCCCTCGTATTTTTCTTCCGCCGCCTATCCTTTCAGACTCTGTTTGCGCTGCACCCACGCCCAACGTGGTCTCTCTGTCCACCAATGCCAATAGTATTTCGTAAGGATCGTAAGAACGGTAGGGTGTCACGCCAGAAAGCGTGCATGCGTGTGTGCTATGTGTCTATGAAAGTGAGGAAAAGTGCGCGCTTAGAGAGCGGCGACAACGGCCATGACGACCAGTCCGAGACCCATGCCGGCACGGACGTTAGAGCCAGCGCCGGTGACGGGGACATCGGAGGAGGGGCTGGGGATGGGGAGACCACCAGTACCGGCGATGGGCTTGGTGGTGAGGAGGGTGCTGTAGATGCCGGTAGGCTCAGCAGGAACCTGAGGGGCACCGGTCTCAGGGACCTGGGGAGCGCCAGTCTCGGGGACCTGAGGGACGGCGCCGGTCTCAGTGGCCACGGGCAGCTCATTGGAGGCAGTGGGGCCGCGGGTGATGGTGGGCACCTCGACCTCAGGCACAGTGATCTCGGTGGAGATGGTCTTGACAGTGGAAGAGGAGGTGATGGTGACACCCTCCTCGACGCAGGGCTCAGTGATGGTGGTCTCGACGATGATGGTGGTGTAGGGGATCGAGGTGACGGTTGGGGTGCCGGTGACGGTGATGTACGAGGTGATGGCATCGGGGCCAGTGACAATGGCAGGGTTCTCGGGGATGTAAGGAGCGCAGAAGCCCTGGAAGAACTGAACAGCCTCGGAGACAATGTCGTCGGTCTCACCGTGGGCGTACAGGCACTCGTAGGTCTCCTCGACAAAGTTCTTGTCGGGGCAGAAGCAGGCAGCGTCCAAGTTGTCCTTGCAGTCCTTGACCATGTGGAGGAAGGTGTTCATGCACTTGGGGACAACGTCGGGGCAAGGAAGCTCGAGGTCGGGAAGCTCAGGGGTCTCGTTGTCGTCCTCAGCGGGCTTGGTGGGCTCGGGGCCCTCGGGAAGCTCATCAGCGGCGGTGGTGGGCTTGTCGCCTCCGGTGACCTCAGTGACAGGGCAGACGGTGGTCGACACGGCAACGGTCTCGGTAACAACAACGGGGCCAGTGGGAGTGCCGTCAGCAGGGCAGTCGGGGACCTCGGGTCCGCAGCTTGTGATGGTCCTCACAGTGGTGGTGAAGATGGTCGAGGTGGTCATCTCAGGGGTGGTAGAGACAGCGGGCGAGGAGAAGGCCGAGGAGACAATAGGGCCGGGAGTAGTGGCACTGGCAACGGGAGGAGTAGAACCGGGAGTGGTGGCATCGGAAGGCAGGGCGCTCGACTCGGGGTTGACAGGGGTAGAGGCGGAAGGCAGGGCGCTCGACTCGTTGTTGACAGGTGTAGAGGCGGAAGGAGAGGCGCTCGACTCGGGGCTCCCAGGCGTGGGTGTGACGGTAGGGTTACCAGGAGTCTCAGGAGTCTCAGGAGTCTCCGGGGTCTCCGGGGTGTCGGGAGTCTCAGGAGTATCGGGGGTCTCCGGGGTGTCGGGAGTCTCCGGGGTGTCGGGAGTCTCCGGGGTCTCAGGAGTATCGGGGGTCTCAGGAGTCTCCGGGGTCTCAGGAGTCTCGGGGACGTCGGGGGTGTTGTCGTCGCAGTCAAAGTCGATCTTGGGGATCTTGATTTTGCAAGTGTCCTTGGACTTGTTGGGCTGGTCGGGGAAGACAACCTTGACGTCCTTGGCACCACCGCACTGGGTGTTGATGATCTTGTTCTTCTTGCCCTTGAAGCAGTTTGAGGAGTGCTTGCACTGCGAGCCGTCGGGCATGTCGTAGTGGAACTCGAGGCGGCAGTCGAACTCGACGTCGACCTCAAAGTCCTTCAGGGAGAACTTGTCAAAGCCCGACTTGGAGCCGCAGCCAAAGGAGGGGGCCGAGTCGCGGTCCTTGCCACACTCACCGAAGATAACCTTGCCCCAGTTCTTGTCGTCCTCGCAGCTCCAGCCCTTGAAGTCGAGGCCAAGGTAGTGGTCGAACTTCTTGCCGGGCAGGAGGTCCTTCCAGTCAAAGCCACCCTTCCACTTGGAGTCGCACTTGTTGTCCGAGTTACCAGGCGAGGGAAACTTGGGGGCGTCGCAGAACTTCTTGCCGAAGCCGAAGCCACCGCCGAGATCAAGGCCGATACCAGCACCGGCGCCAACATCGACGCCAGCGCCAATATCGAGGCCAAAGCCACCGTGACCGAACTATTGCTGTCAGCGCCGAGATCGACTGTCGAGGTATACCAGGCAAGCTTACTGTAGCGACGGCCGGACCAGCGGCGGCCGCCATAATGGCAAGTGTGTTCCTCATCGTGATAGAGTTGTGTTGTTTGTTGTGTGTATACAGCGAGTGTAATATGTAAACAAAAGGATTAATGTATGAATTGCAAGTGGCCAAAGGAAACGAATGACTTTGGACCGAGAAGGATATTAGCGATTGCTGATGATAGAACGAACGAGAAAAGACAAGAGTGCGTACTGATTGAAGGAAAAGGCAGACAGAGGAGGACTCGTCTGCTTCTATATAGCAAAGCAGAGCAGTAGCAGACAGGTCGTTTTGCACCAAGAAGCCGTGCTCCATCTTGGCCTGGCTCGTCCAGATGCTCCCAAGCAGGGGCTGCCCCTGAGACGTTGGACCCATGCGGCGTCCAGCGGCTACCCCTGGTCGCATCACGAGAGGGGAATATCGCGGCCATGCACCTGGTCTTCCGGTGCTGCTAATTGTAGACCATGTTGACCCCAAGCTCTGGTATATTGCATCGTGAAGCCATGATTTGTTGTCAAGTTCAATAGCTGTGTCTTGACCGCGGATTCTGCGTTGCAAAAAGAGCACTGGAGGATACAATAGAAAATGGCCTTGTGCTGCGCTGCCATGTTGACGCCCGGCAACCGCCGTGGAAATACATTAAGCTTGATGGTTTCAAACTTCTAGCATGACTGGGTAGCCTGCGGCGAGGCAGTGCTGGCGCCCTGCGACGGTCCATCGAGCATTGGTGTTTCATGGTCCATGGTGACAGAAGAACTAAAGGCCGCTGGAGCGTGCAGCCAGCTGCAGGGGTTTGTCGCATGAACCACCGGAGCCCACTTTAGACGTTGCGTGGGGCCAGGATCCTGTCACCGGCGCTATGAACGCTTGGCGCCCAGTCTCGAGATCTGTCCCTGGGGATTAAATCCGGTGCGCAAATGAATGATATGATGATTGTTATGGCGGCTTGCCCGGGCACCATTTCGGTATCCTGTCGGTCCCGTGCATGATAGCCAGCCAGTCACTGTACTTTCCAACATCGATCAATTGGTGATGTTGCCGGTTGAGAACTTGAGACTCGATATGTCGGCCACCGAACTCTGTTCTGCGCCAGCCCAGCAACATAATCATCTGCATGATACGCGCACTTGGACAGTGGACTGAATCCGAATCGTGTCAATTCGAGGCGAATCAAACCGAGCCAGAACAACAAGCGGCTCACGAGCTGTGAAACAATGGCGCTAGTCGACAGTCTTCGTTTCAAACATTGTGTACTACGTACTACCGAATTTAGCACGTAGCATTCGCTCCTGTTAAAGCAACCGCCCAAAGTAGTAATTCCTGCGCAGCTTAGCCCGTTGCGAGGCTGGCCTTGGCTAGCAGCCGGCACTATTGGCGTCAGATGCGGTCTCTCATCTGCGGATCGCGCCAATTACCCCACATTAGGCATTGCATTTTGCAGAGAGCGCGAGAGGCCATGGTGCTAAGGTGGCATATGTAGGTGCTGCTCGCTTGCCAAAGGCTCGTCCGTTGTAGACCTGCTCCCACAATGGCAGAGCTTGCTGATCTTGCCTAGCTGCTGTATCGAACTTGGAGTCTAGCGAGAGTGCGGGTTGTTTCCTTGGACTCCGCAGTCGGCGCACTACCGAGATCTGATCGTGGTTGACTGCGTCTCTAAGCCGCGAGCCCTGATACGCGCCCCAGTGTTTTCCGTGCGGGCTTTCTATTTCTGGTAGCAGCTATCGACTGGATGGGAATTGAAGACACGGCGCATGATAGAGCTCGGCTCAGCGTGAAGGAATTGGCGACCATCGTGGATGGTGAAACGCGACAAGTTAAGGTCGATGTCTGAGACGGTGGCGACTGGCGAATGGACCGGCGTTTTCCCTAGTCGAAAATCACCCCAGAGCGCGCGCTACTGCAGGAACGAACGCCCCCCCACTTGCCTCTTCGGGCTGTCCAAAGCAGGGCAGTCCCTTCCTCGTCGAGCATTCTCCAAACGGACCAAAGTCCCATTTGTTGTCCATTCTTCGGTTCTCGGTTGCATCACCGCATTGTGAGACACATAACGCTCCGATCGTCGACCGGGGCCGTGGTGCTTCTTTTCCACTCTATCGGCTCACTGTACTCCGTATCTTCGCCTGCATATTCACGTATTCCAGGCGCTCTGGCGCTCTAGGCCGCCCACGTTAGGTAATAGACGGAAATGTTTACCGCACCGTTCCCCGTACTACTTAATCCGCAACTGCCGCCGATGCCATCATGCCTAGCCCAGCCGCCCAGTCCAGACCGTAGGTGGCCGTCCACCCCTGGTCCATATGACCGTCCACTAACTCTGGGCCCTCTGGCGGGAGCTGCAGGCTGTCTCATCCAACGAACAGGCGGCCAAAGCACGGATCGTTGCTTTTTGGTAGTGGTCTGTCTCGGTGTCTCCCTCCGTCACCTGTCATGTCACCTCAGTTCGTCAACTTCGTCGTGCAGTAGCGGTTATTAGACGACAAGGTCCTCCATAGGTGAGTTCCCAATAGGTCAGTTGCTTATGATGGTCTCGAGGATTGAGAATTGACAGCCATCGTCGCTACTTCCACTTCTAGAAGTAGTCCCGATGGACACTTTGATTGTCATGCTTGGACACCTTGACTGTTGCTGATCAGATGTCTCGACCTGACTCGACAGACGAGGCGCCACCGTTTTGGTGTGGAGGGTGGCTTCCGCCAAGCCAGGGGCTTCGAGTTTCAGTGTCCGGCCTGTCAAAGGCTCAACACACCAACAAACCGACTCCAGTCGGGAACGATGGATGCGAGGATGAAATACTTTTGCGAGAGACAGACTCGGTTCAGCGAATGCAAAGAAGCCGCTTCAGACTCGTCAACTTTCCGTGCTGTGGTATCTCCCAATGCCGCCGTTGCGCTCCTCTAAATACAGCTTGGCTTAATTTTGGGGTCTCGAGCGCCAAAGCGACGGCCGCGCGCATTCCCAAGGGTCCAGCAACAGGTGACCGAATTGGGCAGCCGCCGACTGGAGACAGATCCATTGATCACTCGCGGAGTTGCGGCTGGAACCGGGATCACTCTGGTGCGCGACACACCAGCTCGCTTACCTGAATCTGTTGAATGAAGCCCCCATGTTTGGTCTCTTGGCCCGCGGCAGATGCCCCTCGAAATCGGGCACATATGAGACAGTCATCGGCAATAATTCTCCTCCGCGTTCAGCAATGCGTGTATCTGCTGCTTTCCTTGCCAGGCCATTTGCATTCAGCTGTTCACCTTGGCGACGGTGCTCATCAAGTGCCTACATTTATTAATTACTCGTACCCTCGGATTCCAAGCCGGATCAGCGGTGGTTGCTGTGAGGTGACCCCGATGGCAGGGCCAGGCAATTCCAGAAAAATTTCCGTGGCTCCACCGTCTTCTGGTGCCCTTCGCTGTCTCGGACTAAAGTTCCAAACAACGTGGGCATCTCAGGCCATGCCATGACCCATGGCGCCGCCGACGTTGGCGAAATTACCCGTGCACTCGCTTGACATTTTTAGCAACTTTGGGGATGGCTCAAGGTGTCTCCCATGTGGTGGCTCGTGAGTCTGACGGGAGGCTCAGCTCTGGACCGAAGACTCGAGAACTCTTCGCAAGGATGCAATCAGACTGTTGGCGAGTCCTCGGCAGGAAGACCGTGAGCTTGTACAAAGCAGGCGGCTCGAAATCCATACGCTATCTAAACGATTGACGTACGTATAGGCCATGGCGCGATAGGGAAGTGTCGCGGATACTGCCGCTGCCCCTAGATAGAGTGGAATGAGACAGCTCCACAGCGTTGTCAGCTGAGACATTTTCTTCCAGGTTACCCTACGCCATCCTGTGCAAAGACTACTTGAGCACTTTTGGTGGAAATATGGTCGGTATAATGAAAGTCAATCAGCAATTACTGTGCTTTCGGTAATAGAATGTACTCAGAATTCAAATCTGTTGGATGGCATGGTTTTTTACCAAGAGCCAAAGACAACCTGCCTATTTTGGCCTTTTTCACAACTACGAGCACCATTGCTGACGATATGAAAAACATGCTGGCCAACCACTTGCCACGCTAAGGCATATGTCTACAAAATTAGGAATTCCGACGATATATGGCCTCATGTCATTGATAACTTCTAGCATTTGATTCAAGAGCAACCGTCGTGAAGCTGCTTGATCCTACTACTCTCCGGGAGGCGTGTAGGGTAGCCGCAACCACGCACAACCGACGCCTTGAGGTGAAAGCTCAAGTGCCTCCTTGCATCTTCTTCAACCTCGCCTCGGCCGCTCTGGCCCTCCGTTCGCGCTCAAGACGCATCCTCATCTCCGGCGTCAGACCCCGAGACTCCTCCTCGCGACGTTCCTGGGGCGTCTTGGTCAGCCCAGCAGCGAGGGCGTTCACTTTGGCCTTGGCGGCGTTGCGGTCAGCAGCTCCAGGCTCACGACGCAGCTTGTCCTCCTCGGCCTTGCGCCGGTCTGCTTCCTTCTGGCTGGCCTCCTGCTTCTCACGCTCGTCCCGGCTGTCAGCCTCAGCCTTGGTCATGGCCGGAGGCACCTTGGCATCGTCCCACGCCCAACTGGTTTCGCCCAGCTCGGATCGAGCCACGCGGAAGGCATCTCTTGTCGCCCTGTCACCCGCGAGCTCAAACGGCATCTTGCCCTCTCGATTTTCGAGGCCTGGATTCGCCCCGCCACGGGCCAGGAGACCAAGCACCATGGCGGGCGAATTCTGGGCCGCCGCAAGATGTAGAGGTCTCGGCGCGTGGTGATTTTGCTCCGGAGGTCGCAGCTCAAAGTCAGCGCTGACATTGTTGTTTTTTAGGTACAGCAACAGGGCTGGCACTTTTGATCTCCTCACAAAAGCTTGGATCTGCGACGTGTGCAAAAGAGCCGTTTCCTCTTCCTCGCTGAGCTTGGGCTTTGAGGGTTTTGGTCCCTTTGTGCTCGCCGACGTCTCCTTCTCCGATGGCTCGACTTGCCTCGTTGGGTCAATCTCCTTGACTTTGAGTCGCGTCAGTTCAATGAAGGACCTCATAAGCTCATTCTGGGTCGCGCGCCTCGTGCTGAACGGGAATCCTCGCAGTCGTGTGTCGTTGTGCTTCAGTACCTGCCCGTCGTAAGGCCCGAACAATGTACGTCGGTTGGTCGACCCGGTCGCACGGATGAACAGCAGCTCAGACGTGTCAATGAGCCCTTTCCAGTCCTCAAGCAGCGCCCGCACATCCTGGATCAGCGCCTGCTCGTTGTATCGACGTATCCCCGCTCCAGCCGAATGTGCGTTTCCTTTGGCGTTGTCATTGGCCGATTGCGAACCACCTTGCTTGCGTCTCGTCGTGTACCTGTGGAACGTCTTGTGCGCTAGCACGGTCGCTTCACGGTTCATCGTAGTAGAGCCCTTGACCGGGCGAGGGGCGAGCGAGACCACCATGCCAGCAAAGTGACCGCCACCAATCATGCAGAGAAAGATGTGCGGGCCTTTGTATGCCACCTCGGGCAGTGTGCCATCCTTGTTCGGCCTTGGTATCGTGACTGGTTCCACCTGTTTCTTCTTAATGACTTGGGTGAGATCATCCTGCTGTCGTAGTTCATCCCCGGTGAGGATCGCGCGGTACATGCCAAAATACGTGTTCTTGGGCAGCAAGGGCGAACTGAACCACAGCAGAGGGGGCTTGCTACGCCCAGGTTGGTTTGCCGTCACTGCTCCATCTTCATTACCGTCCCCAGCGGCCCTGTCTGCGATTTTCGCCTGCCGCCTCAGCAGGGCTGTCAGAGTAGACTCTTGTTTCCCCTCTTCGCCGTCGTCTTCGGAGTCATCCGAGTCGGAGCCGGACAATGATTCGTCAAGGTTGCCAATAAGCTTCTCAAACTCTGTGTCAGACACCGCCTTCTGGCCGCGCACTTTTTGCTTGAGGTTGTAGTTGTGGAGATCGGATCGCTGGTGGCCGCGCTGGTCGAGGACGGTTGCAAACGTAAGGCCGCAGAGGGAGCAGCTTTGTGAGCCGACTAGGGTTTCGGCTGATGCGCTGGGGCTGGGGCTTTGCGGTCGCGAGTCGTCTAGTGGCTCTGCAATCTCGTCGTCAGGCTTTGGCGCGAGCGTCTCGAGAACTTGTGGTGGCAGATCGTATACTGATTGCGTCAGTGATGCGCATGATGATGCGGCGCGCTACCGTACCGTAGAGTGGCTTCTTGAGGAGCTCTTCGCTAGGATTCGACATGCTGAAAGTGCCCTGGGTCTGTGCCCGATAATATTAGAGAAAGATTGCCTGTAATCGGACCAGACGTCGTCAGACTTGGATCGCAAGGGGTTTTGTAGGTTGTCGCAAAAGCTTGAGGGTGGATAGTGTCGTCGCAATCGACTTTCCTACGCTGAGTCAATCGGTCAGACAGTCATAGGGTCCACCTCGAGGCCCCGGACAAGACTCATTCTTAGCCTTGCCAATGCCAAGGGTTCACCCTGAAAACAAATTTGTCGTCCACTGCAAAGGAAGCGTTGCAGCCTCGCTATCCCTTTAATTTTTCACAAAGTCGCGAGTATTCAAGCTGAATAAGTAGGTATGGAAGGTAGGTCTGGTACAAGAGCTGACAGAGCCGTCCTCTAGCGGCTCGCGTCACCTCCGCGATTGACGCCTGGCAGATGGCAGCCACCACGAGCGCATGGTTGACGGGAAAAGAACACGAGAAGTTTGCCAACCAGAGTAACCAGTATTAAAGATTTAACTGATACTCGCACTTGCTGAATTGTCAGCTAGTTCGAAGCTTTTTCAAAGACGTTTTGTACGGTGCTGCGGATCATCATCACCTTGTTGTGGTACCCCACCATCGGTAACCCGACGTCACTCTCCCCCACCATCCCGCCCGCCTCTGCAGCGCCCACCTTCGGAACCTTAACCTGTTTGTTCCCAGTCGTACCTTTTTGGTGAAACGACGAATCAAGATACGTCTTGTTGATCCCAGCCTAGCTGAAAGATGCATATGCTTGTAGCTCGTGTGCTTGTTCGTCATGCCCAGTGCCTGCTTGTCTGTGCCCAGACCGTATAAGTAACGGGTCTAATCCTCCCCCCACCCACGTCCCACTCCTCTCCTCCATCTGCAGAAAATCACAGAATCGATCATCAGAAGCAAAAATGGATTTCGTCAACAAGTTCACCGGCGGCGAGTCTGGGAAGGAATCCAACAACCAGTCCGAGAACAAGGAGGGCCAGTCCTCTGGTGGTTTCATGGACAAGCTCAACGGCATGGCTGGCGGTGGTAAGCAGGGCGAGAAGAACGAGGATGCTCTCGACAAGAGTACGGACCCCCGGAGTGACAGTGGATGCAAGTTGTGTTGACATTCTTAGCCGTCGACTTTGTTCAGGAGAACGTGCTCGGGCAAGGCCAGCAGTCCAACGAAAGTGCCGCTGAGCAGGCGAAGGACGAGGCCATCTCGGACTATATCCGCGGCCAGTACAAGAGCACCACGGGCACCGACTTTCCCGTCGAGGACAAGGATAAGAAGTACGGCGTTTAATGTACAGCGTATGATGCCGTGATACAGTAATGAGAACACGAATCGACCCACAGAAATGAATGAGAAGAGATATCATAATTATGTCTATCGAGAAAAGTACGCTAGCATACTAGTGTAATATGAAATGAAAAGCAAAAACATCCCAATGAGAGCCAATACAGTGAACTCCTCGGTGCCGAACTTGGCCCATGTGTAGCTCGGAGCGTCCATGATCTTCGACAAACTCTTCTTCCTCATCTCACCATCGCCCCACGGCTTGGGCAGCCTCAGGTCATCCAGGATCTGCTCGGCCGTGATCTTGGCGCCCGCCAGGACAATTGGCACGCCGGTACCTGGATGTGTGGAAGCGCCGACAAAGTAAGTCCTCTCCAGCTCGGACGCACGGGTCTTGGGTCGGAACCAGAGCACGTTGAAGAAGTTGTGGCTCAGGCCGAGGATGGCGCCCTTGTCGAGGTTAAACTTGCTCTCCCATGTCAGGGGACTGTTGACAATCTCGTGCGCAATGTTGTCTTCCACAGCGGTGGTGCCGACGCGCTTCGAGATGATCGACAGCACCTCGGCACGAGCGCGCTTGACAATGGCGTCCCAGCGCTGCTCGTCCTCGGGAAGGCCGTCGTCCGAGTCGATGCCCTTGGACCGCGTCAAGTGGCCGACGGGCACCAGCACAATGATCGCATCCTTGCCCTCGGGCGCAGCCGACGGATCAACGCGACTCGGTACGTTGACGTAGAAGCTGGGCTCGTTGGGCAGGCCGTGCTTGTCAAAGATGGAGTCGAACGACTCTTGGTACTCCTCCGCCAGGAAGATATTGTGGGTGGACAGCTCGGGGATCTTGCGGCTCATGCTCCAGTAGAAGGAGATGGAGCTGCATGAGGCGTCCTTCTTCTGAAGGCTGCGGCTGTGGCGCTCGATGCTCGGCGAGCGGGGGAGGAGGTTGCTGTACGAGTAGACGAGGTCGGCATTCAGGATGACAACATCGGCGGAGAGCTCCTCGCCGCCCTCGAGGAGGACACCGGTCGATCGCTTGCCGTCGGGCGACGTGAGGACCCGCGAAACGGGCGTGCCGAGGCGGTACTGGACTCCCATCTTCTCGCCAATCTTGACCAGCGCATCAACCACCTGGTGGAAACCGCCCTTGGGGTACCAGATACCCTCCGCGAACTCGGTGTATTGCAGCAGAGAGTACGTTGCAGGGGCGTCAAACGGGCTCATGCCCATGTACATGGTCGCAAATGTGAAGACGCGGCGTAAGCGCTCGGTGTAAAAGTAGCGGCCCGCGCGTGCCCAGATGCTCTCAAAGGGGTGCATGTCTAGGATCTTGGCCAGGAAGCTCGGCCTCAACATATCGTAGATGTTCATAAAGTTCTTCTTAAGCACCTCGCGCACCGAGATCTCGTAGTGGCGGTGGCCCTCCTGCAGCCAGCTCACCCAGCGCTCGAAGCCCTCGGGGCCTTCCCAACGCTCAATCTCGCGGCGCATGTCGGCCACGTCGGACGAGAGCTGGAAGCGCTCGCCATCGTGGAACCAGACATTGTAGTTTGTCTCGCAGCGCAGGAGGTCCACGCCAGCCTCGGGCATGGTCGTGTCGAGATCGGCAAAGGTGTCGCGGAAGAGCTGAGGGAGGAGGAACAGGGAGGGGCCCTGATCGAAGCGGTAGCCGTCATGATGGATGAGAGAGCAACGACCGCCCGTGAACGAGTTCTTCTCCACGACGGTCACACGAAGACCAGCCTTGGCCAAACGGGCAGCTAGGGCAACACCTCCAGCTCCGGCGCCTGTGTGAAGAGTGAGCATGTATGTACTTGTCAAGAGCGATCAACACAACTTACCGACGATGACGGCTGACTTTGGCTTCTCACTCATTGTGTCGAGGTCTTGGTGTGAGGTGATCAAGGATGATTGCCAGAGAGAAAGAAAGAAGACCACGAGACGGGCGACCGAAAGTAAGTAAGGTAAGTGGACAGAGCTGTCAGAGGCACATGTCAAATGGCAGTGTGATCCATGACGGATGCACTAGTATTCACCTATGCTTCTTCGTAACCGAGCTCGCGTCTCGCTGGAAGATCGCTGGGCGAGATGCGCCTTCCTGCCCTCCACAGCAGCCCATCGCATCGCATTCGGAACGCGCAGCATGGAGAATGTTTGTCAAATCGCATCTATGACGATATGACTTTCAGCCATTTGGAGAATCGACTAGGCACACGCCCCCCTAGCGTCAGGACAGGCCAGCTTTGTGCCTGGCACGGATATCGCACATCTTGGCATGTCCGACGAGACGAGAACGCAGGTCGCGGATATTTTTCAGCGTCCGAGTGAACACATTGCGCGATATCGTGCACGCGATGTGGGTTTGGGAATCGTGATGGAGTGTGCGATCTCCAACTTCAGCTGGCTTGTCAAATTGGGGCTGGACTTGGATGAGGGGCAGCCAGACGCTATCGATAAGCATGTGAAGGGACTGAGGCAATGCCAGAGTCGAGTAGAGAATGAGCACATGCTGTCAAACGTAGAATCAAGAGAAAACAATCCGATTCTACCCAGACTGAGTGGAAAATAATATTGGCTCGCCCATGCGCCAGGAACATGCTTTGACCTGCCCGTGTGCATCTGTTGTGACCGCTTCGACTCACGCCTTGACCAGCGTTTTCCAGACAACCCCAATCCTCCTCCATGCTGGCACAGTGGCCTTGCCTTCTACCCTTAGACCGCCCTCGGCGAGCACGCGGCCAATCTCCATGTAGCTCTCCACCGCCACAACCATGGGACCCTTGGCCTCTCCGGGGATCAAGTCCATCGAACCCCGCGAAGACCTGTACCTCTCGAATGCCTTGCCCAGGAGCCTCTTGCGCATTCGCTCGACCTTGGGACCAGACGGTTGCGCGAGCACGTCGGCTGCCGTGATACCCTCCTCCTCTAGCCAGGTCTGGGGCAGGTAGACGCGTCCCATGGCAGCATCGACAGCCACGTCGCGCGCGATGTTGACGTACTGAAGCGCGATGCCCATCTCCTTGGCCGCGGTGTACAGCAGAGTTCTGTTGTCCTTGTGGCCGGTATGGTGGAAGACAATGTCCAGGCACATCTCGCCGATAGTGCTGGCGACCCGGGCGGCGTAGAGCTGCAAGTCGCTCTCTTCCTGAATTGGGCTCTCCCTCTCCGTTGTGAACTCGACGTCCGTCCGGAAACCCTCGAGCAGGGCGTACAATGGCTCGGCCGAGACAATGTGAGAGGGTAGCAGCTCCAGCGCAGAGTGGGCTGACGGTGGGAAGTTGGCGCGCGCGAAGTCCTGCGCGTTGGCTGCCTTGGGGGCGCAGTAGACTGAGTCGAGGTGACCCTTGAGCTTGGAGATCCAGCCGAGCGCTTCTTTGGGGGACTCTGCATTGTCGATGAGATCGTCGGCAAGGCGGCAGTACGAGTATCTGTCAAACATCAGTACAAGTCAATTGACCCGGACAAGCGACTTACAGTAGAGTCAGGTCCATGCGGATGCGACCCGGGAAGACGGAGCTTGCAAGGTAGAAGCTGCGGCTCTTCTTCCTCAGGCGCTCAACCGCTTCCTTGATACCCGTGATGCGCTTCATGTCGTATTGCGAGGCGGGCAGGATGCGCGCCTCTAGCAGCGACATGATCGGCAACGTATCTGATGGCTGAGGGAATTTGTTCGGGAACGCGTCGCACACCGCGACAGCCTTGTCAAAGGCCGCAATGCCAAAGGCGACCAAGATGTTGCTGATCAGGAAGAAGAGCGCCTCCTCCAGATCCAGCTGGCCGAAAAGATGACTCTGCAGCTTGGTCTTGTCCTCAATGGTCCAGATGCCCTGGCTGAGAGACAGCTCGTCCACCACCCAGAGATAGAAGGTCGGTGCGAGGATCGGTAGCAGGGTGCTGGTCCACGGCAGCGTGAGCAGTATCTCGCCTGTCATGCTCCAGGTGATCAGCAAGAACGGGCAAGCCCAGGCGAGGATCAATCCTGTATATGTCCCGGCGCCATTCTGCTTGATGAGGTACCCTCCGAATGCCGTCGCGACCACCAGCGCGACCTGGCCGGCTGTTTTCGCCCTCTGGACCCAGGCTTTCCTCGTGCTGGGAGTGTCGAGGTACTGGGCCAGCAAGACGGGCTTGTTGCAGAGGATGTACATGAGCGAGGTGATGTACGTCTGCACGACGAAGAAGAACAGCTCCTCCACGGGAATGTCGAAGAGTGACCATCCCAAGACGCCGTCAGGAGGGTAGGTCCACACACCGGTGCGGATGAGATAGCTGTCCCATGGGATCGTCGCCGTCACGGCCACAGTAACGAGGAAGGCGATGCGCACCAGATCGAGACTGGTGAGGAAGGGTTTCGCGGCGACAGTGAGGAAGCCCGCGAGGGGGATTGTGAACTTCACATGCCTTTCTGCTCATTAGTGAGGTTCAACGCAAACCGCAGCTCGCACACGCGCAGTGGACCTACACAAGCGCATAGTCGAGGCCCATGGTGATGGATGGCAATCGTCCCGTCTGGTACTGTCTGGCCGGGGGAAGGTATTTCGTCAAAGTTCAAGGACAAACCTGCCAGGCGAAGCATGAGTGTTAATACGCAAAGGCCGGCAGCGGATGAGACATTGGAGTCCATTGGATCACCATTCCATCAGCCAGGGAAAAAAAGGCTTGGTACCTTCGCACTCGGCATCCAATAGTGCGCATCGAGTCTAGCGGACTCCAGGGCGCGAGAGGGTGACGATGCCAGAGGCGTGCGAAAAGCGAGCGCGCATCGGCTAGACTTGGTATGACAATCGACATGGGAAAATCGCCATTCCATCATTGACTTTCCGATGTAGCCGCCCCGCCAGCGGCAAGGCGTGAGAACCGGGAAGAGGGGCGTGTGGAAAAGTCTATGACGCTACCATCCGTCAGCATCGCCGGTACGTACATGTAACCTGAAGTGGAATGCTCACACGTGATTGCGGACGCGCGCGAGCATCGGAGGATCGGACAGAACGATTAGATTACTGGTGATATTTCTCGTCGGAAGTCAAAAGTCGTCCATGCCCATTGCTCACAATTGGCGCCAAGCCGTGATCTATTCGTACATAATTTACTCTCGACAAGCTTAAACTTGGACCCTCATAATCGCGTGATGGCAATGATGCCCATAGAAGGCGATGAAATATATCTCTAGATCGAACTCATCTAGCTCAGACTGTTCTACACCACAGGTCCCATGTGATGCTGTTGGGGATAATAAGCAGGCTGTTCGTAGCCTCCATAGTCATAACCATGAAGTTGGTTGTACCCTGCGTTGCCGACCCGACCCCCTCGCCCTCTGTAGCCGTTGGATCCACGCCGTCTCATGTTGGTGTTGTTGCTGTTGAACCCGTTTCCGTACCAAACTTCGGGATACTGCTGCTGCTGCTGTGGGTACATGGCCCCCCCGTAGCCATTGTGGTTTTGCGGATGGCTGTAGCCTCCGTTAGGCGTGTGGGTGTTGCATTGAAATCGTTGTCCTCGGCCGCGGAACGCCCCCTGCTGATGGCCATAGCCATTATTTGCCCCAGGCCTGCCGTTCTGTTGCACCTTGGCGTTCCCGCCGCTGCCTCCTGAATTCGAGCCATCATGCCCCTGACCGTTACTCCCACCGCCTCGACCACCACGGCCTTGTCCACGTTTCCTAGGAAATGACTTTCTAGGTCCCTTGGGCTTGCGGTCGAGAGTAAAGTCAATCCTCTTAATCGGATCCGTCACCATCTTGTGCTCGGCGAGTCCAACTCTCTCCAGGTCGGCCTGCTTCGCGGTGCAGGGCTGGAAGATGTTCTCCAAGCTCTCCAGGTCACGAACCTCGGGCACCCAGGTCTTCACGTATTCGCCTTCCTTGTCATAGTCAAAGGCTTGTTTGACTGGGTTGAAGATGCGCGCATCGCCACGAGGATCATTGCCAATACCTGCGACGTACTGCCAGTTCGACCAGTTGGATGACACGTCATAGTCGACCAGGTGCATCTCGTACCACTCGGCGCCATAGCGCCAGTCTATGCTCATGTGTTTGGCAAGGAAGCTGGCGACATTCTGGCGCGCTCGGTTTGATGTGTAGCCGGTGTGGAACAACTCGCGCTGCGACGCATCGATCAGACCCTGGCCCGTTGTGCCCTCGAGAAAACGCTGGAGCACTCGATTGACCTCCTCCGGAGCCGGCGACTGGTCCTGCCGGGCTGCGTCCTTTCGGGGACTCTTCCATTTTTTGTTGTATGTCTTGTCTTGTCGAAAGCCAGACAGTCGAAACAGGCGAGAGCCGAACTTGCGCGTACAAAGGCGCATGTAGTCGCGCCAGAGCAGCTCGAAGCGCACGCCCTTGGTACCTTCATTCTCGCCCTCGCCATAGCCGTTTGCGGACGCGTAGTCGGCGTTGGTGCCGTCTTCCAGATCCTTCAGCTCCTTGTGCACTTGCCGGGCAGATATGCACCCGAGTGATAGGTACGCGGACAGTTTGGTACTAAAATCCAAGCCGACAAGGCCATTGCGAGTCTCCTTGTACGAATTCATTCCCCCGGATGTGATGAGATAGCGCAGACGGTCATGGGCGTTGGTCTCGCCGCCTTTTAGAGGATGCGCGGACTCGGCCCCCTCCGGATACGCTGGCGGCTCAAGAAGCATGCTGGTGAGTGGCGAAAGTAACCGCTGTTCGAGATCGTTCAATCCGGTTGCTTCGACAAACGGATGTGGTTGTGGTGGTATTGATTCTGGTACGCCTGGCAGGACTCCCTTTTCCGGCAGCGGCAGCACAGGTCGAGGTCGCTCGCGCAGAGGCTCCTGGTTCTTCCGATACGAGGTGAATACATCCGGCAGATCTGACGGTTTCTCCAGACCAGTGTCGCGGCTGCAAGATGTTAGCATAGGTGTGGTGAAGCAGAGGCAATACTGACTCGTCCACAAAATACTTCTCGTCAGCCCAAAGCTTGAAGTCCGTCCCGTTCTTCTTACATACGGCGTTGACTTCCTCCTCTTCTTTTATTTCCTCAGACGACTTCTCTGCAGTCATCCATACATCGTTGACCTGCTGGCCCTGCTCGCCCAAACTTTTGATGACACTGTCGAGGACATCGACCGTTTTTCCTGCGCGGATGACCAGCGTGCTTCCCAGGCTCTCAAGAGTCTTTTTGACGTCCCACACAGACTGAGCGACGAATTTGGCTCGGTGCGGACCGCATCGCCAAAAGCCAGCTACTTGACTTAAAGCCTGGGGATAGGGCGACTGCTCTCCGTCCTTCAGCAACCCCCCAATTTCGATCTGATGGTGAGGGAAGACGTAGATTGCCAAGACGTGCGTGAAGCCATGGTCTTTCGTCGTTGCCAGGTGGTGGAAAATTGGATTATCGGATACTCTGAGGTCGCGTCGCAAGAGGTAGACGAGAAGCTTGCTGCCAGCCATGGCCAGGACGTGGTGTGAGTCGCGTAGTACTTGGCTATGCGCTTTTGCGACAGTAGCTACGCTATCTCGGGGATTATTTTGTCGAAGCGAAGCGGACCATAGGCTCTTATTGCGGAATGGTGTTTGATAGCGGACAGTAGCTGAAGTAGAACGATAGGAGGCAGAAGAGATCGAGTAGCGAGCGGCTTTGGGAGGAATTCATCAACAACATGCACTGCGAGACAGTAGGTAAGTAGTGACCCGATGAAAGACAGCCTTAGGCTAGGGTGAGGCGAACTGGTTGACGATGATACATGGACTTGACCCAGTAATGAGTGTCAGAGATGGCCAGGGACGATGCGCGATCTGGGCGACTTTCAGCCAACGATACAAATCGAGGGCCGGCGCCGCACGCGGATGATAGACGCGGCTAGGAAAATGGCTTGACATTGGTTCGGGCTTGTCCTGTGCGAGATATGATATTACCCCAGTAGCCTTATTCCTGCGTGAAGGTGATCATTCCTCTGCGTGTCTAGAGCTCATCTTTCGAACTCCCCATCATGGACAGCGGCTTCCTTTCCCATGATGAGGGCGGATCGGATTGCCCAACGCTCTCAGAATGACAGGTCCTCGATGACGGCCTTTTCGGTGGGGAGAGGGGCTGGAGCGCAGTGGAAGCATGACAGCTAATGATAACGTTAGTGTCCCAAATGGCAGGCAGCTTCAGTTGCTGAAGGTTGCGTGAAAGGCGGATGGAGGACTAGACTGGAGGGAATGGATGACGATGTCGAGACCCCTACGCGTTATCCTCGAGATCGAACCGTCCCAAAAAGGACTAGGCTGCCAAGGGCGAACGGCGCCTTACCTGATTAGGGATGATGCACAGAAGGGTCCAGCGGCGGGAAAAGCAATGACGCAGCGTAATTAAAGTCGGTGTTTTCTCTCCTCGCGACTTAGCTAACCGCCCTGCAAAAGGCGACCACCAGCAATCCATCAATGTCTTCTGCGTAACGCGCTCACTTCGTACACAAAGCACCAGCGCTCGTCGACATGCAAACCTATCAATGATCAAGCCTCGTCCGCCATCGCCCAGTCTGCAGCAGCTGTCGCGTGGATCTTCGCGGTATCAAACACAGGGAGCCCAGCCTCCGATTCACGAACGAGCAAGCCTATCTCAGTGCAGCCGAAAAGAAGACAGTCTGCTCCCGCCTCTGCCAGCTCGCCTATGATCTTCTGATACGCCTGTCTCGACTGCTCCTTGACAATACCGTTACAGAGCTCGTCGTATATGATCGAATGCACCGCGTCTCTGTCTGCCTCGTCTGGAATGAGCACGCGCAATCCGTATTTCTGAGCTAGGCGTCCCTTGTAAAACTCCTTCTCCATCGTGAAGCGCGTCCCCAGCAGACCGACTGATTTGTAGCCGGACGCCAGAATCTGCTCAGCCGTAGAGTCAACGATGTGGAGAAGCGGAAGCTGTGACGATTTCTCTACCCCGTGGGACACGAAATGCATGGTGTTGGTACAGAGCACAATGGCATCCGCCCCTGCCAGCCTCAGCTTGGTAGCTGCATCGTTCAATAATAAGCCCGCTTCCGCCCACTTGCCATCGTGTTGGAGGTTGGCAATGTCTTCGAAATCAAATGAGAATATTATACAACGAGCGGAGTGAAGGCCGCCTTTGACATGCCGGACGCGCCGATTTATTTCCTGGTAGTACGTGGTGGTGGATTCCCAGCTCATGCCGCCCAGCAACCCTAGCGTCTTCATGGGGAGCGAGTCGTGCCAGTCGCGTGATGGCTGGAGTGTCAAGATTTATGAGCACTGCGGTGCGGTAGGCTGTCAAGTTTCATTGCAGAAGTACAGAAATGGCTACATACCTCGTCCAGGCCGGAGGAGTCGGGCACTGAGTTTCTGACTGGCCTCAGAGCAGAGTGCGTCCGAGGGCTTAGTAACTGAGATTCGGATGCCCACCTCTGACTCTCCTGTGCTCGTTGGACGTACAATTGCGGTATTTGTTAGGTTTGCGATGATAAAAAGCATCACCTCGCCTTGCTTGTTTCCCCGCCTAATTACTTCCTTGTACGTACAGCTCCGACAGGCTGGGGCCAGGACGGGTCGGCAACATGGAGACTGGACTGGCTTCACAGGTGGATTCACCTCCTCCAGCCACCAGGGCAGCCGGACCCAAATTCTAACCGAGGATAGCCTGCGGCATGCAGCGGCAAATCATACCCTGCCAATAGATCTGGCGCAGGACCTGAGCAAGGCTACGATCCCAATGCCTTTTTGAACCGACGTAAAAATGCCGAGTTGTTCACGACCATAACTTTCCTCTCCTTCCCCAACCTTGCCCATCCAGCCAGTCCATTGTCCATCCTTCAACATCTTCTCTCCTGTACGCAGAGAGACTGGACGCCTTTGAACATGTCTGCCGTTAATCGTAGCGTGCGAACCGTCAGCAAGCAATTGCGAAGTGCCCGCCTCACCATCGCCCCTCTGGCCAGCGCTGTCGCTCGCTCGAGTGCTTCGGCATCCTTCGGCCTTGCACCTCGCTCGACTCTCCCCTCCTCACACAGCAACTTTTCCACCTCCGCCGCGAGAGCATCTGGTGCGCCCGTCATGTCTGGCCCACGAGAGTACGATCCCGAGATCAAGGACATTGCCGACTACGTCGCCAACAAGCCAATTGACTCGGACCTCGCTGTAAGTCGTTCCTGATTCCCCAGGCCTTGCCACCCCGTTACCCCGCGTTGCCGCGAAAAAAGACTAGAGCCACGACTAACTGCTCAACTTCAGTACGACACTGCGCGATGGATCCTGCTCGACACAATCGGCTGCGGTCTTGAGGGCCTGAGGTTCAAGGAATGCAGCAAGCTGCTTGGACCCATTGTCCCCGGCACCAAGGTCCCCAATGGCACCAAGGTGCCCGGCACGGACTTTGAGCTCGACCCCGTCAATGGCGCTTTCAACATTGGCGCCATGATCCGATGGCTCGACTTCAACGACTGCTGGCTGGCTGCCGAGTGGGGTCACCCCTCGGACAACCTGGGTGCCATCCTCGCCGTGGCGGACTGGATCAACCGCACCAACAAGGCTGGCGGCAACCTCGCCAACGGCAAGGTCTTCACCGTCAAGGATGTCCTCGAGGCCATGATCAAGGCCCACGAGATCCAGGGCTGCTTGGCCCTGCTCAACTCCTACAACAAAGTCGGTCTCGACCACGTTGTCCTGGTCAAGGTCGCCTCGACGGCCGTCGTCGCCAAGATGCTCGGCCTCAGTGAGCAGGGCATTGCCGACGCTGTTAGTCAGGCCTGGGTCGACGGCCAGTCTCTGCGTACCTACCGCCACACGCCCAACACCATGTCCCGAAAGTCATGGGCTGCTGGCGATGCTTGCCAACGTGCCGTCGGTTTGGCTCTCAAGGTCCTCAAGGGTGAGGGCGGTGTCCCCACCGTCCTGTCCGCCCCCGTCTGGGGATTCTACGACGTCCTGTTCAAGGGCAAGAAGTTTGAATTCCAGCGCCCCTACGGCAGCTACGTGATGGAGAACGTCCTCTTCAAGGTCTCCTACCCTGCCGAGTTCCACTCGCAAACGGCTGTTGAGGCTTCCGAGCGCATCCACCACCAGCTCAAGGCCATGGGCAAGTCGGCCGCGGACATCAAGGCCATCACCTGCCGCACGCACGAGGCCTGCATTCGCATCATCGACAAGCAGTTCAAGCCCATGGACAACTTTGCTGACCGCGACCACTGCATCCAGTACATGTGCGCCACCATGCTGGTTTTTGGCCGTCTCGAGGCCACTGACTACACTGACGGTGGTGAGGCTGCCACCTCGCCCCTGGTCGAGTCTCTGCGCCAGAAGATTGCCTGCGTTGAGGATCCCCAGTACACCCAGGATTACCACAACCCCGAGCTCCGCACCATCTCCAACGCGCTCACCGTGGAGCTCAACGACGGCACCATCCTGGATGAGGTCGCTGTCGAGGCGCCTCTGGGCCACCGCCTGCGTCGTGACGAGGCCAAGCCCGTCATTCTGGAGAAGTATAAGCGCCACCTTAAGCCTCACTTGAGCGAGTCGCGCGTTGATGAGCTGGTCAAGCTTAGCCAGGATTCTGGCAAGCTCGACCAAATGACCGTGGATGAGTACGTTGACTTGTACGTTGTCAAGGACAGCAAGTTTGTTCAGTAGATTGGACGGTAGAAGAATAATACAGCACTTCAATGTGTCATCCCATACACCGAATCGTTGTACGTAGCATGCACGCCGAGACGGGCCTAGGCGGCTGCCCAGAGTACGCGTGGACGGTCTTCGGGATTCAGTGGGGCAGCCGTGGCCAAGTACGAACTGTATAAGCTCCAGTCACTGCCCCAATGCTCCCCCTCGACCGACATTCAACTTTCGTCGCCCATTGTCATCCTCTTAAAAACCTCGCCTTGATCCGTAATTTCCCATTTGAAGCCGCCGTATCGAAATCACTGCGAAAATGGGTGCCGATCGCCAAACTATCATGGAGGCCAACCGGTCGCTCCGTAATATCAAGAATGCAAGGACGCCTCCGCATCCGCGAGGTCTGTCGCTGACCATCAACAGGAGCTCGAGACGTTGCTGGAAAAGGGCGTCATTGACGAGTCCGTCTACGACTCGATACATTCCTCACTTCCGGCAGAATCGCCGCTTTCAGGACCTCTCCGAACTACGACTAATAAGGGCGCGACTAGTGCCTCCCCAGCACCAAGCCACAGTACCAGCAACAACATTCCCACTCCGTCGCTGGACTCCCTGCACCTCAATGAAAAGTCGCCCTCGCCTGCGCCGCCGTCGTACGATCAGACACCAGCTCCCAGTCTCCCCACCCGCGGCAACGCCAAGCCCATTGTCGCCTACGCCCGTGCGCTCTACCGCTACGATGCCTCCGACGCTCGCGATGTATCGTTTGAGAAGGATGACAAGATCGTCGTGCACGAGTACATGAACCAAGACTGGTGGATGGGTCAGAACACGCGCACTGGCCGTGAGGGCATTTTCCCCCGCAACTACGTCCTCGTCGACCACTCGGAGAAGCAGCCCGTGCCGCAGTACGGCTATCCAACACAGCCGCAGTACGCCGGTGGCCCTCCCGCCCAACAGAACCCATACAACTCGCATGTGCCGCCCATGGCGATCGCAGAGGGCGGCCAGCCGTCGCACGATGAGAACGGGGAGCCAAACAAGGCGCAGCAGTATGGAAAGAAGTTTGGTAAGAAGCTGGGGAACGCGGCCATCTTTGGTGCTGGTGCGACGATAGGAGGAAATATTGTCAACTCCATTTTTTAAATTACTCTGGTTTTGGCGTCTGGAGAACTGAATTGGTAGCTGTGCTATTGATCACATGATATAAGTTCTTTGGTACATTTTTACCTACCTAACACATAGCCTAATACATGGAACATTGAATAACTCGAGGCGAAATCTGCGATAGTGCCTCGCATGCTAAAATCCGCCCATGTCTTGTGCACTGTGTCCCCGCCGGGTTCCGCGCGTTTTGCACAGTGTGCAAGGCCAAACCCGGCGTACTGTACATATGGAGAAAAAAAAGTTGGGCTCCTGGCGTCAAAGTCAACCACGCCTTCTAATTCACCACGACAAGAATGTCCAACCCCAAGAAAAGATCGGCCGAGGACGGCTCTTCTTCCCAGAAATCGAAGAAGAAGAAGAAGGCCAATGCCTTGGCTCACGATGATCTCTACGACACAGAATTGGGCGTGAACACGCTCTTCGCCAAGATGGACAACCAATTGTTGGCAGACTACCTCGCTCAAAAACTCACACGTTTCGGAAGCGATTTGAGCCCCATTGAGATATCTGATCTGACCCTACCAGGTTCGTATTCACTTACATGACTCTATGATGTCCCGATGGACTAATATCTGTCAGCTGGCTGCATCAAAGACACCAGTTCCTTTGAGAAGGATCGTGTCGCAGATAACCTGCCCCTGTTCATTGAGCAATTCACAGACAAGCCCGACAGCTTGAGCAGGCCGCAAAGGAAGAAAGGTCTTCCGCATACCCTCATCGTGGCAGGGGCTGGCCTGAGGGCGGCAGATTTAACCCGTGCTGTGAAGAAGTTCCAGGGCAAGGACAATTTGGTGGCGAAGCTCGTGAGTGAAATACTGATTGTCGAGACGGCGGAAAGATGGCTCACATTCCACAGTTTGCCAAACACATCAAGATTGAGGAGCAGGTGAATTTCCTGAAGAACAAGAAGACAGGTATCGGAGTCGGCACGCCAGCGCGTCTGGCAGATCTTATTGATAATGGTCCGTCAGCCTCAACTGTTGGAAGCTGTCTCGGTGGCAATGCTAATTCGTGACCAGGTGCCCTGTCTCTAGAGAACCTGCAGCGTATTATTGTGGACGCGTCGCACATTGATCAAAAGAAGCGTGGCGTCATTGATATGAAGGATACGATGATGCCACTTGCGCGTTTCTTAACAAAGGACCAGATTAAGAGCAGATATGGTGCGGAGGAAAAGCCGGTCGATTTACTCTTCTTTTAGTTCCATACCTAAATTCACATGATGAAAACCAAGACTTCAAGAGCACTGGGTGTGTCCTGTATGCACACACGTGCGCTGTAAGTGCGTAAGGCGGGTGCTGGTGGACGAGGCGAGAGGCGCCTGCTGGCTGCAGGCTTCTTGGTAAGAAGCAGACTGTCCTACTGGCATACATCGGTTCATGCCATTGACCACTTGTGGCAGATGCGGAGTCAGGGAAGTCTGGACTAGAGTACCGTCCAGGAACACTAATTTAGCACTCGAAGTAGTTCACAGACAATGTGGGTCTTGCGCGGCAAGTAGAAGACGAAGTGGTTTCCGGACATGAAGCAACATATACCTAAGTGACGAATGTGCTTCTACTGTCAAAATTTCTAACGATTGAGGCTGAGGACTACTTTGACTTGGGTGGTTTTCATATGAAAGTAAAGTAATCGCAAGACTGGATTTCGTTGTCTGGCCCCTCCCCCGCAGGATAGTGGATATTAGTGGAGCTTTTTCAGGGACCACCAATGCTGCGACTCCAATTTTGGGCAAACTCTGCCGAGACCAACCCAAAAAAAAAAGTGTCTGACGTTCTCGCTTGGTATCTGCATCCCACCAAACCTACCTTACTTGCCCAACAACGCCCGCCAAAATGAAGACCAAACGCGCGAACGAGGCCAAGGAGATTGATGAGAACCCCCTCGTTGAGGGAGTCGACGTTCCCGCCAAGAAGCGCAAGCGCACAGCGGAAGACGACTCTGCTGTGGACGGCACGGTGAAGAAGAGCAAGAAGGACAAGAAGGACAAAAAGTCCAAGAAGGGCTCCGAGAGTCGCAAGGAAAGGAAAGAGAAGCGCAAGAACTTGCAGGACCTCCCAGAACAAGATGACGAAGCCGAAGACGAGCAAGCCAACGAAAAGGTTGTCGCGACCGAGGCCGTAGTCGAAGACGCGGACAAGGCCAAGGCCAAGGCGGAGAAGAAAGCGGCCAAGAAGGCCAAGAAGGAGAAGAAGGTGGAAAGAAAAGCGAAAGAGGAAGCTGGTGCTACGAATGGCGAGACGACCGCTACCAATGGAGACGAGGCCAAAGCTGCTGCTGCTGGCGGGAAGGATGCCATTGACCTTGATGCCAGCACCGCATCGAAAGCTGACCGCCACATTGTCTTTGTGGGCAATCTTCCCTTTTCCGCTACGGCTGCGTCGATATCGGCTCACTTCTCCTCCCTGAGTCCTGTAGCTGTGCGCTGCTTGAAGAACAAGGGCGACGAAAAGCCGTGCCGAGGCATTGCCTTTGTGGAATTTGGTTCCGGGGCGCACATGAGGACGTGCCTGGACAAGTTTCATCACTCCATGTTCGACGATGGCAAGAGCGCTCCCAGGCAGATCAACGTGGAATTGACGTAAGTGGACTTTGCCGGTATATCGGACCAGAACCCCAATGCTAACGTACCACCAGCGCTGGAGGTGGCGGCAAAGGCCAGAATCGCAAGAACAAGATTGACGAGAAGAACGTCAAGTTGGATGAAAACAGAGCCAAGAGGGTCGAAAAGGAGCAGAACGCCAAGTCGAACAAGGCCAATGGCACCGCTAAGCCGGAGGAGAAGAAGCAGAAGCCGGAGGCGGACGATGGGATACACCCTAGCCGCAGAGGCCAGATGGCTTGGAGGAAGTGAGGCGAAAGGTTGCGCACCCAATTGTGTTGGATATACCTTCGGCTGGCCTGTGGCATGCTATAGACGTGTACGGCGTTTCTTGATTTCGCGATGAGAATACAAAAGGCCAATTTCATTTCTGTTCATGATCATCATGTCTTACCCATGTTGATAGACGTCGCAACCATTGCATGTTACTCGTGAGATTTTGGTGCCATGTGAGTGGTCTGTCCACTCTGGTCATTCGCACTCTAGGTGCCTTGGAGCTTTGGAAGTTGACAACGCCGACTGGACATGGTTCTCTCATTGGGAGAATGGGATAGATTCCTCCGCTAGCGCCAGCACGGTCAGACCATTCCGGTCTCGATATAGTTTCAAGCAGTCACATCAACGACCTCAAAACGCACTTCAAAACGCAAAATTCCATTACCTAGACGCCAGCGAAGCAGCAAGCCCATGTGCAACTTGCGACCACCAAACAAAGAGTGAAAAACAGGTAAATGCCAGCAGATTATCAACAGTCCCTCCCCAACCTATCCTCGTCGCCCCTCCAAAAGTTCGCTCGCGCAAACAGTGTCTGGAAAAGAAGCACCTGTTGTTTCGAGAAATTGTCGTCTAGGGTATTTATGCGCTTCGTGTATGTCGGTACATGTCTTACGTCTCGTGTCCAAGTGCTGTTTTCTGGAAACGGATTTACAAAATCGTGCACTTCTTCTTCTGCTTTTGCGTCGCCTGCGGGCGGGGATTCAGAACGGCGCTAGAGGGGGACTTGGTGTCAGCATTCGTGTGACATGGAGAGGGGATCTTGGCATACCGGATGGCCTCATCGAACACGCTCTTGAGATTCCTCTGTGTCAGGGCGGAGCACTCGAGGTACTTGTACGCCTTGATCTCCTTGGCACAAGCAAGCGCCTGCTCGTACGAGACGGGTTCCATGCGCTTCTGGCGAAGGGACTCGAGCGTAGCGGCCTCTTCTCGCAGATCGAGCTTGGTCCCGACGAGGATGATGGGAATGTTGGGCGCGTGGTGGTCAATCTCTGGAAACCACTGTCCACAGTTAGCCGGCATGCCAACCTCCACGAGGCACATATTGTCCCACCTTGGCCTTGACGTTATCGAACGACGGCGGGCTAACGATCGAGAAGCAGATGAGGAAGACGTCGGTCTGGGGATATGACAGAGGGCGCAGACGGTCGTAGTCCTCCTGACCAGCGGTATCCCAGAGGCCCAGACTAATGGGCTTGCCGTCCACCATTACGCTCGCCGAGTAGTTGTCAAAGACTGTAGGAATATATTCGCCTGGGAAGGCATTCGTCGTGTACGAAATGAGTAAACATGTCTTGCCGACCGCACCGTCGCCCGTGACGACGCACTTGAGGGATTGGACGCCTGGCTGAGCCATGGTGGTGGTGGTTGTGTAGCTTGAGGGCCGCGGTGGTGGATCGAAGAAATGCGACGGGAGTTCGCCGGTGCGCGAAGGAACGGTGAAGCGATCTGTGGGGGATCTGTCAACCTGGTGTTCGACGGGCGATGAGGCTCAGAATGCGATGCAATGCTAAGGAGAAACGCAGACGCTTTGCAACGATAAGGCGAGTTGCGGTCAGGACTGGAGTGGTATGTATCGGGCCAAGCAGGGGGATCTCTGACTTCCAGTCGTGACGGAGGCTGGAAAGGCTGGCTGGAGGCTGCTGGCCTGCAGCGCTCAGTCGCCCTATCAGGCGCAATTATCACCAGCCCCGAACTGGTGTGGCGAGTGGGTGGAGTGCACCTTCTTCCTTTTCAAAGATCACAAGGGGTCTCGTACATATTATGCATGGTCTGACTGCTACGATATGCTCCGTAATGCATCAATGTGATTAAACAACTTGATGAACTTGGGCCCTGCCTTTTTGTTCCATCCTTAAGGCTGCCTTATGTTTTTGTAGGGCAACATGAGGGCATATTGAACGGCAACAGTACGCTTTCAATTATGCATCCGATACTCTTATTACGACGAACAGATATCTGCTTCACCATCAGGCCACTACCCACCACCATCATTGTCAGCTCGATCCGGCCCGTGGGCGAGAACAGACTAGGAATTCCCGGTTGGCGCTTACGCCAACAAACCACCAGCTCATTCACACAGGAGTCCGGATAGTCGCTGAGTGACTGGCTTTCCGAATTTCTGGCGTGGCGTGGCTGGCGGTTGGCGCCAAGGAGGTGCTAGCGCCAGCTACAGTGCTCTTTTGCCTTCGCACGCGCTGATTATGGGGGATTGGCTCACAGCTCAGAGCGCCATCCTGAGTTCGGGGCAAGATGGCTTCCTTGTCGGGCGAGTCATCAAGCGATGGTAGTGAACGACCTACCTTTTACGAAGTGGTCTGTCTCAAGTGCGTCTCAAGATAACGACAGGCTTTTACAGCCCTCGCTGTCGTTCGTTCGAGATGGTAACGGGATCGAAATACTTCCGGACAGCAGACGCAATGTCAGTGTTAGACTTGTGCCATCTTTAATTCAGGTCCATAACCCGACGGAGGAGACCACAACGACCAGGCATTATTAGAGCTTCAAGCTTATTTCACCACGAGGCCTTCTGACACCGACACCAGCCGGAATCGGAGCATTACTCGCACCTGGTACTCCGTGGAAGAGCACCCGCAGAGACCTTCGAGCTATGACGAAGCGGGGCGGCCAGCGTGATCGCCCTGTCCAGGACTCCAGGGACTAAAATCCAGGCCAACGAGGTTGATGAGCCGACTCTCGCAGCCACGATCTCGTTGAGTAAAATGCCCTGCAACAAGTCCCGTACAGCCATCGCGGAGGAGTGCCAGTTCTTGCAGTCATTAGAGACGGGTCCTGGAGCTCTTGGTAATGCTGGCTTGGTCGTGCCCCTCCCTCGGCCTCCCCTCTCTGTACCGAGCCTCTCAACGCTCGGAACTCCGGTCAATTACACCATTCAAAAGTCTGCGAGCTCTCCACTTCGTCATCTTTCTCCTCCTCCACCTCTTCAAATCGCAACCGTCGTCAACAAGGAAGCAAGCAAGAAGATCAAAAACCGCTACAATGGTCAAGGCCGGTATGTTCGAGAACCCCACAGGCACACTTGTACAAGACGCACGCCACACTTTATATGAGTGCTTCCCCTGGTCGGCTGCCACACCCTGATGAGCTTGTTTGAGCGGGTTTCTTACGTCGCCATATGGCGGTCGCACCTTGATGGGCTGCCGGCCAGGGACTTCGCGGCATAGGCCTTTCCCATACAACGTGGCCAAGGCCATATTTGTTTAGTTGCATTGGCTAACGGGCGGTTCTTTTTAGTCGCAATCCTCCGTGGAGACAAGAACGTCTCCGGCACCGTCTTCCTCGAGCAGGCCGACGAGTCGTCCCCCACGACCGTCACCTGGGACATCACTGGCAACTCCCCCAACGCCGAGCGTGGCTTCCACATCCACACCTTTGGCGACAACACCAACGGCTGCACCTCTGCCGGTCCTCACTTCAACCCTCACAACCAAACCCACGGTGCTCCCTCTGACGAGAAGCGCCACGTCGGTGACCTCGGCAACGTCAAGACTGACGCTGACGGTAACGCCAAGGGCTCCGTGACCGACAAGCTCATCAAGCTGATCGGCCCCGAGAGCGTCGTCGGCCGCACCGTCGTCATCCACGACGGCACTGATGATCTCGGTAAGGGATCCCACGCCGACTCTCTGAAGACTGGCAATGCTGGCGGCCGTCCCGCCTGCGGTGTCATTGGCATCGCCAACATCTAAGTTCTTTTGAACGAGTTGGGTATCTTCGAAAGATCTTTGGATACAAAAGGCTACGTATTATGAATTGAAAAACGATATTGCCCTGTGGCATTGCGGCTCTCCTGTTGTGCAATCACTGACGATGTGACGTAACGACTCGACGGGTTGCCACTGTGAGGGGTCAGTGTCCCACGTAAAGCTCATGCAGTCTGCCGAATACACCTTTCTCTCAAAACTCGTAACATGCTTCCACACCCTCGAAACATCTACCAAATTAGTGCGAGTAGGTATGGCAAGATATGAAAGTCCCGTCACTTGGCATCGAGTGCCTCGCCGTCATGACACACCCCAAAGTTGGACCCCTCGACCGCCAGCGGTTGCCCCGCGTACGCACGAGCCACGTCGCCCCTGGCTGAGAGCCTGACTGTCTTCGACTCAATTCCACTGGAGGTCCCCATATTTTGCCTCTTCTTGGGGCCACCTTTCCCCAAGTCTGGCCACATCTGGCCACACGACACGCATGGTTCTCCCTTCCACCCTACAATCGATCTTACTTCTCCATCCATATCAGTATCTTTTTCTGATTTTGTATTTGGGAGTCGTCTGATAGCTGGATAGCTGGTTTATCCCCCTATATTTATCTGGTACGTGTCAATTCGATACTGCAGAGGCGATCACCAAGCTTGAATACACTGCTGGGGCGAGCTCTCTGGGATCCACAAGCAAGCTCCCACGCACTACCCTTCAGCCATTGGACTTTCAGAAGCTGACTCTCCGTCATAGTGAATCGCCATCATGTCTAAACCATTCTTTGGCAACGTCAAGAGTGTCCTCAGTGGCGACACACTCATCCTCACGAGCCCCAACAACCCGGCTGCCGAACGAACCTTCTGCCTCGCGTATGTGTCCGCTCCTCATCTTCGCCGTGAAGGCGACGAGCCCTTTGCGTTCCAATCGAGAGAATGCTTGCGAAACCTCGTCGTCGGGAAGACTGTACAATGCACTGTCGCTTACACAATCCCTAACTCGGGTCGTGAATTTGGAACAGCCAAGTTGCAGGATGGCACCGACTTGCCTGATGTTCTTGTCAAGGCTGGATGGGTCAAGGTGCGCGAGGATGCCGGCCGCAAGGACGAGAACGAGGAGGTTGTGGAAAAGCTGGAGAAGCTCCGCTCTCTCGAGAATGATGCCAAGGCTGAGAACAAGGGCCTCCATGCTGGTACCGGCGGCATCATTGAGGTACAGAATGACCTCGGTGGGCCCGAATTCATGAAGACCTGGAAGGGGAAAACTGTCGACGGCATCGTCGAGCGAGTCCTCAGTGGCGATAGGCTGCTCGTGAGGTTGCTGCTTTCTGAGAAGAAGCACGTGCAACCCATGACACTCCTCGCCGGTATCCGAACCCCCTCAACCGAGCGCAACAATCCCTCCACCGGCGGTGTGCAGCCTGCGGAAGAATATGGCAACGAGGCCAAACAATTTGTTGAGGCGAGGCTGCTCCAGCGCCTCGTAAAGGTCGAGATTGTCGGCGCCAGCCCTCAGGGTCAGTTGGTCGCCAATGTGATGCATCCTCGGGGCAACATCGCCGAATTCCTTCTGCAGGACGGCTTGGCTCGCTGCAATGACTTCCACTCGACCATGCTTGGCGAGAAGATGGCTGCTCTGCGGGCCGCTGAGAAACAGGCGCAAGAGAAGAAGCTGCGCCTCTTCAAGCATCACATCGCCAAGGCGGACGGTAGCAACCAGGACATGATTGTGTCCAAGGTTCTCGCTAGCGACACGATTCTTGTCCGCAGCAAGGCCGGTACCAACGAGAAGCGCATCAGCTTCAGCAGTGTCCGCGGCCCTCGCACCAATGAGCCTTCTGAGGCGCCTTACCGGGACGAAGCTAAGGAGTTCCTGCGCCAGAAGATCATCGGCAAGCAGGTCAAGGTCAAGGTGGACGGCACCAAGCCTGCCAATGAAGGGTTCGAGGCTAAGGACGTCGCCACTGTCACGGAAAAGGGCACCAACATTGGTCTTGCTCTCGTGGAGGCAGGGTGGGCCACTGTCGTCCGTCACCGCAACGATGACCCCGACAGGGCACCCAACTACGACGAGTTGCTCGCTGCCCAGGAGAAGGCCAAGGAGGAGAAGAAAGGCATCTGGTCCGGCAAACCCAACAAGGCCAGGCAATACCTAGACTTGGGTGACAACGCCCAAAAGGCCAAGATCATGCTAGCCACCCTGCAGAGACAGAAGAAGGTCCCCGCCATCGTGGACTTTTGCAAAGCCGGATCCCGCTTCACCATTCTGATTCCCCGCGAGAACGTCAAGCTCACCATGGTGCTGGGCGGCATTCGCGCTCCTCGTGCTCCCCGCGCTGATGGCGAGGGCGGCGAGCCATGGGGCAAAGAGGCACTCGACTTGGCCAACCGGCGCTGCAACCAACGCGATTGCGAGGTTGACATTCACGACATGGACAAGGTTGGTGGCTTCATTGGCTCGCTCTACATTGGCCGCGAAAACTTTGCAAAGGTCCTTGTGGAGGAGGGCCTCGCGTCCGTGCACGCATTTTCTGCTGAAAAGTCTGGCAACGCCGCGGAGCTGTTCAACGCGGAGAAAAAGGCCAAGCAAGAGCGCAAGGGCCTGTGGACAAAATGGGATCCTTCGCAAGACGAGGAGCAGGAGGAGGCTGCCGAAGAGGAGGTTGATGAGTCGGCGGCCGCTGTCAACATGGAGAAGCCCACCGACTATCGCGACGTTGTCATCACCAATATTGACGGCAACGGCAAGCTCAAGCTGCAAGAGGTCGGCAAGGGTACCGCTGCTCTGGAGACTTTGATGAATGAGTTCCGCAAGTTCCACCTCAACCCTGCGAATAAGCAGCCGTTGAAGGACGCGCCCAGGACTGGCGAGTTTGTGTCTGCACAGTTCTCTGCTGATGGAGAGTGGTACCGCGCGCGTGTCCGCTCCAACGACCGCACTGCCAAGGTTGCCGAGGTTGTGTACGTGGACTATGGCAACAGCGAGAAGATCCCATGGTCCAAGTTGCGCCGCATGGATCAGCCCCAATTCAGCGTGCAGAAGCTGAAGCCCCAGGCGATTGACGCGTCCCTGTCATTCGTGCAGCTGCCTACCGGCCAAGACTACTTTGCCGACGCCGTTGGCTTCATTGCAGAGCTCACCGAGGGTCGACGCCTGGTGGGTAGCTTCGACTTTGTGGACGCGAAGGAGAACGTCAGCTACGTCACACTTTACGACCCAAAGACGGACAACAAGATGCCGGGTCTGAACGACTCGCTGAACAAGGAGGTTGTACAGCAAGGCTACGGCATGGTGCCCAAGAAGCTCAAGGCCTGGGAGAGGAGTCGCGCATTCGAGGACTACCTGAAGCACCTGACAAAGGTGCAGGATGAGGCGAAACGAGAGAGGCTGGGCATGTGGGAATACGGCGATATCACAGAGGACTGAAAACGTCGTGCATGCAATTGGCACTAATAATACGTATCCGTAGACTGCGTTAATAAATAAGTTGGGTTCTAATCTTGAATGGATGCATAGCGGTGGACGGCGAACTTGCTTAGGTTGGTCGATAATCGATAGATTCGATCGAGCCTGCGTCTGACGATCCCCATTGGACAATTGCCGCAATACCCCGGGTGAAGTGTTGAACTTTTGTCGGGTCGCCCTTTCTCTCTTTATCTCTCCTTCACCGTCCGAGGGGGGACTTTTTGTCAATATGCACCTTCCCTGGTACGAGGACCAATCTCAATTAGGAAGCTCGATGCCTACGATCGCCATGCGCTGAACATTGATAAAGATGGGCACTCTGCCCTTGACTGCAATTGCATCGCGACTGACATCCTGCTCTCCCCATCCCTAGCCTCTCATCTAGTCACAATGAAGCTCCTTGCCGTCACCGCAGCCCTCGGCCTCACCTCGACCGTGAGCGGTTGCTTGCTTGAGCGTGAGATCGCCGCCGAGCGCGAGTATGCACTGACCGGCAAGCGCTCGGAGTACCACGCGCCACCTTCGTCGCGTCAAGCATCGAGCACATTCCCCATCGGCGAGGGCGATCGTTTCGCGGGCGGCTGCGTCACGCCCGTCGGTCTTGGCGTCAATGACCGCGATCTCGAATCCGTCCTGGCGGTCAAGGAGGTCAGATCTGCTCTCAAAGGCCTGAGAAGGGGCTTTCCCGACAAGGTGCAGCTTTTTGAGCCTCCCTTTGAGACATATGAAGGCCGCAAGTTCCATGGTGCCATCGTTGGCGACAACCCAAGGGTGTTCATCATGAGTGGCATCCACGCGCGCGAGCGTGGTGGTCCTGACAATGTCATCTACTTTCTGGCCGATCTGCTGGCCGCCCAGAAGGCTGGCACGGGCGTGAGATATGGCGACAAGAGCTATAGCGCTGAGGACGTGGAGAAGGCGCTGTCTGCCGGCGTCGTGGTCCTCCCTCTGACCAACCCGGACGGCGTGGCATACGACCAGTCCACCGACACGTGCTGGCGCAAGAATCGCAACCCCGAGTCTGCCGTTGGCGCCGCCAACGGTCGCGATATTGGTATCGACCTGAACCGCAACTACGACTTTATCTGGGACTACAACAAGCACTTCTACCCCGACACAGAGCCTGCCTCGGATGACCCTCGCAGTGAGATTTTCTACGGCACTGGGCCGGCATCCGAGCCTGAGACTGAGGCTGTTGTCTGGACTGTCGACCAGTACCAAAACATCACTTGGTTCATGGACCTGCACTCCTACGGTCCCAGCATCCTCTATGCATGGGGAGATGACGAAACCTCCACTGAGAACCCGGACGAGAACTTTGTGAACCCCGAGTTCGATGGCAAGCGTGGCCTCGTTGGCGGCCCCGACCCCCCTAACGCGACCTACAAGGAATACTTCCTCAAGTCGGACCTCGAGATCGAGACGGAGGTCACCAACGCCATGGTCGCGTCCATGCTCAAGTCCGGCGGCTCAGAGTACACAAACTACCCTGCCGTTGGTCTCTATCCCACCTCTGGCGCTAGCAACGACTATGCCATGGGCCGATTCTACGGAAACGTCAGCTGTGGTGCCAGCCGCATGTTTGGCCTGACCATGGAGTTTGGCGAGCGCAGCTCCAGCTTCCGCAGCTGCCCCTTCTATCCTGATGCCGATGAGTACCACCGCAATGTGAGGCAGGTCGGCGCGGGCTTCTTGGAGATGATGCTCCGCGCGGCTGGCGAGGCTGGCGATCCGTTGTACGCTGAGTGCTAGACGGGAGATGACTGCTGCAGACCAGTATAAATGATGCAAGTATCTAGACTAGAGACACACGGCCAGACGCTGTCGAAACGATGAATATGACTGAGCCTTTTGTGGTGACAGGCACTAGGAAACATGACCCGTGATATAGATGCGACATTTCTGTGAGCGCCGAGCGAGTGCTGTGGTGAGTGCCAAGAGCAGCACGTGTTAGTAACCATTGTTAGAGTGTTAGAGCCTTCACACCGCCGTCAACATTCTTTCAGTGTCTCAACTCTTCCATGCAGAGATGTTTCGGGTTGTTACAACACATTTCTCACCGGACAGAGACTTTGTGTGCGGGATTATATGCAGGATCAAAGAAGACCGCGTTGTCAGCTGGACGACACAGAGTCCGTTTAGCAATAAGTTTTATGATGGTTCCTGCTGCGCAGGAAGTTACAACAGCCCATCATCTTGTACACACGGCCGGCTCGCATCGACAAGGAGACGGGTTGGGTTTGGATCTCGGTCTGGGGCCGCCGACATATTAGGCGCCATATCCGGACAAATTGCTTTCTGTTACCCGTGGCACCGTGAATTACGATTGCGTGAACTCACCATCAGAAAGCTGCATCCATTACGGAGGAGGGCGAGAATGGCGTAGGAATAACAATCTCGATGAGTGTGTAGGGTAGCTCAATGTCCAGACGGTGAAACCGGACAGTCCAGGAAATATACGCACGTAGTACTACCAACTGATGCAAATCTTGTATCACTGCCGGATGGCAAAGGCCGGAGGTGATCAAATCGACATTGTCAGTGGACCGGCTAATGCGCAAGGAGTGTTGGCTTTGGTCGACGGTGGCTGTACGTACCTCGAACGCCTTATGGCACGTCTCCACCGGAACAACACATTGCGTATGTGCTGGAGACGTGGGCGCCTTCGCCAAGTCAACTTGAAGAGATTTTGGCATTGACAGGTTCCATCCCACGCAACTACAGCGCGGCGTCCAGCCGTTCATCATCCCGCCAGACGTAGGTGGCCCCGCAGGCGCCGGACCACTGTGCTCCATCCACCCAGGACCGTGACTGAGGTAGCTGCAGCAGGAGGGGCTCCTTCCCAACGTTGGAGGGTCCTGGTCTCCATTTTTTGCATCACGCAGCGTCACAACAAATATCCTCTCAAGCCCGCCGCCATTGTCAGTTTTTCTCCTTTTCTTTTCTTTTCAATTCTTCATTCTCTCAATCAAGATACCCATCAAACTCATCCACCATGTCTACTTCTCTCGATCAGCTCAAGGCCACCGGCACGGTACGTTCTTCACCCCGACTTCCGCTCGCTCCATACCCGTACCCCCCCACTATGATGTCGCCGGGTGTTCTGCCCCTCTGTGACGTTGGAGGGGTCGCGACGAGACTGCTGAAGTGAAGCTCTTAAGCAACCAAGATTTCATTCAGCACTTCTGCGACGGTCTCAGACTTGAGCACGGGGAAATTTGAGCAATCTTTTTTGAACACATTTCAATGGTAAAGAATCATGGCTGACTTTACTCTATCCGACAGGTCGTCGTGTCCGACTCTGGTAAATTCCCGCATCCCGCACCTCCGACTCACCGGACAAGCTAACCCCGAACTCCCTCTCAACAGGTGACTTTGCTTGTAAGCGCGCCAATATGTATTCCTGAGGGAACCGCAGACACTGACAGTAGACAGCCATTGCCAAGTACAAGCCCCAGGATGCCACCACCAACCCCTCCCTGATCCTCGCTGCCTCCAAGAAGACCGAGTATGCTCAGCTCATGGACGACGCTATTGCCTACGGCAAGAAGCAGGGCGGTGACATTGACTCTCAGGTCGAGCACGCTCTCGACCGTCTCCTCGTCGAGTTCGGCCGGGAGATTCTCAAGATCGTCCCCGGTAAGGTCTCCACCGAGGTCGACGCCCGCTTCTCTTTCGACACCAACGCCTCCGTCGAGAAGGCTCTCCACATCATCGACCTGTACAAGCAGGAGGGTGTCGAGAAGGAGCGCGTCCTCATCAAGATCGCCTCCACCTGGGAGGGTATCAAAGCCGCCGAGATCCTTCAGCGCGACCACGGCATCAACTGCAACCTTACCCTCATGTTCTCCCAGACTCAGGCTATCGCCGCCGCCGAGGCCAACGCCTACCTCATCTCTCCCTTCGTCGGCCGCATCCTTGACTGGTTCAAGGCTGCCAACAAGAAGGAGTACTCCAAGGAGGAGGACCCCGGTGTCGCCTCGGTCAAGTCTATCTTCAACTACTACAAGAAGTTCGGCTACAAGACTATTGTCATGGGTGCCTCTTTCCGCAGCACTGGCGAGATCACCGAGCTTGCTGGCTGTGACTACCTGACCATCTCCGTAAGCTCTCCCACATGTGAGCGCCGTGAAGGCGAAACTGACTCTGTGAACAGCCCAACCTGCTCGAGGATCTGTCCAACTCCTCCGAGGCCGTCCCCAAGAAGCTTGACGCCAGCCAGGCCTCATCTCTCGACATTTCCAAGAAGTCGTACATCAACGACGAGGCTCTGTTCCGCTTCGACTTCAACGAGGACCAGATGGCCGTCGAGAAGCTCCGCGAGGGTATCTCCAAGTTCGCTGCCGACGCTATCACTCTCAAGGGCATCCTCAAGGAGAAGCTGTCCTCGTAGACGGCTTGGACAAAAGATCTACCCAAATAAAAAGAATAGTAATCAAGCTCATTTGTCACGACGGATAATGGGTCATGAACGAAAATATTTATGCGATAGATCCATGAATGCAAAACCCAACTAAAGTTTGAACTCACTTATTTCCAGTTGATGTCTTATCACCCAACGCCGTACTAGTAGTAATGCCCAATCCAGATTGCCCACCAAACGCCATTCTGCAGCCGTCTAATCAGTATTACAAGGGATTGTAGCCGTCGGTCATCGTCGCAAGGATCCCTATTCCTCACTGGTGCCCTCCGATTCGCGACACCGGACCTGCAATGTCTTGTGCTTGAAGCCCCCACCAGCCGACGCCTCCACGACGAGGGCGGTCAGTGCCTCGCCTTTGACGCACGCAGAGTCGAGGCCAAAGGTGTACTTTGACTCCTTGTAGCCGGTCTTGGCGTCGTGTCCGTACACCACCGTCCGACGCAGACGCCGGGGCAGGCGCAGCTGGTGGAGGTTCCAGGCGTCGGTCCAGCGTTCGCCCTTGTGACCATCACTGGGCAGGGCAATGCGACGATCAAAAGGAATGATTGAGGTATCCATGTCAGCATCCTCGTCATCCGGAGGAGAATGCGCATCTCCGGGATCCTCCTCATGCCTCTTGTTGAGTCGAGGTGCCTCGCCCTCCTTCTGGCGGATTTCCTCCCGGGGATACGACAGCGTGCGCATATTCATGACAGCCCATGGATCCTGCTTCTCCAGCTCTACGCCGGGCACAAGGCCAGCGTGGACAATGTACATCCCCAATTGATCCACGGTGAGGATAGCGGGCAGCGCGCTGAGCCATTTGATGTGGTCCTTGCTAAGGTGTCGGGCTAGCACGAGGTCTCGCAGCCCCCCCTCTGGATCCTGATCTAGTTGGGTCTTGAGATCTTTACTGACACCATATTGCTCCTCAATGGCATCGTGCGCAAGAAGGATTCTGTCCTCGTGGTTGCCGCGCACTGCGCTGGCGTTCAAGGCCATGAGTCTCGACACCACGCCGGCGGAGTCGGGTCCCTTGTTGATCATGTCACCCACGGCAATGACGTGGTCATTCGCTCCGTTATAAGATGCCTCTTCAAGTAGCGCTTGAAGTTCGGTGTCCATGCCGTGGATGTCACCAATGATGATCAATCGCCGACCATTTTCTTGTGTGGGAACGTACTGTTCGGGCAGGGCCTCGATAATTTTCAAGCCCTCGAAGGCGGGTCGATCGAACTGGCCGTACGACATTGGCAGATCGGCCTTGTTAAGCCGGATTTCCGGGCGGTTGACTTCTTCAAGGCGGTCTTCTTGTTCGGTAGGTTGTGTCGCGTGCGCTACGGTTTCTCGTTGGAAGGACTGGACGGAGAGACGCGTGGCGCCGAGGTAGACGCTAAAGAGGATGAAGGCTGTTGCCGCCAAGACCAGTATTCTCCGGTGTGAGAAGTGCGGAATCATGCTGAGAGGGGCGGACCGCCGTGGCCGTGGCCAGCGTGAGGATGGAGGAGGATTGCGAAAGAAGCCCGCAAGCTGGGTGATCCTAATGTAACGTGCGGATTGACTAGGCGATGAATGCGTGACGCGAAAGCAGCGATTGCCTCCGTTCGAGAAGAGATGGAAGACGAGGAAGAGAGAAGAGATAGTGTGGTGATGATGGCGTAGATGAAAGAAAGGGCAAGAACAGCTGGGGAAATGGGTTGCGGAAGCGAAGTGAGCCTGCGTAGTAACATTGAACCTTCCCAAGCTGTTTGACGAAACAGGAAGGCCCCTGTAACCCCGGTTTTTGCTGTTGAAACTTGGCTACCGACGACCGTAGGCGGCACGCGAGCAGTTACCCCCTGCCAGGGCCCAGCACGCTGACGACTATTTCATCTCATATTCCCCCTTGGCGATCAGCATTGCCAAACTGGTTGAGTGGCCGGGCGCGTGTAACTATATACTCTTAAACACATCGCGGAATTGTGACCAAGCACAAGTTTCTGCCACGGCTCTCGCGCGTATAAGTGCCTGTGCGAAATCATGACGTTGAAGTTCTAACGGCGTCGAACATGAGCAGACACACGTATGGACGTAGCCGTTGTCAACCACGCCAAGCGCTTGTTACCTGACCTACCTTTCTTCAAGTGGGCGGTCATTAGTAGAATTTCTATCTGCCTCGGTGTTAAACCTTTCCCCGACCATCTTGCGGATCAGCACGACTGGACATCAAGTTGAGCCCAGTGTGTACTCATCTTCATATCAGATCGCGGCTTTTGGGTCTATACTTTGTTCAGATCCTTATGTTTCTACACCGGATAAATTTCTCGATGTAGCATCCTTCGCACAAACATCCGGTCCCAAGCACGCTGCTGGCAAAGGGTGATAATGCCATCATTCGCGCTCGTACCTGGTAGAGTTCTAAGTGAAATCGCTGTAAAGCATTTCGTTCGTAAAATCATAGTGTACAGTTTTTTTTGTACAGATTACACGTCCGGAACCACCGGTTGGCGATTTCCAAATGGCGTTGGTCTCTTGTTCAGCCCTTGTCTTCATGCACTTCCGTCCCGGGACCCGACACGCTTGTTGGTCGTGATGCTTCATGCGCCCTGGTCTTTCTTCATCTGCGCCTCCTTCTGTGCTGCTAGTTCTGCCCGGTACTTCTCGTTCTCAACCTCACGCCAGTCCATGGGTATGGGCTCGTTTCCGCTGGTCTCCTTGACGCCTCCCGCGAACGCTGCCTTGCCTGCGTATAGTTGGTATCCTTTGCCACCCTCGGCGCTCTCCATCGTGCGGTACGCGACGGGCATGTTCCCGCGGAAACGCTTCCGCATGTCTACCATACCGCGCTTACACTCGCCAAAACCCTTCTTGAGTTGTTTGCATTGGAGAGGGAGGGTGTCGACGAGCGGTTCGCGAAGGCACTCAGAGGCGCTATTGCGCTGGACCATGACGCAGTCTGACTCTTGAAGACATTGCGCGAGAGCCTCGCCTGAAAACGTCAGTTCGGTAGTCGGCATAGAGAATGGATGAACTTACGGAGCTCTTTGCACGAGGACGGCATTGCTGCGAAATGTGTTGTAAATAAATAGACTTTCTGGTAGCAACGGAGGATCGCGGCATCATGCAATTTAATGTGGCTGGTGACGGGTCTGGTATGTGGCGCATGTGGCGCATGCTCTAATGTCTTGGCCAAACTACACGTACATCTGCCATACCGCTATCATGCCGCTATCATAAGACAATTGTTGCACATTTGTTGGGCGAATATTTCATTATCGAGGTATGGGCGGCTACTTCCTGGGTGAGACATCCGCAGCCTGTTCACCCGGGCATGTCAACAGTCAGCCCTACCATTTCCCCTTGAGGGCGTCTTCCTTCCGTGGTAAGTGGCGGTAAACATCATGCATGACAAGGACCTTTTTGCATGTGACATCACGCCTCTCGCCTGGCGCCGATCCGCCAGTCGAAAGAAATTCCCGTCTTCGACATTGCCATCATCCTGTCGCCAGCCATGGCGCACTCGTGCCATTGCTAACTTTCACATAATACAGACGCAAAAATGCCCGTTCCATTTCTTGGGAGATTGCACCTGTAGGTCTCCTGTCTTCAGTACGGTGTATGTCGAGACGCTAATGGTTCGGCTGCAGCACAGAGTACGTCGCTCTAGTCGGCTCGTTCTTATTTGTCGGGCTCGAGGCAATCATTCGAGTCCTGACGCTGGCCTTGCGTGAGTAGTTGCCCGCCAGCAGACTGCTGAGACACGCATGAGACTGACTAGCTGCTCCCAGCGCCCTTCTTGGTCAACCTATTCTACCGAGCGTCGCGTCGCATATTCCTCAAGTTCTCATCGCCAGCCCAAAATAAGGCCGACAACAGGAAGAAGTGTATGTCTCTCTCTCAAACAATGATTGACGTTGTCTGACATGCCCAGCCGTATCCACTTCTGTTCGCGACGCGGCCGATTTTGTTGAGCTCTGCCGGCTATGGGGCTATGAGGCCGAAGAGCACATTGTACAGACCAAGGATGGCTTCCTTCTCGGCGTCCACCGGCTGCAGTGGCGCAAAGGTGAGGAGGGACAACAGGTCAACAGTGGGCCGACAAGCATGAAGAAAAGAGTCGCCTATCTGCATCATGGGCTGCTCATGAACTCGGAGGTGTGGGTCGCGCAAACCGATGAGCAGCGCTGTTTGGCGTTCGAGCTAGTAGAGAGAGGCTTCGATGTCTGGGTAAGAACCCCGGAGTGTGATGTTGGGAGCAACTCAAATGGCTAACCTTCCAGTTTGGCAACAATCGAGGCAACAAATATTCAAAGAAGTCGATCCACTCGTCGCCTGATTCACTCAAATTCTGGGACTTCTCCATTGACGAGTTCGCCTTCCACGATATTCCCGATTCAATCGAGTACATCCTCGACACCACCGGCCAGAAGAGCCTGTCATACATTGGCTTTTCACAAGGCACCGCCCAGGCTTTCGCAACCCTGGCGATCCATCCCAAGCTCAACAGCAAAGTCAATGTGTTTATTGCCCTTGCGCCTGCGATGGCGCCCGCGGGCCTGTCTAACGGAATCGTGGACTCTTTGGTGAAGGCTTCGCCTCAAGTACTGTTCCTCCTTTTCGGACGGCGGTCCATTCTCAGCTCAGCAACCATGTGGGAAACACTGCTCTACCCGCCCTTGTTCAGCCGGGTCATCGATATGGGTCTCTCATTCTTATTCAACTGGCAAACCAAAAACATCTCAGCAAGCCAGAAACTGGCGGCGTACCCGCATCTATATTCCTTCACCAGCACCAAGTCAGTCGTCCACTGGTTCCAAATCATTCGCAACCGCTCGTTCCAGATGTACGACGACAACGTCCAGCAACCCATGAGCGTCACAAACTCCAACAAATTTTCGAAAGTTGCCAAATACCCCACACGCAACATCCGCACGCCCGTGGTCCTTGTGTATGGCGGTAGTGATTCCTTGGTCGATATTAAGGCAATGCTCAAGGAACTCCCTCCCCAGACCGTTGCCACTGAGATTCCGCATTACGAGCACCTTGACTTTCTCTGGGCGCGCGACGTCGACATTCAAGTCTTCCAGCACGTGTTTGATGCTCTGGACAGCTTCACCGATGCCGGTCACACCAAGGAAGAGTACGATCGGTACTTCACCGCCCGCCAGGAGAGTTTGATAGGATCAGGCTTCACCCCCGGGCACCACCCGCGCGGCAGTGAGAGCGAGGCGTCGACAATCGCCACGGGGAACGACATGCCCGAACACATCCGCCATCGAGCCATTGAGCCACGCCCAAATCCCAAAATTGCCAATGGCTCGGATGAGGCCGGATGGTCGACTTCGCCCGAGACGACGACGCCCACCAGAGCCACCCATTTTGTCGATGGCGAGTCGCCCTTCACTCGTCCCAACAGAAGCCGCGTCCGTCACGGAAGCGGCACCAGCATCAGCCTCGACGGTAAAGGCATCAGCCTTGGAGCCAGTAAGACAGCCACCAGCGTGGTCACACCCACATCAGTCGGTCTGTCTTCTTCGCAGGAAAGGAAGGCGAAGAAGAAGGAGTAATGGACGGTTTGAGATAGAGAAATATCTGGAGAACGTGAAATGTGGTAGCGAAGAGGACGATTAATGCTATGAATATCAGTAATTTGGGGTTAGACGCGCGAAAGGATTTGTTTGTAGCCATGGTGCAAAAGGTGCAATGGAGGAACGCTTAGATTTGGGAAGATGGTTCGCTCCCAATGTTGTATCGGCAGCTTCTATAACGTGATTGATAAGCGAATGTCCCAGACAAGCGAATGTCCCACAAATCGCAACACCACGAACAAGATCGTCAA